GAGAAAACTTTGGCTGAGGAGGAATGTGGAATCAACGAGTTGGAGGAGTTATAATACTTATTTATACATTCTATAGATTTTAAATGATTTTTAAATCAAAACATCGATGACAAATTTTTTTTTTAAGTAGAATTCAAATAGAAATAAGCCTCAAATCCATAAATACTACTGAAATATAAGGTCTAAACTCCGAGATCTTAGTAGAAATAATGCTTTTGAGAGAAGATACTTTATAAAATCTGCTTCAGTTTCAATTTAATGTCAAAGTTCTCTGACAAGCCAAAAAAAATATTTACAAAAATATATATTTAATTTGTTTATTTTTGTGGCCCTTATCAATGGCCAAGACGTGACTGAAAAAGGTTAAATTAGCGCGATGTCAGTGAGGGCGGAAGGGGAGAGGCAATCCCTGTGTGACATCTAACACAAAAACTCAATCAAATTAGGCCCGCGATATCCATACACATCCTTTTCCTCCCCCCTGAATTTTCCTCCCTTTCCCCCAGCTGAAACTGTAAAATTTTCCCTGGTTTAGCTTCATTTTCTTCACTTATTTTATTTTTTTGACTTTCCCTTTGGATTGGGAAATTTCTTATCCATTACTTTCCCAAGCGTTGTGCTCTTCTTCTATTTTAATTACCAAACATTTGACAGCATCCTGAGATGCTTATTGTGTTATCCGTACACATGTATGGGTCTATATATCTGCCTTTATATATATATATGTATATATGTGGCTCACACAAAGGTCTCTTAGGCTGTTGTTAACCTTTTTTTTCTGATTTTTTTTTGTGGGCCTGTGCTAGAAGAAGAAACCCACCCCTGAGCCGAGTTCTCCTGCGCTTCTCTCCAAGTTATATGATGGCGTTAGATATTTGATTTCCAAAATTCAATGCCAAACGACAAGAACAACAACAAGATGACAGGATAGGCATGGCGGTCGCATCGTCATCATCCTGATCATAATTATCATTGTCATTATCCTCATCATCATCATCGTCTTGGTCTGAAGCATCTGCCGCGTCTCTGGCCAAGATTTTGTGTCCGCCAGTAAGGAGCCGAAATTACGCCGCCGCTTTGAAAATGGCTAAAAAGATAGAAAGATACAGATACATAGATACAGATACAAGCCATTCACAAGATGCTGAAGAGGTATATCTATTTCATTTCATTTTGAAATGTTTTATAAATTTGCAGGAATATTTTTAGGAGTTTTTGGGGAATATCTTATTGCTGTAATTATTAGAATTTATTTTAGTATTATTATTTATTTAATTATTATTTAGAAATCTGTTTAAAATGCTTATTAATTAAAATAAATTTTTTTAAATGGTTTTTCTTGAGGTTTTTAAGGTTTAAACAGATAACTGCATTTGTTTGGCTTTGATATTTTGTTATTTTAAGGTCTTTTGATATTTTAAGTCACTAAATTATATTTTTAAAATTTTTGTTTTAATTATTAATTATATTTATTATTATTCTAGTACAATTTATGTATTTTTTTTGTTTAAGGATATCTCCCTTTTTTCTTATCCCATTATTACCTATTCTCTTTTTCTATCCTTACCCTATAGACTCTACAGATCTCTATCTATTTTTCTTTCAACTAGAAATGTTTTTTGAAACAGGATTCTGAGCGGCTTAAAAATAGATACTTATTAACCAGTCAACTGTTGATTGATCGGTGTTTTGCTTTAAAAGGGTTTATGTTTTTTTAATTATTATTGTTTTAATGTGCATAACTTATTATATTATATTTAGAAGATATTTAAAGATATCATATAGGTTTTTGAGATCTTTAAATTACTATTTATATTTATCTTATATATATTTAATTTAAAAGAATTTGCAATGTTGTTTAGAATCGATGGGAAGTCGGCTTCGATTAAAAAAAAAAAACTTAAAATGGGGATTTTGCCCAAAACATTATATTTATAGTTTTTTAAATATATATTTTTAATACTTTTTATGTATGTTTTATATATTTTTATTTATGTTTAATATATTTTACTTATTTTATATATTCTACATATTTTTTATATTTTTTTATATATTATTTAGAGAATTACCAAGAAAGCTTTAAGGTAATTTTAAGAACCATATTTTTAATATTTCATATTATTTTTATACATATTTTGTATGAATTTAAATATTTTCTTACCTCTAACCTGAGTCTCCCCTGAACCCACCTATGGCCCATATTTGAAGCCTTCAATATATTGATCCTTTCTTAAGCCCCTCTCCCCAACCCATTTCTACTATATATCTCCCCAAACCGATCTCCTGGCTAACTGTATATAAACTGTGTTCGCAAAACAAAAGACTTAGGCAACGAACTTGGCCAACATTCAGCAATTCGCAAAGAGGATTCGCGCCTCGCCTCCCCTCTCACTGGAGGTGTCCAACTTTGAGGCATTATAAAATGATATATATGCCGAGCTGGGACGGAGTCCAATGGGCGTGGCAGGGGGGAAGGCGGCATGGCAAAAAAAAAAAAAGAAAAAAAAGAGGAGCGTCGTCAAATGGCGCACAGCTGCGTAAACACAGAAACTGGCCAGAAATTGTTGCTACATTTCGAAGCTTCACTTCATGTGTGTGTGTGTGTGTGTGTCTGAGTCTGCGGTGTCCTAATTCCAATTCAACAGAAATTTTTGTCTCACAATCAGTTAAAAAACGAAAAAAATACAACCGAAAAAAAGCAACAGAAAAAAACTCAAGTAAAACAAAATAAATCTTTTTTTCTGAGACCCGGCAACGCGAACGAGTTTCAACAAATACAAAACCGAGAAAAAAAAAAACTAAACTTTAGGCAAAACTTTGTTGCCTTTTTTCCATAGTTGTTGCTGTCGGCGCTTTATCCGATTTTGTGTGTGTTATTCTCTGGTCTTTTCGTATATTTTTTATGACGAGTTTCCGCTAATTGCTGATGCGCTGCAGATTAACTGAAGCCCCCAAAGAGAGAGAGAGATATCCAGAGATCCAGATCCCCTAGAGTTAAGATGGATGGAATGGGATGGGATGGACACAGGACGGGGCAAGGAGAAGCGGGGCAGGGAAACCTAGAGATAGGTCTAGAAATTAGAAAACTAGATTCGCTTTAATTATAAAGAAATGAGATACATTTTCAGAGTCTAGATGAAATTTATTCCACTACCGAATTTCACACGCCAGGCCAATGGCCTAACTGGCTTATCGATGGAAACTATGCCTCAAGATATTATATATTATATATAAACATACTACATATATGTATATATCTATGGAGTTATCCTCCCATCTAGCTCTGTTCGTCTCACTTTCAATGTCTTCTGCTTGATCTATTTTAGGGCCTGCTTTAGTTTTCATCAATTAAATGCACTGACAGAAATCTTGAGGGGTTTAATTTCATGAAATTACAAAAATTCAACACTTTTAGTTTTGAAATCAATTTATTGGGCATCCAAAAGTATGCAATACATTTTTAGGTTTAATTTTAGCATACTTTTCAGCAGTTTCGTTAGATTTTTCAAACAAATCGCTGCAAATTTATAAATATTTTAAATTTGTTGTTATAAAATTATTTAAAAAGTAATTAAATAATTAATAATGACTAAATATTTAATTAAGTCAAGATTTTACATCAGCTTAAATTTTATTCTCTTTTTTTAAATTTAATTTTACAAAATTCTTAAGATCCCGTTTCCTTTTTTTATTCTCAGTATAAATTTCTATAAATATTTATAAAATTTAAAGTAGTTCTACTTTCATCCTTAAAATTTTGTCCGGTGCATAATCTAAGTCTTACCACACACACACACACACACCTGAAAAGTGTAAGAAGAGCTGAAATTAGAAAAAAAAAGAAAAGAAAAATATATATAAAGGCGTTCTTACCAGCAAAGCGAAGAAGACAGACGGCAGAAGAATCATACGAATTATAAGAATTACGCTGAAGCCGAAAGCAGCCGAGAAGGGTAGGAGCGACATCTTAGATATCAGATTATAGAACGCTGGCCTTAGCCTAAGCTAATAATTCCACAAAACAGAAAGGGAAAGAGTAGGAGACAGAGACAGAGCGAGATGGAGGTGGTGATCGAGGGCTGTGCAAGCGAGATCGCTGTGGGATCGTGTGTGCATATAAGCATAATGAGTTATAATTGGATTAAAGATTTATTGGCTTTGATTTCGGTTTGATTTCTTTATACCAAAGATCTTACAACGAAGCTGAAGGCGAGGAGGTACAACCCGAAGCCCCCTAAGAAACCCTGAAACAAGCTGAAAACAGCTGCAGTCTCAGTTTTGGATACAGATATTCAGGCTATAGATACAGATACAGGCTATAATGACTTATATAGGCTACAGTAAATACCAGTTATAAGGCAGATATATTTTTTACTTTCTGACATGAAATATTTACAAGTTCAAAAATTCTAAAAAATATAAAAGTCGAAAATGTAGTTAATACTATTTATAATATATATATTTTTTTTAAGATTTTAATTTCTATAAAAAAGTTTTAAATTAATTTCTTATATTTCCGCACAAATTCTTTTAAAAATAATACATATTAAATATCGATGAAAAAAATAAGAAAAAGTCCAGAAAAGTATGCTAAAAATATGAAAAATTCGTATTGCCTACTTTTGGCCGCCTAATAAATTGTTTAGGAACACTTAACTTTTACTTTAAATGCAAATATCTATAATTTAGGTCTTCATATGACAATAGGCCCTGTATTTGCTGCAGATACATTTATATCCAACATCTACAGATACAAATTAACCCAACAGATACTCTGTGAATTCGTGAATCTGTGAATTTGTGCTGCCGCCTTGTCATCATCTGTCGTCCGGCCACGACGTTGACTAATTAGCCAACCCAGCCGCTTTTGGGTTGGCCTTTTCTCCTCCTTCCCCCCATTAATCTCGGCGGAGGAGGAGAAGGAGGAGCTGCAACAGCCCACCCACAACCGCAACCATTCACATTCACTAACCGCCGCTTTCTCGCTTCTCTTTTTTCAGCTTCCACCAGGCGGCAAACGAAATGGAATCCATCGGGTTATCCTGCAATGCGTAGGCAGTCGGCCGCCAATGTCCTGAAACGGATCAAAATTTAGGTGAATTGAGAAACATTTTTCGGACACCCCCACAGGATCATCAAGGAACTCAAAAAGCTAAACAAGAGCAGCTAGGTTATTTATGTTAAAAAATCCTTTGATTTAAAAGTTTCAAAGGATTTACTACAAGTACTTTTAGCGTGTGCAATCGACGTAATTTAATTTAATTTAATACAAATTTTTTAAAAAACGTTTTTGTTGCCAAAAGGAAATACATACCAAAAACTAACCATTTTCGGCCGTTCCCAAGAAATTATAATGACAAATTTGTGTTAGTAATTGTAGTATGAGCCCCAAGGAACTTACATTTATGAGAAATATATTTAAAAAAATGCAAGAAATATGAGAACCACTCCAGGATAACAACTGCCACTCGAAGAAGCTGTACATAAGCTACAAGAATCCGTTTTGGCAGAGCAACTAGACAACAAGCTGCAGTTTCATGTCTCCTATATATATATATATGAATATATCAACAATTGTGCATATCATTTATTGGGCAAAGTTAAAAAAGAGCAGAAGAAAAACAATAATTAAAATTAAATAGCAAAAAGAGAGAGAGTTTAAAGCAGAAGGAGCAGGCAAATACTTTTAGTTGAAATTGAAAGCGACAGTGTTTTTTTTTTGTTTTGGGAGTGTTTTACTTGTGTGCAATACGAATAATATTTTTTTTAACAAATTATTACAAAGCAAATTATAAGCAAAGCATAAAGATGAGGAGGTTTAACGTAGCTATAGCAAAGAACCACTAAGGGATTACCTCTCGGCAGGAACAGCTCAGCGCAAGTAATAGAAATCTACCTCGTTAGCAATATAAAAGAAAAAAAAAACAATAATAAAAAATTTTTAAACTAAAATAGCAAGGATATTTCTTCCGCAAACCAAAAAAAAAAAAAAAAAATTAAAAATAAAAATAAAAAACAAATGCCAAAATGGAACTCACAAAATACAAAGACGAAGCAAAGTGTCAACTAATTATACGTAAAACTAAAACAAATAACTTTAAATGTAATTGTTTATATGCTATATATATATATATTATACACACCCCCTATACATATTCTAGGCTTAATCGACACCCCTCCGACCCCTCTGGGGCCGCCCCTTCCCCCAAGTTGCGCGACCTTGTCATCAGTTTAAATTTGAATCTTTACAGTTTGGCCAGCTACCATGAATTTGTTGCTCACATGACAACTTACGCAACTTAGCCAAAAAAATTAAATTAAATATATATATGCATATATATATATTTGAAAAAAGGGGGCGGCGGCCTTGAGTGGGAGTGACACAACAGAGAGGGGCAGTAGTTGTTAACCCCGACCATGAAAAAAAACCACAATTTCCCCTCCAATTATCTCAACAACGAAAAACCAATTGAGAATTACAAACGAAGCAAAGCGGAAGCGAAACAAGTGATGCCGATAGTCCTGCAAGCTGATACCGATATCGATAACAATGCATTATACAAGGGTCCGATTTTACAGAACTTGACAAGTTTTTTTCTATTTAAAGAAAAAGCAACAAAAAAGAAAGTATAATCAACCAAAAATTATCACTTCTTTGCAGTAAAAGCCAAATTAAAATATTAAAGCCTACTTTTAGGCCTAAGCTCAGGTGTTTTCAAAACTCAAAACACACTTAGACACTTGATGAGATTTATATTTTAATAAAAAGTTTTTAATTATCACAACAAAAATTATCAGAAAGTCTGGGAATAGCTTAAAAGAATGTTTGAAAATTTCAAAGCATACTTTTAGACACATATTTCAGGTGTTTCTAAATCTCCAGAATTGTTTTAAGCTAATTCACTTTTTTTAAAGAATTAAAAAATCATTAGTTATCCAATTATTTTTAGCCCTGCAGGATTATCAAACATTTTTCGGCTTGCCGAACTTAAATATATGTAATTTCCTCCCCCGGTTTTCGTTTGGACTTAGATCTATGGACAAAATATATAGGTTTTTTTTTTTATGACAAACCCCTAAGCAATACATGAAGCAGGAAACTCTCAAACCAAGATATATAAAATGCAATTTCTTGAAACTAAATTAAAAAAAAAAAATCGAAAACGGAAAATAAAAGAAAACATATTTGAATTATGTAGCAACTACATGTTAAATTTTAGCAATTAATTATTAAAATAAAAACAAAAAACATGAAACTTACAAATTATACACACATATATGTGACGATCGGGTATACATATATATATATATATATATATTTAATGGAAAATTTTTGAAAGCACCAAGTGAGAAATATTAAAACCGGAACATAGAGTTGATCTTTCCCAATGGTCTATATATATATGTGTGCGTGTGTGTAGTGAAACTTTGACTAAAAAAAACTAAAATATTAACAACTAAAAATCGAGAAGAAAACAATAATTCAACAAGGAACCGTGTACCTTTTTCTCTCTCTGTAACACCACCAACAACACACAAAGAAGGCAAAGCAAATCCCAGGCAAAAATGCAATGCAAAGGGTTTTATAAATTAATAAATTCATTAATTAAATAAACCAATTTTTATTTTCCTTTTGTGTCTATTTGTAAATTTTGCAAAACGTGGGATTTTTAACATAAACAAAGATTTTATAGAGCAAAAAATGCGATACCCCCTTCATCTCGATGTAAACCAAATCGATAAAACAAATGAATTTATGCACGAGTATCAGCGCAGTCTATGTGTATCCCTATGAATATATATATATATATAGAAAATATATATAAAAATATATATATCCCCCTCCCCCCCATATTGTCAAGCCAAAAAACACACATATTGAAAGCCAAGCAACTGACACACAGAAAGACAGAGAAAATGAATTTTTTTTGAACCGAAATAAAGAATGTAAACTACACACAGCCTGCAAGTTTTACTTTTCTGGGTTGCTAACTGGGTTATCGAAGAGGGTTTAGGAGCTGCCAGGATGAGGTCTGGCCTTGTCCGGGGTAATTACACATAATGATGATGATGATGATGATGATAATGTTGAACTTGAAACTTGATTTTCAGGCTGGAAATTCAGGAAACACTGGGAAAAACGGTGTTTGAGTGTATTTAATTGATTTTTTTGTGTGAATAAAATGTATTTTAACATTAATTTTAAAATTTATTAATATTGTTAGTATTTTTAACATAAGAAAGTTGATTAATATCAGATAAACTAATTTATATCAAAGAAAAATAACTTTAAATAATAATTTTCGCTTTTCAACCATTTTTTTAATTAGTTTAAAATTCTCTCAAAAATAAAATATATATAAATTATTTCTTATTATTATTAAAATTTGGAAAACTGTTAAAAAACAAGATTTTAAGCTTCAATTTCAGGCTCAAAATTACTGCCTAACCTTGACCTATAATTAAAATATTTTTAAAATTTTATTTTGACAAAAACACTAATCAATTTCTCCCAGTGCACACCGTTAAGGCGCAGCAGGACAGGGCTGGGCAGGACAGGAGGGCAGGAGAAGCGCAATCACGCAGACCGTGTCCAATTAAAAGGCGCCGTACATCATTTGGAATGCAGCCATCGCCGAAATCGGAAAAATCTACAGGTGGTGGCGACGCCACGACGGCTTTGGGTTTCCTGTGCTCGGAAAAATCAAGAACCAAAAACGAAAAACACCGAGTTTGAGCTGAAAATGGATAAAGTGGGCGATGCCCGGGCACTTGCACTTGGCCCTGCAGTTCATACTGCCTTTGATTGTTTTGAACGTCAGGTGTGGAGAGGAGCACAGGAACAGGGTTTATGCGGGTTCCAAAATTTACAAAAATTAAGATTAGAAGACAATAAATAGTAGTAAATTTACAGAAATACCCAAATACGAATTAGTTACATTAGCATTTAATTAATATTAATGTATAATTATTATTTAACAATAAAAAAAATATAAAGACATAAGATAAGGAGAGGTTTTGAACCTGAATAATTATTAAAAAATTTTGTATACGCTTTCAGGGGTTTCTATTTTTAGTCCTATAAATCGTATATATTCTTGATCAGCATTAACAGGCGGGTCGATCTAGGCATGTTAGGAGGAAACAAAGTTTTACAAAATTTTTTAAAAATTTATAAGGGGTCACATCGTTAAAATATCGAAAATTGACAAAAATTAGCATATTTTGTAGATGTCAAATGAAGTATACAGATTTGTTAAGCTAATAAAAACTAAATTGACACCGTTTTCCAAATTAAAATTAATGATTTTTTAAGGGAGTTATGATTTTTTTAGGTTTTGATTTGTCCTTAAAAAATGTATACCCATTTTTTCAAAAAAATATAAGGAGTCGTTAAAATTGTGAAAAATCGACCAAAATTTAGATGGTAAATTAAGTATACAGTTGTTTTAAGCTAATAAAAACGAACATTATGCCGTTTTCCGATTTAAAATTAATGCTTTTTTGACTTAGTTATGATCGATTATAAATTCGGCTTCCAAAAGTATTCTCCCTTTCTGGTTAATTATTTATATTATATTTATGTTACATTTATATAATATTAATATAATTATTTTATATAATATTTATATTACATCTACATAATATTTATATTATATTAATATTATTTTGAAACCCAATTTCTATAAATTAAACCCCACCCCGGACTGATCATGATCTATACATTCCGCATAAACCCGAATCAAAGAAATTTAATCGCCGCTCAAGGACAGCCGGTAGAGTGGTTTTTCCCTGGGCATTTTCCTTCCTCTTCGTATCGCTTTTCCGCGTGCCTGTGTATGTGTGTATGTCGAATCGTTGTAATTTATTGTTGCACGCCAACTTAATGAGTCCCGCGTGTGTGTGCGAGTGTGTGTGTGCTGGGAACAATGAGTGGAATGAGGACTTTGGTGCACACACCTTGCTGCACTTAATCCGGTGGAAAAATCAGGAAAAGTAATGGCAAAAGCAGGTAGAACGATTGGAAAACCGATCCATTGTGCCAGTGAGTGTGTGTGAGTGTTGGTGTGGGTGTGTGCCAGTTTTTTGATTGAAGAATCCGATATGCTGGCATTTTATATTAGAGAAGCCAAGTTGGTTTTTAATTTATAAAATATTTTTTTTTTTCAAGAGATATTTCAAGGAATTTAATATTTAATTAATAAAATATATAATATAAGATATAAAATAAATTAATAAAATAATATTAAAAAAATAAATAAAATTATAATATAATAATTATAAAATATATATTTTATATTTGTCTTAAAAAATACTATTTTATATACAAGAAATACCCAAAAAATCAGGGTTTTCCAAAGTCTTTAATATATAATTTTCTTTAATTTTAATAAAAATCATAGAAACTACTTGAATATAATTTGATTAAAAATTTATAAATTCATAAAAAATATGTTTTAATATGTATTAATTATATTTTCTTATATTAAATCTAAAAAAAATCCAACAAGCCAACACAATTACGCTGCAGTGCCGCCTGAAAATGGAAAATGGTAAAAAGAAAATGAGGAAAAATCAGAGGGGGTAGGTGGGGGGTCTTTGGCGGCATTATATTGTGTCCAAGGCAAACCACATTAGGGCGGGTCAGGAAAAAATTGGAAATGGTAAAGGCAAGTGAAAGTGGAAAAGTCTCCGAGATGCATTGGCATTTCGACATGCAGTTTAATTTATTTATATATATTTTTTTATAATTTTCTTTGATTTTAGATAAAACAAAGCATATGGACAGAGTAAAGCTCGTTCCCCTTTTTTTCCTCGCTTCCTCGGGGAAAATTTAAAACCTTTTAAAGGCGCTTTGGCGCTGTTAGCTGCGCCTAAAAGCAGCTTACACTTATGCCGGGCACACACGCACACCCGCACACACATAAATGTGGACACATACACACATATGGACACTGCTGATGGTTGGGTAAACAACGCGTTGAGAATTTTCTCCTATATTTTTGGGGTATATATTGTCAGGAGATTTTCAGTTAACTTGAAGAAACTGCTGAAAAGTAGGCTGTGATTTAAGCTTAGGCTGTGTAAAAATTTAAATTTTCAATCCACACTCTTTAAAATAATTTTTTATATTTAAGAAAAAATTTCATTTAGGGCATTTTATATCTGAATCGCTATGATTAGATTTCTTTCCAAATTCAAGAGCGAATTTCTCTTATAATTCCCAACATGTTCTAGCATCCCTGGAATGAAGTGACGGTTGCCAAATTCTAAATATACTGCCATTTTTAGACCGATTTTGGGTAAAATTTTTTAAAAATAAACAGAAACTCCGAAAACAGGGTAAGCCACAGTCTTAAGCAGCAGGTGGTATGGCTTTAAAATTTGTATTTTTTTTTTTACTTTGCATACGGAATGGTAATGCCCGGGGGAGAAAGTCCTTGGCGCCCTTTCTATCGTTCAGCTTTCTGAATGGGGGGGCGGGATGTACTATATAATCACATAACCCCGCTTGTGTGTGTGCCTGAATTTGAGAATGTGACAATTGGTTTCGTTAGTGTGTGTGTGGGGTGGGGGGCGGTATCGAAACTAGTCAAAGTAAAAGGGAAAGTGGATTGCGAAATGGGAAAGAAAGATTAAGGTGGGGTTAGCAGAATAGGATAATGCCCTGACAAGAAACTGATAAATCGATGTGTTTTTAGTGGTTTATTTTTTATATTAAATTTTGTATTATTTATATTACATTTTTTATTATTTATATTACAAGTTTTATTAAGATTAAAAGTTCATATTTAAGTTTTGTTCTTGCAAAACTTGTTTATTTATAGGAAGACATTTTGTGGCATACTTTTAAGCGCCAATTTAATTGATTGCAAATCTCTAAGAATTTTAGTGTATTTTTTTCAATTTTAAAATCAAAATTAATTTTCTAATTTGCGAAAATATATTAAATTAAATTTATATAATTTAAAAACTAATAAAAGTGGCTCTGTTTTGTGAAGAAAGTTCATCGAATAGATCGGGTTAGGTGGAAACGCTGCTGAGCAGGACCACGCAGGACGAGACCTTGAAGGCTAAAGTCCCCAAAATCCCGCAGGACCTCCAGCCCCCCTTCCACGCGTGCTCCTCCAACCGTGCTCCAGCCCCTGGTCAGGGCAGCTGCTTCCGCTTTGAATAAAACGCATTTTTCAAAAAGAGAGCCTGAGTGTGAGTGTGTGTGCATGAATAATGTAAATATCTACATATACAAATCTACATATATGTGTGTGCTTATGTGCTGTCACTGTGGGCGTTTTTTGGGCAGTTGGGCAGGCACAACCCACCGGGTCCACCTAGTCCCACCCCCCATCCCCCCCAAACACTGCTGGCTGAGCCAATATTGAAACTTTCAACTATACAACGCCAGAGCACACAAACACAATTCAAATTCGCCATGTGTGTGTGTGTGTCTGTGTGTGGGCAAGAGGGATTTGGACACTGAGAGAAATTTATTACCAAATCTTTAAAATCGAAATAAAGAGGAATTTTAAAGACTACATTCAAAAATTGTGTAATTTTATAAAATATTTTCTTTAATGTTTAATTTAATAATTTCAAATTAACGTTTTATAATTAGTCATTGCTTAATCTTTAATAAAAACATAAATTATCATCTACAAAAACGGGAAATTAAAAAAAAAAAACAGAATCTTCGATTTAAAATCAAAAAAGTACCCAAAAAAATCGCCATAAAATTAATTTATCCAAAAGTATGCAATAAAAGCTGTATTATTTACTTATCCTAAGTCACTGGCAATTTCTCTGCGTGTACCTGGACCACTTTCACTTTTTCTGGCCCTGGTCTGGCCTGTCTCATGGTCGAAGCGATAAAAAAGCTTAGGCTTATGCTTTCTGCACATTTTAAGCTCCATCCACCCGCCCCAAAAAACCAACCCCATCTCCTCCTCCTTCTCTACTTTTACAGGCAGCGTCCAACCGAAAAACAACAACAACAACAATGCCTAGAGCTGAAAGCATGCGTAATTCTGTAAAGTGTAGAAGAGGAGGGAGTGGAGTAATAGAAGGGGGAGTGAGGTGGGCTGGTGTGAGGTGGGCTTGTGGGTGGAGCAGGGCACATATGTGGCCCCGCAATGGAGTTACCCCTCTGCCATCTGCTTAACGAAAATGGAGGGCTGCTGTCCGGCAAGGAAATTTCGTTTTGATTTTGCATGGACTTTTCAAAATTTATGCGCTATTTGAAATGTAACGCACGTGTGTGTGTGTGTGTGTGCTGGTGTGTGTATGTGTGTGTGTACTTGAGCAAAATTAAATATCCAAAAGGAGAGAGGGTTTTCTTTTTGGTCTTAGGGCTTTTCCGCCTTTAAGCAGACAAAAGCCTGGTTTAAAGTATAAGTAAATAATTTAAAGTAATTTTAATAAGGAATATATTTATTTAATATACTTTAACTTTGAAATAATTATAATAATTATAATTTTATAATATAAAAAACAATATATATTTACTATATTTTAAAAGGCAAATTTGTTATGTTAACCTAGAAATTTTTCATTAAAAAACATGTCGAATTCGCCATAAAATTATTGATAAAAAAAAATTCACTCAAGTGAACTTATAACTCCCAACTGGTTCTAACATCTCCGGAATGAAGTGACCGGTAACCGGCCCGCTCTTGGAGGTTTTTTGTTTTTGTGCAAGGGCGGGCGAGGGGTGTACTTGTTGGTGTTGTTCTTGGATTTCCGGATCTGTAAAAGCTGGTAAACTTATAAAATATGGAAAACAGATAGAGGTGGAGAAACATCGATGTTCGGGGACATCGATGTTTTCGATGTTTTTGGCGAAAAACATCGATGAAACATCGATGTTTTAAATAAAAAAAATTAACAGTTATATTAGTGTATATGAACTTTATTTTAATTTGTAATATTAAAAAAATAAAAGTCAAATTTTCAACAAAAATTCAATTTTTTTAATCACTTGTTAAATAAAAAAAAAACAAAAAACTAATTAAAATAAAACTTCATGATATTCATGTTCCACTTCTTTGGTATATAGTTTCTTTTTCTTAGTTTGTAAATAAAAACTAAAAACAAAAACAAATTTAATATCAATGTTTCAATATATACATGGTCCAAAGAAAATAATAGTTTTTTAGGATATTGCTATCCCGAACTCTAGTATATATATTTACATATTTTTCCATGTTTGTTTTTGTTTAAGGAAGAGGAGCCGCGTGCGAAGCTCACTTATAAGTTGTGAAGCTTTACTGAAAACTCTTTCAGATTCGTGCGAAGATGCGAGAACGCAGAAGTATTTTTTAGCAAACGTTTTAAAGGAGTCGCCATCTGTAGTAATCTAAAATATAATTAATACAATAAATAAATGAAAAAACATCGATGTTGCCCCGCTAAGCATCGATGTTTCCGATGTTTCGAAAACATCGATGTCATCGATGTTCGCATCGATGTTTCTCCACCTCTAAAAACAGAGCACAATGCTATTACAGAAGTAGCCAATCTCTCTTGTTCATAGCTACTTACTTACTCTTTCATAGCTATCCTTAAAGTAACTAATTTTTAGGTAAATATTTTTAATAAATAATAAATACCTTCACATGTGCACTTATAATTCCCAACTGGTTTTAACATTGGTTTTAACATTCCTAGAATGAGATTGCCGGCCTAAGATATATACAGTAGGGAGCACATGTGGATAGTGTAAGTGCTTCTACATACTATATGTGCTATTATATGTAGGCTATTGACCGTTTCGCCACAATTTTTTGAAAAGTGGCGCCTGGCAAGGCCATGGTTAGCTTCCTCCCTCTGTCTGGCAGCACTGCTTCAATGTGACCAGCTCTCAGTCAATGCCAAAATGCTTTCTCTTTCTCGCAAAAACAACCGGCACTTATAAAATCCTGGCAATATTTTCACAAGAAGCCGAAATATGTTTAAAATTGAATTTAATAAATGACCAACTTGGGTGACACACCTCCAGCAACGGTGAAAAGGTGTAAACTAACTGGGGAAAACCAAGTAGACCGCTGCTCCGCCGACAGTGTCGAAGTGCCAAGGAGCCACTGGAATCTCACTCACTCAAAACAAACCAGGAGAAATGGCTGCTACGAACTTTGTAGAGATTGATGGATCCTATCTGGAGGGCGGCGGACAGGCGCTGCGCAACGCCCTAAGCCTCAGCTGCATCCTGGGCAAGCCCGTCCGTGTAGTGAACATCCGGGCCAATCGTCCCAAGCCGGGACTCTCGCATCAGCACATGCACGGCGTGAAGCTGCTCCGCGACATAACCAATGCGGATGTGGTGGGAAATACAATGGGTTCCACCAAATTGGAGTTCATACCGCACACCATACGGTCTGGCAATTACCGTGTGGCCGTCCAGACAGCGGCCAGCATCACGCTGGTCTATCAGATGGCACTGCCCGTCCTCCTGTTCGCCGACGGAGCCTCCCAGGTGGACGCCACCGGGGGAACTAATGTGGCATTTGCTCCGCAGGTGGAGTACATGGATGAGGTGCTGCTACCCAATCTCCTACGCTTTGGGGTTAGCTTTGAACTGAAGCTACTACAGCATGGATTCTATCCCCGTGGCAATGGACGATGCATTTTGGATGTGGAGCCAGTGCATCAAGTCAAGGCCGGGCAGCTGGTCAAGTTCGGCCAGCTGGACAAGGTGGGCGGTGTGGCCTTTTGTGCCGGGAGGCTGCCCATGAGCATTGCTCTGGACATGCAACAGACGGCCCGACGTGAAATCCATCGTTTGTGGCCCAATCAGGAGTGCAACATCAAGCCCAAGAAGCTAACGTTCGATGTGGCATCGGACAATGGGGCCGCCATCCTGGTCACAGCCCATACAACCACCGGTTGTATCCTAGGCTCAGGTGCTGTGGGCGAACGAAAGATGCATGGACATTTACTGGGCTCGAATGCCGCCTGCAAGCTAACCGAATATGTGCGCAAGGAGATCTGCGTGGATGCACACATGCAGGATCAACTCATCATCTACATGGCACTGGCCGAAGGATGTTCCCGTATGCTAACTGGTCAGTTGACCAAACACACACGCACCGCCATCCATGTGGCCGAGCAAATAACTGGCGTCAAGTTCGAGGTGACAATGGAGAACTTTGACAAGACGCTGGTCACCTGCGTGGGGCTGGGACAACTCAACGGGTTGCTTTAACAATCGATGATCTTTACTTACAATATTTTTGTCTAAATTATTGTTTACATTTTATACAAGAATAAACGCGGGGGGCGTCGCTAGAGGCGTTGGAAAATGGCCAGAAAATGATCGCCCTTGTTGCGCACTACCTTGGCGCCCTCCTCGCTGCTCTGGTAGAGCTTTGGGGTGATGGGATCGGCATTCTGGATGAAAATGAGAGAGTTTATGGCTGGAAAACCTCTAAAATATTAGACTACATACCGCCGCCTGCTCATCCAGACGCTGGTACAGCGGATGCTGCTCCATGTGCGACACAATCCACTTGTGCAGGTCCTCCACATCCGTCATGGTGTACACCAGACCCTGAAGATTACAGATAAGTAAGTCCAAGTCTTATTTTCTAGCCAAAATACTCACCCCCTTCTTCAGCACATAGGCATACTCGGAGAGCAAGGCCTGGTTGATGATGCGCCACTTGTGCTTGGCCCGCTTGAAATGCGGATCTGGATACAGAAAGAACATCTTCTCCAGCTGCCCCTTGGCAAAGTAATTCGGCAGATACTTCATGGCATTGGTGCGAATGCAGGCTATGTTTTGATAGGCCCCACCCGCCTCTCCACTCTTGTGTCGCAGTGCCTTGATCCTGTCCACCACGTAGTCGGAGACCTTGACGCGAATTTCCATGCCTATGGAGAGTTTTTCGGGGAACATTTCGCCCAGGGTGACCAGGAAGCCGCCATAGCCGCAGCCAATGTCCGCGAAGCTCACCTGCTGACCCTCCTGGATGTTGGGGTACATCGCATGCCAGTCCACATCCTGCGGCCGGGCGGGACTGTGTGGAAACGAAAATCGTTAAGAGGAAATCATTTCATCAAGAGGATCAACTCTTACTAGTCAAAGCTATGATCTGCAATGGGATTCGAGTGCGCCCGCTGGCGATAGTAGCGCTTCTGGGGCAGTCCAGTCACCGCTGAAGTGCAGCTCAGCACCGCTGGCTCCCGGCCTGGATGCTTATTCTGCGCCTGTTCTTCGGTGGTCACCATAATTCGAAAGGAAAACAGAGAACAGAAACCAAAAGCGAGCACGTTGACCAAATAGAGCTGGCACTATCGGCAACTATCGCATATTTGTGACAATCGGTCAAGTGCGGTCACACTGACAACAACGTAGTCTGGCAACACCCCATCGAGTTGTAAACATTTGGACATGCAAGTTCTGCGCTCGTTTTGGCAGAAATAAAAGTGTTTAGCCGGGCAGGAGGAGTGGCGGCTATACAATACTTTACTTCCATTATGTAAGTAACACTTTGTACTTCATCTATACATAGTTAGATTGTTAATTCAGATGTGCGTGTGCAGGGTGCACGTACGCGCTCCTTCCAGTGGAGCCGGCTGGCAGAGGACCTTCTGTCCCCCTCACACTCTCTCTCTCTCTCTCTCTCTCTCTCTCTTTCTGCTTGTTGCACACATTGAGGGGCATAGCTATAGTTTTAGGAGTATTATTTTATTTAATATAACTTATTTATTATTTAAATTGTATTTAAAAAATTTTATGTATCCATTCAGCATATTAAAATATTTGTTACACATTTTTTTTAATTTAATGTTTACATTTTTTGTTTATTTTATTTATTTATTTTTTAAACTAATCTCTAATCCCTTACAGGATATACCAATTTTTATAACATATTATTATATTATTTATTTTAAATTTTGTAATATTTTTTTTTATTTATTTATTTATTGTTTTTTTTTATGTATTTAATTATATTGTTATTTATTTTTTCTGTATTAAATTAGTTTTTTATTTAATTATTTTTTTTTTTTATGTATTTTAATTTATTTTTATTTATTTAGTTATTTTTTTTTTTTTTTGCCATATTCCTTTATCCCTTACAGCTCATTAAAATTTTTAAAATACATTTATAATACAATAAATCATAAGATATGAAAAACCTTGCACTAAAAAACATAATTTTTCTATGTTAATATGTATTGTTATTTTATCCAATTTAATATTAGTGTTTTGATTCCATTTAAATCTTAAAAATAAATATTATATCTACATAAGCCAGAAACTAAGTAAATTTATCAAGAAATTCGTCTATAGAGGGTATAAGGTATGTTTTTTTTAAACTTAATGTTGTGGTTAAAAGATAGGTTTTTATTTTTTTTTACTAAATATTCTGCCTAAAAAATAGAATTTCCTCAAATCTGATAAGCTGTCTTTAGGTTATTTAAAAAATTTAAATATTTTGAGCTGTACTTCCAAAGTCTGATTGACAAGTGTCATTTGCCTTTAAGCCGGACACTGACAAAACAGTCTTAGGACGGTGATTTAGATAAGGATTGCAAACTTAAAATAAGAAAAGATTAAAAGAGATATATACCAATGCCCTTAAAATCATAATAATATATATTATATATAAATAATATTGTTTTTATAAATATATATTTCATATAAAAACCCATCATTGAAGATTGTAGCTACCAAAACACACTTGTCCCCAACTATGCTATAGGCACTTTGATATCTGTCGCATTACTTATCAACAAGTTTTTATAGTCTGCCAAAAGAACGGGTATTTTCTATTTAATTACGAACGATGTATTTGTAAGTAACTTCGAATTGGGAACAAGTTGTTAGTCGTTAGTTGTTGCGGGGAGAAACCGCAGTGAGTCTTTTAACTGTTCTAGTTGGGCTTTTTCGGTGATGCAATTTAACCGGTGCACAGGTGTACAGTGCTTATTGGCAACAGGTGGATCGGATTGGTTTGGCTTATGAGCGGAGTGCATTGGTCTGTAACTCTGCGAAGGTTAAATTGTGTGCCCGTTTGTTACTCTCTTTATTATTATTATTATTATTGTGTTAACTGCTGGCCGTTCCAAATTAAAAACAAAACCGGTGCTGTTGGTGGGGTGAAAGGCGTGGCCGGTGTAAAGGAGGTACAAAAAGATTGCTTGAAATTGGAAGTGAAGTGCGACGGCGGCAAGGTCGTGCCGTTTGCGTTAGTAAAAAACACACGTTAACACGCACATATACCTGGTCGAGTAATGCGAACAGTTGGGGGCATGATTATAGGTTTTAATTATATTTAGGAATTAAATCTTTGGTTCAGAGAATTTTTATGTACATTTTAAGGTTGGTTGTAGTACTGGAAATTTATATACAAATATTTTCTGAGGGGTTTTATAAATTATTTAATTAAATAATTTAAAATACTTAAGTTAAATTTTTTATATTTATAATTAAAGAATGAAATAAAAAATATAATTAATAATATTTTTATTACATAATTTTATAAATAAATATAAATAATAATATTTTTATTATACAATTAATATTTTTTTAATAAAAATAAAAAAAATATTATTAAAATGATATAAAAATAAATAAAAATATTAAAATTAATAAATATAAATTTATTTTTATTAAATATTAAAATTAAAATATTAAATATTTTTATTAAATAATATATGTTAAAATTAATAAAAATAATATTATTTTTAATATTTTTATATCATTTTTATTATATAAAAAATTAAAATATATAAAAAATATTATTTGTATTATTGTTCTTTTCTAATATTTTTTATTATTATTATTATATGAATTTTTTATTACATTTAATTAATAAATCTTTATTAAATTAAATTAAATAATAAATCTAAAATGCATGTAGTTAAATGCATTTCCAGTGCTACTAGCTTGACCCTTGACTGTGCGCGCACACTTGTACCCGACTGGACTGGAGGCTCGAAGCTTCCAGCGTCATAAGCGGTTCGTTGTTCACTCGGGACAGACGTGGTTCTCTCGCTCGCTCTCCCACCACGTTTCGTTCTTGGTCTCTGCAGCAGCTGTGCCTTGTAGCAGACCTGTTGCACGCTCTCTCTCTAAAAGTCGCATCCGTTCCATTGCGCTTCCAGTTGTTATTTTTTTTGTTTTTGTTTTTGTTATTGTTTTTGTTCCAACTGGAGAGAGTGGTGAGTGGAAGAACAAGCAGAGTTTGCAAATAAACAAAGATGTGCGATTAGCAGACTCTCTCATCTCTCATCTCCAAAACTTTTTTAATAATACGGAATTTCCCATCGCATGAATCAGCATTTAGCCGGGCGGCCAGTTGGCCCTCGAGGCTTAAATTTAAACAAAATAATTAGAGCACGTACAACTAACTAACTGATAAGGCGCGCTCAAGTGCATTGATTGATTGCTCGGAAGTGGAAAGCAGCCAAAGCTTCTAATTTAAAACTGTGAACTCAACTTTCAGGTGGAAACCCTGCTGGCGATTACCCATAAACTTGGCCCACGCAAATACTGGTGGCATCAGGAACGTTCTACGGATACTGCAGGACAGGCCGAGGTAATACCTAAACCAAAAAAAATATAAAAATTCTAAAAAACCGTTTTTGAAACAGCAAATCCTTTAAAATACTCACCGCTAAGTGGTCTGAAAGCCAGTTGCACAAACGAAATATATACACAATGGGATCCATCAACTGCAAGGAGTACAAAACCACGGGCAGCACACCCAAAAAAGAGAAAACCCCAGGTAAATATAAGATATCTATGTATTATCTGGTAATATTTAAGCTTTGAGAGTTAAAATTTACAAGTTTAGGAGTAATAAGCACAAGTGGCTTTGAATTTTAATCAAATTTTAAATTTAAAAGGTTTTTATATATAGTCGTAGACCCTTTTTTCTATAGAATATAAATGAACGTATAGTAAATAGTATCTGACGGATGTATATCTCAGTAAGGACTTACAATCTTGTAACTTACATCAATTCTTCTTTAGGAATGGGTTTAAATTATTGTTTCTTACAAAATATACGGATTTTATAACGTATCATTAATTTACAAATATTTTAAAAATATGAATAGTCTTTTACAAATTTATTATTATTATTTTATTATAATAACAAATTCAATTTCCAATTACAAATCAATTTAAGCCAAAGCCACTAAGGCTTTCAGTCTACATTTTTAAATTTAATTGTAAAGGTAATTTAATTTAATTTAATTTTAAATTAAGAATTCATGGGAATTTGGTTTTATTACTTATTTATTGATCAATCTTAAATTCAATAAATTTTAGAAATTGTATGCTAATTTTTGTTACATATTCATTGAATTTTGATTGTATTATTTATGTTTGGATCACCCTTAAATTTTGTTAAATTGATTAATATTTAGGGTAAAAGTAAAAGTAGCCTTAAACTGATTCTAATTTAATTTTTATTATGATTATTTTCCATACAAATTGTCCAGTTATTTCTATGTAAATTCTTTACATTCTATTATTCTATAAATGTACTTATATGTACATATATAGCCCCTGTCTCTATACTTTCTATCCCAACTCCAATCGTACCCCATGTGGCAGTAATTAGGAAAATTGTGCGGTCATGTCGCAGATGGATCCGATGATAGCCGCCATTGGCCGTGCTCCTTTTACCGATCGAACAAGGCCAATTGTGTGGGGAACTTAATACAGATTGGAGATTGGGAGAGTGGGAATGACACGCTTTAGAGGCACAGCTGGTTTTCGGGTTGAAGAGGGAGGTTAGATAATTGTCTCAGGCCCCGAAAAAAAAAAAAGAGAAGGAGTATTGCGAAGAAGACCAGCGGGTGAGGGCAACTTGTTTGCTTCTTTGCTGCGTCATTGCCACAGTGAATACCACTTGAAATTGTTTAATATTTAATTAATTTAATTTATTAAATAATTGTTTTAATTATAAATTATTATCAGGTGGCCAAAATAGCTTTTAGGTAATCAGTAAAACTATTTTTCAAAACAGGAAAACCTATTTTTCATACTTTGTTTAGATTATAAATTGCGGTTTTTTATAATCGGTTAAAGTCTGTGGGAATTTTTGAGTACGAAATTAATAAAAATATAATATATTTAAAGGCATTAAGCTAAATATTAACTGTTGTAGGAAATTTTAAAAATTTACTTCTTCAAAAAGCTTCCTTAAAAATGTTTTTGTTTCCGCTTATCGATATCCACTGTGGCCGTGGCTACTGCTATCGGTATTCCGCCTTCCTCTCTTTATACTCTTTTCGCTTCTCTCTTTCTCATGCCCGTTCTCTTGGTTTTGCCTTTGACTTTTCGCATATTTTTGCCCCCCACTCGTTTCGCTTACATCGGCGGCGGCTTCATCGTCGGTCTCCGTCATAGCCAGCGATTCATTCGTCCAACAACTGCCGGCGTTTAAGCGTTGAAAAAGCTCTTAAAAATCCAGTGAACATAATTGTGAATTCTCTTAAACAATATTATAGTCTCGCCTTCTGATATCTGAAATCGGAAATCCTTTTTACGTGCATACATAACTACCTTTTCGTGTGGTTAATTATTAAGGTGAGACCTGGTTTCGCTGTTGTGTTCTCCGGCAATTGTTGCTCATTATCAACAACATTATTATTATTGTGTTACTACTATTATTATTTAGGTTTTGGCCCTGGTCACAGTTTGAGTCATAGTGCCAACCGGTTTTTGCTTTTATTATTTAGACCCGTGTGTGTAAGAGAGACCTGAATCTTAGATTAACATGGCAAGTCATTACTAATTAGACAAGAAGACAGACACAGAGTTGAAAGAGAAGGAAAAGAGGTTGGAAATGTCTGTAGGTACAACAGTGCAGCCTAGAATTGTTCGTTCACCTTTTTAAGATTTGTATTTTATATGTGGGATTTTTAAATGATAAAAAAATGAATTAAGGTATCTAAAAGTAGTTATACAGAAGTGCTTTAAAAGTCCTTATAAAGTTTAAAGAATTTTGTCTTCCTTGAAAATAATTTTGTAAAATTTTTTAAGGTTTGCCTTATTCATTCTTTCATTCCAAAATTTTCAGCAATTTTTCAAGAATGTTTTTCAAATAATTAATTATTAATATTTTTTTTCTGTTAAAAACTTCTAGAATGAAGCCTGATAACTTACTAATATTTATTTCTGAAAACTATAATATAAGAAAATCTAAAAACTTTGTTTTTGAAATGTTAAAAATGAAAAAAAAAATCTTTAGAAAACTATATACTATTTTAATAAAACAAATGTTTAAAAATAAGTAATGGGGTAATAATATATTTTTAAAGTTAAAAAAACTTCTAGAATGTTTAGTAAAAGGCCTGGAAAAATAATGTTTTATAGCAGTAATATTTATTTTTGAAAACTATAAAATAAGAAAAACTAAAAACTTAATTTATAAAATGTTTAAAATGAAAAGAAAAATTTATAGAAATATATACTTAACTAGAAATATATTTATAGAAATATATAGTTTTCTATGGTTTTATTTTTCATTTGAAACATTTCAAAAATTAAGATTTAAATTTTTGAGAAAGTTGTGTATTATTTAAGTACTAAATATTTCTTTAAAATGCTGAAACACTTCCTCAACCAAATAGATAACCTTAAGCCGTAGGTCTTGGCAGCATATTTTTTGCCTTACACTGTATGGGAATTTCACATGACTTGCCTCATTCTCTCCATGACGATGATCACAATGACGAGATGTTTGCTAGACGATGACGATGTTTGCTGGATTTCCAGTCATGTTCAGGGCCCTACCACTATATCTTTGGTTCTCCCCCGATTAGCTTCTTGGTATACCCCCAAATACACCCACAATTTGCCGCATCATTGAGAGCCCATTCAATATACACCACGCCTTATCGAAGGTGATATATCAGAGATATCATATTCATACATCGTAAAGCATGCAAGTCACTCGAGATAGGAGTGTGTACATTATAGGCATATCAGAATCAGAACTAAAACCAAAAACTAGAGTGGAACACTCGTTTACAGGTGTTACTTGGCTGGTTTTCTCGATGACGTAGCAAGGCCGGAAAAGCTAAGGGTATTTTCTTTTTAAGTTTGACATTGAAAGAGGTTAGTGGATGAATGAATGGATGAGTCAATCGATCGGATTCTTTGGTACCTGGTCGCTAAGATCCGCTTGTTGTGGTCACTGGTAACCAGGCAACGTTTGGCAATTAGGCAGCTGCTTCCCTTTCCTTTATAAAAAATTTAGTAGCAATGTAAATAGTAGCTTGGAGGTATTATTTTAAAATATTTTAAAATATTTTACTTGTATACGGTGTAATTATAATTAATTTTGGATATTATATGTATATAAGAGTTAATTATAATTAATTGGAGATTTTATAATTTCAATTTAATACAAATTAATTTAACATTTTATATTTTCTGGTTAATTATAATTAATTTGAAATTTTATATTTTCGGTTTAATTATAATTAATTAAAGATTTTTAATTCAAGATTGATCCAAAGTATATTTCAAAGATACTTTTTTATTAAAAAGTTCTTTAATTTTCCTAAATTAAATACTACCTAAATAAGGCTCTTAATTTATTTAATTTTTTTTTAAAACAACAAAATTCCTTTCGTTATTTAATTAGTGTATTTATTTCGCCTTAATATAATTTATTACCGTACAAGATAGCCACTCGATTGGGGCTTATACATTATCAGTTATCTCCTTAAAATTTATGATGCCACAATATTTATATATATATTTATGGGCGCCACTTATCTTTCACCCATAAACATGGGTTAATATGGAAATCCTCTTTTGGGTTAGATTAAATCCCTTGACTATTCTCCATCAAGTTTTCTTGGAACCCTTTTTAACGGCCAGTAGCTCCAGGCGCGTGATGGCATCATCCAGAAATCGGCGCTGCTCCTGCAATTGTGGCAGTAGCTCCTCGGCACTTAGTGGATGCGAGGATTTTCCCTTTTCCAAAGCCGATTTACCCGCTGACTTGTCCGACTCTGCCCAGCGGCTGCGGAAATTGGCCACGCCAACCGAGGGTCTCAGCATGTCCATGACACGTTTGATGATGGAGGGACTGGAGCCCTGGTGCTGCTGCTGATCCAGGTGGTGATCCTGCTGATCACTGGCCACGCTGCCTTGGGGAAACTCCGGCATGGTTAGCAGAGGCCCCCAGAGAAATGAGCCCAAACCAGGAACAGCCGCTGGAGGAGTAATCTCCGAGGTGGAGTGCTGCTTCAATTGCTTGCCCTGCGTGGCAAAGCGACCATCCAGCCGCTCCAGTTGACGCTTCAAATCATCCAGCTTGTGCTGCAGATGCTCAAAGTCAGCGGTGAGATTGATGGCCAATCGCTGGGTGGTGCCCTCACCCTTGCCAACACCCTCCAGGCTTTCGATTTGCCCTGAAAGCTGGTGATCCCTCAGCTGCAGGTCATCCAGCAAAAGCTGGGTTTCCGGTCTGGCTGGCTGTTCCAGGAAGAGACGTGAGATCTCCGCCTGCAGCAGCTGTTTGTGGGTGCGCAGCGAACTGAGCTCAAGTTCCTGGAGGCTGCTAAGTTGGGAGCGAACCGAACCCACCACCAGGAGAAGCAAACCCAAAAAGACTTCTGTACCCGAACGTGACATTTTCTTGACTATTTACGCCTGTCTTTCTACCTGAGCAGCAAGCCTCGCCAGACTTTCCCTTGAGCCCTTGAGAGTGAAAAACTGAAAAACTGGAAAATTTTTATGTGCCCCCTACACACACGCACACACACACACACACACCCCTCCCTCTATCTCCCAACTCGTTCTTATCTGTGGCCAAGATATACCTGAAACCATACATTAACCGCATCTCTTTATCACCTTTTCTCTTTGGTTTTTTATTTTCATGATGGCCGATGATTCAGTTGGTGCCGTGGGTTCCTACCAGTCCAAGTGCAGCAATCAGAGTCCCAGCACTACCATGTCATCCCAGCCATCCTCCTCGGAAGCCGTGGAATACACGGATCCCGTGGCCGTTGAATGCAATGTCTCCGATCTCAAGGAGAACGAGATGCGGCAGGTGGACTTTGATGAGGATACCCGTGTCCTACTGGTCAAGCAAAATGGTAACCTCAAGGCTGTGGGTGCCAAGTGCAGCCACTATGGAGCTCCCTTGAACACGGGCGCTTTGGGTTTGGGACGTGTCCGGTGCCCCTGGCATGGAGCCTGCTTTAATCTCGACACTGGTGACATTGAGGATTTCCCAGGACTCGACTCCATACCCTGCTATCGCGTGGAAGTCGGCAATGAGGGTCAAGTGCTGCTGCGGGCCAAACGCTCGGATTTGGCCCAGAACAAGCGTCTCAAGAACATGGTTCGTCGCAAGCCCGAGGATGAGCGTGTCTTTATTGTGGTCGGCGGCGGTCCCTCCGGTGCAGTGGCTGCGGAAACCATCCGGCAGGAGGGCTTCACCGGTCGCCTAATCCTTGTGTGCCGCGAGGAGTATCTGCCCTACGATCGTGTCAAGATCTCCAAGTCCATGCAGCTGGAGATCGAGCAGTTGCGCTTCCGCGACGAGGACTTTTACAAGGAGCACGACATCGAGGTGTGGCAGGGCGTGGCTGCCGACAAACTGGACACCGCCCAGAAGGAGCTGCACTGCAGCAATGGTTATGTGGTGAAATATGACAAGATTTACATAGCCACCGGCTGTTCCGCCTTTCGTCCGCCCATTCCCGGCGTCAATTTGACCAATGTGCGCACCGTCCGGGAGCTGGCCGACACTAAGGCCATTGTGGGTCTCATCACACCCGAGGCTCGTGTGGTCTGCCTGGGTTCCAGCTTTATTGCCTTGGAAGCAGCCGCCGGTCTGGTCTCCAAGGTGGCCAGTGTCACTGTTGTGGGACGCGAGAATGTGCCGCTGAAGGCTGCCTTCGGGGCGGAGATTGGCCAGCGGGTGCTGCAGCTCTTCGAGGACAACAAGGTGGAGATGCGCATGGAGAGCGGCATCACCGAGATCGTTGGCGATGCCGAGGGCAAGGTATCCGAGGTGGTCTTGGTGGATGGTACACGGTTGCCCTGTGACCTGCTCATTCTGGGCACCGGTTCCAAGCTCAACACCCAGTTCCTGGCCAAATCGGGCGTTAAGATCAATCGCAACGGCTCCGTGGATGTCACCGATTTCCTGGAGTCCAATGTACCCGATGTCTATGTGGGCGGCGACATAGCCAATGCCCACATCCATGGTTTGGCCCACGATCGCGTGAATATCGGTCACTACCAGCTGGCCCAGTACCATGGACGGGTGGCGGCCATTAATATGTGCGGCGGCGTGAAGAAACTGGAGGCCGTGCCCTTCTTTTTCACTTTGATCTTTGGCAAGGGCATCCGGTATGCCGGCCATGGCTCCTACAAGGAGGTCATCATCGACGGCAGCCTAGAGGACTTTAAGTTTGTGGCATATTTTGTGAACGAGGCGGACACGGTGACGGCGGTGGCCTCGTGCGGTCGTGATCCCGTTGTGGCCCAGTTTGCGGAGCTCACCTCGCAGGGCAAGTGCCTGGGACGTGGCCAAATTGCGGATCCTGCCACGCGTCAGGACTGGACGAAGAAGCTCAGCGAGCCGGTGGCCCAATATCGTTAACCGAATATCGTTAATCGATGTGTATTTACCCCTGAGATTTGTTATTATATTTCCATGCAATCGTTGAGTATTCATTATATATGTACATAATGTGTACATTATCCGTGTGTATGTAATATTGTAATTGTGATTGTAAACAAAACATTGTAATTGTAATTCGGGGGAGCTCCATTGAGGTCCCGCCGCGCTTGCCACTTTTGGCCCAGAAGATGTGAGGAAGAACGTGTCGCAGCAGTCGCACCAAGGGTTTTTTTTCTCTTTTTTATTAAGTTTTCATTGAAATTGGTTTATTTTTGCTAAATAAAGTTTTACAGTGTCGTAATTAACCAAATTAATTGGGGTTTCTCTTTACGGCAAACAATTTTGGCTTTAAAACATGTTTTGTCCTGTAATTTATTGAAATATGTAAGATTTTTAAAAACTGTTTATTTATAGATTTTTGGCTAAATATTTCCAACGTCAAAGCTTTTGATTTAAACCGTAAAGTTGCAGTGTGACCAGCACGATTTTATTTTCTGCTCTAAACAGTGTTGAAAAATACCATTACTATCGATATTCTTACTATTGACAAGGTCTTCGATGTTTAGACAAGCTCTAGTTAGTGATGGAAGTTCAAATGACATGCACGATGTCGATGTCCAGTGTAAAAAATATCGATGTTCGTGCATCGTTGAATTTTGTAACAAGCTGATAAGCGATACATCGCCTAACATCGATATCAACAAAAACATCGCTACAAAAGTATCGATGTTCGATTGATGTTTTCAGCACCACTAAGCTCTTGCCGTATATAATAAAATTCCAATCCGCAATCCGTATATACACACTACGTCCGGTCCGCTTCGCTCCGACCGTGCCGACTGCTACTAGTGTTTTATTTTGTACAGCCCCCTAAGTTTAGTGGACGATATCAACTTCACACACACTCCAGGCACATTTATCGGCCCCCTACCTACGAAATTCTGAAGTGCATTTCTACGGCTATACTGTTTTCCCCCATTTCCTTTCGAGGCGGCATAACGGATAGAGGTGAAAAGAGAAAAGTTGAAAAATATAAATTAAAACTGAATTGAAGCGAGGAAAATACAAAACAACAGCAATACGACCGACACTTACTACAATAAAACAACAGCGGTTTGTTATTTTTTTTCCAGTGTGCTCTTGTGAGTGTGTGAACCGTACGGTGTTCTTTTTTTCGCGGCGCGGTGCGGCTCTGTTGTTGTTGTTGCTGCCTCAAATCGCACACCGACACCGAAAAACACACACACACACATATAATACAATTGCAGTGTCGTATCGAAGGGAATAAAAAGAAAAATATAAATAAATTAATGTGTGACAACAAACGCCAAGCTAACGCTCGAGTCTGAAATAAAAACGGAACGGAAAGCCAGCAGCAGCAGCAGCAGGAGAGAAAAAGCAGGACAAGAGCAGCGGGTCAGCATGGACCTAATCAATAAGTTCAACGATGCATTTTGGAGTACGCACATTTGGCTGCCGCCGAACACGACATGGGCGGACATAGCGCCGGGCTCGCGTCCGGATGTGGTGCACGCCAACTACAAGGACCTCATCTGGCCCATACCCTTCGCCGCCGTGGTCATGCTGGTCCGCTACACGCTGGAGCGGTAAGTGTGAGCTCTTTGCTCCCCAAGTTTCTCTCTCTTTCCCGCTTTTTTGAACCCATTCAAATTGGGCTTCCGCTCTCGCTCTCTCCTCTTCCCGTTTCGCGCACGCACACACCCACGCAGTGCTGCACCATGTACAGTTATACCGTAATACGGGAAAGAATCAACTTTATTCATATATTCTGTTTTTTTTTTTTTTCGCCGCCGCCGACAAACATAACCTCCTCACGTGGAAACGCCCAACAATTTACGAGTGTATGTGAGGGCTTGTGTGTGCGTGTGTCTGTGTGCGGCGAGCCACAAACGTTTGTGCGTTATTTTTGTTGTTGCCACTGCAACTCTAAGTTTTCCCTTCCAATAAAAACAACAACAAGAACAACGACAAACATACCGGCAGCCGGCTGCAGTCTCCATTTCGCCGCCAAGCTTAGAGAGTGAGCGAGGGAGAGAGCGATAAATAGAAAAATTCCCACAAAAAAACCCCTGAGATAGTCTGAACCCATCCCACCCCTGTACTACTCCCATTCTATTCTTACTAATTGTTTAGTTAAAAGTAAAGATATATATTTGTTTATAGTTTCAACACCAGCTCCATGCCGCGTGTTTGCGTATGTATACATATATATGTATCTATGCACGAGATCGTAAATGGGAACGAACTTACAGTGGTGCAAAAGTTATATTTGCCTAAACTATTCGATAAAAAATTCAAATTGTCGATATTTTTTGGACTTTCTTGAGAAAGCAGAGGGTTTCCATAAATATAACACTGACCAGATTATAAACTTCGCCTTAAATTTGGAACTTGATTCTATTTATGGTCTGACTTGTCAGTTTCAAGCGATAAGCAAAAGTATCGATTGATTCGCAGAAGGGCGTCTGGTAAACTTACCTTTAGGAAAACCAAATCAAACTCTTAAATAACGAATATGGTTTATTTAAGCTTCAGATTTCAAACCCCCTTAGGGTCCGCTTCTCCCAGATAAGATTAATACCTGTTTTTCGAAGGTAAAAGATTAGCAAGTCTTTGGTTTGTGGGGTTGGGGTTCAAGTGCTATGAACTTGTAAAATATATATTCCATTTCCCTGACATTCGAACCACTGTGTGGGCCAAAAGAGCAATATTTTGGCCGCTTTTCAGGCCAATTAACCAGCAACCGTTGGTGGATTGCGTGCAGTTGCATTTGAATTTGCATGTAATTTATACATTTTTTTGTTTACTACCCCTTATTATGTGCCCTTAATTTGGTACAAAAAAAAAAAAAAGTAATAATATACAAAAAAAATTCATGAGAACTAGACTGTGCGGTAAATGTGAGTCTTGTGACGTCACAAGTCGCATACTTGACCGGATACAGAGCTACTTCCCTAAGTGCTATTTACAAAAAATAATTTCATTTGATTAAAGAAATATTTAAAAAAAAATATATATTAAAGTTGAGCTTAAAAATAAGTTCCTAAAATTAAAAAAAAAAAAAAATTACTCCTTAAATGAAGCAATCATTTTTTACTTGTACTTCTTATTATAAGGAAAGTGACTTGGGAATTATAAAGATTACCTTGAACTTCAGTTTTTCAAGCCTGATTATGAATTATAATTATTTTAAATTATTATCAAACTTATCGTTCGATTATTTGAATATCTACTGTAAGCTCCAATCGCTTGTGCTTCATTTTCTGCCTTTTCTGTGGGTTTTTGATATTCGCTGTTTGCATTTGAAAATGAGACAAAACCAAATCTGTTTCATGGCAGACCACTTTAGTTGTTTTTTTTGCTTCTCTTTTTGTGTTTTTATATTATTTTTTTGTTTCTTCTGCGGCTTCTTAAACGAGAATTGGTCGTCAAGGTCGATTTGGAATTTTTGGACTGCCTCTGCCTTTTGCCTTTTTGCCTGCCTCTATTAACATTCATTTAATGGCAAAAGTCGTAGCCGAATCGTCGCGCTTCGGTTCGGTTCGATAGGATTGGGTTTGATGCGAGTCTATTGCCCCTCACCACACCTGTGGCCACCGCCTTGGGGCACCACTAGCACCATTTACCATCTACCAATACCACTGGGCTTGGACTCCGATAAGATTTGCGCCAAGATTTACGTATAAAACCTGATAACAGGGCTCGCTGCTGCTGCCTCGATTGTTTTACGCCGAACTCGCGAATGACTGTTTTGTGTCCATTTGGGGATTTGAGGAGGGTGTGTGTATGTTTTGAGTACAATCAGCAGTGACGGGGTGCTCTAAATTTAAACGGGGGCAGACAAGTTGTCAATTAATTAATCAAAGTATTTCTATAAATGAAACTCTTTAGATCAAAGGCTAAGATATATTTTGCATAAAACTAGGCTAAAAGGAGCAATTTTTTCTTTTAGATTTTATTCGACCTACGCCTATGGTTTATAAAATAAAATGCAGTGGGGGTTTATAGCTCTGTATCAGTTCAGTATCTCTTGAAGAGTTCTTCCGTTTAATGATTCGTCAACCGTTTTTCCTTACTGCTCTGCTAAGGCCAAAAGCACTTGGCCTGTGGGTGAGTCACAGCCTTTAGAAGTTTTTCCAAATATGTGCGCACTTTATGGCCCGATTGGCGCTTCCCTTATGGCCACAATGCGGATACACAACACACACACACTTTGGAATGTCTGCAAAATGGGGTTTATGTTTATGTTGCGGAGGCAAGCCAAGCAGAAGAATTGCTAAAGACCAAAAAACTGAGAGCACAATTGGGTCTAAACGGTTAGTGGACTTTTGTTGAGTACACCTTTAAGCTAAAAAGTTCCCTATAAGGTGGTGGTGCTTTGTTTTCATCAACTTGACGTTTTGTTAACCCATTGAACTGGAATATTTTATCATTTTTGCTCAAAACGAGATAAGATAAAGTGTATCTATTACGATTAATGTGTTTTCAAAACGGAAATGGTTATGGAAAATTTGATTAAATAATAAACTTGAGCTGTTTTATCAGTAAAGATATTTTTTTAGAGTTTAAAATAGATTATAATATTAAATTAAAGAAAGTATTTAGTATTTAAAGGGAAGTAGGAAACGAATTAATGGGTTTTTAGCCTAATCTTTGTGTATAAGATAATGTTAGCTAGTATTAAAATCTATACAAGTGGTTCTGGAAAATTTATTAAAGCCTTTACAACTTTTGTTATGTTCTAATCGAATCTTACAACAATCTTAGATTACAAATTTTATTATTTTACTTAGAACATGGAACTCAGATAGCAGATTATAGATTGCAGATTGCAGATTACGAATAGCTTAAAGTGGCTATTCCCTCTGCTAGCCTGGTGGCCACCACTGTGCTCCAGCGGGCAAGTGCCATTCGTTCTCGTTTCGCACTCTCGCACACACACTCTCTCCCTGTGTGTGTGTGTGGCTATGCTGGGGCTTTGTGATACGTAATCACTAAGAGGCGACCCTCAAGCTCGGCGCTCTAGTGCGATAAAATTTCAGGTTAATTATTTTAATGGCTCACATGCACAACAATCGCACTCACACCACCGGCCAGCAATATATATATACACGTACGTGTGCCCCACAGAGTGGGAAACTATTACTTTGTATGTACAGACTAATCTCTGTCGCCGCCTCCTCCCCCTCCTGGTTGTATTTTTCGCCTGCAGATTGGCAATAGAAGAGAACCGTAGAAGAAGTACCTCTTCGTAGAACCCGTTTCCAAGAGTTTTCCCCTGCTTCTCTGGTTTAAACGCGGTCATTTCAAATGCTTATCGTGCCCCACGATTATTGCCCAATGGAAGTGAAAAGCAGAAAAGTGTTAAAAGCAGAGTGAAAAAACGCACGTGCTTCGTGGAGAGTAAGAGGAGGAGGAGGGAGTAGTAGTATGTAGTGGCACCTGGTCAGGTGGGGCTGAAAAGAGGAAGCCGGAATCGATTCCAGTGCAATTCGTTGAATGTCCAATTAGCACCTCATTCTTCTTCATTTCATAAACGCAATCGATACTAGTTTCGAGTTGTCCGGGCCAAAAGCATGGGAAGAAAGCTTAAAATAAGAAAGGAAGCAAACTTCAGAAAGCCGAAGTTTGTTGATCCTTGAAATCAATTATAACTCAGCTAAAAATTAATTAGTTTCAGTTTGGAAAATGGGTTTGTGCTAGTTTTTATTAGTTTAACAAATCTAAATACCTATTTTAAAATTTTAAAAACTTGAAAAATTTATAAAAAAAATGTGTACACTTTTTTTGAGACATTTCTAAATCTAAAACAATCATAACTCGTTAAAAAAAGCATTAATTTTAATTCGGAAAGCGTTGTTATGTTAGGTTTTATTAGCTTAATAAATCTGCAAACTTAATTTGGATTCCAAAAAATAAATTTTTTTTTTCAATTTTAATGATGTAACCCCTTATAAAATATTTAAAAATTTTATAAATTTTTTTTTTTTTCCTAAGATGCCTAGATTAAATCGGCTGTTAATTCTGATCAAGAATATATATGATTTATAGGGTCGGAAATGACTCCTTCACTGATTTTTCAGATTCTGAGTGAAATTATAATACCATTCAAGGGTTTAATGAATATAGCAATTGAAATTATTACAAAATATTATTTCTATATTTTTTTTTATAGAAACTAATTCCATTTTTCAAGGCAAATTATGCCAAACAAAATACGTTTTAATTTTTATTAGTTCCCAGAAATTATAAGCATTTTATTAGCTTAATTATATTGCAATTAATGCTTGTTCAGACTAATATTTAAACACTAGTCGCTGTGGGAAATCTTTGAACAAGTACAGTGTTTATTATCTCTTAGTTTTTATTATTTTATGACCATTTATTTTACATTTTTGTATATTTTACCATCTTGTAATTCCCTAAGCTTCGCCAAATCTGCACTTGAAATTTCCCCTCTCTTGGGATATCTGGTAAATACCCATTCTGGGAAATGCCAGCGATAAGTCCCTATAGTTTTTTCAGCTTAAACATTCAATTTGAAACATTTACTAGCTGCAGATTGCAGGAGTGGCCATAAAATTGAATTGAAATAGAGAACGCTGATAAAGATTATAAAGCACTTCTTCGTTCGGCCGAACAATTAGTCGCTGACTAATGGCGCTTATGCTAAATTCCATCTGGCCATCGGACGTGAGTCAGACCCAGACATCGGACCAAGTCGGACCATATGCAGTCAGTCCTATGTATTATTATTATTATATATAGCTGGGGGATTGGTATGGTAAAGCACTTATAGCCGGTGCTAATCTCACAATCGCCGGCTTGCTGCTTGCGTGTCGTATTATCGTTGACAAGCGCTGAAAATAATTCCCCAATAAACATTATGTATATATGTATATATGTATATATATTCAACAGACATTTAGTTCTTACTTTTTCGTTGATAAGAGCAGCCAAAAAAATATATATATATATATTGTTGAATTGCCAGGGCCAGTCATTGCACTTTAGACGCGTCATTTGCAATTTTGCTCAAGTGAAATTGAATAAATTAAATAAGAAAATGTTGGGGAATAATGTCAGGGCAGGGCAGGGCATGGCAGTGGCCCTTATCGCAAAACGCGAAACCTAACCACGAAATTGCTGTCCAACAACACCCTCATTATCCGCACGCCAGGCCCAGATATGTCCATACAGCAGCGTCAATTTTTGTGATCATGATCTTTTTACGAACACACAGTTCAAGTTTTCAAATTGCTGCTGCCTGAACTTGAACCTAGAGGAGCAAGTGCCTTGGGTAATTTTAAGGGGGGAATTGGTTTATTATATGAAAATTCTGATTTATAAATTGGTTTTAGTAATATCTTGGCAAATTATAGCCAGTAACTTGGCAAATCAGTAGGTTTATTTAGGATATTATATAGAAAATTGGAAGGTAATTTAGGAAACTAATGGGAGAAGATGTCATTCAAAGCGTTTTACTTGACTTGAGTCAAAGTTCTCTCTTTAAAAAACTAGATAAAATAGCGGTTTTGGTTGAGTTTCCTTAAAAAAAAAGATACAAATTCGTGGCTATAGTTTAGTTCCTCTTAAAAACTGACTTCCGTTTAGTTTCTTAAGAAAAAACGTATAAATCCGTGGCTTTGGTAAAGTTCTTTCTAATAATATATCCAAATTAGAAACATTATTTTAATTCCTTTTTAAAAAATGTGCATTATCATGAAGATCCCTTTACAAAAACATCTAAATCAATGGCTTTAGTTTAATTTTTATTTTCCGTAAACAATACCAAATAATAAGCTTAATCTTAATCCCTAAACTGCGGCAGCAGCCAACGCTCCTTGATCTCCGCCGTCCCCGACGCCGAGGATTCCTTCACAGCGTCCAGGACCAGTAACAGTTCGTGATCATTGTCCGGCTGTAGGTGTTCACGCAGGTAGTCCAGGAACTGGCCATCATCTGAGCCCAGGCAGGCGGGCTGGCGCAGCTTAGAGTCCAAATTATAGTAGCTGCCATTGATGCGGCGCACGGCCAGCCAGTGGCGCATCTGGAAGGGCAGCGGCACCAACTGGCCAATGGTCATCTGCGAGGGCACATTGAGTATAAAGCCAAATATGGCTGTGAGGTCCAGGCAACTCGGATCCCGCCGTCGGTCGAACCACACAACCTCGCGATTTCGCTGCTGTACCGCATACATAATCACATTGACATCGTAGTTGCCCCAGCCGATCCAGGAGCGATGCGGATTTAGCCAGGAGCGTGGCGTTAGCGTGGTGCAGTACTCGTCCAGTTCCGCCTTGGAGAACATGCCGGGGCGCTGGAACAGATTGTTGAGAGCGTGCAGGCCGCACAGGTGTCGCGTCTGGCGCTCGTGGTAGATGGTCATGGTGTCGCTGTCTCTGTTGTTGTTGGTTGTGCTGTTCCCGCTCCTGCCCGAATCCCCCAGAGACTTGGCCAGTGTCTGGGCACTGGGAGATTCCATTTTGGAGCGTTGTGAGAGTTATGAAAGTTGGAAATTTATTTGTAGTTTTGTTAGCTCCAAAGTTGTGTTTATGTTTTGTATTAGAGCTGGCCTACATTTCGATGTTTTCGAAAGGTGAAAGTATTCAATACTATCGATAGTATCGGGATTTGAAAGCTTGTTTTTTAAAGGTATTTTAATCTTTAAGAATATGTTTAAAGCCAATTTGGTTGGGGAACACTTGAAAAGTACAAGAGCTAGCTGTTTAGGCTTTTTTGTTATTTTGTTTTAAGAATTTTATTGTTTATAAATTAGGAAATTAATTATTTTTCTTACCCCAAATGGAAATGTGTTGTCTTGTGCTTTCTTATTTTTCTTATATTTTTTTCGCAAGGTTGCAAGTCATTGGGGGTGTGACTATCGCTTGTAGAGAAAGCATCATCGATAGCGGAAGCGAGTAGTGCTGAAAAAGCGATGTATCGATAGCAGAAAGGCGATAGTTTGCCAGGCCTGAGACTTGCGCGGTTTTAAATATATTTAAATTTAGCTTAAGCTTAACCTTTGATCTGTTTTTAAGCAGATGTCTTGCCTTTATATCTTTATATGCTTAATATTTACTTTTACGACCCAACCTTGTTATGAATATTTAGTTAAGGGGCCTGATATAAATTATGAATAACCTTTTCACCGCTGATAATAGACCTTGCCCTGTGCGTCACTCCATTGCCAATGACGCACTGCCATTCCCGATTTAACTTGGAATTAGTTACCAATTTATTTTTACAACACGCCCTGCACGCACCCAATTAACAATTACCCAAAAGAGTCGTCGGGGGCTATTGATAATTTATACGATTTTAGGGAAATCAATATTTCATACCAGATGCGGGTTGGCTGTTGGCTTCAATCAAATCCTTTATGCTCTCTAATTGAATTATGCTGCAGCTACTGCTCTCGAATGCTACTTGAACTTGAACCCAACTTTGGGGTAGAGAAGAGACTCTTCTTCCTAATAAATTGTAATGATTTATGGTGGCCTTGCTGGCATACAAAATGAGGAATAAAAAGAATCCAAATGATATTAAAATTAACTAAAATTATAAAAACCCTATTAATTAAGATGCCAAGCGCGCTGCTTTCGTTTTCATTGGCAAATTAACTTCCGAAGTGCGCGACGGTGTCCACTTTTGGGCCTCCCGCTAATTACATATGCATGTGGCTGTGCTCGAACCCAGAAACCCATCCCGAGACCAAGCTCTAGAGCCTCGAGCTTCTCCCCAAAACCCAGTCGAGTTGCCATGCTCCACACGTGCCAGACAACGACAACTACGGACGTGGGGATGGTGACAGGTGTGTGTGTCCCCTTGTTTCGCCCAGAATTTTAATGCAAAAAAAAAAAAATATATAATATAATTTAAATAAGAAGATAATAAATATACAACAAAAAAATAAACAAAAACGTTTCCGCGATGGGTGTACGCGCCGCCACGCACATTATAAACAAATTAGAGAAGGAGGCTTGTTGTCAAGCCCAAGGGAAGAACTTTTATAGCAAACGCAGGCACAGAACATTTAGAATATTGTAAAGTTGCCAAGTCCATAAACCTTGAAATGAAATCTAGACTTGATTAAGGTAAGGGTTTGGTAATTTATGCCTCATTATTAGCTCCACTTTTACCCCTAGACTAAAACCAAGTCTGGCACTTGATCTATATAAAATTGCGAACATTTCATCAGTTAGCTGAGTTTATCATGCACTCAGGGTACTTTATCTGAATGTTATAAAACTTTAGAGCTCGTTCAGAGGCACGAAATCCCAGATATCTGCTTATTATACTAACCAAAAATAGCCCTCATTAAATATTTATATTTATATGGATTTATGTTTGCATGTTTTTGCAGTTTTTGGATATCACCCATTGGCAAATCGCTGGGCATACGCAGCTCTAGACCTAAGAAAGCGGCAAATGTTCCTATATTGGAGACGGCCTATGCCAAGTCGACGCGATTGGATAACAAATGGGTGAGTTATTGGGAAGGTTTTTTATTTTTTTTAATATTTATTTCAGTTATTGAAAAGCTTTTTAATTTTTAATATTTATTTTATTCAATTGGAAGAACTTAGAAAATAATTTTATTTATTAGTACTCTTTTTATTAATATTTTATTTATTCATATTTAATTTATTAATAATTATTTTATTAATAATTATTTTTATTAATATTTATTTTATTAATATTTATTTTATAAATATTTATTTTATAAATATTTATTTTATTAATATTTGATTTAATAATATTTATTTTATTAATATTTCTTTTATTAACATTTTATTAATTCATATTTATTTTGTATATAATTTTTTATTTATTAATATTCATTTTATTTATATTTATTTTATAACTATTTTTTATTAATTATTAATTAATATTTTAATTATCATTTACCAATATTTTTTTTAATATATATTATAATTATTTATTTAATTAATATTTATTTTGTAAATTATTTTTTGTAAATATTTAATTTATTTATATTTATTTTATTAATATTAATTATTAATATTCTCCATTTTATCCCATTTTGCAGCTGGCTCCCCTGTCCAAGCAGACGGACATGACCGAGCGACAGATCGAGCGATGGTGGCGCCTACGAAGGGCCCAGGATAAGCCATCGACGCTGGTTAAATTCTGTGAGGATACATGGCGCTGCATCTACTACCTGTACAGCTTCATTTTTGGTGTGATTGTGCTGTGGGACAAGCCCTGGTTCTGGGATGTGAAGAGCTGCTGGTACGGCTATCCGCATCAGGTGAGAAGGAAGAATATCTCTAGAGACAAAATATATACTAATAATGATTCTAATTATATTTTTCCAGTCCATTACCAATGATATCTGGTGGTACTATATGATTTCAATGTCCTTCTACTGGTCCCTCACCGGCACCCAGTTCTTTGATGTGAAGCGCAAAGACTTTTGGCAAATGTTCATCCATCACATGGTCACCCTCCTGCTAATGTCGCTGAGCTGGGTGTGCAATCTGCATCGCGTCGGTTCGCTGGTGCTGGTTGTACACGACTGCGCCGACATTTTCTTGGAGGCGGCCAAGTTAACCAAGTATGCCAACTATCAGAAGCTCTGTGATGCCATATTTGCTATCTTTACTGTGGTGTGGATTGTCTCACGATTGGGCTTTTATCCTCGCATCATCTACAGGTGGGTTTTACTTTGAGTGCTCCTTGGTTTGCCTCCCCAAAACTCACACACGCCCTTTTCCCGTTTTCCCTCTTTTCCCCCTTTAGTTCATCCGTGGAGGCACCGCGCATTCTACCCATGTTCCCAGCCTATTACATCTTCAACTCACTGCTTTTGATGCTGCTCGTCCTGCACGTCATCTGGACATATATGATTCTCAAGATTGTGGTCGACTCTTTGCAGAAGGGTCTGGTAAGTGTTGTCCTCTTAACCGTCTCAAAATCTATAATATCCGAGGCTTTATTTTGTGATTCATCAACTAATAAAAAACCTTTTTTAATTCCTTGATTTTGCAGATGTCCGGTGACATACGTTCCAGTGATAGTGAGGATCTCACAGACAGTTCGGAGAATGCGCGTCTGGCCAATGGGTCGGCGCGTTCCAAGAACAAGTCGAACAGCGGGGCGCCAGGAGGAGGAGCTGCTGCTGTAACCCAACGCAAGTCGGCCAATAATGCCAATAATCACACAAATGCTGCTGCGACAACGTCCAAGTAGATCACAGGAAGGAGAACAGGGGTCAGGAGAGACAGAAGCAGCAACAACAACAGCAGATGCAGCAGCAGAACACACACACAAACACATGCAAAGACACACCCACCCACATATACCCCCTCCCACACACACACACACACACACACAAACACAAACACATACTACACACTAAAAACCAAACCAGTTCAGAACGTTTTTATGTTAATTATTATTTTTATATATTAAATTTTTTTTTTAAGCTAAACAAGATGAGAAACCAAAACGAAAATTTCAATAAAAGCGAGAAAATTGATGCGTAAACGATTTATGCTTGTTAATTTTACAAAATATATATAATTAAAATATATTATTTAATTATTAAAATATATAAATTGTATAATTATATATATATATATATAATAAATATATATTATAATTATATATGTAAAATGTATATATATTAATTAATATATTATATTTTATAATTATATTATATATTTTATTAATATGCCTCACCGTTTTATTTGTTGTTGTTGTTGTTTGTGTGTTTTGCTTAACCAAAAAAAAGAACAAAAAACCAACCAGAAGAGAAGATGAAAATGAAAACCAAGTTAAAATAACCAATAAACGATTAAAGTTTTAAATTAAAGCTAACTAAAGTTAAGTTAAAAGTTATTTTACCAAATGAAATCAAGGACATAAGGTGGCACAGTGTGGGACTAAACCAAATTTGCTTAGAAAAAAAGAAACAATTGAAATAAGAAAATAAGAGCAAGCTGAGAAAAGAATAGTTGGTCGGTAAAGAACTATTGTAAATATATTAAACTTGTACTTGTTTCCCATATATTATTAATAAATTTATGCAAAACAAAATTACAAGAACCAAAAAAATAACAAAAACAAAACATAATTCTTTCGAAAAATCTAAAAGGAAAGGGATGGCAATAGTTAGCCAGAAGAAAGAGAGGTTTGCATTCTAAACGAAGGGATTTTTCTTTAAAGATGTGAACTGTGTCCTTTACTCCCTCTCTCTTTCTCTTTTCCACTTTATTAATAGTTGATATGATATTTAATTTTGTCAGGCTTTTTGTTTTTACCAGTTTAAAGAGTATTATATGGGTATTATACTTTAAGTCAGAAGTTTGATTAGCAGTGAAGAAGTCATTTCCCACCCTATAAATCATATATATTCTTGATCAGCATCAACAGGCGAGTCTTTTTAGCAATCTCAGAAAAGAACTTTTTTTTTTTAATATTTTCATTTTTTGCAAAATTTTAAAAGGGGTTACATCGCTAAATTTGTTAAAAATTGACAAAAATTTTAATTTAAAAAAATGTTTAATGAAGTATGTAGATTTATTAACTTTAGAAAAACTAACATATAAATGCTTCCATCTATGCTTTTTTATTCGATTTCCCATTTAAAAAAATTAATTTAGTTTTGAAAAAGAAAGTTTATATTGATAATAAGTCATTTCTATCTTGTTTTTAAACTAGAAATACAAACAGATGTGATTTTCTACTCCCTGAGTTGTGAGCCGGATTATAAAAAAATTCTTTAATATTTTGTTTTAATTCAGTGACTTTTTTAGTTTTTAAATGTCACATATTTTACTGTTCTTATTTTTGGTAGTTTTTAAACGTTAAATCTGATTTACATTTACACTTTGCAAAGAGAGACAGAAAATATTTGGAAATATTTAAAATTCTTAAGTAAACTGAAAGCCAGAAATTTGTAAATCGTATTGCAATTTATTTTGTGACGTCTCTGATACCACCAAGCACCAAGCCGTGCTCCGTGGTCACTCGAGGATTGTAAAAAATGGAGATACGAGGCATATTTCGTATGCCTTGTCCTATTACTATTACATTTACAAAACTTCATGCGTCTCGTCCGATTTCGCGTATAAATTACTTGCTAGAATTAGTTGGGACCTAGTACTGGTAGCCATCCGGTTGGTAGGGTCGTGCAAATGGCGCTGGAGCAAACGGCACGGGCGGTGGACGCCAGTTGGTGGGCGGCGGTCGTGGCGGCGGCGCTGGCATACCGGGCGGTGCCCAGGCATTTGTCGGCATCATGCGAGGTGGCGGCGGTATGCCCATGGTCGGTGGCAGTGGCGGCTGGCCACCGGACATCGGTGGCAGCGGCGGCGGCGGTATCGTGGCTGGGAACGGAGCTGGCTGTGGCACAGGCGGCGGCGGTGCTATCATTCCCATATTGTTATTCGATACCGGCACCACTGCCGGTGGCGGGGCCATCATGGGAGGCGGCATCATCTGTCCCGGCATGCCAGGCATCATGTTCTGATTGACGGGAGCGTCGGCGAAGAGCTGATGAGGACGATCAGCGTGCGCCGATGGATTTTGCGCTGCCAGCAATCGCTCCGCCGCCGATCCATGACGCTCGCCCTTGTGGTCCTTCTTGAAGGCATAGGACACGGATACTGGGCGATTGCACAAGTACTGACCATTCATGGCATCCATGGCGGCGTCGCTTGCCTCGAAACTGGCAAAGTTAATGAAGGCGAAGCTCTTGGACTTGCCCGTCTCCGGGTCGCGCATGATCTTGGGCGTCTGCAGGATAACACCGAAGGCGGAGAAGGTATCATACAGCAGTTTCTCGTCCACCTCCACGTCCAGGTTGCCTATGAAAATGTTGGCGCCAACATCGAGGTTCTTTTGGTGAGCTGACGCCTTGTTCACTCTTATGGGCTTGCCGTACAGCTTGATCATGTTCATGATTTTGATGGCATAGTCGGCGTCTTCCTCGCTGAGGAACTCCACAAATCCGTATCCCTGGTGCATCTGTGTCACGCGGTCCTTGGGCATGTGCACATTAACTGGAGGATAAAGGATACTTCCGTTAGGTAATGGAACTAAAGGGCACGCCAGATCCTAGACAAAACTCACCCACGGGTCCCGCCTGCACGAAGAGCTCCCAGAGCAGCGTTTCCGACACCTTGTCGTCCAGACCGCCGGCGTAGATGGTGGCATCTATGAAAGAAACAGGAGAAAGTGGGTTTAAAGAATCAAAGAACCGGGCCCGGCACAAAGCAAACCTTGGTTGCGTTCAGCAATTGGACCTGCCGCCATTTCAAAACTATTTAAACAACAAAAAACCCAATAAATTCGGCTTTTTTGACATGCAAGCTAGAGGTGGCAGAAAGAGTGGCAATAAACAGTGTTGCAAAGCGCTGTTCAGTGTCAGCACCAGACTTTCGATACTGCTATCGATAGTGCAAACCCTAATTGATCGGCTGCTTTTAAATCAGTCTTTAACGAATTATTGAGCACAAAGGTCCGGCTTGGGGAAAGGCCTAAATAAATTACGTTCTCAGTCCCATCAAAAGGGTATTTCTTGGCCTAACAGCAGCACTCTCCAGTTCATCGATCCCACTGCCCATATCGATCTATCGATAGGCCGCAGTGGCAAAGAACTCAACTCTAATTTTTATGTAATGTCACTTTGTTGTGTTGTTACAAGCAGCAAGAAAAAAGTCGTGCTAGAAACCAAAGAACCAAGAACCCAAACCGACCCTACGATCCGTGCGCTGTGATGTGATAGCCAACCGCGAGGAACCATGAATTGTCACCAGATACTGAGCGGCGCCTGCAATGCGGGCGACCGGTGCTTCGCCATTGGCTCCGTGGAAGGCATACCATTTACAGTAAGCTAAAAGCCCAAGCAAAGAGAATCGTTTCGAGGAATCGTTCCAATATTCGCCCCCATCGCATCACCGCCTCATCAGCTCGCCCCACCGCCGCCCCCACATCGCTACACTCCGTCACATCTGTGCGTCCATTAGCCAAGCTCTGGCCATTCCGATTCCGCTTCCAATTGGAAGCTTCCCAGTATCCAAAGGGGCATCCAACCGATATCCAACCAGAAAGGCGATCGCTGGCAAACATGAGCACGTCTTAATGTTTTTATTTACATATTGGCAGGGTGTGTGTGTGTGTGTTTCGGTGTGTTGGTGTGCACTCGTCGCCGTATGGGTTATATGTCTATTTTGCCACACTTGGTGGTCAATTAAATCAAATGCAAATGATGAGATAGAGAACTTTTTGTGTAAATTCGATAACAACAACAAACGTGACTGCGCGTGTGTGCGCATGATGTATGTGTGTGTGTTTCTTTTAGCCTTTTTGTTGCGTTTGTTTTAGCGAAAAACGTTTGTTTTCACCAGCATTTACATACTTAGCCAGCAATTAATTACATTTTACATTTTAAGGTCAAGTGTTGACAGTAAACAAGCTGCACCACACACGCACACAAGCACTCAGAGGCACACCGACATGCGTAAGATAGTTGCGCGCGCGTGTGCCTGTGTGTGTATACCCTTCGATTGGTCAGGTGGCCTTTGATGCCCTAATTTCGCAGCCTGCAGGTTGTCCCCCTCCCACCCACGCTCCCACTCACCCAGTGGCCCACAACTCTCAACTCTCTCCCGCTCTCCCACTCCCTTTTGCTCGCTCTCTCCGTCACACGTCAACGGCAATTGGAATTATAAACGGCCATAAAAAAAAAACAAAAAAATATTGAAATGGTCGTGAGCACGCATTTATAATGTGCCTTTCGATTTTTACGATCCAATTCTATTTCGGGGGGACAGTACGGTCTACGCTCTACGCCCCTGTCTGTATTTACACTGAATGTTTATTCGAAATACTAGAAGACCGAGGTCTGTTTTCCTGTAAACCGAAAAAGCATAATTAACTGTGCACATTTCGCCATTCTAATGCTTTCCCCCCACACGCTCTCTCCTGCTCGCACACTTGGCCACCCACCGACCGCCACCCCCCGCAAACAGCTGGTCCCCAGAGGGCGTATATGTGTACATTCTATTCTGTAATCAGCACCGCTGTTGACACTGGCCCACCACCCCCTCCCCCCCGAGAACCCTTCTGTCCGCTATATCATTTTGCCATCATTTCAATTTGTTTTATTTATATTGTGTATCCTCGTATATATGTACATAAATACAGACAATGCAAATGTTTAGAAAGAACAGGTCGCACTGGCGCCATCTAGCGATTGCTGGGAATGGCTAACATCCGCAAAAAATGAAAAATAATAATAAAAAATTAACGTAAAATGATATTTAAAATGATAAAAATGGGGGGAAAGAACGTCAAAACAATAAGTTAAAAATAAACCCCTCACAGGGAAAAATATGGAGAGCAGTTAATACCCTTTTTCACGTTAGCAAGCCAAGCCGCCAAATGACTAATCCCAGTAATACCCTTGTATTTGTGGGGTTTTTGGATTTTTTGCTTTAATCTGAGCTACCTGGCAATAATTATATTTTATATATAATATAAAATATTAAATATTATATATAAAAATCACAAAGAGAATCTTAATCCCTGAAATAAACTCTCTAATTACTCCCAAAATTGGTAATGAGTCAACAATCTCCCCTGGAATTTTATATATTTAAATAATACTTGGCCAAAAAATAATTATTAATAATTACTTAAAAAGAATTATTATATATAACTTCATTTAATATTGTTCTCAAGTTCAAAAAACCTTTATTTCTTCGTCTTGTTTTGTCTTTTGGCCTATTCACCCTTAGAGCCAAGTTAGGGTATTCAAATTTCTCCCCACGATAATGAGCATATCAGCGACAGCTCAACAAATAAATCAAACACACCTTAGCTAACCAAGTAACCAAACATGATGTGGCAAGAGCCTTGTCAGCCGCCAGCCCGGCAGCCTGATAAGCTGGTCAACGGCTGGGAATGGCTAGGAGGAGAGGGATCGTTATCGATATATAACCGTGCCAGTACCATTACCATTACCAGTTAACGGTAACCATATACTCCACTCGAGAACAAACAAACTTGGCTATATACAAACGTATAATTTGGTGAGGAGAAGATTAACTCGCCGGAGAGAGAGAGAGAACCCTAACGAAACCCCTACTTATCGTGTTTGTTTTTTTTCCCACTTTTTTGTTTTTTTTTTTTAGGCCTACGCCGCCGGCTGCAATGTGGTCATCCTGGCAAGCACATTTGAACGCGTCCAGATCATACCGGGCGCCAACCATGGCTACGTCAAGATATCCGCCTTGGACTGCAGCACCGATACGGGCAAGATAGCTGCTGCCTACGAGAATAAGATATGCATTTTCGAGCCCACGCCGGTGATAGAGTCCAGCAAGCACAACACCCACTTCCTGGATTACAGGTGAGTTTCAAGTACTACATATATAAATGTATTATAATCCCTTGATTATATAATTTATGATTCTAGATGGGTGCAAACTGGCTCCTTTACGAGCCACTCGAGCGTGGTGACCCTGTCCTGGAATCTGGAAGGCACCCGCCTGCTTACGGGCGGCACAAACATCCAGCTGTGGAAGAGCAAATCGCCCACACACCAGCAGGAGGAGGAGCATACGGGTGAGTGGGTCATCTTGAGGTTTTCCCTTTTGTGCTGCCAAGTATTGATTGGTGGGGAGAGATGCAACACAGATGGGAGGAGGTGTATCCAATCCCCCTTCTAATCCTTATTCCTTTCCCTCCACAGGCGTCAAGTTCGAGATTGGCGAGAGCAAGGAGCCCAAGCAGTCGTCCAACAACGCCCAGACGGATGATGTGTCCACGTGGGAGAATATCTGGAGCTGCCAGACGGCCATACCCATTTACCACATGGCATTTAGTCCCGATGGCACGCTCTTTGCCACCTGCGGACGCAACGATCGCCTGGTGAAGATCTGGTATGAGAACAAACAGGTTCTCTTCCCCGCCAAAGGGTCCAGTGCAGCAGGGGCTTCTTCGGCCTCGGCTCGCCACACTGGTGGCTCCGACGATGTCACTGGCACCGGGTCTGGCGGAGAGCTGAACTTCACCTACGTGTATATAGCCCATCCGCGGGCCGTGTCCAACATTGTGTGGCGAAAGACGAGCAAGTATATGCCCAAGGGATCGGTGGCCAATATGCTGGTCACCTCCTGCCTGGACAACATCTGCCGCATCTGGATAGAGACAGTGCTGCCGGACGACGGGATGGTGAACATGACCCAGTTTGATCCGATGGCCTCCCAGAATCCCAAGTTCCGGACCCATCGGCACAAGCATCGATTTATGCAGCGGCTGAAGCACATGAAGACCTGCTTCCACATCCGTCGGCACATGAAGGCCGGAGCCAATGCCAGCAGTGGAGGAGGAGGAGCTGTTGGTGGTGCCACTAGTGGCGGTGGCAGTGGTCCTGCTGGTGCCATGGGTGCCATGGGCAGCTCACCGGCCAGCTATAGCAATTATTTGGGACCCATACCATCGCTACCATCCTCGTGCAGTGTTCACGACTTTCACTCGTATGGCTTCCAGGGATCGGGCGTTACGCCCGGCATGCATTTCCATTTGGCGGCGTCAATTAATGCGGAAACGGACATACCGCTGGTGCCATCGATGCAGACGAGCGACCCGGCCAACCAGAATGTCTTCATTTTGCACTGGCTGAACAACAAGGAGATGCATTTCACCCTGCAGGCGGAGGCCATCCTGCAGGAGCTCACCAAGAAGGTGATTGACGAGGAGAATGGCCATGGTAATGCCTCCAGTGGCGGCGGTGGTGGTGGTGTGGATCTGCCCGATGATGCCCATGGCTCCCACTCGCAGGCTCAGGCCCACAAGAAGTACCTACGATCCTCCAAGTCGGTGTCCGTGGATGATAGCGGCGAGGAATACAGTCGCTATTCGCAGCACACTGCCGGCACAGCGGGCATGGGCGCCGGAGGAGTTGGTGGACTCCACCTGAACTCCATGTCCAATACAACCTCCCAGAACTCGCTGAACAACGAGCCGGCTCACCCCATCACCCAGCTGGTGGACTCGCTGGACAATAAGATCGAGTGCCTGCTGAGGGACTGGCACCAGAGTCCGGATCTGCTGTTCGCCATCCATCCCGTGGACGGTAGCTACCTGATCTGGGTGATTGAGTGGCTGGATGACTACTATCCGGGTTCGTTCCGGCAGGCGCAGGTCTCGTTCTCCACGCGCATACCCTCGGCCTTTCCTTTGGGCGATGCCATGTCCATGTCCACCACGGTCAGCCTGTTCAATACGGGCACCCATCCGCTGGCCTTTCGCGACATTGCCAACAATGTGCGCAGCAAGGATGAGTTCCACAAGGGCCAGGCGGATGACTCCTCGCTGAAGAGTGACCAGCATTCGGGACAGACCTTTGAGCGGCACGACGAAGAGCAGGAGGATGGTGTAGGGGGAGTAGCGGAGGACGGCGAAGATCGGGATGGCGATGCTGACCAAGATCAGGAGGCCAGCGGTGCAGCGGCCAGCGGTGGAGCTGTGGATCATAGCAGCAGCTCTCAGGATTCGGCTGCTGCCGGCGGAGCCAGTGCCCTGCCATTGAATGTGTCGCCATCGGTGTCCATGGTCACCAAGCACTCGAACGGCACCCTCAATCTCTGGCAGCTGACGTTCGCCTTCAAGACAAAGTTCACCCAAGTATTAAGCATTGGCCATGTGAGCCGTGCCTCGGGCCATCGGTTCCGGGTGAATGACATCACCTGCCATCCGGTGCTGCCCCTGCTGGTGTCCACCTCGCACCACAATCTGCCGGATTCCCCAGAGGCCAAGTCACCCATGTCGCCCTTTGAGCAGCCCCTCAGCGGGGGACTAGCCGGCGGCGCAGGAGGAGCCGGAGGAGCCGGAGGAGCAGGAGGAGGAGCTTCATCTGGTGGCTCCAATGGAGACAAGGAGGTGTTTACACCCACCGGCTTCTGCTCGGAGCTGATCCTGTGGCGTGTGGACTCCGTGGGACCGCTGTGCCACTCGGGCGGCGTCAGTGAGCTGGCCAGGATTAACTCCCCGGAGATCTCGGCCTTTAGCAATGTGGCCTGGATTCCTACTTTGCTGCCTAGCACCACCCTGGGCAGCTACAGCAACTCCCCCTCCGCCTGCTTTGTGGCCAGCGATGGCGAGAATTTACGCGTCTATCAGGCGGTGATCGATGCCCGCACGTTGCTGGCGGAGATCTCCTGCTCGGAGAACCTCAATACCCTGCACAAGTCGCATTCGCTGTCGTCGATGATCTCCAATGCCTCGTCGACGATGCGGGCCCAGCGTTCGGCGCTGCATGACAAGCTCAAGGTGGTCTCCCAGCAGTCCACAGCTCGTCCTGGCTGCATCCTCCAGCTGGATGCCATATCGGATGCCAAGCATGACTGGCAGAATACCCAGTTTCTGCATGTATTCCAGGCGCAGCTCATAACGGGTGGCCAGAGGACACCACAAGCGGATCCTCATGACCTAGAGGAGCCACGGCTTAATGCCCTCCTGGAGTCGGACATGGATGCCATTGTGGATCTGCAGAGGAATGCCGATTTCGAGGAACCCTTCTACATAGTCAACATTGAGAAGACCCTGAGGGGCAGCACCATACACATGTGGCGCATAGTCATCAGCTCCAAGCAGCAGAACTCCTTCCTCTCCGAGACGGCCATGTATGTCCCAGACAGTAACCTCACCCAGGAGCCGGATGAGGAGAATGGTGGCGGCGGGGGAACGGCAGGAGCAGGTGGTGCACCCAATCCTCGACGAATGTCCCAGGGAGCTGAGACCCTGACGGGCGCCGAGCAGTTTGGCTCTCATGTGGAGGCACCACACATCTCCATTACCACCAAGAAGGTGTGCACCCAGGAGCTGCCCCTGCCCGAGGGCGTGGATGTTATACATGCCTCTCCCGCCGCCGGCCACCTGAGCAGCTCCAGCATTTATCCAGCCTGCTTTGCCCCCTACATCATAGTCACCGCCTGCTCGGATTCGATTTCCCGCTTCTGGAAATGTGAACCCATTGGAGGAGGATCTACTACTAACCATGAGGAGGATACCGAGGGCGATGCCTACCACTGGAGCGAGTGGAAGATGTTTAGCCGGATTCAGCACTCGGCCATTGAGATACCCGGCCAGCCGTTGAACATCAGTGCCGCCTACTCCGGCCGGATAGCCTGTGCCTACAAGTACGGCAAGAGCTTCACCCGCCCCAACAAGGGACCCGATCCGGATTCCAGGTATGTCAATCTCTGCGTGGCCATCTACGAGTGCGAGAGCTCCGGCGGCAGCGAGTGGGTGCTGGAGGACACCATTCACCTGAAGAATGTCCACTTGCCGCGCATCAACATTGGCCATGGCATCGATCTGAGTTACCTCCACGATAGCCGGCTGCTGGCCAAGAAGCAGCGCCTCAACCAGGTCCTGCATACCTTCGCCCATGATCCGGAAACCCGCACACCCAGGAGCGGGGAGACCACTCCCGAACTGGCCGTAAATAGGCCACAATCGTCGGTGGCCTCGGGCCTGCTGACCGTGCCCAGCTTCAGCACCTTGCAATCCCTGAGGAAGAGCATTGCGGAGAATGGCAACACCTGCCCGCTGACCCAGAAGCATCTCGTCCAGCTGGACTGGGTGAGCAAGGAGGATGGCTCCCACATACTCACCGTGGCGGTGGGCAGCAAGATCCTGTTGTACACCCCCGTTAGCTCGGACATTGCCCAGGCCAACATCAAGGCCATGAAGGAATCGAGATCCGTGAACCGTCCCATCCTGCGCAAGGCCAGCTCCTTGGCTCAGCCGAATTTTGTGGATGAAATCCGTTGGATGAAGCTGCGCCAGATTGATTTGCAGACGGCGGATGGTCTGCCTCCTCTGCCCATGCAGATCTCTTGGGTGAGGGATGGCATTCTGGTGGTGGCCATGGACTCGGAAATGCATGTCTACTCCCAGTGGAAGCCACACTATTCCTCGCACTTTGCTGCAGCGGCGGCGGCTGCTGCTGGCGAGGATGTGCCCGATACAAGGAATCTGCGCGATGAGGATCTGCGCTCCTTGGCCAATGAATCCACCCAGCTGAGGCTCAAGAATGTGGCCTCCATGCCGCTGATTAGCAAGGTGAGCACTGCCAATCTGCAGCTGTTGTCGCACGACAAGAAGCGGCGGTTGGGCAACACCAGCATGGCCAATATGAATGGAGGAGGAGGAGGAGCTGGAGCAGGAGCAGGAGCAGGCAGTTACTATAACCAGGATGATGGCGGCAACGATGACTACATGACGGACTTTGGCTTGTTCCAGGCCTCCCGCATAGCCTGTCCCGTGCTCCCGCAATACCACCCCAAGCAGCTCATGGAGCTGCTCAATTGCGGTAAAATCCGCTGGGTGAAGGCCATCCTGGCTCATCTGGTGCGCTGCATGAGCGGCGGCACTAGCTCCAGTCAGGCCAATCAGGATGAAGATGGCTATGCCCGCCAGCGTAGCTGGTCCAGATCCCGCACCTTGAGCATTAGCTATACGGCGGATCAGAATATCCAGGCGGAGCATCGAGGCAGCACCACCCAGATACCCGAGGAGCTGATGCTGGACTATGCGGAGATCAATTCGATTCCTCCTCTGCCGCTGTGGGTGCTCCTGAATGCCGATAGAGAGACACCGGGTCAGGGCAATAACAATGCCGAGGGTGACAAGGATTACGATGAGCTCTTTGATATGCACAACTCGGAGGACAACCTGGACGAGCTGCTGTCCGAGGGGGAGGAGAAGAAGCGCCAAGAGCGTAGGCTTTCCCTGCCCGAAAAGCACTCCATTTCGCACTTTGGCCCACGGCAGGGTCAGCTTCTGTCGCGCCTGCTTACCCACACCCACCTGCCGGGACTCTCCTCCCTGGATCAGATGCATCTGCTGGCCCTGGCCGATACGGTGGCCACCTGCAATACGGATTTCTCGGACAAGTTTGCCGCCGATCAGGGAAAGTCTGGCACGGCGGGTGGTGCCTCTTCTGGGGCCCTTAAGGATGGCAGCACCAGCACGGATTCCCTGGATGACTGCGGCCTGCGCTTCCTGCTGGCCATGAAGCACTTTACCTACTTGCTGCGCTGTCTGCCACTCCAGCAAAGAGCTCAGTTCCAGCGCCAGGGCGTGGGCACCTCCAACATTGTGTGGGCTTATCACTCGGAGAGCGAGGAGGAGCTGCTCAACCTGATACCCAGCTACACCAAGGGTGACCTCCGCTGGGCCACGCTGAGGGATCTAGGGATGGGCTACTGGCTGAAGAACATAAATACGCTGAGGAGGTGCGTGGAGAAGCTGGCCAAGTGTGCCTACCAGCAGAAGCAGGAGCCACTGGATGCGGCCATCTATTACTTGGCCATGAAGAAGAAATCCCTGGTGTGGGGCCTGTTCCGTTCGCGTCGGGATGAGAAGATGACCGCCTTCTTTGGCAACAATTTTGCCGAGGATCGCTGGCGGAAGGCGGCCCTCAAGAATGCCTTTGTGCTGCTGGGCAAGCAGCGTTTCGAGCATGCAGTGGCCTTCTTCCTGCTGGCCAACAGCCTTAACGATGCCATCGAGGTGTGCATGAATAAGCTGGAGGACTTCCAGCTGGCCCTCATCATAGCCAGGCTGTACGAGGGGGATGCGGAGGGTTGCTACTATCATCGTTTGCTCCACGAGCATGTCCTGGGCACGGACATGGAGACGGGACGTTGTGATATAACGCGTGCCCACCCGGATCCCTTCCTGCGCTCGATGACCTACTGGACCATCAAGAAGTACCAGGAGAGCCTTAATACCCTGCTGCTGAATGGCGTGGGCAGCCTGCATAGCAGCTACAAGGAGGAGGATCTGCTGCGTCCAGAGCCGCAGGCCACCAATCCGAATGTCTTTAATTTTTACATTTATCTGCGCACCCATCCGCTGCTCATCCGCCAGAATATAGCCTTGTCGGCGCAGGAGAAGCGCATTGCCCATGTGGTCTTGTCCGGCTTTAATTATGCCGGCGATGCCGCTGCTCCCAACTCGGCGGCCGCTTGTGACAAGCAGCTGCAGCTGGAGGATTCGATTACGCCCATCGAGCGGCAGCTGTACTTCACCACCGCCCATGGACACTTCAAGAGCGGCTGTCCAGCCTTGGCCTTGGAGGTGCTCAACAAGCTGCCCATGAAGATAAGCGACGATACCGGCGGCAGTGTGGCCGGCAGCAGTTTGGCCCAGGAGCGGGCCCAACAGTCCAAGGAGGAGCTGATTAATACAGGAATCATGGATCAGTGGGGAGCTGGGACGACGACCAGCTCGGCGGATGCCTTTGATTGGGGTGCTCCTGTGGCGGGCAGTGAGCCGGAGGCCAAGTTTGAGATCAAGTGGGACGACGAGGAGGATGAGGATGAGGAAGAGCAGGAGGTGGATCCCGACCTGGCCACACCGCAGCCTCCACAGCCAGGAGCCTCTGCCTTGGGACGGGGCGGCCATGGCAATGGCAACGGCGACACCAAAATGGACATCATGGCCCAGCAGCTAAAGTTCGTGGCCTGCCTGAAGATCCTCATGGAGGAGCTGTCCACACTGGCCACCGGCTTCGAGGTGGATGGCGGCCAGCTGCGTTACCAGCTGTACATGTGGCTGGAGCGGGAGGTGGAGGCCCTCAAGCAGCTGTGCAACTACTGCAGCCAGTCGGAGCAGTCGGGTCATGAGGCTGGCGATGCAGATGCCGAGGCCAGGGACAAGGAGATGAATGCCAGCATCTGTCCTGGCGGCACGGATCAGAGACCCACGCTACATGAGATCCTGATGCAGGACAAGCAGGACTTTGAGGCCAAGGTGATGCGAGCAGCCAAGCGGAAGCGCTGGCTCAAGGGTAAGTGGTGATCTATGGTTTATGATTCCTTTCTGGGAAGCATCCTTTTGCCTTCTTTTACATCCTGTTTTCATCCTTTTGCATCCTTTTTCATCTTGTTTTCATCCTTTTGCATCCCTTTTTATCCTTTTGCATCATTTTTTCATCCCTTTCCCCACAGCCAACGAGACCCTCCTGCGCACACTCCTCAGCTACTGCTCACTGCATGGCGCCAGCGGCGGTGGTTTGGCCTCGGTGCGCATGGAACTGGTCCTACTCCTCCAGGAGCTGCAGCAGGAGAAGACCCAACAGCAGCTGCTCAGCCCCCTGCCCTTCCCCACCACCCTGCCGCTGCTGAGCGCCTGTGTGGCGGGCAACAAAACGGTGATTGCTGATCCCATCAAGTACCTGCAGTCGCAGACGGTGGACATGCTTCAGAGCATCATCAAGGTGCTGCCCTTCCCCGGGATACAGCCCTCGGCTCTCAGCGAGATCTTTGTTCTCCGGGACCTGGCAGTGGCACTGTCCTCCTGCATCTACCAGTCGCTTTGCGACTCCGAGAGCTTTGTGGTGAATAGTACGGCCTTTAATCCCAGTCCCGGCATCGAGAACATAGCCAAGATCAACTCCTCGTTCGAGTGCAGCTACCTGGTGGGCAGCAGGAATGCCTATGGCAGGCGGCGTAAGTATTCCACGGATGAGCCGGCGGGTGTGTGCACCACGCCCTCCAAGTGGCCGGGAGTCACCAATTTGCGGGCTCTCCTCGCCCGCGAGAAGGATGAGGATGTGCCCAAGTTGAATGTCCTCCTGCTGGAGTCGTTTGTGTCCACGTACATGGCGCTGTTTATCTACTCGCTGGCCACCTGCGACAGTCGGTTGCTGTACCGTTTGAGTGGCCAGAGCTTTAGCAATGAGACCTGGTCCACGCTCTTTGGCGGCGGCATGAAGAAGCTGCTCATCAAGCCGGCCACGGCGCAGCCTGTAAGTCAAACAGGAGCAGCACCTGGTAGTGGCGGTGGTAATGGTTCCACATCCGAAGAGCCTGCCGATGAGAACAGCGTTTGGAACACTGTGACCTCCATTACCAAGCAGCGCATGAAGCTAAACATGAAGATCCTGGGCAGCTTTAGCCAGAACAGCACCTCCAGCAACATGAAGGAGGACAAGCCCACGTACCGGGAGCAATTTATGCCACCAGAGACCTCCATGTTGTCCTACTTTCTGACCAAACCGCCAGCCACGGGTAAGTTTGAGGGGTTAAACTCAAAGGATTCTCTTTTTATGCTAACTAAATCCTTGACAGAATGCGATTATTACGACACTGATGACTCCAACGAGTCGGAGGATGAGGAGGAGGAGGAGGACGATGATGATGTTAATGTGAGCCGCTCCCAGCTGAAGGCCAAGGAGAATACCGAGCACACCAATCCCACATCCTATTCGTGGAGTATTCTACGCTTGGCCCTCATCAAGATCAGCACGCACAAGATCCAGGAGCTGGTCAAGGTGGCCGGCATCGAGCTGCAGGGTAGTTGTAGCCTCTTACCCAAAGCCTCCATCTATGAATCCTCTCTCTTATATTGCTTTCTTTCCATTCTCCTCTTAGATCTGCCCGTGATTAGTCCTCTCTCGCACGAGGTCCTGCGCACTCTGAACCGCTGGCAGGAGTTTGCTCTGAGCGATCTCATTGCCCGGGGTCCTCCTTCGCGCAATTTTATACCTGGTTGCCATACGGAGAGCGGCATTAGTGGCTTGGCCATTCACAAGTATCGTTCGCTGCTCAACAAGGACAACACACCATTTGTCTCGGGCTCGGCCACGGGTCCCATAAGGCGTTTGTGGAACTATCTGGTGCGCCAGGAGCCCGCCCAGGAGGTCTTCATCAAGAGCATTTTCGGCAAGAACATGGAGCCAAGCACGCGCAGCTCCCATCACACCCAGAACGACAACGAGACCGATGAAGGTGGGTTTGTTTGAGGGTAGAGCTGGAAATGATTACTAACTATATCCCTTCAGGTCAATCGCATTCGACCAACGAGAATACCGATCACATTCGGATCATTCACAAGGATCACGAATCGATATTGTCCTTCTGCTTGAAGAATAACACCTCCTCGATGATTGCCTTTGCCAATCCCCGCGAGATCCAGGAGTTTGACATCTCGCTGCTGCTGGAATCGCCGAATTGGTACGAGGACGAGTGCGACTATGACATGATGAGCATGTCCAAAGATGCCGACACCAACAGCTCCTCGTTCCTCATCATCCAGACGCAAGATCAGTGAGTGAATTCAATTTTATAATTTAAATAATTTAAATTAAATTCCATTGTGTTGTTTTTTAGGAACAATCAACAATTTGGAGGCGGCAGCAACAATGCCTACAGCGAGTCCAATGCCAGCACGCAGAGTGCCTCGCAATCCGGTCGTGGCACATCCATGGTGAGTAGAGGAGATCCTTGCTCAGGGTCTTCCTTGCATTAACGAGGATTCCCTTTTGCAGGTGCTGCGCCACAAGGTGGACAATGTGAAGCGCATGAGCGCCCATCCGCTGATGCCTTTGTACCTGACCGGCGGCCAAGATGGCTCCGTGCAGATCTGGGAATGGGGCCACCAGCAGCCTGTTTGCTCGCCCCGTCAGCCTGGCACCTTTGCCAAGGTCACACGCTGTCGCTTCTCGGAGCAGGGCAACAAGTTTGGCATAGGCGATGGCGATGGCAAGCTTAGCCTCTGGCAGGCGGGAATTGCCTCACAAAACAATCGTTCGTTCATAGTGAGTTTGCTAGCAGAAGATCCATTAGTGATCAAACCACTCACATCTTTGGGTTAATCTTTCGTTACAGAGCTATCAGTGCCACAACAAGGCTCTGTCCGATTTCGTATTCCTGGGTTCGTGCAGTCTTCTGGCCAGCGGTGAGTTTTGCTATTTATTTATTAACAATTTACTTGGTTATTTATTTATATTCTCCCTCCTCCAGCTGGCCAGAGTTCCGAGAACAAGAACATCAACATCTGGGACACGCTGCTGCCCCACAAGAAGTCCTGTGTGTCGGGTGAGTGTGTCATGATGATTTCCTTGAGTGTTTGTTTAACCCTGAACTCCTTGCAGCCTTTACCTGCCATGACCAGGGCTCATCCTGTCTGGTGTTTGCACCGCAGCACCAGGTGCTCATCTCGTGCGGCAAGCGCGGCGATGTATGCGTCTTTGATGTGAGACAGCGCACGCTGCGCCATCGCTATCAGGTGAGTTTTCTACATACCGCAGCACCTGCAATAAGCTCATAATCCTCCTTGTTTTCCCCACAGGCCCATGATAGCACCATCAAGTGCATTGCTTTGGATCCCCATGAGGAGTTCTTTGTCACTGGCTCCATAGAGGGTGACATTAAGGTGGGTTTTTGGTGATGTTTTTTAAAGGATTTCAAGGTTTTTCATTAACTTATCGGTCGATTCATTGCAGATTTGGGACATGAATCAGTTTATGCTGATCAATACGTTCCCCCATGAGCATGCCAAGAACGGGTTCTTCAAGCATACCGGCCAGGGCGTCAGCCAGGTGTATGTGGATCCCTTTGGACGGCTCTTCTCCTGCGGCTCCGATGGCTGCATGAAGGTCCGCCTGCTGGTCGAGAAGGACAACATCGTTCACTCCGTGTATTGAAAAAGCTGTATTCTAACCGTAAACGTAACCGTAGCTAATGCTAGAGCCGGTTCGTGTCCGCAGCCATGTCCATGTCCATGTCCATGTCCGTCTCCGTGAGCTGTCTGTTTGTGTGAGCGAGCGGGTCGCGAACCGAGTGTCCTAAAAATATGTGTATTTTCTTTGTTAATCGTTGATTATTGTAACATTTTACATTATATATATATTGAATTTTCCTACACACACAAACATATATATATATGCATATATATATATATATGTGTTTTATATTACTATATCTACTTACTATTTACCATTTTTGTTTGTTTTCCCCTTCCGTTCTGCTATTTAATGCGAAGAAACTGGTTTGTTTCACGTTCGATGAGTATTTCCTAAACAGACTATATATATTATACAGATACCAGATATATATATATATATATTATATGCTTTAAATCAATTATTAATTATTATTATATTATACGATATACAAGACATTCGACAGTATGGTAAAACGATATGCTTACGAATATATATTACGATCTATGTATGTCTTTGTGTTGAGCTTTGTGCTACAAATTTGTCTGTTGTTGAATCAATCAAGATATATATGTATACCTAAAACGAACCTAAATGAATTAACTAAAAACTAAATAAAGTGCAAAATAAATGAAAAAAAACAATAAATAGTAAAGAATCTATTATTATTTTGGTTAGAGGGTATTTATTTAGATTCCACAACAAACAATCGGGGAAATTAATAGACAAAAATAATAACATCTCCTAATTTTAAACATAATTTCATATTTTTAATAGCAAAAATGTAGTTTTTATAAATACGAGGTTGTTGTACAGCAGTTTCGTTGTTTTTTTAGGCAAAAACAAGCCTTTAGACATTTTGAGAGAATTTACTTTATTAAAACCTAAACTTTTAAACAATAACGGCCTGTAAGCGCCCTCTGTTGGTATTCTTCTGAAGCCAAATTTAAATTTTCCCTAAAGGGTTCGAAACTTGGATTAGTTCTTAAGCCATCTCCTAGATGGCGCTAGTAATGAGGAGTACATTTTGCTGTCATGTGGTTGTTGTATATAAAAAATTCTACCAGGCGCATACCAGGCGAACAGAATCAGCAGCAAGGCGCCCAGCAGCAAGTAAATTTCCGTGAGCTATGCTTGTATTGGTGCGCTCTTCATTTATTTTCTCTATATGTATTTGTGTATCGTTCGCTGATCGTGCGAACGAGACACAAATAGTTTTCGCTATAGGAGTAAGCGAGAGGCATGCCTAGTGTGCGTTCCCCTCTTTTAGGAACCGTTAATTTAGCACAATTAATTCAGGCGGGCAGCTGCTTGCTGAAGTTTCTGCGCGCCTGGTACTCAGACCAGGGCACGGGGGACTTGGGGGGAGAATCGGGCATGCATTTTTGTTGTAATTGTTGTTGTTGTTTATCATGAAAAATGGGCTTCAGCCACAAATTCTACCAGGCGCATACCAGGCGAACAGAATCAGCAGCAAGGCGCCCAGCAGCAAGTAAATTTTTCTGAGCTATGCTTGTATTGGTGCGCTCTTCATTTATTTTCTCTATATGTATTTGTGTATCGTTCGCTGATCGTGCGAACGAGACACAAATAGTTTTCGCTATAGGAGTAAGCGAGAGGCATGCCTAGTGTGCGTTCCCCTCTTTTGGAAACCGTTACTTTAGAACAATTAATTCAGGCGGGCAGCTGCTTGCTGAAGTTTCTGCGCGCCTGGTACTCAGACCAGGGCACGGGGGACTTGGGGGGAGAATCGGGCATGCATTTTTGTTGTAATTGTTGTTGTTGTCTATCATGAAAAATGGGCTTCAGCCACAAATTCTACCAGGCGCATACCAGGCGAACAGAATCAGCAGCAAGGCGCCCAGCAGCAAGTAAATTTTTCTGAGCTATGCTTGTATTGGTGCGCTCTTCATTTATTTTCTCTATATGTATTTGTGTATCGTTCGCTGATCGTGCGAACGAGACACAATTAGTTTTCGCTATAGGAGTAAGCGAGAGGCATGCCTAGTGTGCGTTCCCCTCTTTTGGAAACCGTTACTTTAGAACAATTAATTCAGGCGGGCAGCTGCTTGCTGAAGTTTCTGCGCGCCTGGTACTCAGACCAGGGCACGGGGGACTTGGGGGGAGAATCGGGCATGCATTTTTGTTGTAATTGTTGTTGTTGTCTATCATGAAAAATGGGCTTCAGCCACAAATTCTACCAGGCGCATACCAGGCGAACAGAATCAGCAGCAAGGCGCCCAGCAGCAAGTAAATTTTTCTGAGCTATGCTTGTATTGGTGCGCTCTTCATTTATTTTCTCTATATGTATTGGTGTATCATTCGCTTATCGTGCGAACGAGACACAGATAGTTTTCGCTATAAGAGTAAGTGAGAGGCGAACATAGTGTGAGTTCCCTATGTTTTTTAGGGCATATTAGTTCAGCAGGGCAGCTGAATGTAAAATTACTATTAAGCGCCGCTATATTTTTTTGAACTTCTGTATTGTTAAATATTATAATAAAACAACTATACAAAATAATATATATTTAATTGGGAAAAAATATATATACATTCAATATAACCCATTTATAAGTAGTCGGTGGGAGATGTCAACAGCAGAAAGGGTACTCGCTGGTCGTTGCAGCTTCATTAATCATGTATGATCGTGGGAACGAGACAAACATAGTGTGTAATATAGGCCCCTCTCGCTCTTGTTTCGCAGATCGTGCGAACGAGACACAAATAGTTTCTGCTATAAGAGTAAGTGAGAGGCATGCCTAGTGTGCGTTCCCCTCTTTTAGGAACCGTTACTTTAGCACAATTAATTCTGGCGGGCAGCTGCTTGCTGAAGATTCTGCGCGCCTGGTACTCAGACCAGGGCACGGGGGACTTGGGGGGAGAATCGGGCATGCATTTTTGTTGTAATTATTGTTGTTGACTATCATGAAAAATGGGCTTCAGCCACAAATTCTACCAGGCGCATACCAGGCGAACAGAATCAGCAGCAAGGCGCCCAGCAGCAAGTAAATTTTTCTGAGCTATGCTTGTATTGGTGCGCTCTTCATTTATTTTCTCTATATGTATTTGTGTATCGTTCGCTGATCGTGCGAACGAGACACAGATAGTTTTCGCTATAGGAGTAAGCGAGAGGCATGCCTAGTGTGCGTTTCCCTCTTTTAGGAACCGTTACTTTAGCACAATTAATTCTGGCGGGCAGCTGCTTGCTGAAGTTTCTGCGCGCCTGGTACTCAGACCAGGGCACGGGGGACTTGGGGGGAGAATCGGGCATGCATTTTTGTTGTAATTGTTGTTGTTGTCTATCATGAAAAATGGGCTTCAGCCACAAATTCTACCAGGCGCATACCAGGCGAACAGAATCAGCAGCAAGGCGCCCAGCAGCAAGTAAATTTTTCTGAGCTATGCTTGTATTGGTGCGCTCTTCATTTATTTTCTCTATATGTATTTGTGTATCGTTCGCTGATCGTGCGAACGAGACACAAATAGTTTTCGCTATAGGAGTAAGCGAGAGGCATGCCTAGTGTGCGTTCCCCTCTTTTGGAAACCGTTACTTTAGAACAATTAATTCAGGCGGGCAGCTGCTTGCTGAAGTTTCTGCGCGCCTGGTACTCAGACCAGGGCACGGGGGACTTGGGGGGAGAATCGGGCATGCATTTTTGTTGTAATTGTTGTTGTTGTCTATCATGAAAAATGGGCTTCAGCCACAAATTCTACCAGGCGCATACCAGGCGAACAGAATCAGCAGCAAGGCGCCCAGCAGCAAGTAAATTTTTCTGAGCTATGCTTGTATTGGTGCGCTCTTCATTTATTTTCTCTATATGTATTTGTGTATCGTTCGCTGATCGTGCGAACGATACACAAATAGTTTTCGCTATAGGAGTAAGCGAGAGGCATGCCTAGTGTGCGTTCCCCTCTTTTGGAAACCGTTACTTTAGAACAATTAATTCAGGCGGGCAGCTGCTTGCTGAAGTTTCTGCGCGCCTGGTACTCAGACCAGGGCACGGGGGACTTGGAGGGAGAATCGGGCATGCATTTTTGTTGTAATTGTTGTTGTTGTCTATCATGAAAAATGGGCTTCAGCCACAAATTCTACCAGGCGCATACCAGGCGAACAGAATCAGCAGCAAGCAGCTGCCCGCCAGAATTAATTGTGCTAAAGTAACGGTTCCTAAAAGAGGGGAACGCACACTAGGCATGCCTCTCACTTACTCTTATAGCAAAAACTATTTGTGTCTCGTTCGCACGATCTGCGAAAGAAGAGCGAGAGGGGCCTATATTACACACTATGTTTGTCTCGTTCCCACGATCATACATGATTAATGAAGCTGCAACGACCAGCGAGTACCCTTTCTGCTGCTGACATCTCCCACCGACTACTTATAAATGGGTTATATTGAATGTATATATATTTTTTCCCAATTAAATATATATTATTTTGTATAGTTGTTTTATTATAATATTTAACAATACAGAAGTTCAAAAAAATATAGCGGCGCTTAATAGTAATTTTACATTCAGCTGCCCTGCTGAACTAATATGCCCTAAAAAACATAGGGAACTCACACTATGTTCGCCTCTCACTTACTCTTATAGCGAAAACTATCTGTGTCTCGTTCGCACGATAAGCGAATGATACACCAATACATATAGAGAAAATAAATGAAGAGCGCACCAATACAAGCATAGCTCAGAAAAATGTACTTGCTGCTGGGCGCCTTGCTGCTGATTCTGTTCGCCTGGTAATCAGAAACCATTTATGCCTTGAGCAAGCAGTTGGCCGGCGGATTAAATAATCAAATTCTGCAAAAAACTATTATTTTTATGGAAAATGTGCATTTAGTTTATGGCTATCAACGAAGACATGGAACGATTAGATTATAGTCCGCATGATCGTTGCGATTACAAAAATAAGTACATATATATTTGACGCCCTTCAGCCCTGTAACAAGCCAGTTCTTTGTCCCAGAAAATGACCAAGATTTCCCCATTTTTTCAGCCCATTAAAAAAACGCTGGATAACTTTGGTAGGATCTTTAGAAATAAAACAGTTGGCATGACAATTTATGATTAAAAATTAATGTAAATGTATGTTGTGATCGTCAGACAAACAAAATAATCCTCATGCTCATCAGTTCCTGCGCCCCACATACTTAAATCGAATAAGTAAAAGCAGGATACAAAAAAAAATAAAAACGTGGTTTTGACTTAAGGCTACGCTTCCCCGGGAAAAGCGGCTTCTCCACTAACACTGGCTCATCTTGTGCGCTATAAACTGCACAAAATCGCTGCGGTAAAGAATCTGCGGGTCCTCCTCGGTGGCATGCTCGTCCACTTGCCGCAGGTCCGTCCACTTCCAGAGCAGGCGACCGCAGTAGCTGTAGCGGAACGAGGCGAAGATCTCGAGGGCCTTCTTGCTGGGTATCTGGTCCTTGTAGTACGACTCCTTGTTCTTCACGTTGAAGTAGTACAGCTGGTTGCGGGAGCGCGAGTGCGCCGACACGTAGTTGGAGGTAAGCTCGCGGAAGAGCAGCAGCCCGCCGGGCACAAAAAACTTGCTGTCGTCGTCGAGGGCATAGCCGAAGCGCTTCGAGTTGTCCTTCAGCACGTAGCGGCGCATCTCGGCGAAGAACACATCCAGGTCGCTCAGCGGGAAGAAGGGCTTGCTGCGCAGCGCCCCGAAGGTGCGCTCCTTGCGGTGAGGCTTGTTCAGGCTGCGTGCGTACTTGTCGCACATGCTGACCCGGTCGCGGAACGACCGCCGCCGGATATCGATGCCGCCCAGGCAGATCCCGTCGATGATGTGCAAGGCTGCCACCCGCTGGATGGTGCGTCCCTCGCCGTAGAACTCGTACACGATCTGGCCAAAGAAGATGGAGCGCGGCTGCACCTCGAAGGGCGTCTCGACGAGCTCCCACTTCTTGTGCTCGGTGTAGCGCAGGAGATTGCCGCGCGAGCGGCACAGGAACAGGGTGCAGGCGTTGAGGTTGGTCTCCTCGCGTCCAACGGGCACAAAATACCAATCAGAGACATTCTGCACTTCGCTGTCCAGCGTCGCCACGCCGCATAGCTCGGCCGGCGCCCGGTTCATCCAGGTGCGTTCCTTTGCCCAGTCGGCCAGCAACTCTTCAAGCAAACGCTCCGTCGGCTTGATTTCGGGCGCCTGGCGCAGCTTGTCGGGCAGGCTCCAGCGCTTGAGGCACTCCTGGCGCACCTCCGACTGGCGGGTCTCCTTCAGCTCGGGATTCTGGGCGAAGGCGGCGATCTTCTGGAGGCCCACAATCTGCTTCTTGCCAATGGCATTGTTCGAATCGATGATGTAGCGCAGGAAGTCCTCGTCCTCGGCCAATTCGCTGGCATTGAAGATCTCCTGGACGTCGCTGCCCTCGTCCTCCTCCTCGTTGAGCATGCGATTGATCGCATTTAGGTAGCCGGTTATGGCCGCCGTCTCCGCCTCTGAGCGCTTGTACTTGCAGACCAAGTAGCGCTCCGAATTGGCCGGCCTGCTGCTGTTCGGCTTGATGATGGCGATCTGGTGGAAGCACTTGTACATCAGATAGACCAGGCCCACGCTGAACGGCGTGAAGAGGTCAAACACCTTGCACACGAAGCTGCCGTTCTCGCGCAGTATCTTCAGGGCGGTGAGAAACTGGCAGAGGTACAGCTGCTTGGAGAGAATCTCCTGGATGTTCTCCTGCCCCTCCACCGAGAAGCCACCGTCGGCCATGGCGAAGTGAACGCCCTGCGGGGTATGGCGACGGATGTACTCGTTCAACGAGTCCTGATTGGACTCGTCGAATATGTTGCCGTCCTCCTTGATGCCGTAGAAGGCATCGAAAGACTCGGGCGAGGCGGCAAAGAACTTTTCCAGCTTGAAGTCGTTGGCGCCGCGCAGGGTGAAGCCGAAGCCCTTGGCCTCCCAGGACTTGCGGAACAGCACGTACTCGGAGAAGCCGCCAGGACCTGTGGCGAAGGTGAAAACGAAATGTAAGTAATAAATCAAACTCAATCAAGTTACTAAAATTAATTAAAAAGTTAAAAAAAAGAGTTGAATTTACGAATAAACCCAAAGCTCGGCTCAAATTGTGTAAACGCATGGACAAAAGGGGACACCAAGCCGAGACCTTGTTTACTTTTCTGCGCGCCGTTGAAAGTAAACAAGAGCTTGGCTCGGGAAGCGTGATAAGGGGTACAATTACGAGCGACTTCCTCTCCTCTAGCGGAAATGAGACTCAGCACAATCAGAGACTTGGTACTTGTACTTCACCTGCACACATATCCGTAAAGTAGAGCAGCTCGTCGGCGGCCACCAGCGAGCGACCGTCGGTGTCGCGGGGATTGGTGAACATGTAGTCGCACATGGAGTCTATGTTGGCCATCTTCACGGCGGCGCGATTCAGGAAGATGGAGCTGCGTATGGTCTCGAACGGATTGCAGCGCGACCGCGCCCGCCTCTTTTCGCTGTCGTTGAGATCATCGAAGACCGTCTTGGCATCGAGGATGTGGCTCAGGATTGTGGGATCGCAGTAGAGGGTCTCGCCGTTCAGCGTACGCTTCTTGGGGCCGAGCACAACGTGGCCCTGCAACTGTTCCGCGGTGTAGGCCAGGGCACCGCCGCCCAGGTTGGTCAGCCACAGCACTGGCTCCGGTATGTCCAGCTCCTCGCGATTCGGATCCCACTGGCCGCCGGCCAAAGATGTGATGGCGTCCAGCTTGAGGCCAAAGCCGCGACGTCCGTCCTGCTGCACGGCAATGATCGGCTCCAGGCGACCCTGGTTGCTCTTGCCCAGGCCCTTGTCGTTCTCGTAGCCCATCTTCTTCATCATCTCCATGGCCTTGTTCGAGTAGCTCTTCGACCACTCCCGCTTGATCTTCTTGGGCGTGGGCTCCGAGTTCTCATCGTCGGAGGGTTCTTCCGCCATCTTGCCTGCCTGCTCCTCCTCCTCCTCCGTGTCCGGGTTTGTTCTGGTGGCACTCAGCTTGCTGGCCTGGTGGGGAGCGCTGGGCAACAGCGCTATCTGTTTATGGGGTTAATTTTGTTTATGATTTTTGGTATATGCACCTCGCGTGCGACCGTTCGACAAATGCCGAAAAATACCAAGGCTTGCGTTGGCGCATGGCAAGGGCATAAAATACCGACTTTTGCGATATATACCGCAAAAGGTAATCGATAAATACCAGAAATATTTAGCGAAATAATTTAAAATTTAAAAGTTTTAAAAGAAGCAAATAGGAAAATTGTTATAAAAAAAAAGTCTGGTTTCTGTTCAATCCTTGTGTATAATTCATTCATTCACTTTACCCGAAATTCTATTAGAAAACGGTGCACTTATTAAATAACTATTAATTTCCGATTAAATATTTTCAAACACAAAAAAAAAAGTAAAGAAAAACCTTGAATGGGAGAATATGCAATGATGCCAGGAACTCCAAAGATGCCAGGAACTCCAATGATGCCAGGCCCTTCCCCTACATCTTCTCATACGTCTCGCTGTAAGGACAGGTGAGGCAGGTGTGCGTGTAAGTGTCCTCCTCCTCGTTGTAGGTGTCCGGGCCAAATTCGTGCTCGTGGATGGCATGCGTCTTTTTGGTGTACACGCTGCTGCGCACCTCCATGCGCAGCTGCTTCATCTGCTTGTTGTACTTCCGGGCCTTGCCCACCTCGCGCTTCTCCTCCCGGCCCTCGTGCTGGCGCAGCAGCTCCTCCTCGCTGCCCCACACCTCGAGGGCCCGCTTGAGGACCTGCAGGTGCAGGTACAGCTTCATCTCGCCCCAGCGCACGTTGTGCGGATTCTTGCGGCTGATGTAGCGCAGCGGCGGCTCGCGCTTGTCGAAGTCACAGTCCTTCAGCAAGTACTCCGCCTTGGCCTCCGTGCGGGTGATGAGGGCGTGGCGCTCCTCGTTGTCCCGACACTTGTCGCACACGGAATGCCCGAAGTTGCTGAACAAGTAGGACTCGGCGAACTGGTCACCACACTCGGCACACTCCTCGTACTGCACCGGTATGGCAATGGCGTCGTCTACGATAATGTTTCCACCGTTCCCGGGGGGCAGCTTCTCCCCCGATGCTGATGCACCCGGCAGGACAGGCTGCTCCAGCAGAAAGCCACCGCCGCTGTCGATGTACTTGGTGCCCTGCACCTTTATCACGGCGTTCTGTCCCTTGCCCAGCATAGCTTCCGGATGGGCGCCATTGTTTTGGTTGCTGCACAGTGGTTAGTGTTCTGATCAGGGCAGTTATAGTGGAAAACAGGCACTTACCTGGCCAGCTCCTTGTAGGGATGCGCCACCAGCTTGGCTTCCCTCAACCTTTGTGCCTTGGCCTGATTCCTTTCGATTCGCGCCTTCTGCGCATTGGTCAGCTTCGAGCTGCTGGGAGCCGGCGGAGCAGCTGCGTCTGCCACCTCCTGGGACATTTTGTGAATTTCGCAAGTTCTTTAAATTTGTTAAAAAGCGCGCAAGCTTAAATTCCAAATTTGTAAACGATTTCTTCCTCTTATTCGACCAGTGTGACCAAGGAATGTCTATGCAATTTGCCGTACGGCTCTGTTTATACCGCCACTTGTTTTAAATACTAAAATTTATATAATATAAATATAAATAACTACTTTGTTTTAAGTTGGTTGGTAAATTATTCCGTTATATTTTTAATATTTTTATAAATTAGACAGTATTTAATAATAATTAATATACCAAGCTTGGCCATTCCTGGAACACCTCTGGTCACACCCTTGTTTTGGCCGCAAAACATGCAAAATAAACACTTGAAACTGCTGCTGCGCTGCCTCCTGGCTCTGCCCCTCATCCTTCTTGTGGACTACTGCGGCCTGCTGACCCACCTGCACGAGCTGGACTTTGAGCGTCACTTTCACTACCCGCTGCAGGATGACCAGGCCGCCGCCACCTCGGGCGTGGGCGAGTACTCCTATTTGCGGTTGCCCGCATTCACGTCAGAGGTGCAAGTGGGGCAAGAGCCGCCCCGCCTGACGCTGCTGATAAAGAGCGCCGTGAGAAATGTACGGCGACGCGAGGCCATCCGGCGTACATGGGGCTACGAGGGCCGCTTCTCGGACGTTCACCTGCGACGCGTCTTTGTGCTAGGCAGCGCCGGCGAGAGCGAGAAGGACGTGGCCTGGGAGTCGCGCGAACACGGCGACATCCTGCAGGCAAACTTTGTGGACGCGTACTTCAACAACACGCTGAAAACGATGCTGGGCATGCGCTGGGCCACCGAGCAGTTCAACCGCAGCGACTTCTATCTGTTCGTGGACGACGACTACTACGTTTCGGCCAAGAATGTGCTGCGGTTTCTGGGCCGAGGCCGGCAGAGCCACCAGCCGGACATGCTCTTTGCGGGCCATGTATTCCAGACATCGCCGCTAAGGCACAAGTTCAGCAAGTGGTATGTCTCTCTGGCGGAGTATCCCTTCGATCGCTGGCCCCCCTACATCACTGCCGGCGCCTTTATGCTCTCCCGACAGGCCCTGCTCCGCCTGTACGCCACCAGTGTCCACACGCCACTCTTTCGCTTCGACGACGTTTACTTGGGTATTGTGGCGCTAAAGGCGGGCATTCCGCTGCAGCACTGCGAGGACTTTCGCTTCTACCGGCCCAAATACAAGGGTCCGGACAGCTACAGTGCGGTGATAGCCTCGCACGAGTTTGCCGACTCGGCCGAAATGGAGCGGGTGTGGAACGAGTGCCGGTCGGCTAACTACGCATAGCAGGGGAGATCGAGATCAAGACCTAGAGTGTACATATAGAAGAGTCATGTCCCGCCTTATGAACGAAATAATTGTAGATAACTTGAACAACTTCTTTAGCTTAAGACATGTTTTTAACGCCATTTTGATGTATTTCACACAATAAATAAACAAAAAACTTCAAGTTGATAAGGGTTTTCTTAAAGGGTTTTATGATTTTATTTAGTGAAGGAGTCACTTCCGAACCCATAAAGCATATATATTGTTGATCAGCATAAACAGGAGAATCTTTCTAGCCATCTTGTAAAGAAAACAAAAATTTTTAATTTTTTTCAAAATTTTATAAGGGGTTACATCATTAAAATTCTCAAAAATTGAACAAAATTTTGATCTCCTAAATTTTTAAATTTAGTTTGCAGATTAATAAACCTATTAAAAACCAACCCAGAAGCGTTTCCCGAATTGAAATTTATGAATTTTTGGCCGAGTTATGATATTTTTTTGGTTTAGCTTGTCCCAAAAATTATTATATAAAATTATGAATTTTCAATGTTTTAAAAATTATATAAAATTACTGATTAATATTTAAATTTATTTTCTGGGAAGTTATCGATAGTACTATCAAATGTTGCCGCTATCGATAGTGAGCGCGTATTGTGTAAAATTCAAGTTTAGTTGCTAAATTTAAATATTAATCCATAATTTTAGATGCTAATATTTGGGAAAAACCAAATGTTTCCCGAAATAAAACAATTTTCTTTTGATTTAAAAATCATAGCTGGTTTTTTTATAATTATTTATTTGTAGGCTTTCTTGTTGTTGTTTCGTTTAAGGACTACAAAATACGCTATACGGTAAAATGGTATATCGCTTGCAGAGTTAGCTAAATTAAATGTTATTGTAACCAACACAGAAATCCCTTGCTTTTTAATTTTAATTTATAGTTTTTTGTTGTTTTGTTTTTGTTTTCTTTATCCTGAAATACATACCATACATACATATACACACGGATATACATACATATACATTATTATAATCAAAGTCACGTCAATGTTTAAAAAAAATATATAAAATATATATGTGTGTGGGAATTAAAACATTTCCGAAGCATCGAAAATTGTGCAGCTTCCTGCTCTTCTCAGACCACAAAAATACCCTAAGAACCTTTGACTTGGAAATATGGATTACACATAGAGAAAATGGGGGGGGGGACAAAAAAAAAACGTAACGTAATATAGCCTGGAGCAGAGTTGGCAGAGGTTGTACTAGTTGTTGTCGCCTCCTGGCCCTCCTCCTGCTGCTGTCGTCGTCGTTGAAGTAGTAAGTATAAGTAGTTTTGTTTTTGTTTTGTGTAAAGCAATTTTACAACGTTTATCCGTTCAACTCTCCCTCTCTCGTTCTTAGTTGCGTGTCGCATTGCCCGCATATATCTCCTCGATTTTTTTCCTGCGTTTCGTCAGCAGCGGATTGTTCGACTTGTCCAGAGCCTTGATTTGCATCTGAAAAAGGTGGAAAAAGCATAAGCATTACTTGAATTAAATACAAATTATTTAAATAACATTTCAAACAACATATATATATATTTATACGATAAAGAAAAGATTTATTATTATTTATATATATACACTACTGGCCGAAATAATAAGTACATGCGTATGTGGTTTGTTTCAAGTCCTATAAAATTGGTTTGATAAACTTAAGGAAAAAACCCACTTAATTTTTAGTTTCCGTTCTTATTCCAGATAATAAAAATAACTGCCTAAAGGATTTTACATTTAAAATTTAGAGACAGGGGTCAATTTTATCAAAAAGCATGAAAATGGGTTGGCCAAAATAATAAGTACACCCATTCTTCTAAGCCTAGAACTCGGAACGTATTAGATATTTTGCACTTCTTTTTTCTTATAAGTAAACTTAGATTAGTATCCAATAAAACCACATTCGTTTTAGGTAACTTTCGCTATTTTTTTTGGCATTCTAGCAGGAAGTCTGTCGCAAGTCAGTACTAGAAGCTGAGACCAGGTTTCTTTAGCAAATCTTCACAAATCTTCAACATTTTAAATTGTTTTGGTTACAATTCGACGTTTTAAGTTTCCCCACAATGTTTAGTTTAGGTTTATGACAGGAGACTGACTTGACCATCTCATAACAGTTACCTCTCTCTTGCCAAAAAAGACCTGTTTGGTCATCCAAGGCCATTTCCGGCGAAATTGACATTTAAATTTGAGCTCGAACAGTTTGTCGTAGACTGCATGAGACAGGATTACAAGGACGTATACCCTAAAAGGTTCTATTACTTCAAGGAAAATTTTTTCAGATGAAGCAAAAGCTTTGCAACATTTTTTTGGTATGGTCTGAACCGGAGGTGGAAACAAAATACTTTGGGGCAATGAAACAAAAATATTTCTTTTTGAAAACGATTTTAGACGGCTTGTACGTCAAACCAAAGTCAAAAAATTGAGCTTTGAAACGCGAAAAAAAAAGTTAAGCCCGGAGACAGATGCATAAAGGTCAGGGGCTGTTTTTCCTGGCATGGCGTTGTGCAAATACATCTCATAAATGGTATTACGACCGAATTCGAAAATAAAACTTTTTTAACTGGCATCTTCTAACCATATGCCTTGGGAAACATGCCCTCCGATAGATTTTTCAACGAGATAACGATCCAAAGTAAACCTTAAAAGTCATCATGGCCTGGTTTAGGGACAAAAAAGTAACCGTCATGGGTTAGAAAAGTCAGTTTCCGAACTCATACCTAATCAAAAATGTATGGGGAAACTTAAAACGTCGTATTGTAACCAATACATTTAAAAATTTTGAAGATTTGTGAAGATTTGCTGAAGAAACATGGTCTGAGTTTCTATTAGTGACTTGCAACAGACTTCTTGCTAGAATGCCAAAAATAATAGCGAAAGTTACCTAAAACGAATGTGGTTTTATTGGATACTAATCTAAGTTTACTTATAAGAAAAAAACAGTGCAAAATATCTAATACGTTCCGAGTTCTAGGCTTAGAAGAATGGGTGTACTTATTATTTTGGCCAACCCATTTTCATGCTTTTTGGATAAAATTGACCCCTGTCTCTAAATTTGAAATGTAAAATCCTTTAGGCAGTTATTTTTATTATCTGGAATAAGTACGGAAACTAAAAATAAAGTGGGTTTTTTTCTTAAGTTTATCAAACAAATTTTATAGGACTTGAAACAAACCACATACGCATGTACTTATTATTTCGGCCAGTAGTGTATATTTATACGATATAAAAAAGATTTATTATGCCCTTGTAGTAGCGAAAAGTAGCGAAAGAGTCATTTCCGACCCTATAAACCATATATATTCTTGATCAGCGTAAACAGGGGAATCTTTCTAGCAATGTCAGAAAGAAATTTTTTTTTTTAAATTTTTTTCACAATTTTATAAGGGGTACCATCATTAAAATTCTCAAAAATCATAAAAAAAATTTAATTTTAAATGCAGTATGCAGATTTTTTAAGCTACAAAAAACCAGCATAGAAAAGCCTTCCAAAGTGAATTTGAGGCACTTTTGACTGAGCTATGATATTTTGAAACTTTGAGTTTTACACAAAATTATCATAAAAAAAATATTTTAAAATTCAAATATTTGGGTTTTCTTGAAGGGTTTTATTATTTTATTTAGTGAAGGAGTCATTTGCGACCATATAAACCATATATATTCTTGATCAGCATAAACAGGAGAATCTTTCCAGTAATGTCCGGAAGAAATTTTTTTTTTTTAATTTTTTTCAAAATTCTATAAGGGGTACCATCATTAAAATTCTCAAAAATTGTAAAAAATTAAAATTTTAAATGTAGTATGCAGATTTTTAGACATAGAAAAAACTAGCATAGAAAAGCTATCCAAAGTGAATTTGAGGCTCTTTTGACTGAGTTATGATCGATTTTTGATGGGATGATGACAGATCCTATGGCAAAATGCAAGGGTATACAAATTTCGGCTTTCCTAAGCAGTTTTTTTTTCTTGTTTTTGTCCATATATTCCATATATATTCTGTATACTTTTTCTCTTAAGAAATGTATCTAACCACATCCCCAATTCAGAGTTAGTTTTCACAATTGTAGAAAGAAAAGCATACAGTTGAAGCTGCTAATTTCCCAAGTAAATATTATTTTAAACCTTTGCTTTCAGACTTTTTGTTAAAAACAAATGATGTAACTTGATTTTAAACTATATATTAGGACAAGAAAGCTAACATTGGGTATGGTTTGTAAAGCTATTGACTCACCTGATCGTAGTCCACGCGCATGGTGGCCAACGAGCGCGTCATCTCCTCTTGCACCTCCGGCCAGGTCTCCTCGCCCTCCTTCAGCATCCGGCCCGTGCAGAGCGGCGTCTGGGGAACGGCATTGTACTGGGCAATCCACTTGTTGCGTATAACATCCTGGATGCGCAACCGCTTGCTGGGATCCACATTCAGCATGCCCTTGATCAGGTCCTTGGCCGCCTGGCTGACGTTCGTCCATTCGGGATCAGGGAAGTCGTACTGGCCGGTACGTATGCGCTTCTTCATCCCCGGCGAAATGGCCATGCCGTTGTTGCTATAGAACGGCGGAAAGCCGCACATAATGATGTACATGACCACGCCCAGGGACCAAATGTCGCAGCTCTTGTCGTACTTCTCCGGACCGAGGACCTCGGGAGCTGTGAAAGAAACCAAACCGAAATTAAGGAAAGTCTACAAATTATGTGCTATTTTTGTGTTTAAATCATAGAAAACTCTGCTCCCGATGCAGAGGCATCCCCAAAGGTCACTCACCCACATAGTAGGGCGTGTAGCAGGGCGTCTGCAGCGTGTCATTGGTGAATGTCTCCTTGGCAAAGCCAAAGTCCGTCAGCTTAAGAATCGCATTGGGTTGGGAAGTGGTGTACAGCAAGTTCTCCGGCTTGAGATCGCGATGCGCAATATCCCGACTGTGCAGATAGTCTATTGCCTCGCAGATCTCGTGCATTATTTGGGCCGCCTCACGCTCCGTAAACGCACCGTCCGCCTTGTCCTGAATGCGCTGGAACAGTTCACCGCCCTCCATGCACTCCATGACGACCAGCAGGCACTTGCGCCCACTGTACGTATTCTCGTACACATCGATGATGTTGACAATGTGCCGGCAGCCGCTCACGCGCCAGTGGAGATCGACCTCGCGGCGGGCCTTCTCGTTGTCCAGTAAAACCTTGAGGGCATAGTTTTGTTTGGTGCGACGGTGGCTGCACTGCACCACCTTGCCATTGATGCCCAGGCCCAGCACCGTGTCCGAGATCTCGTAGTCGTCCACCAAAGGAGTGGTCTTCGGTTGCCGTTGGTTCTGCAGCGAAAGCATTTTGGTAGTTTGAATGCTTGAGGGGATCTCTAACTGAAAGGAAAAAATGTTAACGTGGTAAGATTCATATTTTATATATTTATATGTATAAATTTATATGATTATTTATATTTTTTGTAATATTTGCTATTATATTTGTATCTTTTTATTATTTTATTTAATTTTATAAAGCTTACAGTTGCAATTAAACTAATTGCCAACTTTGTTAAGCTATTTAAGCCACACTGTAAATTTAATTATAGCAAATATCTGGTTAATTTAAGGCCACAAATTGTTACTTTTTATTGATAATACCGTTAAGGATATTGTTGATTTAGTTAGTGTAACAAACACTAATTTAAATCAATAGTTTGAGCCGTGAAACATATTGTATCTGACGCCTTTTCTAATAAAAAGGTTAACTAATTTAAGCTGTACGACGGTTTAATATAGTAATTGCAGTAAAATTATTTAATGCCCCTAAATTTACCCTTTTTTTTAAATATTTTTTTACATAAAAACCCCAATGACATCAGACTTCAGAGTTTTAAGCCCGCACCCACGCTTAAATAAGCTTTTTTTCTGCCATAAATCATTTGCTGTGGCAGTGAAAAAAGCAGGAAAATATAAATAAAGGTGGAAACCAGATAAAGAACGGAAAAAGCCACAGCGGAAGTTGAATAAGCACGGAGAAACAATACAAAAACCTTGTGATAAATAAAAATTAAAATTAAAGATACATTTATGAAACAAAAATCTGCTAAATAAAGACTATAAAATGCTGTTAATTCAGTGTAAAAACCCTAAGCAAAAAATAGTAATATTCCCTAAAATTTGATAACAATCAAGTTCTTTGGTTTTGGCAAGTGTAGTCTATATAACCCTCTATAACTGTAAGCTTTATCTACAAAATATATGCAGATCCAAAACCACGGGCCACCGATCGATCTCGCAATCGATTTAAATTGCATGCAAATTGCCTTACAGGCAGAAAAGCGGTCGCTGCATACGGCCATGTTTTCCGGCAAAAAAAAAAAAGAAAACACCAGGAGATTACACAATTCTCTTTTTACGGGGAAAACAGGCTGGCAGGAAAGCAAAGAACGGTGGTAATTGCATATGTTCGACTTGAGGCTCTATCGGTTATCGCTAATATCGATAGCCGCCTAGGAGAAGGGCGAGGGCGGCGACAGCGGGGTGGGCGGGCAATGTTCGCTATGCTGTGTGCGTTAGTGTGCGTGTGCACTGGTGAAATTACTGCTCCGCTTCCCCCCGCCCAATTGTTTTTGTTTATTTCGAGCACATTACGCATTGCCGAAAAAAAAAACGTTTTCTCCTGTAAAATCTGTTAATTAACTCGAGTTTTACTGTCCGCCTAGCCCACATACACAAGCACACACGGCGACCCGCGCATTTATACACATACACATTCACAAATGCAAACAATGCGTCATGTTTTCTCACTGTTAACTAGTATTTTCTACTTTTTCGGTCTCCACTGTACCCGTCGCCGCCGCCGTACGTGAGGAAGGTTTTTTTTTTTATCTTGTTATCGCTGGCCGTAACTTTTCGATCGCTGGCCCAGATTTTTCTTGCCGCTGCCCTGCCCTTTGCATCGCCCCCGGGCGCTTTTCGCATTATCACCTGCTGTTCAGCTGATCGGTATTTACCTTCGGTTATTTGTTTTAGCGTGCTATTAACGAACGAAAAAAAAAGAACAACAACCCGAACCGAAATTTATAGTTATTTACGCTGGGACAGAGCTGGAAGTAGAATCGATTGCGCACTCGATGCATCGATACCAACGGGTTTTCAGGACTATCGGATTCAGTGGCATGCCCCATGCGAACTACTAGTTCCGAGCTATCGATATTTATCCGTTTTATTTTAAACTAAAAGAAGCTTAAAACGCAGTGATTTAAACATTTTATTTTAAAATTTTTAATTTAAAAAATCTTGAAGAAAATATCTCATAATTTTACTAAATTTGTAATTCGTAAACCCTCCCAATAATTTAAAAAATAAAAAGTCCCATTTGTACTTGTACGCGTAGTGTCATTTATTATTCAATATCCATGATCAATAGTGGTGCACAGGTGTATCGTATCTATCATCAACATTGGGTAGGCTTGTGATCGGGGGGACAGGATCGGGGAATGGATGGGACATATGGGGTGAAATTGCAAATAACAATTTGCCAACAGAGGCCTCGTGCCTCAGGAGAGCTCCTCTTGGGCTTGGCTTGGAGTGGGCGGCTTAAATAACGGTACCAGCTAAAGGCTACGACTAAGACAATAGTTAACATTTCACGTACATCCAACTCAGTGCTAAATATGTGTGTGTGTATGTAAATATGTATTAGGGAGGCAAGGAAAATTCAGAATCAAAAAATTGGTAAAATATAGAATTAAGCTTTAAAATATCAATCGATAGGTAATTATTTTGTTCAAATATTAAAAAAATAGAATCAAAGAATGATTTTGAAGTTATTTGATTTATCTGCTCGCTTGAATTGTTGCGATAATCAATATCGATATCGATATCCCGCCCTCCCTAATACATACGCCACAGATTCGTTAGTGATGCGTTTCCTCTGGGGTTTTCTCTGCTCTATCATTGATGATCCATTTATCGATTATCGTTTATCATTTGTTTAACTTTAGAATGGCGCTTTGTTGTTGTTGCATTGGCTATCAATGTACAAAAACAGTGTGTGAGAGAAAATTCGCTTAGAAAAATACATTTGGTTTGTGTTTGTGTCTCTCCTGCTTGGATTTCCTTCTGCTCTGTTCGCTAGCCCTAATTTTAGTCTAATGGCAGATATCGAGATTCACCGTGTGTAAAGTGTGTGAGTGTGTGTAGGGGCTCCTCTCCCGCTAATAGTTGAACTTTAAATTCCTGCATTCGTTTTCAATCATCTCCTGGATGTCCCTTTGTCCGTAGTTCCTCCTGGCGCTCCTCCTTCTCTCTCGTTTCTCTTTTAGCTATAGTTTTGTAAACTGAAGGTACATTTTTTGTATCAATTTCACGTTCCTCCTCTGCCTCTCTCGAGGACCTGCTCTCTCTCCTCGTCTAGAGGAAGCTGTCGCAACTGTTCTCCGCCTCGCTGTTGGAGCAATCCATGGCTGGCAGGGAAACGCCGCGGCGATAGACCCACTGCCGCTGTTGCTGGTGCGCCGGCTCACAGCTTGCACTTGAGCTGATGATGCTCCCGCTGCCACTGCTCCCGCTTCCGCTCCCGCTGCTCCCATTGACAACGCTGCCACTTATGTGACTACCACGACGCCGGGATGTGGACGAACTATCGAGCGTAGCAATGGCATTGAGGCGCGGAAAGTACTTGTACATCTCCAGCAGGCTGCCCAGCTTGATGTGTGGCCTGTACTCCACATCCTCCAGCGACTGGGCGGCCGAATTGCTGCTGCTGCTCAGCGGCGTCCAGAAGGTGAGCCCCAGCTGGGCCAGGTGACCGCCCTGCCAAGTGGATTTATAGTTAGCTTGGCCTCCAACAGAGTAAAGCCATATCGAGTGACACTTACCTTGATGTCCGTCTCCAGTTTGTCGCCAATCATGGCGCACTGATGCGGCTTGACGTTGAGGAAATTGCAGGCGGCATAGAAGATCTCCGGATGGGGCTTCTCCCAGGGCAGGTCGGAGGACACCAGAACGCAGTCAAAGTAGCCGCGCACATGCAGCTTGGCCACCTTCTCCCACTGGGCATTCGAGGGCCCGTTGGTGATGAGGGCCAGGGCGTAGCCCGCCTGGCGCATGCGCACCAGCAGCTGGACATAGTCGGCCGGAACGGCCAGATAACGATAGCGCAGGCGCAGCCACTGCGGATATATCTGCTCGGCGAGGTGCTTGTGTCGCGGTGGCAGCGATTCGCGCCACAGATGCGTCCGCCAGGAGTCCAGCGAGGTCTGCGAGTTATCCGGACACCGGCGGAAGGCCTTGAGGAAGTTTTGCGTGGAGAGGCTGGCGTCATCCTTGCTGAACTGGTACTGCGTCTCCAGAACGTCGCCGAGCTGCAATCGGAGATCAGACAGAGGGGGCGAGAACGTAATCAGCGGTTGTGCAATGTCAGGTGAGATTGCCCAAGCAGTTGCAATGCTTTATCAGGGCTCTGATCGGCCCATAACCGCCGATAATTAGCATATATAACATATATAATGCAATGTAATGGAATGTGTAACAGATCAAAGGTGTCAACTACGAAAAGTTTGCTGTAGCTTCGAATCAAGGCTAAAAATATCAGGTTATTGATATGATTTTTGGGTAGAATCCAAGTTAAAAAGTCCAATAACTAATTTAAAAGTGTTCTAATTTTAAAGCCAACTTTAGCAGCCAAAGTTGGTACATATATCCTGGCAGGTTGCAATTGGGCCAAAAGCCAAATCTTAAATAATTCATAACTCTGTCGAAAAAGCCTCAAATTCACTTTGGAAAGCTTTTCTATGCTAGTTTTTTGTAGCTTAAAAAATCTGCATACTACATTTAAAATTTTAATTTTTTACAATTTTTGAGAAAAAAAAAAAAAAAAAATTTTCTCCGAACATTGCCAGAAAGACTCCCCTGTTTATGCTGATCAAGAATATTTATGATTTATAGGGTCGGAAATGACTCCTTCACTGCGTTTTAAGCTTTTTACTAAAATAATAATACCCTGCGGGCTACGTAAGATCTTATGGCTGCGGATATACTATATAATGTTAGATAGAACGACCTGTAAATGCCACATTGAGCTGAAATCCATTTCGAGGCCCCTTACCCGTACATTTCCGCTAATTTACTTGATTTCTTCCCCCATATCTTGATCAGTTTATGTAGATACAGAGCCAAGTGCAAGCCGCAAGAATGTGTCTCAAGCTTATCATAAATTTCGGTGATCTCTCTTTCTCCGATAACAATGAAGCCAACTGAATAAAGAAACCGACTAACCGACAGTCGGGGAATGACAATATTTGTGTCTAAACATAGCACTATCTGGGCTTCAAATTCGATAACGAAGTCAAGTGATTAAATTGCCAGCGATTAAACTATATAAAAAGTTAAAGAACTCACACCAGATACAGGGGAAAAGTCGAGAACGAATGTTTCAATTAAAAGTGAGAAACATTATTTAAAAATGGCAATAAATCAATTCCCTTATTAACTTTTCCCAGCCCCCTGATGATAATCCGAATCCCTAGCTTATGTTAATTAACATTTGTGAACTGAAAATCAAGTTTGGTTATTGTTGCTATGCTATTAATAGACATGTTGCATTTAATTTTATTTATTTATTTTATATATATTCATTACTTTTCGCTCTTGGCAGCGAAACGGGAGTCAATGTCCGATAGGAATTGAAGTAAAAATAATAATAAGAAACGAGGAAGATAATATCATTTTCTCTTGTTTTAATTTATTATATTTTTTTTTATTATTATTTTTCTATTAATTTTTTTTTTTATTATTATTTTTATTTCAAAACTCATGATACAAACGCCTTTCAAAAAAAAAAAAAACCGCTAATAAACCGATTTATTTATAAGCCTGTGAAATCATACATTTATTTTAAGGGCTGATGATAACAAACGACTTTCCCAAGTGCATTTTAAACGATAAATTAAGGCTATATACTATAGCATATATAATCTGCAAAGTAAATAAAGTATTTTTGGAGGCCTCGAAAGCTGGAGGAGACTTTGCAAAGTGCATGTCTTGCGTGCCGATGAAAAAATACAAAAAAATGACTTTGGTTTTGGGCGCGTGCTATCAGCTGGGAACCCAGTGGCACGGACGGACGGACAGGGCGCGGGAGGAGTGACGTACGGGATTTTTCGACTACGTAACAGCGGCAGCGGGCTGCAGTGGAAAATTTTCTAGCTGCCTGCTGCGCACTTTCACCCCCGAATTCGGGGATACCCGCGGAGAGCGGCGAGCGGAGAGCGCTGAACGTAGAGCGTGGCGTGCGTGGAGAGTGGACAGTGGAAAGCGTGGACTCTTAACTCACCTTGCGGATGGCCTTCAGGTCGCCGGCCCGCGTCGGGATCAGCGTATTGTCCAGGTCAAAGTAGAAGGCAGAGATCTTTGCACATGTCGCCTCGAAATGTGTGGTCTGCTTGGCGGAACTGGAACTGAATTTGCTAGCTGCCATCGGGGCCTCGGGCCAATAGGAGGCAAATGGTGGGCAGGGAGGCGCGCGCGGCGGGAAAGCGAAAGGAAATGTGAACGGGAAGTGGGGAGGAAGTCAACGACGACGACGAAGTGCAACAAAGGTGCAGTTTCGAAATTGGCGCCAAGGCACAACGACAACTTGTTCTGCAACTAAAAACAAAAACTGTCCGCTCGCGTCGGCGGAGTTCAAAAGTGAAGCTAACGGAACGACTAAGGGAACAGGTGAATAGTAATGGCCATGGCGAGCACACAGAGGTGCAAGTTGTGTCGATTCTGCGCATATCGATAGGCAATCATCGGAGCAGCGGACAGTGTGCGAGTGAGAGAGCTGGATAGGGTTGCCATAGTTTACGTGCTTCTAACGACTCGCCAATGTGTTAGAGCGAGCTAACTATAGTAGCGTAGATGGCGCTAAGAAGGTTCTGCCGCTGTAACCAGTATTTCTCGCAAAATTTTTGATAAAACATATACATTTTAATTCTGCATGTTGCTTACAAAAGTAAAAGCGCCTAGATACAGCGCTCTGTTCTTCAAATAATAGTTATTTCTACCGTTTTTCAGCACTGGCCTATCGATAGTTCCGGGCGATAGGTTTTCGCAAAAGAGTGGCATCCCCGCTGTTTGGTCTCGAAATTTGTAAAAATTGAGTTTTTCGTATTGTTTCGGTTTTGTTCTCGTTTAAAAGAATGGACAAGAAGGAATCAGGAGTGGAGGCTTTTGCACCAGGTACGTGGACAACGAATACCCGAAAACCGCACTTGGAAAACGCATTTTTTGCCCATAGAAACCATACAGAAAATGGACGAGGATGCTGCCGCCGCGGCGGCCGTTGATTCTGATGTGTTGGCCGCCAGCAAGATGTTGATTCCAGTCACAAAGACGCCGGAGGATAACAAGGAAGTCCTTGGAATGCACGAGGACGAGCTCATCTCGCAGGAGACGCTGCGCGCCTCACCCATCCAGTGGCCGGAGCGATGTGAGTGTAGAAAACGTGACCACTTTTTGCAATTTGGCGCCATGTTTAACGTTCTTTCTCGTTTCAAGTCCCCGGAATGGAGGAGTTCCTTACCATGAGCGACACGCCCATCTACACACCCACCATGGATCGTAGCAACAATCTGACCGCCGAGGACATAGCCCACATGAATCGTGAGTAGAATCCTTCTCCTTGCCTTGGGAATCATTTTAATTACCTCTTATATTTCACTCAGAGCTCTCCCAGCTGGAGCCCGATCAGCTGGTGGAGAAGATCAAGTCGCTGCAAGACGAGATCTACCAGCTGGGACTGCGCGAGGCCAAGGAGATGACTCGCGGCAAGCTGCTGGGCATCTTTGACCGCGACCAGCTGCCCAAGCGGCAGCCGTAGGATGACCATGATCTCGTCCCTAGAGACTTAGCTGTAGTTATAGTGTATATATGTATGTAACGGCGCGAGTGTAGAGTAAAAGAGAGCAAACAAGGACCAAAACGAGTGACAGAACCAGTAACTAACGTTTATTTTGTCCATTAAAGCATTTTGCGGGTCCTACAGATACACATGCGAGGAGGAGGAGGAGTCGTGATGGCGGCGGCGGAAAGGCACAGTCGTCTGATGGGCGATTCTCTCTAACGCAACAAGAAACTCTGTGGATATATATCTTCTATCTGGCCTACTCCTGCCACTGCATCCCGAATCGCTGCTCAAAGGTGATCCTGTTGTACACCCCTGCATCGGCCAGCTGCATGGGATCGGTGTAGTAGGCGAATCGCCGTATGTCCAGCATTGCCACATCAAACATCTGCTTCCAGCTGGTCAAATCCGTGACGCTCATGTGGATCGGCAGCTGGGGATCTGGTATATCGATGGCCGCCTGCAGCCGGTCAAAGGCCTCGGCTATGGGTCCCACCGATAGATTCACCCAGTATTCGGCCGGAAATCGCTTGTTCTCACAGAACGGCGCCCCCTTGCGCATGATGAAGACCAGCATGAGGATCTCGTAACGCTCGGAGCTCTCGTAGAAGCGCTTGGTGCGGGTCTTCTCCACGAAATCGATGAGCAGGATCAGCGGTGTGTAGTTCTGCAAGTGCATAAGCAGCTCCCTGTCCGTCCACAAGTAGCGTCCACCAGCGCCACCTCCTCCGCCTCCACCCTTCATGCTGAGCATGCTCATGTGGCCAGGGAGTTGCTGGTGGTGCTGCTGCTGTTGCTGGAGTTGCTGCTGCTGTTGCTGTTGCTGAAGTTGCTGCTGCTGCTGCTGCTGTTGGTGCTGCTGCTGGTGATGTTGAATGCCTGCTGCGGCTGCTGGTGCTCCGCTGCTCGTTGCCACCTGGCTGGGCATGGCGACCACAAGGCCCGTCTGTCGCTGGCAACCAATCTCCTCGACCATGTGCTGTCCTCTGCTGCAATGACGACGAAATGCAATTAAGGCAAGTGACCCCCCAGTAGTCAGTAGCCGTAACTAGGCCAAGGTCGGCTCGGGTAGGTGGTGGGTGGTGGTTGGGTTACTTGTTGCAATGCAATCAACTTACGGCGGAAATTAGATGGGCAACGAGCGGGGGAACCTGGAGCGGGAGCTGGGAAGCGTGACAGGCGGCGGCTCTTGGGGCTAAAGCTATGGCTACACCTTCAAGCTATTGGCTTGTCAGCTTCTGAGCGTTCCCAGCAGCTGCTGCTGCTGCGAGGACCGTGTGTGTCCTGGACGATTGTTGCCACGCGAGTGCGAGTCGCAGCAGCAGCAACATCAGCAGCAGCTCGTCGCCATTCGGGCTGCTTACGGGCGTTACTCGGCTTGCTCGGGAGACGGACTCGGCTCCCAGTTTGGCAATGAACTTATTGGATGCGGCGCGCTCTGGCCAACGCTTGTCGTCAGATTGGCTTGGCTTGGCAACAAGAAAAACCTGGCAAGTTGGCCAACGGAAAAACCTATTTATAAAAAATATAAAGTAGCCCAAAAATAATTTATAAAAGTATAATTTAAAGAAAAGGCCTCTTAATTATAAAATAAAAAAGTACAAAAGGGATAATTATTAATATTAAAAAAAAATCTTTTTGTTATTACTTAAAATATAAATATAAATAAAACAATAATTAAATTTAAAAAAAAACCTCTTAAAAAAGGATTTGAAATTCCCGATCGAATTTAAAGGGTTCCTCAAAACAATAATAAATAATTAAACAATAAAAATAATTAAATAAATATTACACATTAATAACAGATGAGGGTATAATTACAAAATAAAATAATAAAAAAATAAGAAAAATTATTAAAATAAAAAATAATAATTAATAAAATTAAATTAAATAATATAAAAAATTAAATTAATTATAGAGTGAATAATTACAAAATGAAATACTACAAAAAGGAAAATTATTAAAATAAAAAATAATAATTAATAATAAATTAAATGAAATAAAAAATTAAATAAATTATAATTACACAATTGAAAGTATAATTATAAAATAAAAATTAAATGAATTGTGTTAATCCGTAAATGAAGTCCCAAATACAATAATTGCGAAATAAAAAACAAATTGTTATCTTTTAACATCAAAAACATGTATTTTTTCCTTAAATAAAACATTCTTATAAATTTTTTAGCACAAAATGAATGTTCGGCTTACAAAAAAAATCAATATACTTAGCCTATGGCCTTAGGAATATTACTTTTTTGTATATTTAAAAAGAAAAACAGTACATAGAAAATAAAAATATATAGGAATAGACTTAGCAGGGCTCTAACTTGGCCAAATGGCGATCGAAGCCGGCCTTGTGCTCGTTCTTGAGAAAGCGCCGCATCCCAAGGAACAGATAGCGCAGCTGTGGACCCCCAAGCACCTCCAGGAGCACCCGCATCAGCCGCTCGAAGCTCTCGTCGCTGCCGTTCTTGTATTCAAGCAGAGCCTTGCCAAAGTCCCGGAACTGATCCTGGCTAACGCGACTGCGCACCTCCCGCAAAAACACCGCTCTATCCTCGGGTGCCACCTTCACTGGAGAACTAAGAGGCGGCTTGGGCTCTGACTTGACCTTGATGTTCTCCACCAGCTTGTAGCGCTTCTTCGAAGCCTGGGAAGTACTGCCCTCCGTCTCCGGTTGCGTGGGTGAGCTACGTTCTCGCTTGTGGATCTTCACCAGGCCACTTTTGCCGCTGCTGCTGCTGCCCTCCGAGCAGCAATTGAAGTCAATACTCTGGCCAGGGCAAAACATAAATAAAAGACAAATAAACCAACACCCAACACTCACCGAGACATTCGAGTCGAGGCGGCTCATAAAGTCCATGGCATTAGGTATGGCTGCTCCCGATGTCCCCAACTTATGCCCAACTGCCTGGGCATAGTCGTCGGGTGTCCATGTCTTGATGGAATTGGCCATCTCCACTTTCCTGCAAGAAAGACAAACCCCAAGTAACCCAAGTTAGCATGTAGTTCTCCCTTTTTTCCCCCGAAATACACACATTGCCGTCTCGTTGGCCGCCTTAAAGGAGAAACTGGAGCCCGGCTCTCGCTTGATCTTGGGAATAATGGCCGAAAGGGGCGCCTCCTCTTCCGGCTTGCAAACCGTCTGCAAAGGCGGCTCCGACTCCCGTTCATCTGGCTGCTTCATCTGGGTTTTTGGAGGGGAAAAGGAAAAGCTAAAGAGGAAGGAAAATAAAAGGATATCCCCCATACTCACTGTGGCCTCGGCATTCCTAAAGAACTGACGCAGCTCACGGACAATGGGACCAAAGGGCGAACACTGCGGCCGATCGCCCAGGTGACCACGAATCCACTTGGACAGCTGCTGCACCTGAGAGGCGTCTTTGAAGCGGGAATCGCACAGCAAAATGGCCCCATAGTCGTTCCGATGACGGATCACTCTCCCAATGGCCTGGTTGACGGCCCGAGTGGCATCCAGATTATACCACTCCTGCCCGCTCAAGAGCTGGTTTTCTCGCGTCCGATTCGCCTCCAGGTAGCGTCGCTTCAGTATCACCTTGGGGTCCTTTAGCGGCGGAAAGGGCAGCCCTGTGATGATGACCGCCCGTCCGTTGCGGTCGGCAAAGTCCAGACCCTCGGACACCTTGCCGCGACAAACGGCCATGAAGACGGCGCCCTTGGAGTCGCGTATGGCCTGATAGAACTCCTCCATGGTGCTAGTGAACTGATCTTTGCCCCGCGGCTCCAGAAAGATGGGTTTCTTGGCCGCGATGTCCGCCCACAGGCCACTCGCCTGCCACGAGTCCACGCACTTGTTGAGCATGGGGTACGAGGGGAAGAAGACCAGCAGGCCGTCGGGCACGATGCGGGACACATTCAAAATGGTCTGGCCCAGGGAGCTGATGTACTTGGGATTGTCCCTGGAAATAGACACCGGATTTGGATTTGTCAAGCGAAGAAGGGACTCTGGAAACCTACCGATTTGTGTAGTTTGATATGAGCTGCTGGCGATCGGGACCGGTGCCTATGATCTTTACATACACCTGAGACTGATCCACTATGTGCGGATTCTCGAGATGCTGCGCCACCGGAATCGCCAGCTCGGCTATCAGCGGCTTGAGCGGCGCCAGTGTGCCGCTGGTGAGGATCACGCTGCGCACTTGGGTATTGAGCAGCTGCTCCATGCCGAAGCCAGGATTGAAGCACCAGAAATTGACAATCTTGGCCTGCTTGGCAGTGCTGGTGGTGGTCAGTGTGCCTTTGCTGAGCCAGCCCCCCGGCTGTGGTTTGTTTCCGGGCTTGCCCTGCTGCTTGGTCTCCTCTAGCTGGACATGAACCTTGAAGCTGGCGTACACCTTGCTCATTACATCCTCCTTGTTGGCAAAGACAATGGTCAGGAGGTCGCTGAGCAGGCTGAAGGTGCCGCCCTTCCTGATGCTCATCTGCTGCGAGGCCACCATCAGATACTGCACGAGCTTGTCCAGCAGCGACACAATGGTGGCCACATTGCCGTAGCTGAACTGGGGAAGGGAGCTGGTAAGAGGAGGGGAAGGAGGAACAAGGAGACGCTGCCACTCACATTCGCCTTGCCCAGCAGCTCGTACATCATGGTGGCTGGGTAGGTGGTGCCTTCGGCTATGTTGTCCACCACCACGGCATCGATGGCCTTCTCCAGCTCCAGCAGCATCTCCTTGAGCAGCGTCAGATCGTCCAGCGTGAAGTCCTTGGGCTCATCGCCGCCCATATCCTGCGACTCGCCACTGGTGAAGATTTTCATGACGTGCGTGATGTCCTCAATGGCCATGGCCACGTCCGAGGAGCGGATCTGTACAGAGGCGGACTCCTCGCAGATCTTCTCGATGTTGTGGGCCTCGTCGAGGATGACAATCGTGTTGCCCAGCTCGATCTTGTTGGCCTTTCGCGCCTTGGGATCCAGCAGGTAGTTATACGGCATAAAGGTGATGTCCGCCTGGGCCACCAGCTCCTTGGAGGCGAAGTACGGACACATCTTGAGGCGCTGACCGACCTTCACCAGATCCTCAATGTCCATGATGCTCGGACCGCGAAAGTCCGGATGATCCTTCTTAGACTCGACGCGCAGCTGGAACGTGCAGGTCTTGGAGTGGACCCTCAGCTTGCACATGTTCGTCTTGTTTGAGTTGCCCTGCTCGCGCATCACATCCGGATGGATGCACAACTGGTCGCGGGAGCCCAGCACGACGGACCGCATGTTGGCGTACGCCGTCCGCTTCAGCTCCCGCATCGCCTGCGTCAGTTGAGAGTGCGTTCGTGAGGCGTAGATCACCTTTGGCACGCCCCAATTGTTAATCTTGCCCACGGTCCTCGCCAGATCCGAGAGCTCAACGCCTGCTCCTGCTCCCGCGTCACCCTTATCCAGCTTGAGCATCTGCTGCTGGTGCTCGGATTGCCGGGTGCGGATCCAGGCCAGGGAGGAGCAGAGCAGGCTCAGCGTCTTGCCGGTGCCAGTGGGCGACTCGAGCACGCCGTTGGTGCCGTCGCGCAGGCACTGGATCACCTTCTCCATATACGCCCGCTGCACCGGGTACGGCTCGAAGGGGAAGTGCACCGGGATGCCGGCGATTAAGCTCTCCGGCATTTTGTGTCCGTCCGTGCTATATTTACAAAAACCACTTTCCTTGTCGTAGTTGCCTTTTTTTGTTTGCGCGCCAAGGCAGGTCTGAACATGCCGATAATCAGCTGTTTCGCCAGTTCTGTTGCGGTTTTAGTGCTAAAATAGCTGTTTCTGGTGGGAAAATATTGGATATTTAATAATTACGGAGAAAACATGGAGTAGTTGCTAGATGTGCGCTTATTTTATGGTTTACGCACTTAGCGTGGCGCATAACAAATCATTTATATCGACTCTTTAAATAATACGGTTGACCTAATATGTAATAATTCCGTCGACAGTTTCGGCCAGAAGATACAAAATTTGAGAATTGTGCATGCCTAGAGCGGCTTGCAGTTAAATAACCGATCATATACATATTTTTAACAGTCTAAATTTGTGGTTTATAAGGGTTTTCAACAATATCCGCTTGGCAATTAAAGTGGCAATAAAATAGGTAAGGCCGCAGCACTAGCCGAGGGCGAAAATCGATTCCTAGGTTTGAGCCACTGCTCAAACATGTCAAAGACACCAACCGTCTTTGTTTTTCTTTCCAGTTTCCGCATTAAATTGGCATTCTTCTGTTACAGTTTACTACAGTTTAATTGTTGTAGTAATAATTGATCAATTAATCACTTGACGTAAGCCAGCAAAAGGCGAATCGCCCGAATACTCTGCAGTTTCTAGCGCAGCTCCGAACCAGGGAGCGTGCATAATCCTGTCGATTCACGTCGGCCTGCGGCTATCGACTCATCGCCCTCTCTAGACAGTCGCGGAGATCGGGCCACTGCCAGCGCCAGCTCAAACTGTTTTTTTTAGTTGAATCGAATGGTTGGTGGACCCGGAGCAGCTAGCCCAGAATACGAAATACGAAGCAGAAGAAGCTGGCACGGCCGGAACGCAGGCGTGTGTGTGTGTGTAAGCAGCCCCACTACTACCTAGACGAGCGAACGATTGTGGAGACGACGACAACACGACGGCCGTCCCATTGTTGGTGGCGGGCGGTCGGACGTTCAGTCGCTCGGTTAGTTGCAACGACGGTTAGTCGCGTCGGTCGGTTGTTCTGTGCACCTTAGGCAGAGCCACATACACGTAGTAATACGCGCCCCGCTCCGTTTGTCGTTCATCGTGCTCTCTTGCTCTCGCGCTCGCTCTCGCTCTCTCCCCTGCCCCCCAGCCCGCTACCTCTTCGTGTGACTGCGTGCTCCCTCGCTCGCGGTGGTGATAAATTTTTTTTGGCACAAAGTAAAAATATAACAGAATAAAAAATCGTGGCGCGGATAGAAGGTAATCGAAATTATTGCAAGTATTGGCGCTTCGAGAGGAATAAGAGGAGAGAGCCGCTATCGCCGCCACTCTGCCGTGTGCATTTTTCGGTTCTCGTATTTTTTTATTTTGCGTTCGTTGGTTGTTTGTGATTTTTTATCGCAGAGGCATTTGTTGTTTGGTTAAATGGCAGCGTGTGAGTGCTTTTCGAAACTCTCACTCGACGAAGTACTTGTGCCAGTTGAGAGATGCTGTTAGTCCGCCAGCTCGCGTGCGTGTGTGTGCGCCATCCATGCCCAGTGGTTGAGTGTTAAAAAAATATAAAAAAGTCGGCGTTTGTTTGTGTGAGTGTTGTTTTTGCCCCAAGATGGGCTTATCCGACGAATTGCCACAAATCCCATACAAATATTAGGCAGAATTGTGCATGCGATCTGCAGTTTAAAATTCGAGAGCTTTGGCGGCTACGCATGCGGTAATCGATTTGCCGGCTGCAGCAACTCTGCCGATTGGCGATAGGCGCCAGCGATACAACAGCTGCCCACTCTAATCCCAGCGTTATTATCACATGCAAATTAAGGTCAGTCAAACTGCGTGTGTGCGTTTGTCAAATGGAAAAATGACCCAGCAAGCTGGATTGCCCCCACGGCCCGTGGCCCCTGCCCTCCCCCTCTTTGCGACTGCAATAACTTAACAAGTTGTGTGTTTATCGCCTCGCTCTTTTGGCCAGCACTGGCAACCCTGTGCGCTACGGCTGCGGCTGCATAAGTGAATTCCGACGAAGAGCCGTGTCATTATAACCTACCGCCTCTCCGCCGCCCCCAACCTTCTGCGCGATTAATTGGCCACTAAAACTCGATTACCCAAAGCGGCGGTCGCCCTAAATCATTTGTTTTGAGAGTATGTGTCTGTGTGTGTGTGGATTGCCAGCGTCGAACACAATAGGGCAACCGCCTTCGCCACCCCGTTCGCCCCACCACCTCCGTGTGCGGGTGGCTCCCACACAGTCCCAGAGAGTTGCCAGACCGTCAACGACAATTGCTGAACTCAAACTTTGCATTATCATATCGAATAACACACACACACACACACACACGCGTAGTTCGTGTGTACGTGAACGGATCCTCGGGGGGATGATGGCCATTGGAGCCAGCTTCACCTGTGCGTCGCATTGTGTGCTCCCCGTGGCCATCTGGCAACCTTGAGTCCGCGTGTGTGTGCGTGTGTTTGCGCTCTTATTCAAATAGAAATTGAATGTTTTGCACTCGAATTCCGTCAATTACCGCCGTAGCGTTGGCAGTGATAACGCGATACAACTGGACGGTCGTTTGTGGCAGCGCGTCAATGAAATGGGGAGGAACATCGTAGGCGTGTTGCATTAGAGGCTGTCGTTTCGGCGATCTAACTCCCAGGCTTGGCTTATGCTATTCCTCGCTTTCTTGCCCCCTTAATCCTTTTGCTCGGCCGTCAGAGATGCGTAGGTCGTGCACCGTGATCGTGAGCGATATTGTGTAATCAATTTCAGCTCTTTTTGTTTTGTATAATACCTGGACCCTTTTCAAGATTTGCAAGATTTTCGAGAAATCTGAAGACAGAAAGTACAAGCTTTTATTTAGAGCAGAGAAAAACAGAGATGCTGGTTGAGGGAGTAATAGTAAGTTGCAAAATGATCATTTTGTTGCTTAGACTGACTAGGTTTCTACCTGAAAATAAAGTAAGGTATTATTAAACCGTTATAAAATGTTTAATTTGAGATCAAAATTTAAAGCAAACCTTTTATTTTACCAAACAATTCTTCGTTGAAATCCAATGTGTTACCTGTTGAATTATATAAGGTAATATATAATTCTTGATGATCATTCTTGAGCTTTCTCACGAGCCGCGTTGCCTACCTGGCCCACGATTAATGTGGTCATCTCTAGGCTGACGCCAACAGAGCGTAGTGCTAGCTGGCGTCGAGTGAATCATGATGCAAATACTTAAGGTGGACTCATAAGCTTTGTTGGGTACGAACGAAACATTAAACATGTTAAGAGGCAAGAGCTTAATAGCGATAACAAGCGAACCACTGTTCTGAGAAGAGAGCACCATGCCACCATGCATAGTTACACCATGAAGTGAATGACTCCGTTGTGGGGCATCAAGGCAGAGCCGCAGAGGAAAGGAAACAGATAAAGATAGAGCAGCAGAAGTAGACGTAGCTGAAGCAGAAGGTAAAAGAAGGGTTGGGGAGCAGGGGAAGGGGAGTGGAGTGAAGTGAATTGGAGTGGATTTGGATTTGTGTCAAAGTGTTTTTGTGTCCCCCATAAATATGCAAAAAACATCTCGAGCACCAAACGACTTACAGACCCCCTGGGATTTTAATTCCATTTCGTTATTTAATTAGCACATGATGTATTTTGTTCAGTGTGGGTGTATGGGGGGGAATGCCAGTGATTACGCAGTATCTTGATATCTTTTGCCTAATCGATTGATTGGCATACACTGCGTATGCGCAACGTTTGATAATTTTTATAGAAAAGACCACCAGTTGCAGCCCCGTTTCATTACCATTGCGTTTCGTTTCTCTTTTCCCACTTGTTTCAGTTCAGGTCAACGTTGTTGTTGTTTATTATCCAGTCCAAATGTCAGCTGTTTCACGCAACATGTACCATAAAAGCGGAACAGCGAAGCGCAGAAAAAGAGCAAACCGATCAAGCCCAGGACAGCAGAAGCAGCAAAAGCAAGAAAGAGAGCGCTGCTAACAACGTAAAAACAAAATCAATGAACACACACATGCATAGGCGCAGCAACAACAACAACAATAACCATAGAAGAAGCAACAACAAGAATTAAACAACAGGAGAAAGAAGAAAAGAGGGAGCCTAACTGCTAAGCGAGCGGAAAAGATAAAGTGCAGCGGAGCTCACTAAAAAGAGATAGAGGGATAGGAGATCCATCTACGAGGTAAGCGATAAACCCAAATTGTAACATCGTAGTTTCTAAAACCATAATACCCAAACAGTTTCGAAAATTGATGAAATCCCTTCAAAATATTTCAAAATATATCTTTGAATTCAAAATGATGTCATAGGTATTATTTTATTTATTTATTTATTTTTTTTTATTAATTTTGAAATTACAATTATGGAAGCAATAACATTTATTTAAATTATAATTATCAGTTTTATAGCAATATATGATACTATAAAAAATTATGATATGATGATATGCTACTTAGAAATTGTAATCGAAAAATACAAATATCAGAATATACAAATTAAAAGTAATAAACAATGGAACCTAACGTTGGCAGGCCAAAGTTTGTATACCCTGGCAGGTTACAATTGGGCCGAAAGCCAAATGTTAAATAATTCATAACTCTGTAAAAAATCAAATCAATCAAATTCACTTTGAAAGGTTTTTCTATGCTAGTTTTTTCTAGGTTAAAAAAACTGCATACTGCATTTAAAAATTTAAAAAATCCAAATTTTTTACGATTTTTGAGAATTTTAACGATGTAACCCCTTATAAAAATTTGAAAAAAAAAAAAAAAAAAAATTTCTTTCTGACATTGCTAGAAAGATTCTCCTGTTTATGCTGATCAAGAATATACAGCTGTGTTCACGGAAATAGCAGTGCCCAACGACCTGCACGTTTAAGATCGGAAAATCCTGTTACAAACACTATTTTCATAAATTTTTTTTTCATAAAAGCTTAGTATATTTAATTATTAACAATACCACAATCATTTAATTTAGGTAACATAAACCCTTTAGAAGATATAGCTAATAACAACAAAAAAGGTCTATATTATGCCGATCATTGAAATAGCAGTGAAAAACTAAAATTCTTCATACATTTAAAAATATCGTATAAGAAACCTATTTCTTCTTAAATTCTAATTGACTATGATCTAATATTTTGTTAAATAGCCTTTAGAAGCTATCATAGCCTCATACCTTGGTGGCAAGGAGTCCACCAAGTCTTAGCAACGCTTGAGGGGATTATGGTCTCATTCCTCCTGCACAAATTGCCAAAGCTGCATCTTAGAAGTCGGAAACTTCTTTAATACGTAGCCCTTGATGTCCCCCATAAGTTTTCGATCGGATTTATATCCGGGGACTGTGCAGGCCATGGCATTGCATCCACTTTTCCATTAAGAACCCACTCCTTGGCCACCTTGCTGGTATGATTAGGGTCACTGTACTGCTGAAATGCGCAAATTAATGGAATATTTTCCTCAGGATACGGCTGCAAGACAGTTTTTAATATTTGGACATAAACATAATGGTCTTTGATCCGACAGATCATATATACGGGACCTAAAACGTTGTATGAAAAGTATACCCAAACCATGATTTTTAGGCCACCGTGTGTTACTGTCTTCAGCGTATGGTTTGGGGGGCACTATCTATTTGGAGGTCTTGTCTTGTCCTATTCCACCAAATAAAACCAGTTTGGAGTTATTTGTCCAAAGGATATTACGCCATTTGAATACTGGCAGTTCAAGTGGCTATTGGCGAACTCGGATCTTGCCTTGATATGCCTGTAACCAAGCAGTGACATTTTCCATGGACTTCGCGAATCTAAAATTTATTCAATAAGTCCCCGGCGAATGGTCCCATGACTGATTCCCATGCCAATTCCCGCTCATATATCCCTAGAGGATGCAAAAGGAAGAGCTTTGCTGAAGCGAAGTACGCGTCGAGCCCGTATAATTGTGGTTTTGCGAATCGTACCTCGGTTTTTTTGGGTTCGGTTCATAATTTATGACTTATAAACTATTTTAAAAGAACAATTTGAAAGATTTAGAGACTCTTTACATGTTTTGCTCTTCTTTCTAGGCTAAGTAATCTGATACCTTTCTATCATGGAGCAGTGAGGTCCTGCGCCCACTAAAATAATTTTTTTTGCGTTGTAAAGGTGTATTATAGTATAAACTATAATAACGACCTTAATTTAAGTCATTTTTTACAAAATTAAAAGAAATTTCGGCACGTTTTGCTAAAGAAAAATAAAAACTGCTATTTCAGTGATCGGCCAAAACGAGCTGCATATGTGAAAAATATCAATAAAACATAAAAATAGAGCAAATCTAACGGAATTTTTTCTCGATTCTTATCTTTATGTTCCATTTTACAAAAACAATGTGCAATAGATCAGCTTGCAAAAAGGAATATGTACAAAAAAACGTTTTGAAGTTGTTCCTCTGTCGCACTGCTATTTCAGTGAACACAGCTGTATATGGTTTATAGGGTCGGAAATAGATCCTTCACTGCATTAAGCCAACTTCTGATTAAATAAAATACATAAAAATCTATTAATTTATTATTTATTTTATTGCTTTTGTAAGTGTTTGTTTCTATATTCCAAAAGTGCCCCCGAAAAATAGGATTAAGTAAAGCTATTATTTTTATTTTTAATCCAGAGGTATAATACTTAATACTAACTGCACTGTGTTCAAATTTTAGTAGTAAATTTAATTTAAATTTAAACAAACAATTAAATACTAAACAAATCCTTTTGATTTTATATTTCAAGCCAAGAGCAATAGCTACTGGAAGATCGGGAGAGACTAGAAAGCGGAGAGCAGAGGCTGTGGATCATTCAGCGTAGTCGGAGGAGGAACCCCCCGCCATGACAATCATACTCTTCCTGGTGGACACTTCGTCGTCCATGTGCCAGAAGGCGTATGTGAATGGAGTGCAAAAAACCTATCTGGACATTGCCAAGGGCGCCGTGGAGACGTTCCTCAAGTATCGCCAGCGGACGCAGGACTGCCTCGGTGATCGCTACATGCTGCTCACGTTCGAGGAGCCGCCGGCCAATGTGAAGGCCGGCTGGAAGGAGAACCATGCCACATTCATGAACGAACTTAAGAACCTGCAGAGTCACGGCCTCACCTCCATGGGGGAATCGCTGCGGAACGCCTTCGATCTGCTCAATCTGAATCGGATGCAGTCGGGCATCGATACGTACGGCCAGGGCCGGTGTCCTTTCTACCTGGAGCCCTCGGTCATCATTGTGATTACGGATGGCGGCCGGTACTCTTACCGCAACGGTGTCCACCAAGAGATCATACTGCCGCTGAGCAACCAAATACCGGGAACCAAGTTCACCAAGGAGCCGTTCCGCTGGGACCAGCGTCTCTTCTCGCTGGTTCTCCGGATGCCTGGCAACAAGATTGACGAGCGGGTGGACGGCAAGGTGCCGCACGATGACTCCCCGATCGAGCGGATGTGCGAGGTGACCGGCGGACGGTCCTATCGCGTCCGTAGTCACTATGTGCTCAACCAGTGCATCGAGAGTCTCGTGCAGAAGGTGCAGCCGGGCGTGGTGTTGCAGTTTGAGCCGCTGCTCCTGCCCAAGGAGCCGGCAACAGGCCAAGCTGGTTCGAGTGGTAATGCTGGCGCGGGTGCCATTCAAGGTGCTGCCGGTGGAGGCGCGGGCGGAGCTGGCTCAGGATCGGTAGCGGCCACCTCTTCGTCCTCGTCCACGTCCTCGTCCGCCTCCTCGTCGGCGGCGGCGGCGACATCGGGCGGAGCAGGATCAGCAGCAGGAGAAGCGCCCACGGACATAGTCTTCCAGCCGGTGAAGAAGATGATCTACGTGCAGAAGCACATCACACAAAAGACCTTCCCCATCGGCTACTGGCCGCTGCCGGAGCCCTACTGGCCGGACTCCAAGGCCATCACATTGCCGCCCCGCGACGCACACCCCAAGCTGAAGATCCTCACGCCGGCAGTGGACGAGCCGCAGCTGGTGCGCAGCTTCCCGGTGGACAAGTACGAGATCGAGGGCTGTCCCCTGACGCTGCAGATCCTCAACAAGCGCGAGATGAACAAGTGCTGGCAGGTGATCGTGACGAATGGGATGCACGGCTTCGAGCTGCCCTTTGGCTACCTAAAGGCCTCGCCAAACTTCACCCAGGTACATCTATACGTCCTCGCCTACAACTACCCGGCGCTGCTGCCGCTCCTGCACGACCTCATCCACAAGTACAACATGAGTCCGCCGAACGACCTCATGTACAAGTTCAACGCCTACGTCCGCTCCATACCGCCCTACTACTGCCCCTTCCTGCGCAAGGCCCTGGTCAACATCAATGTGCCGTACCAGCTGCTGCAGTTCCTACTGCCGGAGAACGTGGACAACTACCTGTCGCCCACCATTGCCAACCAGCTGAAGCACATCAAGAACACGGCCAAGCAGGACCAGGAGAACCTCTGCCTGAAGGTCTACAAGCAGCTGAAGCAGCCGAAGCCCCCCTACCGCCAGGTGGAGACGGCCAAGCTGTGCACGGGTGCCGCCCTGCGACGGGACCTGGTGCGGCATCCGCTGCTAAGGGACACGTTCGCCAAGCTCCATGCCGAGATCGAGCCCGTGGACAACTACACGATTGTGGTGCCGCAGCTGACGCATCAACTGTCGGCGAAGACGTACCGGAATCCGTTTGATATTCCGCGCCGGGACCTGATCGAGGAGATTGCCCGGATGCGCGAGACGTTCCTGCGACCCGCCTCACTGGTGGCCAAGGATTCAGGCCACTGCCTGCCCATTGCCGAGATGGGCAACTACCAGGAGTATCTCAAGAACAAGGACAATCCGCTGCGCGAAATAGAGCCCACCAACGTGCGGCAGCACATGTTTGGCAACCCGTACAAGAAGGACAAGCACATGGTAATGGTGGACGAGGCGGATCTCAGCGATGTGGCGCCCATGAAGTCACCCAATGGCAACGGGCCGGGCGGTGCGCCGCCGCCGGGTTCCGGTTCGGTTTCGGGTTCGCCCACAGGACCGGGACAACCGCCACCGTCGCCAGGTGGCCCTGGCGTGGGCCAAGGTATGTCCGGCCTATTGATGGGCGGCGGCGGAGGCGGCGGCGGCGGTGGTCTCTCCAAGAAGCTGGACGGCACGGCCCGGGGACGCAAACGAAAAGCAGGACCTCTGCCGCGCGCCTTTGAGTTCCGGCGGATGTCCACGGACTCGCGTTCAGCCTGCTCCAGTCCCGTGCCCTCCTCGACGACGACGACGAGCAGCAGTGGTCCAGCGGGCGCATCGATGCCCGGTGCCTTGCCATCGGGATTGGGCCTGGGATGTGATTCCTCGACGCCGGCCGACAGCAGTCCCGGTTCCAGTTGCTTTGACGAGGACAGCAACAGCAGCTGCAGCAGCACCACCAGCAGTGGCTTTCTCAGCTCCTCCTCCGTAGCCTCGGAGCAGCGGGAGTCGCCGAACGACTCGGGCCACTCGGATCGCCTGGGCATCGGCTTCGACTTCAACGAGGAGGAGACCAGCGACCAGGACACGCCACTCAATGGCTACGTGCACAACTTTATCAACGGAATCAGCGAGGACGCGATGGGTGCCGCCGACCCGGAGGCGACGGCGGAGGGCGCAAGCGACGCAACGGCGACGATGCCGACGACCGCAGTGCCACCGTCTTACTCTGCCCCCGCCACTGCCGTAGTCGTTGTGCCCGCAGAGCCTCCTCAAGAAGCCTCGCCGGCACCAGCAGCAGTAGCAGCGTTAGCGGCGACAGCCAGCAATGGCAACGATGCCTCCTGTCCCACCATCACCGCCAGCAGCAGCAGCGTCAGCGGAAACTTTGGAAGCGGAAGCAGCAGCAGCAGCTCCTCGGGAGTGCTGTATGTCCCCCTGAACGGCCTGACCACCCATGCCGCTTACAGCAGCAACCTGGGCGGACTCAGTGCCTCGCCGCTGGACAGCCTGAGCTCGCTGCACGGCTCCAGGCCAGGCCTACTGCCCTTGGCCAATGGCTACGGGCATGGCCCTGGAGCAGCGGCCATCTCACCTCCATCGCCCCTGTCGCCGCCCACCAGCAACAGCGCCACCACCTCAAGCTCCAGTTCCAGCTCCACCTCGGCCTTCAGTCACTTCAGCCACAACGACATCAACGATGCCTCCGAGATATCGCGCATTCTTCAGACCTGCCACAACGGCACCAGCTCCTCCTCCTCCTCTGGAGCGGGAACCAGCAGCAGCAGCGGTAGCAGCAGCAACCTGAATGGCAATGGCAACAGCAGCGGCGGCAGCAGCACCTCGTCTTCCGCGGACAGCGGCCTGGCCGAAGATCACTACTCGCTGGGCGGCAATAGCTTTGATGCACTGAAGCGGGCGGCGGGCGTTGTGGGCGGGAATCCCCACTATTACTGGGCCAGTGGCCTCAACCATCACAACAACAGCAGCAGCAGCAGCAGTACCACCACCAGCAACAACCATCGCAGCCACAACAATAGCAGTCCCAGCAAGCTAATGGATTCCCCGGGAAGTGGAGTCAAGAGCGGCAGCTGCGGTTCCTCGCCCACGCACAACAACGGCGGCGAGGTGAGTCCAACGCCACCACTGACCCTCAGCGAGGAGCAACGCGAGGCGGCCCGTCGCCACAACATTGACTTGCGCCTGCAAATCTTTCGGGACATTCGTCGGCCTGGACGCGACTACAGCCAGCTGCTGGAGCACCTGAATCTGGTGAAGGGCGACCACGACATGCAGTCGGAGTTTGTGGAGATGTGCATTGGGGAGTCTTTGCGCTTCCGCCGGCACCGGATGGTGTGCAGCATCCAGGACTGGTGGGAGGAGAAGCAGCAGCCCACGCCGACGACAGTAGCCGCCGTGTCGGAGCAAGCCGTCGCCAAGAGTTAACGATGGCTGATGTGGCACCACTGAGCCCACGGGGTCATCATCCAAGCCATCCGTCTGTGAGTGCGTAGGAGATTGTAGGGGAATCAAAGAGGAGCAAGCTCCTGGTGTAAATAGTGTTGCCAGAGGACAGCCAGGGATGAATGGGACACGGGCCTATAGCCACCAGATATCGTATATATATACCAAACAGAAAGAGAACCGCAGCGAAGATGGAAAAGAACGCGAGACAGAGCGAGAGGGAGAGGGAGTGTCTAGGATCGGGCCAAGATATTTGTAATTAGGATTGTGTAAGTATTTTTAATGCGTAAAACTACCTAAGGATCCACAATACACACAGATTTTGTAGCCGCCGTTTCTTTTAGACATTTATAGTTGTATAAATATATATTTAAATTTAAATGTAGGCTACATTCTCTTTTTTTTCCATGCCTAGACTAAGCCTAGAGTTATATAAATCGAGAGTTTCGATCCCAAGTGTACATTGTATGTGTAAAAGCCGATAAAGGAGAGTTTTAGGACACGTTTTAGCCAATTTTTGTTGGAAACCCCAGAATAGGATGCCTGAACAAAAACCCCAAAAAATCTACAAAAACGGTATACATATATATATATATTTTTAAATTAGTACTTTATATTTATTGCAAATTAATTTGTATCCCCCTTCGGGCAGCCTTTCCAAATCTCCATTTGTTTTTTTTTTTTGTAGGTTTATATTGATAATTGAATATTTTTTTAAGGAGTACAACAACACACGCAACAATGATGAACAAGAAATTAATAAAAGGGCGTTCCGTTTGTTATATAAATATATGTAAAATTAAAATTTAGAAAACATTAAAAACAATAAAAAATAAGAGAAAAGTATAAACTAAAACCTAAATAAATATACATTTTGCACTATTTTTTTACGTGTATATCTGTGTGTGTGTGCAGCATGGTGTGTGTCTGTTTGCGATACATGAGTAATTGATTGATTGATTGAGTAATTGAGAATAAAAAATTAAACATTTGCTAATATTAGCTAGGCGGATGGCAGTGATTTTACGACTGCTTCAGGATTAATAATCAATTATGTACACTCGCAGAAAGTGCGTTTATATATTTAACAAATTGCATACACACAGCAAAAGAGAAAGGAAAACAAGATCAACAAACAGCAGAGCGGAAAACAAAAACAAACGAAATCAAAGACAGAAATAAAAACAGAAATCATTGCATTAATTTTTAATTGTTTTTTTTTGTTCGGGTTGGGACTCGCCCATCAAACAACTCTTCTATCCTTTATGGTCCTTCTCCGAGGACCATATGCCCCCTGTTGTGGATAAATATATGCATATATATATATAGATATATAATTAAAAAAAATAATAATAATTAAAAAATAAATAATAATTAAAAAATAAATAATAATTAAAAAATAAATAATAATTAAAAAAATAAATTTTTTTTAATAATTAAAAAATAAATAATAATAAAAAATAAAAATAATTAAAAAATAAATAATAATTAAAAAATAAAACTCTCGCTTGACACTATAATTCCCAACTGGTTCTAGCATTTTCTGAGTGGTAACCCAGCTGAATGTTAAGGTTGTTGTGTTTCAGTGTACCCTCTCTGAGATAGAGAAAACAAGCAGATATCATCGGAGAGAGTTTGAGATCATACAGAATTCAAGACGATCGGATCATTCAAAGGAGGGACCTAGAGAAATGTGAGTACACAAAGAAAAATATATTTTTCTTGGCTTAGTTACAACCTGCTTCGTTTGTCTGCCATCTCTTTCTCTTTTAACGTCCTCAACAGACCACCTTACATATACTTGAACCATGCACCCGATAACTGGAGGCTATCGATGACAGTCGCCGCCAAATACGATTGGCCATGCCAATCGAATCTGAAATTTAGTGTTGCTTACAGCTTGAAACCAAGGCTTTTTTTACAGCTTGAAACCAAGGTTTTTTTTAATTGCAAAATGGATACACCGACGCCAACTACACCGACGAGGGTACCACGAACAACGACCACCTCCATGGCCGCCGATAACGACATGGAGGACATTCAACGCCTGCTAAACCTTGAGGCGATGTGCCGCTTCCAGGAGGACGCCCAGAATGTGCAGCGTCAGGTGCAGGAAAAGGCTCGCGAATGGCTGGACGTCAAGTACGAATACCAGCAGGAGTATGCCCGCCTGGCGCGCCTCATCAAATGCATCGGAATGCGCGTGGCCGTGGACACCAGGTCCAGCCGTGTGGACCAGGACAAGCTGAAACAGACCCTTAAAATGCTTAACAGCCTGCGAACGAAGATAGCCAGCGATGTGCGTCCCGCCAGTCTGGACGCGGGCGTTGTGGATCAGTGCCAGCAGCAGCTGGACACGGTCCACAAGCCGCGCACGCAGCTCAGCCGGCAGAAGTGGGAGTTTGCCGAGATTCAAGAGGCGCTGCAGGAGCTACGCACCTCGGTGGATGGCCTGGAGAACGGACTGGAGCTGCACACAATGCAGGCCATGGATCAAATGGTGGCCGAACTGCTGCCGCCGGCTGAAAAAACCGATGACTAGGAGGAGGACCAAGGAGGAGTCATTATTATACACGTTTATTCACGTTTATTATACCTTGCATTTACACAATTATAAAAAAAAAACCAAGTCTGCGAATGATGATGATTCCAGGTCCGTCCTGGACGAGCTCAAGCGGGTTGATAGCGATGGCATTCTACAAAAGAGAGGGGCATTAGTTGGTGGCGTTTCTAGGAACAAGCTCAACTTTACCACTTGGAGCGCTTGGACCAGTCCTTGGGCGTCCAGTGCAGGCACTTGGAGTCGATGCGGATTTTGCGCTTGTCCATTGCCCGGCGGTGCTGCTCAATGGTGTCGCGATTGATGCACACTATGTACTGGCCCTTGTAGTAGTTGATCAGGTTGAGGTTTTGCAGCGTCGAGATCACGTCCTCCTTCTTGATCGAGGTGCACTCGCAGATGTCGCTATATGGTGAGAGATTGGGTGAGATTAGAACCAGATAGAACAAGGACTCCTTACTTGATGGTGATCGTTGGCTTCTCGCCATCGGTGCTCGGGTTCTGGCTGATGAAGATCTCCAGTATCGTCTGCGCCCAGTAGGATCGGTACGAGAGCAGGCCCAGATCCGACAGCGGCTTCTCCGGCGAGCCCGTTTTGCCCTCAAACTTGGACAGCTCGTAGCTGAACTCGATGAGCAGCTTGCCGTAGCCTTTGCGCTGATACGGCGGCATGGTGAGGATGCAGGCCACGTTGTAGTCCTCGGTGCTCTCCTTCTCCTTGGAGAAGTACCCCACGATGTGGAAGCCACGCGAATCGAACTCGGTCATCACGTAGAACAGAAACGGATCGGTGTCATAGTACAGGGTCTTGTGGTCGAGGAAGAGCTTGGCCAGCAGACAGAGATTCTGGGCATACACCTTGTTCTTCCGCCCGTCGATCTCGAAGAAGGAGATGGTGTGCTTGCGGTAGATCTCGTTGCCCGGCGGATGCCGCAGATTGCACTTGGACAGATGCCGCTCCAGGCACTTTCTGCTCTTCCGGTACTTCAGGCAGAACTCGCAGATGTAGATGCAGGGCATTTGGCACAGCTCCTGGGGGTACGGCGAGAAATACCACGGCTTGATGCGGTGCCGGCCCAGCTCGATCATCTCCACGTTCTTCATGCGCGTGACCACGTCGTCCTGGTGCGTCACCATGCTGCCCGATTGCCTGGGCGTCGGTATCTTGCCGTCCTGCGACCCATCGCCGTCCTCGGTGGCCGCGCTGCTGATCAGTCCGTCCCCGGTCACGTGCGTGACGACGGGTGTGCCCGTTGGCGTTTGCGGGGTCCCTGGATGCGGATGCTGCTGCTGTGTCTGTGGTGTGTGGTGTCCATGTGCGGAGGCACCGTGCACCTTCCGTTTGCGATTGATGCGCTTCTGCAGGGCGGCCGCCAGGTTGTTGCCGTTGACCAGCTCGCTGCTACCACCGCCAGGGGTTGTGGGTGTTGGTGTCACAGGGCCGCCGCCACCACCACCGTGGACGACTGGCGGCCCGCTGGAAGTAATTGCGCCTCCGCCGGCAAGGGCTGCAGAAGCTCCCACACCAGGAGCAGGATGCTGTGGCGAAGTGGGACGGGATACGCTGCCCGCCAGCGAGTGGTGGCGCTGCGGCGTGGTCACACCCGTGCTGGTGCCCGTTTGAGAGCCATCCCGCCGCGGAAACTGTACCTTGCGCGTGTACAGGTCCTCCTCGTTGACCCACTCGTCCAGGCGCTTGTTGACTGCAGGCAAGAAGTGAATATGAGAGTCCGTGCAAACCCACTCACAAACCCCCAAACTCACAGTCCACATAGTGTACATAGAACTGACGCCGCCCGTCCAGCTCCTTGATGCTTACGATCTCCGCCAGCGGCCAGTCATCCGTTTTGTGCATCCGCACGGGCAGACGACAGCCCTCCGTCAGGGCGGCCTGAGAAAACAAACAAAACAAAGCGAATCGTGTGAAACAACCGCGCCATCTCCCAGCCAGGGCACAAGCACACACCGTCGATTCGCAGATGGAGGCCACGTCGTCGTCAAACTCATATTTGTGGTTGATTTTCATTTGTTTGCACAAGGTTTGTCTTTTATTTATGTTTTTTCACTCGGCAAGCGAGTTATTTACAGAAAATATGTCGATAACTTCCAGCTGATTGCAGGGAGTGCGGCCACACCAAAAATCGTATATCGATAGGAGCCAGAGTACACTGAATTCCAAGTGTGGCCAGCTGCCGCAGCACGATAAATCCACTCCTTGGACGACTGATATCGGATATCCGCAGTATGAACTGAAAACTTGGCAGGCACACTGCCGACTAAATTACGAGCAAATTAAATAAATAAATGCAACTAATATGGACAGTTAACAAAATGCGTAGAGCGAAACACAACAACGAGCAGACGCCCAGGCCGGAGTGAAACACAAACTTGGATATTTGGTTTTTTTTTTGTGTTGGTTTGGCCAGAAGTGTGTTGGCAAGAGCGGCTCCAAGGAAGAGGAGTTGTGCAGCGCGGATGTGTGTGGGGAGTGGAAAGTAAAAGTGGCGGTGCCTGTCTCTATACGTGTGTGCGAGTGGCAGTGCCAGCGTGCGTGTGTTGGCGCGTTTGTTTGTGTCGGTGTGTGCCGAAAAAGAAGTTGCAGAAACATAATCGGCGGCGGCGGAGAGTTACGCAAAAAAAAGAAAGAAACACAAAAAGAGCCCCAAATAGCAACCACAACGAAAGATATTGTTCAAAAGAAAACAACGTCGGATTTTGCCCACTGCGCTGAGTTAGTGAGTAAAGTGGTGTGAGTGTACAAAGGCGACTAAGTGAGCGAGCGAGAGGAGTGGCGAAAAGAGGAGCGGAGGACCGAGCGTAGCCCAGTGCGTGCGAGTGAGCAAGAGCGACCGGCGCAATGAGCAGCATTGTTGGCGAGAATCACGGCACTACAAGCCTCCCACAGCCACCACCGCCCGCCGCCGCCACCACCACCACAGTGGTGGTCAGCAGCAGCGTGTCCAGTAGCGCTGGCGTAGGGGGTGGTGGCGTCGTCATGGGCGTAACCACCGCCAACGGGCCGCGGGTAGTTACCATTTACAAAACGGAAACGGGCTTCGGGTTCAACGTGCGCGGCCAAGTGTCCGAGGGCGGACAGCTGCGGTCCATCAACGGGGAGCTGTACGCACCGCTGCAGCACGTGAGTGCCGTCCTGGAGAATGGGGCGGCGGAGAAGGCGGGCATCAAGAAGGGCGACCGCATACTGGAGGTGTAAGTACATATCCTTACATGTAACCCATATTATTATTTATCAGTAAAAGTAGGGATCATCATTTGGCAAAATATGCAGCTGTATTTTAATCCCACATCTTTGCAAATTTCTGATAATTGAAGATACTGTTTTGTGGTATTTTATAGCCTGCTTTTGGAAGTTGTTCAAATTCACTTAAAATCCTCTGCGATTTTAGCACGTCACGTTTCTAGTTCATCCATAGTTTTCCATCATAAATGTTAATAGCATTATGCATTTTCCCATTACCCAAAAGTCTGTCCTTCCTGACACAGGCACTTCATGAACTTAAAGTTCATATCGTTACCTAGTTTAGGATTAGGGAAGAATTTGGCAAAGCTGTTAAAAGTTATGCTTTGTTTACGCTTCAGCAAAAGTTGTAGTTAAGCTGATAACAGGGCAGGGACCAGTATCCCGAATAATTCTGATAAACTTATTGGAATATGTGGAAACAGGCAAAACCTAAAAAGCCCCAGAAAAAAAATTATTCTCCGAATTCCCCTTTTTGTTGTGTGCCCCCTTTGCTTGAGTGCCTTTTTGGGGGTGGCTGAAGGCGGGGAGTGGCCCTGCTCCTACCGGGTGTGTTTGTTCACCCATTTAAGAGGTTTTCTAGGGCTACTACAACTCAAAAAATAAACATTTATTGATTGTTTCACATAGACTTGGCTAAATCGGCTCGGCTGGTAATGTCAATCAATAATAAACATACTTTGTTGGGTCAGAGAAGTCTCCTTCTGCATGTCACATATATTTTCTTGTTACTAAGCTATCATTTTTATAGTATAATAAACCTTAAACCCTTTGGGTACTCGATATAAATATTAAATATTATTAGTAGACTAAAACATTGAAAATTGAATTACAAATATGTCTGCATATAATTTTTTCACTTTGCTTAATTTTTGTTTGTCCTCTTCACGTGTTTAATTTTGTTGTTTATTAATATTATGCCCCCACTCCTCCCACAGCCACACAAGCTACATAATTAAAATGGTCATTTGGCATGTCTGTCACTCTGCATCTCTCTCTCCCTCTCTCTCTGCTCTTTGACATTTGCCCCGTTATCAATGTTCCTCCCTCTCCCTCACTCTTCTTACTTGCCGTCATCAAACCATCCTTCCTGCCCTCCATCAATCATATTGTATTATTACGCTCTTACTCCGATCCGTTATGCAGTGTAGGGTCTGTTTTGTGCCCCACCCACGTCGGGTTGTAGTTGCTCTACGAGCATCCCCTCCCCCTGCCTGCCAATGTTTCGAGAGGCAAAATTCAATTAATAAATTTAGCTAAAGTTTCTTCCTCGGCAGCGAGTAGCGAGCTACGCAGAGCAGCCAGCAACTTAATTATCATCGTCACCTTCTTGGTACCGACAAAACTCGCAAATTTTCCACATTTTTCGCACATATTTCCATGGCAAACGGTGGGCAGGGCAGGGCAGAGGGGGACGGCCACAAAGGTGTGAGAGAGAGAGACGTGTTCGTCTATTATGCGGCTTGGCTGTGTTGTGGCTGTGTTGTTGCTATTTGCAGTGGCCCATCATTTCATTATCAGCAGAAATAACAACAACAACAACAACAATAGCCGAGAGCCGTTATAATTCGGCTGCGCGTGAGCTAACAAAAGCAGAGGCAAAAACTGTAACAACGACAAAAGCAAAAGCGAAAAAAAGCAAAAACACTAAACGAAAGCAAAAGCAAACAAATTTGCATTTGATTTCCGCCTTTTCGCTAACCAGTTTCCAACTGGGAACCAAGCGCAATTTTCTGTAGTAAAATATACAGTATTTTCGGAGCTATTTAAGCTTTTTGGTGTGTTTATTTGGGATTTTTGTTAAGAACCTTTTTATTATTATTATTATTTTAAGAGTTTTCAAGACAATAACGATGTCAGTTGATTTGAAATGCCTCAAGATATGGTAAAGTCGTTGCTGATCTCAGATTTCGCTGGCTTTTTGGGCATTTTATTCCCTCTAGAAGTCCTGAAATATTCGCATTCTTCAAATTTATATATATCAATATTTTGATATCATAAATTTTTAGAAAAATCAAAGTTTTACTTATTTATTTTGTTTAATGTGTGTTTTTCGTTCTCCGTACCGTACAAGACATTCTAAAAACTTGTATGTAGATTTTTGTAGTTATAAGAAACCAATTGGTTAATATCTCCTCACAATAACCCAATGCGATACAGTTTAATCGTATTTTTATAGCCATTGTTGCTATTTATAAGCCACTCGTTATCCGAATATTGTTTTTGTTTGGCGTTGCGGGGGCGTTCTCCTTAAACATCCGTCCGTGACTCACTTATCAGCTGTTGTACACATCCATGGGATCCAGTAATAACGTGTTATCGAAGCCTCCTGGACCACCAGTATTGGACGATTGACCACCAGCCATTGTTCGACAGAGCCAGGTCCAGGTCCGTGTCCGTCCGATCCAGCTGCTTTTGACGCCATAACGTGGGAGCGTCGTTGCACAGGCTTCCGTTGCAACGGACACAGTACGGATCGTTGGCCGAGCACTCCGGTACTTCTCCGGCGCATCCGCGCAGCGTGTAGATGCCATCCAGTCGACTGACTACCGTGCTAACGCATAACTCAGCCGGTCCGGAACAGTTGCTAGTTGTCATCAGTGTGGGCAGCTCCATGGCCGCACAGTCCTCCTTGTCTTGATCCTGGGCAGTGCAGCGATAGCAGGTGCGCACGGAGAAGCGGTTGCAGGAGTCGCCATCGCGGCACAGCTGGCAGCTTTCGCCCATGGGGGAAGGGGCGAAATCTTCATCCGCACAGCCACGTCGCAGGAAGGTATCTGCAGGCAAAGAGAAAGTTTATTAGATTTTTAAAGGGATTAGTTCTCCCACCAGATGGTATTTCAAGGGGAGTTTGTATACAACATTATCTACGAGTCGCTGAGAATATTTACTAAAAACTCAATACTATTTGAAATATAATACGAATTCTTTATTGGTTCTTGGCAAAACTTGTACCGATCACAGGGTCTTGCCCAAGACATTTTTAGGAATCAGATTCAAATCAACACCTAGAAAACCGACAAATCAAAGAACCCAATCATATGGCCTGCAGTTATAATCCTGCCTAACCTTGTTCGCAAGAGTAACAGGATGTAGTGCCGGCAGCACACTTAGCCGTGGGCAGATTGCGACCCGCCCGACACCCGGGATCCGCCGTGGAATTGCACACGGCACAAGCAATGTCCTGGCAGTTGGCATTACAGAACTCCCCGTGGCACTCGCTCAGCTCGCCGGTGGGAAAGAAGCCCATGGTTGTGGAGCAGCCACGCTGCAGAACCTCTGTTTGGGTGTTTCGGTGTGTGTAGCAGTTCTCACGGTGGCCGTACATCACCTTGTTGGCACAGTGCGTCACCGTAGTGTTGCTCAGCGAGCACTTGGGCTGATCGGGGTGCTCTACAGCGGGGTCTTGGTTCCTCAGACAATCTGGATTGGGTGCCAGTCGATTGTGGGTGCACTGAAGGCAGCGCGTCTCCGTGACGGTCTTCTCTGCGTTGCAGCCATTGTAGTTGCACTTGAGGCAGACATGCGGACAGGTTTCCGGCAGATTCGTGTGCTCGCAGCCCCGCAGCGTGTTGGACAGATGAACCACGTTGGTGTAGCACCTGTCGTCCTCCCGGTAAATTGGGCAGGGCAGCAGCAACTGCGGCCTGCTCGTCACATCGATACAGTCAGCTCCGCTGCACTGGTAGCACCTTAGGCGATCTGCGGGATAGACATGCCGGTTGCACAGGCTCGTGTTGCATCTGTCGCACGGTGCGGCACAGTATCCATTCGGATACAAACGCCCCAGGCAGCCGCGTCGCGTAAGGCCCGCCGATATCGAGGTGACGCATTCGTCCCCAGGCGCCGAGCACTCCTCCACTTCCAGCTGCTGGCCAGGCCGCGTGGCGCACTCTGCATCCTCGGCGGAGTCGCAGGCGTAGCACTCCAGGGCCGCACTCGGTCCTGGTATGGAGACTGTAACCAGGAGAAGGGGCACCAGCAGCAGCAGTAACAAATTAGTGGCCATTTCAGTTTCAGTTTCAGTTACGGACTGCAGCCGCTGGACAAAGAATTGGTGGTGTGCTTGGCCACATTTGAGATTAGATTAACACCGAGTCTCGAGTGGTTCCAAGTTGACGGCACTCCCGTACTGAGATTGCTCTCCGGATAAGTTATCGATTAGCCGAGGATTGCAATTCCCAAGCACCTGGGACTAAAATTGCAATGGTTATACACAGTCTTATCAGGAAATCGACTTTGTTTGTGATTAGAAGCTAACGAAAAAGACATTTGATATATTATGATGTCGGGAATACATATAGAAAGCTTTGGTACAAGCGATTATATATAACTTGTACATTTTTTATCAGTATTATCTGTCCATTGGCCAGATCTTTTTCCTCTTAAAAGCCATAAACTATTTGATGGAAAAGTTCACACCCCATTAAGCCAATTAAATTCAATAAATAAACTAATTTATTTCAACGAGAAAGTAGGTGACGAATTACTTTGACTAAGCAAGTGACTTAATGTCTGGTCAAGGAACAACTTTTCGGGGACTTTAAAGGCTTGACTACACTAATAAAAATACTTGTTTATATGTTATAAAAATCGTCCTATAACTAGGAAAAGTTTTCTGCAATTCAAATATAGTTTTCTGAAATTTAAGGCAATTTTTCAGGGTAAATTTTTCTATTTTTCTTAAATTTAGTTTAAGTTTAGTTTCATTCTAAATATAAGGCACTTAATTTGCTTAATTTTAATGCGAAAAGTGTTTTTTGTTGGGTAAAAAGTTCTATAAGTTCCACCTTGCCGATGAACTTTGTGTTTTCCTAAGTAATTGCTTGGGCTTTTACCTTGAAATAGTTATAGTCACGAGTTCAATGGACGACTATCCAAAGATGTTTTATCTTGCAGTTGCTTTATATATTTCCTATTTTTATGCTGTTGCTGTCGCCGTTTTGAGACATCCTAAAGCTTTCTAGGGCCCCGGACGGATACTTCTAGATACACGACATAATTGAGAACCCGCCGGATCCCAGACAGTCCTTAGCAAATCCATCTGCATCCTTTGTGCAATTCCCTCCTCATCACCCTCATCTCCTGCCCTTCATTGGCCACTTAACATTGTGCTCGAGCTCGTTTTTTGAGCCCCGCAAAAGGGGGGTGGGTGGTGGCCTTTAGGGTTGTCGGGCTTCAATCAATGGAGATTATGAACTATTTTAGGTCTGCCTGCCCTGACTTTGGGCAATGCCAGCAAAAAACCAAAAATATACCATCATAACGTTTATCCGTAACTAAAATCTAATGGCTGAGCTGGCAAAAACATATCTAAAATAATTAAAATGTACCATAAAGCCTTATCCTAGGGTATAGGAAGCGATAGGAATGCATCTTGAGCCGGAAATTGACTTCTTTTAGTTATCACATCGTCCCTCCGTCTCTCCCCCTGATTTTCTTCCTTTCTGTCCCTTAGTTCCTGTCACCAACAGACATGACATTTTCCACAAGTTTAGGTAAACAATTTAAAGTTCAAATTGAGCGTTGGAAAATAAGGAAGACCTCAAACACGCAAGTTGTTATAGACAATTTTTCCAAACTGAAAGTGTTGTGTGGGCCATGGCTTGAGTTTTTGAAGGGTCATTAGTTGAATTTTATCCACCATATAAGCGCCTCTGTCTCAAACACATGAACCACCTAGAAAATGAAGAGTGTACGGGTATATGGAGTCTGTTAAATTGTAATTACATACCTCTAAGAAAACCCAAGCCTTAAGAGGGAGTTTAAAATTTAAATATTTATCCATAATTTGTAAACCCTTGCTGGGATTTCTGTTTTCAGTCAGAAGTTTAAAACGCACTGAAGGAGTCATTTCCGACCCCATAAATCATATATATTCTTGATCAGCATAGACAGGCGAATCTTTCTAGCCATCTTGGAAAGAAAACAAAAATTTTCAATTATTTTCAAAATTTTATAAGGGGTTATCATCATCATCAAAATTCTCAAAAATTTTAAAAAATTAAAATTTTAAATGTAGTATGCAGATTTTTTAACCTAGAAAAAACTAGCATAGAAAAGCTTTGGTGCTCTTTTGACTGAGCTATGATATTTTTAAGCTTTGATTTGTCACAAAAAAATACCCAGAAAAAAAAAAAAACAGTGCTAGGTATCCCAAGACCCATACCTTTGCCTTGGAGTCCACCCCCTGAATGTTTTTTTTATGTTGCCACGAATTTGTGTTTGCGGTTCGGTTCTGTGTCAATGCTGTTGCTGCCTTTGTTGGCGTGTGTTTGTGGCATATGCCTCAACAATAATCAATAGGTTTACGTCACTGGATGGACTGGACTTGCTCAGCCGCCTTGCTTGCTGGCTGGCTGTCGGGCTGGCTGGCCCACATTTCCGCATTTCCTAGACCTGAGCAGAGACCTGAGTTCATTCGTTCGCTCGGTGGCGGTTTCAGGTTTCTGCTTTCCATGTTTTCAGGTTTCACTTTTTGGTTTCGCTTGGCCTAAGCCAGAAATAAACCAACACGAAGAGTGATGGTGGGGACAGGGACATGGACATGGACAGGGACATCATTGAACAAAAACGGGACAGAAAATTAAGCAATGGAAGGACACTTGTTAAACACTCATGTCCAGTCCCTGTCGCAGATTAATTAATTTTCGATTTCGCTTTCAGTTTCCATTTCCATTTCCACGTTAATGGAATTACATTTCTGTTGCACTCACTCAATCGTGTCCAAGGTAAATGAAATATAAACACCGATGCAGGTGCGAATTCGTGACCCGTAGGAAATGTCCCGTGCCCGGATCGAATAGATCGAATAGTCACCTTAGCAGTTCGGGTATATTTTACAATTAAAAAATACTTATCAGCTTTTAAATTATTAATTTAAGTTTTATTTGATTTGAAACAATTTTCGTTTAAAGTTCCAGTATTTGTGTAAATAGGAAAACCAATTTTAAATTGAAATTAAAGGTCGCATAAGGCCCTGACCTGATCTGAATTGATGCCCTCCGAAGGGGGCGCCAATGGAAATGTTAATGATAATTTGAGGTTTCACATGTCACCACCACCCACACTGTGTGGCGTGGAGACCACACTGCAAATAGTTAATGAATTCTCTTCATGGAAATTGAAATGAAATTGAAAAGAAAGCATCGAACAGAGGAATTTGCATTCGCATTCTCATTCTCATTTGGGCTATAAATAAATGCATTTGCGATGGCTTTATATATTTGCCCGATCTAGCCTTTTGTCTTTTCTGATATTTTTGCGATTTCGTACTATTTTGTATCAAGTGGCTGCCTGGCTGGCATGGCAAACAGGTTTCCGTCTCGTGGCCTCCGCCTCCATTCCTCCAGTCCTCCATTATGCTGGTATGTCTTGTCGTCGTCGGATTTCTGCCATGTCGCTATGTGAGTCACGCTGGGCTCCAGAGCTGCGCAGAGTGCGTCACACGGGGGGCGATATCTGCTGCGATTTATTTATTTATTTACTCCCTTGTGCGCGGCGGCACGGATGGCAAATTGCAAACCGGAAAGAATCCGCAGCAGCAGTCGCAGAGATACCTCCGGACTCTGGAGTAGAGGGAGCTGTGACTGAGACTGAGACGGAGACGGGAAGGAGAAAAAGTTGGGGTTGTGAGTGTGATGTGTGATGTGTGGGGTGGTTGCTTGGAAACTGGGATGCTTGGCGCTTATCAAAGTCCATTTGTTGATATTTTATTCTTCTTCTCAACTTGATTTTATTTACTATTTAACAAATTTTATTTTATTCATTTTATTTCGTATTTACAAAATATTTCTAGAATTTAATTATTAATTTATTTAATTTAATGTTAGAATTAATGTTAAAGCTAAGAAATATAATATACTAGCTGCCAGGCTCTTTATCTCTTTCTCCCTCTTTCTTTTTCGCGTTTTGCCTGCCATGTGCCAGCAATAGCTCCCTTTTCGCCCTGAATACAATCAGAAATATCACAGGACAGTAGCTACCACGAGAAAGGACTCTCCTTTAAGTTTAAACCAAAGCCAATAAACCGAATATTCAAGCTCTGATTAAACCAGAAAAACTAGACATAGTCTATTTATAAACATTTTATTACAGAAAACTATAAACATAAAAGTATTTTTTTGGCTTTGCGGTTTAATTTCCATCAGTCTTATAATCAGTACAAATATTATTGGTGTTGATGTTCCACTCTGCCCAGCTGCTTATCTGGTTCAAACATAGCTCTTGATTCCGAGAAGCGTTGTGGTTCCAACTTGACCCGAATCGCCACCTTATCAGCGCCATGTCGATGTCAATGCATCCATTATCGCTCCTCGGACTCCCCGTGTTATTATTTCGCTTAAATTGAATTGCAGTCGATGGTAACGCCTTTCAATTGCAAGAGGCCTTTACAGCAGAGTCTCTGGCTTGGTTCCTTGTAAATCCTGAAGCAATGCTGCCCTTTCACACTGTCCAGTTGGCACAGTTGAGCGCGCTAGAGAGGCGCTGCCGGCGGTGACGACCTCTTAAAAAAAATAAAATCTATAGTAGCCATAATTTCACTCTTGTTTTTTCGCAGAAATGGCGTCAGCGTTGAAGGAGCCACCCACAAGCAGGTGGTGGATCTGATCAAATCCGGCGGCGATTGCCTAACGCTCACGGTGATATCGGTGACACAACAGGTAAGTTTCCTTCTTCAATAAAAAAAGAAGGAATTGGCTCAAGTGCTCCCTTTCAGGAGGCCGATCGCCTGGAGCCGCAGGAGGATCAGAGCGGCTACTCCTACATTGACTACTCGGACAAGCGATCGCTGCCCATCAGGTGAGTCCCTACCTCCCGCCTCCTTCCAGGCTCCTCAATGAGCGCTCCACCAACCGAGACCGTTTCTCTGCCCGTCCAGCATACCCGATTACGGGATCATCAATAGGAATGGCGAGCGCTACATCGTCTTCAATATACACATGGCCGGGCGGCAGCTGTGCTCTCGTCGGTATCGGGAGTTTGCCAATCTGCACTCGCTGCTCCGCAAGGAATTCTCCGGATTCAACTTCCCCAAGCTGCCCGGCAAGTGGCCCTTTCAGCTCAGCGAACAGCAGCTGGACACGCGGCGTCGCGGGCTCGAGCAGTATCTGGAGAAGGTCTGCGCCGTCCGGGTGATTGCCGAGAGCGATGCCGTGCAGGATTTTCTAACGGATACCGAGGACGATATATCCGCCGCGCCGGTGGACATCAAGGTGATGCTGCCCGACCACGAGGTTAGCACGGTGTCGGTGAAGAAGTCGTCCAACGCCCAGGTGGTGTGGGAGATTCTGGTGCAGCGCGCCAACCTCACCGCCTACACGCAGCAATACTTCTATCTGTTCGAGATCGTCGAGTACAACTTCGAGCGGAAGCTGCAGCCGCACGAGATACCGCACCAGCTGTACGTGCAGAACTATAGCACCGCCTCCTCCACCTGCCTGTGCGTGCGCCGCTGGCTGTTCTCGGTGTCCAAGGAGCTGACGCTGCCGGACGGAGAGCAAGCGGGACGCTTTATCTTCTATCAGGCGGTAGACGAGGTGAATCGCGGGAATATCCGAGCAGATGGCCGCCTGTACGAGCTGAAGGCGCTGCAGGATGCCAAAAAGGCGGCCGACTATTTGGCCCTGGCCCGCACACTGCCCGGCTACGGGGACGTGGTCTTTCCCCACTGCTCCTGTGATAGTCGCAAGGAAGGACATGTGGTGCCAGCCGTGGGTGAGTGCGAGACTCTGCTCCTTAGTTGTTGATTTCCGTAGTGACTGATTCCCCTTTCTTAGGCATGAAGAGCTTTCGCCTGCACGCCTGCCGCGAGGATGGCTCGCTGGAGGCGCAAATGGTCGAGCTGACCTGGGACAGCATCACGCGCTCTGAGAGCGACGAGGAGTCCATGTCATTCTGCTTTCAGTACAATCGTCCAGACAAGCCGGCACGTTGGGTCAAAGTCTACACGCCATATGTGAGTTGAGTTGTTTCCCCTGTGAAATTCCCATTTATGAATGAGAAAACCAACCCTTTTTTCTCCCCACAGCACGCATTCCTTGCGGACTGCTTCGATCGCATCATGGAGGAGCGCAAGTGGGAGGACAGCGGCGACTAGGAGACGGAGAGCGGGAAAGGAAAGGAGCCGAGAAAGCGGCGGCAGGAAGCCCAGAAGATTATTGCAAGGCCATGCAGGCGGGCCGAGACATTGCACATTGTTCGTTAGCAGGCTGGTGGCAACCTCTTTTGCACGCATAAATATTGTAAAGTATATTTCGATTTGTGCAGAGACAAACGACTAGCAGTGGCCATCGGCAAGGAATAGGAAATGTTTCAAATGTTTTTCGGCACTTTCTTAGCACATAAAGCAACAAAAGCAGGCACCAATTTAGATCAAGCAGAGAGCATGAAACGAGGATTCTCATTACACACATACAGTACATATAACGAAGTATATAGAGAGGAATATATATATATATTATGAATATGTTTAAGCCAACCTCAGCGTATGTTTAGTTCACACCGTGTTCCCCATTGGTCTCTGTTTTGCTCTCCCAGGAAGGCAAGGCAAACTGTAAAAAGTCAATTTTAAACATGCATACATTATACGATATATAATGTATATAAGTTATATATATACAATACATACGCATAAATGTTTAGCAACAAATCGAACTCAAAGGCGACTCAGAAAGTGGGACAGTGGGGAATCTAGAAGCATATAATCAATTTAACGATGAACATGTTGAAATTATTGTACTCATTCGAAATTGTTAGTTAAATTTAAGCATAAAGTTAATAGTTATTGAACGAAATCGAAGGGAAAACCAACTCGGAAACCAAACTCAAATTCCACTTGGACAGAGACGGCGGCAGAGCTTTACACACACACACACACACACACACACAGCTAAAGCCGTTAAAAACATTATTAAAAAACACGAATGCATATTTATGAAACGGAAGAATAAGAAATGGCATATAGGCATATATACATAATACATTTATCAACGATGCAAGTGACGCCTGCTTGTGATATTTACAATTTACACAATTATTATAATTAATTTAACATTATTATTATTTAATGGACTCTACGTATATTTTGTTAATCTCTCTCTCCCCCCATACATAGTATATGTAATGTTTGTATTTATTATGTTTAGTTTTTAGTCCCAACGTGAATTTTGAATTTCCCTTCTCCTCCTTTGGCCATTTACTCTGTAACTTAGATTGTGTGTATTCCATATATTAATTAATTAACGAATACTATAAACCATAAACTATACTTGCTTACCTTATTCTCATTATTTGTTTATGCATTTCGGGAAGACGGCAAACACCAACGTAAATATAAATGAATATGAAATATAAATATTTATATATAAATAAATACATGTATAAATATTTATATTTAAATATATATAGATATATGTATATGCTAGAAACATTCCTCAAAACCCCCCCCAAAAAAAAAAAAAAAACATATTTAAAAATCATCAATGTTTTCTTACAGATTTAATATATAGAAAAAGAAGCGAAACAACAAAATAAACTTTAAAGCAAATAGGAACTGGGAAAAAAACAAACAAGCATTCAAGCGTTTAAGTGTATAACTAAACTAAAAACAAACAAAAACCACAATTTAACATTTTATTGAAAAAAAAAGAAAACATAAAAAAACAAACAAAGAACTAAAGAAATAAAAACAAATTGCATTTTTCCCCTTTTCAAAATTACTCAACGGCTTTTCTGGTAATTAATCGATTAAAATTATTAGCTAATCGTATGATTAGGTGGTGGGTTTGTGCAAGTACTGAGGATTTTATACCTTTTTAGATGGCAACATGCTCCTTCTTGTCAATGGAATAAGTTGACATGTTTAAGATAGTACTAACTTTGACAAGAACATGTTCATGCTTGAATTAAACTCTATTGTGGTCCTTGTCATTGAGAATCAGCTGTTTTGCTGCTTCCATCTGGCAGCGCTTTACTTTCTGCTCGATCTGGCAACTCTAAAGCTTCCGTTCCCTTTCTGCTTCGTGGCGCGTGGTGCAAGTTATCCGTATCGATCGGCCTTGCTGGAGAGCTTCAGGTGCAAACCTATTACGCCCGCAGAGGAATAGCCCAACATCGATCTCGCTGATCATGGCCGCCAACGTGCGCATGTATTTGAACGATCGTATCCAGAAGATCCTGGGCGATCTGCCTCAGCACCTGGTAAGTAGTGGCCGACGCCATCCCGACTTATATGACATGTGATCAAAATACCCATCCATAGCACGCTTCGAAGGGTTACACGGTGGCCAAGCTATACTACAAGGTCAAGGAGTACGACATGGCCATAGGGTTTCTGCAGCTCTACTTCCACGAGAAGGAGGACGCGATGGCACACGAGCTGATGGCCAACTGTTACAGGCGTCGGAAGACTGCCAATTTCCCCAAGGCACTGGAACATTTTCAGCGATCAATCGAGATGGACTGCCAGCAGTCAATGGTCACCAGCACAGCCAACTACGGCCTGGATCTGGCCACCGTCGCCAAGCGCAAGCATTTAATGAAGCTGAAGGAAAAAGTAAATGAGCTGGAACAGTTGCAGGCTCTGGAAACAAAAGGGATAAAAGCCTTGTCCAAGGACCTAAGATCACTGCGCAATCAATTTAGAAATTCAGAATTCAAAACAGAAAGCAAACCCTTGGCCTTCGATCACCAATCCGACTTGCAGGCTCTCAACTCGCTCGATGCGATGGAGATGGAGCAGGGGCCGGCCAAGAGCCTCGAGGTGGCTGCCGTCCCGCAGGATACATTCTCAGTCGACACCCAATCTAGCACCGGCCAGGAGGGGGAGGAGATCAAGTTCTGCCACCTGGCCGCGCTCTTCCGGAATGTGGACCAGGAATCGATCGATCTCAGCCTGGGGTTCATCAAGATCTTGCGCAACAGCACCACTGGCGTTTCACGCGTCTTCATGCGTTGCGCTGAAACCGATCAGCTTTTCGCCAATCACCAGATCATGGCGGACATGACCCTCTTCCAGGACGAACAGGACGAAGAAAAGAAATCGCTCTCGTGGATGGCGTACCACGTAGTGGATGGGCTGCCAACAATGGCCCAGTTCCGGGTGCGGCTCGTGGATCCAGCAAAAGCGGAGACCTTCCGGCTTGCCTTTGCCAGAGCTAACGAAGAGGCCAAGGAGCAGGAAGCCAGCGACTCTCTCACCTTCTGGGCTGCACTTGTTTCTAGGAAGGGATTAGGCTCCTTGCGGGCTAAGGACGGGGCCAAAGCGGAGCAGGAGCAACGTCCAACGCCCGTCTCTCAGACCGAGACAAAGGTGGCCAAGGAGCAGATGGAGCAGGCCTCTGGCCTGCAGAGATGAAGCTGGAGAAGCGACCAGCTGGGATGACAGACCTCAACCCGATGGCAGTGGAGGACGGTGGTCGGATCTTGGCTCCGGGCTAGTTGAAACCCTGCAGCAGGCGTAAACAATTAAAATATTTAAAAATAAAATTTAAATATGTAAATTTAATTTAAGGAACACACAAATATAAGTCAATAAAAGAAGGTGAAATCAATGGCCAATTTTTTGGTGAAGGCGGTATTTATTTGGGATTGTTTGGGGAAAATTTGAAGATTTTTTATATTTGTTTTTAGAATTTTTTACATTTATTTAAATATTTTAACTGCCAAATTTGAATTTGAATTCAACGACGATCATTTTCAGTGTGCCCAGGTGCAGCTGTAAAATAACACCTAAATTTGGATGCAAAAAGGTTTGAGTATCCGCTTACTTGTGCCGGCTCCCAAATGGTTCGAAACTTGGGCTTTTTATAACAGTTTATACCAGTTTTCGGTTGCTTGCTGCTGGTTTCTGTTCGCCTGTTACCCCAATTTGGGAAACGGGCAATTTGTATGGAAAATTTCAGAAATTTGGATTGGCCGTTGTAGAAATGTTGTTCTAAATGGATTGTTGTTGCAATCAAGTGGTTGTTGTCGGCAACAAATAGGTATAAATGCATCAAATGAAATATAACAGTTTATACCAATTATTATTTTTGGCCAAAAGTTTTTATAACAGTTTATACCAGTTTTCAGTTGCTTGCTGCTGGTTTCTGTTCGCCTGTTACCCCAGTTTGGAAAGCGACCAAATTGGATGGAAATTTTTGCTCACTTGCATCAGTGATACTCATCTGGCTATTTTTTGCATTATTTGTAGAAAATGCGATGAGCATCACTGGCAGTTAGTGAGATGCCTATAATTTATAAAAAACCCTAATAACTCGGCCAAAAATGCATGAAATTAAATTTGGAAAACTGTTCTGAGTTGCCTTTCCTAAGCTTAACAAAACTGCATACTAGGTTTTGAATTTCATGCACTTTTGGCCGAGTTGTGTGGTTCACATTTTTATAGGTAAGTATTTTAGCAAAACTGAGTATGCAGTTTTGTTAAGCATAGAAAAGGCAACACAGAACAGCTTTCCGAATTGAATTTCATGCGTTTTTGGCCGAGTTATGAGGGTTTTTCTAATTTTTTGTTGATATTTTTTATAATTTATAGGTAAGTATTTTAGCAAAACTGAGTATGCAGTTTTGTTAAGCTTAGAAAGGGCAACTCAAAACAGTTTTCCGAATTGAATTTCATGCGTTTTTGGCCGAGTTATAAGGGTTTTTCTAATTTTTTGTTGATATTTTTTATAAATTATAGGTAAGTATTTTAGCAAAACTGAGTATGCAGTTTTGTTAAGCTTAGAAGGGGCAACTCAGAACAGCTTTCCGAATTGAAATTCATGCGTTTTTGGCCGAGTTATGAGCTATTTAGCAAAATAGCTAGATGAGCATCACTGGCAGTTAGTGAGATGCCTATAATTTATAAAAAACCCTCATAACTCGGCCAAAAATGCATGAAATTCAATTTGGAAAACTGTTCTGAGTTGCCTTTTCTAAGCTTAACAAAACTGCATACTAGGTTTTGAATTTCGTGCATTTTTGGCCGAGTTGTAAAGTTCACATTTTTATAGGTAAGTATTTTAGCAAAACTGAGTATGCAGTTTTGTTAAGCATCGAAAAGGCAACACAGAACAGCTTTCCAAATTGAATTTCATGCGTTTTTGGCCGAGTTATGAGGGTTTTTCTAATTTTTTGTTGATATTTTTTATAATTTATAGGTAAGTATTTTAGCAAAACTGAGTATGCAGTTTTGTTAAGCTTAGAAGGGGCAACTCAGAACAGCTTTCCGAATTGAATTTCATGCGTTTTTGGCCGAGTTATGAGGGTTTTTCTAATTTTTTGTTGATATTTTTTATAAATTATAGGTAAGTATTTTAGCAAAACTGAGTATGCAGTTTTGTTAAGCTTAGAAAGGGCAACTCAAAACAGTTTTCCGAATTGAATTTCATGCGTTTTTGGCCGAGTTATGAGGGTTTTTTATAAATTATAGGCATCTCACTAACTGCCAGTGATGCTCATCTAGCTATTTTGCATGAAATTCAATTCGGACAGTGATGCTCACCTAGCTATATTTCGGTATGGGACCCTATAAATACCCCCAGCCTCCTGAAAATGTAATAAAACTCAGTTTTCAAATTTCATTATTTATTTAATTTCGAACAATTATGCTGACTTATCTATAATTTTGTATTGTTTTGAGAGCTGTAATCTTGGCTGCCGACGTGGCTATTTTCGAGCCAGATCTAGCCATATGGCATGAGCGAGAATCGATGTATCGATTGCAGATAAAAACATCGATACTAAGTAGGGCACGGACGATCTGGCAACGTTGGTCGCTTATTCGTATGTAAAATGCATTTTTTTACATTTTACTCTGAGATTTTCAGCTGTTGTTGTTATTTTGGTGGCCCAAAAGTTAGTTTTTGAGTTATATCTAGTAGCTGGATGCGCCTAAATCCCGTAAACCGTGTGCTGGCAATGCAGTGAGAAGCAGCGGCGTCAGTGAAGGCGTCGAACAGCTCGCCGGGGGTTGGCGACGTGTCAACCGGCTAGAATACAACTGGACAGCAAAGATGACGGCCACGCTGCGGTACCGGGGCGACAAGAGCAACCTGCTGGAGTTCGCCAAGAACCTGGACGCGTTCAAGAAGGTGCCGGAGAAGTACACGGAGACCACGGAGATCGGCGGAACACGTAAGCGCTGGCGTATAGTAATGGCCACGGCTCATGTTTATCCTCTATCCACCAGTTTCCCTGCTCAGTCGCCTGCTGATCGTCTACCTGGTGTACACGGAGCTGCACTACTACTGGCACGAGACGGACATCTTCTACCAGTTCGAGCCAGACATAGCCCTGGACGAGCAGGTGCAGATGCACGTGGACATCACCGTGGCCATGCCCTGCGCCTCGCTCTCGGGCATCGATTTGATGGACGAGACGCAGCAGGACGTCTTTGCGTACGGGACGCTGCAGCGCGAGGGCGTGTGGTGGCAGATGTCCGACCAGGATCGCCTCCAGTTCCAGGCCATCCAGATCCAGAACCACTATCTGCGCGAGGAGTTCCACTCGGTGGCGGATGTTCTGTTTAAGGACATCATGCGGGATCCGCATCCGATGCACGAGAGTCCGGCGGCATCGCCGCATTTTCCGGCTGCTGCACCGCCGCCGGGCGCTCTGCTGCCCGTCGCCCTCGACTTTCATCAGAATCCGGGCGAGGCGGAGAGCAAATTCGATGCCTGCCGCTTGCACGGAACCCTGGGCATCAACAAGGTGGCCGGCGTGCTGCATTTGGTGGGCGGGGCGCAGCCAGTGGTGGGTCTGTTCGAGGACCACTGGATGATCGAGCTGCGCCGCATGCCGGCCAACTTCACGCACCGCATCAACCGCCTCAGCTTTGGGCAGTACTCGCGGCGCATCGTCCAGCCGCTGGAGGGCGACGAGACCCTCATCCACGAGGAGGCCACCACCGTGCAGTACTTCCTCAAGGTGGTGCCCACGGAGATCCAGCAGACGTTCAGCACCATCAACACGTTTCAGTACGCCGTTACGGAGAACGTGCGGAAGCTAGGTGAGATGATGTTGTTGTTTACCTCTTGATGGGCTCCAATTACCCTAGAAATTTCCCCCCGCAGACTCGGAACGAAACTCGTACGGCTCGCCGGGCATCTACTTCAAGTATGACTGGTCGGCGCTCAAGATTGTGGTGGGCAACGATCGCGACCACCTGCTGACCTTCGCCATCCGCCTCTGCTCGATCATTTCCGGCATCATTGTCATCTCGGGGGCCATCAATGCGCTGCTATTGGGACTGCAGCGGCGCCTGCTTCTCGTCTTCTGTCCGCAGCTGTACCACAGACTGGCCAAATCCCCGGCGATGCCTTCTCCTGCCGCCCAGCCAACGGTGGCCGCACCGCCGCCGCCTGTCAACGAGCTGCTGCAGACGGCCAACCTCATGGCCAGCGTGGACATCTCGGCCTATTTGCCGGCGGCGCAGCCCAAGCTCAAAGCTGGCCACTAGCCCAGACCAGCCCAGCCTAGCCGAATCTCCCAGAGCTCTAAAGCGTAGACTAAGTTTTTGTATTCCCTCATTAATATAAAAATACAAGATATGTTGTACATTAATATGGATAAGTTGGTCCTAGTCGCTCCCCAGGATGCCCGTGTCGATGTTGCTCCACTTTCCGGACCGTCGGTAGCCGAACATGCTCTTCAGAATCTCCAGGCCGGACTCTACGGTGGTTCGGACGTCCCGGTCGCTGCCCAACTTGGGGTTTATCTCCACCAGATCGACGCCCTGTACCCGCTTGGTGTCCCTTAGTGCCTCCACAATGCTGATGCCCTCGCGCAATGTCAGCCCGCCGCGCACCGCTGTTCCAGTGCTGGGCGCCACATTGCTGTCCAAAGCGTCGATGTCGAAGCTAACATGGATCTTGTTCTGCGGATCCAGGGCGTCCAGCGTCATCTCAATGATCTTGGGCACGCCCACGCGGTCAATGGTCTGCGTTTGAAAAAAATACAAAGCGGGAAAGGATGTTAGCAAGGAAATTAGAAGGAAATTTAGGTGTAAAAGATATCTGCATACGAAATTTTAATTTAAATATTAATCTATAATTTTAAATACAAATAAAAATCAAACATTTTATTTTTTTTTTGGGAAAACCGAAATGGAAAAATATTCATAACTCGGCCAAAAATTCTTTAATTTTAATTCGGGAAACGGTTCTGTGTTGGTTTTTAATAGGATTATTAATCTGCAAACTAAATTTAAAAATTTAGGAGATCAAAATTTTGTTCAATTTTTGAGAATTTTAATGATGTAACCCCTTATAAAATTTTAGAAAAAATTAAAAAAAAAATTTTCTTCCGGACATGGCTAGAAAGATTCTCCTGTTTATGCTGATAAAGAATATATATGGTTTAAGGGATCGGAAATGACTCCTTCACTAAATAAAATTATAATATCGTTCAAGAAAACCCAAAATATTTGAATTCTTTAAAGACAAGCTAAATCGAAAAATGTCATAACTCAGCCAAAAATAAACTAATTTTCATTCGGTAAGCTGTTCCAAGTTGGTCTTTAATAGGACTATTATTATGCATACCAAATATAATTTAACTATTATTCTGCAATTTTAAACAATTTTAAAACAATGAAAATCTATAATTTTATGTGATTATTTTGGGAAAAGCGAACAAGAAAAATATCATTACTCGGCCAAAAATGCATTAATTTTTAATCGGAAAGCTGTTCTGTGTTGAGTTTTAATAGCTTTAATAATATGCATTACAAATTTAATTTAAATATTAATCAGTAATTTTATATAATTTTGAAAACAATGAAAATCCATAATTTTATTAATCATTTTTGGGACAAGCTAAATCGAAAAATATCATAACTCGGCCAAAAATTCATAAATTTAATTTTAGAAAGCTGTTCTGAGTTGTTTTTAAATAGGATTATTAATCTGCATACTAAATATAATTAAATTATTAACCCATAATTTTATATCATTTTGAAAACAATGAAAACCCACAATTTGATATGACTAGCTTGAGCCTTGACCACATCGCAGATCGAATTAGTTCAGAAGTCGGCAGCTGATGCTGTTGAAGCCCTGCTTGGCCCTGAATGTCGGCTTGGCAATTAACATCGATTGTAAGCGAATCAAGACTGTACAGTCCCTCCACCACGGCGCCTAGTTTTTCGCATATTCCACTTTTTCGACTTTGATTCCGATCGAACTAATTAGCAATCGTAAATTTGCAGCTTTGGCTCACAGTGAGGGGTAGGGGGTAGGGGGCAGGAGGCAGGGGCATTAGGACCATTTTTCAACGGACGTCGTAGGCTGTCGATTTTGCACGAGCTATAAATAATGCAAGGCAACGAGCGGACGTTGACAAGGATGCCAACCAGGCAGGATGTGGCCGGGCACGTATTTCGTAGTTTTTCTCTATTCACTTCACCACCACCGCCAGTATCCGATCGGTTGGGCTCGGATCGAATGGGAGGGAAGTCCTGTAACAGGGGCAGTTGAATGGAATGGAATGGAAGGACAGGCAGCAAGGGGTGGCTGTCCTCTGTCCCTCGCAACCCCTATAAATGCTTCGAGCTTACAACGCACACGAAGGATGCAGGACTCTCGCTCTCTGTCTCTCTCTCTGTGAATGTAATGCCCTGCGGCAGTCACGCACGATCGTCATCTGATCCTGCGCGAGGGGGAGAAACCGGAATTGAAAAATTTTAACAACTGCCAGCCAAACAAAACCGAAACTCTAAAAAACTGATCCCGAGGGTGTACGGCATTTTGGGTAAAAGGGATCTCCTCATTGGCATTATGTCTACCTAGACGGCCTTTCTCTAGGCTTTGCACACAGAGAGAAAAGTTCTACTACTACCTCCTGAGCTAATGGGTGGGTTTTTTTTATAACAGAATATAAACTTAATGTATGTAGATCGACATGACTATAAATGCTGAGCAAGAATATTATATGAGATTCAACCTATTCACTGCTTTGCAAGCTTATGACTGAAATTAGAATGTCCTGCAAGGACATAAAAAGTGTTATATACTTTGGGAATATATATACTTTTGTGACAATAAATAATATAAACAAGCAAGGAGACATTTTGTTTATAGTTTTGGTCCTGGAAAATAATTTAAGTTTTCCAGAATTTAACTTGAATCTGTAATCCTTCTTGTAATAGTTTACTTAGGAACCTAAAATAGTACTATTATCCTCATAAGAACTACAAATAAATAATATATAATTCTATAGACTACCTAAAGAATAATATTTTAATTCTCTCAGTGTACTCACATCCATCGCATAGTAGCGTATCCCAACTTTGTTCAGTATGAACGCCTCGTAGGGGTCAATGTCCCTTAGACCGATGTAAACCAACTGATCCTTGGGCAAACTGGAATGACAAGCAGAGAACACGAAGCAAGATCAATAGGATGGAACATGGCACAGAACGTGGTTATATAGAGCCTGGATGTGGGGCTATATCCTATAAGGAATATGCAGGTATTAATATGGACAGCTGACGTGTAAACAAATAGTCGTGGGTTCCCCTCGAAGGAGCAGGAAGCTCCTAAAGTGCAGGGTGACTTACTTACTGGAATTGGTGTGTGTATAATTTAGGGATCCTTTCCCCTCTGTCACCGATCCTCAAGTTTCGTTGAACTTTACTTCAGGGGCCAGAGAGATTGGGTAAGGTCAGGCTAAGATCCTCGAGAGATTGATGTGTGTGAACTAATCTCCTTTGATCTTTGCTTGAATCATCTCCCTTCATTCCTTCCTTTCTTCATAGTTTAATCATTAGTAGGAGTAATATCTAGATATATATTCTACTATCTCCACACCCAAAAAGGATTCTTCTCTGTTTCCCCTTCAACTGTTCTCTTAGAGCAAAACAAATGCCTCGCCAAATGCCTCACAAAATGCTTCCCCTATTGCCATTCGCCATTCGTGATCCTGATTAATATGCCAGGTGGCGAATCCTTGCAACTGCAACCGAATCCGATTCGGAAAATCGGTAGTGAGGGGAATTTGAAAGTAAAACGAGAGCAGCAGCAGCAGTAGCAGCCTGCACTTCGACAATGCTGAAAATTTCTGAAAAGGAAAAACGGCAACAAAAACAACAGCAACACAAGCGGGGAGGACACAACAATGGCAGGAGCAGGAGCAGCCAAAAGGACGCCGTTGCAATGGCAAGGGGAAACACATGCCACGATTCAGTGGCGAATATGTCCTGCGAGATCACCCCTGTGTGTATCCCTGCCAACGATCGTGCATTGCTCCTGGCCTAAAACTCTCTAAAACCTAAAACCCAAAACCCAAGCCAAATGTCTTATGGTAATTTTTATGATTATTACTATTTGGTTTCGGGGGAAAACTGCATCTGTCGGTGCCCCGGGTCGTGCTTGGCTGCGGAATCCGGTTCCAGCGAGAGATCAGAAAGAGAGGTAGCCGTGCAGCGAGACGTGCCAAGTTAAAAGCGCCATAAGGATCATTATGCAAATGCAAGTCAAGGAGAGGAGGAGGAACAAGGGGAGGAGTAGAGGCAGGAGTAGGGATAGAAGCAAGGAGCAGGGCCAGACCCGGTGGGAGATGAAAGTGCTGATGATGATTTCCATTCCTTTCCTTTCATTCTCTGGCCAGGTTTGTGTGCTGTCTCTTAGATTTTGGTTCAACAGCATGAGAAAATAAAGGAGAAGGGCTTTCCTTTCGTCTCGTAAAGTTTACGTAACTTAAGGGTGGGCAAAGACTCGATCCTGCTTCCTCCCCTCCGTCATAACCAACGCTTTGGGAAAAAGAGCAGAGGCAGACGACCATCATCCCCTGCCCACCCCTCCCATTTGTATACCCAGCTTGGTTGTAATCCCGTGTTGGTCCTACGTTATGTTTTTTTTTTTTTTTTTTTTTTTATCTCGAAACCCGCTTTGTTGCAACGCTCTGTTGTTGTTTCGTTGTTTTGTCTTATTCCGTGGCTAAAACGGATTAAGCAACCCTTTTGATTTCGAATTCTCTTTCCCGATTCAAAAATGTGTTGCCTACTATTGCGGGATACGAAGGAGGAGCACGTGGCCACCAAAAGCTATTCATTAGTAAATGCATCGTTCTTCGAAAAAAATAACCGAAATGAATAGCATTATCAAATGGGATTATAAATAAATCTGAATACTGAACTTAATAATTTGGTAAATTATACATAAGTTTATCCATCCATAACTCTACCTAAAATGCATTAATTTCAATTTTAAAAGCTGTTCTAAGTTGGTTTTTAATATGACTATTAATCTGCATACCAAATATAATTAAATTATTAATATGCAATTTTATAAAATTTTTAAAACAATGAAAATCCATAATTTTATATGATTATTTTGGGAAAAGCGAAATGGGAAAAAAATTATAACTCAGCCAAAAATTTATTAATTTCTATTCGGAAAACTGTTCCGAGTTGGGTTTTAATAGGTTTATTAATCTGCAAACTAAATTTAAAAATTTAGGAGATCCAAATTTTTTTCAATTTTTGAGAATTTTAATGATGGTACCCCTTATAATTTTTTTTTTTTTTTTAATTAAAAAAATTTTTTTCTTTCCAAGATGGCTGATCAAGAATATATACGATTTATGGGGTCGGAAACGACTCCTTCACTAAATAAAATCATAAAACCCCCAAGAAAACCCAAAAAATTTGAATTCTTAAAAATTTTTTTTTTTGTGATAATTTTGTGTAAAATTCAAATTTTAAAAATATTATAGCTTAGTCAAAAAAGCATTAATTTCAATTTGGAAAACTTGTCAGAGTTGGTTTTTAGTAGGTTTTTTAATCTGCAAACTCAATTTAATTTAAATATTAATCTATACATTTTTATAAAATAATTTTTGGGAAAAACAAAACCTAAATATATAATAACTTATCCAAAAATTCATTAATTTCACTTCGAAAAGCTCTGTGTTAGTTTTTACAACAAACTGAAATGCATACACTTGTGACGCCGATCTGTCTGAATGCGAATCCGAGTCGGAGACCGAGTTTCCGGCGCGGACAAGCTTCGCTGGTGCTGGTGATGGTGGTGTCACCACCCCTCCGTACGAAAACCACCCCCAATACAGCGAAAAAAGAGGCGTTACAGTTCTCGCAATTCCACCGCCACGGCGGTCATGTAAAATTGGAACAGAGCAGAAATCAGCACATGGCACGGGCACAGGCACAGGCACAGGAACAGGAAGTAAGCAGGGGGTGGGTAATGCTATATGTAGCTATAGCTACTATATCCTGCGTGTCGAGTGCCGAATACAAGCGCAATTAAGCACACGCACGCAACGCTAGCGAAGGGGAACAGGACAGGATTGCAGTTGAAATTAAACCGCCGCCTCTTGAAAAATGGGTCCTGGTTTTTGGGTTCCTTTGCTCCTTTCGGCTACGGTAGGGGGTGTTGGTTGGTTATAGTGTAGTGCTCGGAAAGGAAACGAAGCCAAAACCACCCCAACGCCAAACGATGTTGGTGGTAGCTTGACTTGGCTTTACTTTGCCCAGTGCAACAAAAACAAGGAGCGAAAACGGCGAGCCAAAACAGCCCTTAGCAGGCTATAGCGACTATTTGGCAAGGATAATGGCAGTGTCCATCATAAAACGGTTGACGACCTCCTCTGGTCTGGTAAATCGAAAATGCCTAAAAATCTGGGTATAATATTGGAGTTTTAACGATCGATAAACAATCCTTCGATAGGCAAATAGGCGATAGGCAGGCGCCAGGACATCCCAAGGCGGGGAATAGAGTTACCAAGCAAATAAACCGATTTAAACATTAAAATCTGGTGTCTTTTAATTCTACTTTTTAAATTTCTACCTAATTATATTTATGCAATATGTATTTAAGCATTTAAACAATATGGATTTATCGATAAAATCGATAAACAGAAAAGTATCTTAATCGAAGATAAGAAAATTATAGAGGTTTTATATTTTTGCTTATAATAAAAAAAGCTAAAAAATTATAATAATAAATTTGGTGAAATTTCAGGCACTCGCTGTTTCTGATATTTTTTTTTTTAACGAAAACTAAAAACAACAAAAAAGGCTAGATTTAACTGTAGCTAATTTGGCAACACTATCCGGCAGAGGCATGCGAGAGAATTACAATTACTCTTCAACGCTCTCGCTCTCCCAACCACCCTCTCCTGGACTTGAGAGAGCCTCACTCGGCAGCGCTACTCGGTTCGGTTTTTGGGAAACCTATAAATACAAGTGCAAGCCAGCCATTCGGGAAAACATTTTATTTTTTCAAAATTTGAGGTCCGGCCGGTACACTACAGATCCTTCGATCCGATTCACTTCGTGGCGTGAGTTTTGAACAGTTTCTTCCCGCCATTTGACTTTGAAAAAAGCCATATTTGACGGGAAAACGTTGATTTGGTTTTCATTTAAACATTCGACATCGCTCCACGGTACTTTTGTGCACTGTTAGTAACATTTGCGCACTGTTACATGTGCTATACGCTTTAGGTTTTCCTTTTTTTTTTTTTTAATATCGTATCGTGCTGTGTGCTATTTCGCCAATTGATTTTTTTTTTCATGTTAGTAGTGCAAACAATATTAATTGGACAAAAGAAAGAATTCAGTCGAGAGTCTGGAACAACGATAAACAACGAGCGAACGAACAGATATCAAACCAAACAGAAAAGTATCTTACGGATACTCTCAGCTCCGACTTGTGCAACCAACAACAATAATAATAACAACAATATCATCGGCGACGATAACCAACAACAAACGCTATGAAATTGTACAATTCTGCCAAATGATCCGCGCTGCGCTGCATAATTGTGCAATTATACACATTTACATATAAACAAACATATATCTTGTACATATATGAGTGCCTCTATGAATGTATTTTCTTTCTGTTTTTTTTTTTTGTCTGCTCGCTATATTTGCTTGTGGATGTGAGTGCGTGTGTGTGTGTTCGGTGGAAGTTTTATACTCAAAACACAACATTAATAGGAGAAAAACTATATGCAATTCAGCGCTAAACAACGTGGAGAGTGAAAGGGCGGGGGTGCCGGAAAAGTTCAGCAAACCTCCAAGAAAGAAAGTGGGGGCGAAGTGAGAGGAAGGCGGCTGGAGAGAGGAGAGATAGTAGTATTGTTAAAAATCTACTGCTAATGCTGCGACGCCGCCGCCGCCTCTGTGCTGTGTATCTGTAAACGCTGGCTCTCCTTCTATGTGTGTTGTGTGTGTGTGTGTGTGTGTGTGAGAGAGAGGGAGCTGAGCTAGGCGAGAGCGCGCCGAGTGGCAAAAAGGGCGCAGCTATCATATCGATTTTATGTGGAAGGAGCATTGTACGGAGCCAGCAACAAAAACGAGAACAGTTAGCCCATAGCAGTAGATACATTTACCTAGGCGACGACAGGAGACAACAGTGTGGGGGTTCAGAGAGAGAGAGAGAGATAGAGAGCGAGGGGGTGGCAGATATTTGCAGTAAACAAAACGCCGGTTGCCATAAAAAGCAAACCCACACCAACACGACCAGAGCACACAAACACATTCGGTAGCAGTAACACAATTATAATGAAATAACGCGCGGAAATACAAATTAGGACAGTTCCAAGAGACCCCCCCTCCCCCGCAGTACAAACACACACTATTCGTATGTAGATTCAAAAACGTTTTTTGAAATTTAGACCAAAAAAAAAAAACATTAGCGCGTGTTTAGTTCCAACAATAACGAAAATAACAACAACAAATGCCTTATAGATACTAAAGTGCTCCTGTGTGTGTGTGTGAGTTTCGGAGAGCCGAGAGTACGTTGAATTCTGTGCGTGTTTTAACAAAATCAAATACATACGCCCCTCCTCTGCGTGTGTATTAATGCATATGTACACACATACACATGCAGCAGCTGAGGCAGCCATACAATGTATTTGGAAGGGAAAGGAGTGTGAGAGTCTCCACTTGCCGACCGCCCTCCCTCCCACCGCCCTCGGTTAATTTAGCCACCCGTTGACCAGCGCAAAACAATATACAAATCAGTGCAGGCCAACCAGAGAAGAGTCGGAAGCAGAGAGAGGCAGTTGATAGAGCTAGATACAGATACTGTTATAATGAGCATTTGGCTTTGGGTATCCGAAATAACGCAAAAATAGCAGCCACTCTCGCACACACAATACAATTGTATAACAAACAAATACAAAATGTTTTTGCTACGTTAATTATATGTATGTATGTTTTTTTTTATGCCAGTGAAATATGAACGATGTTTGTGAATGGAGGGAGGGGGGAAATCGATAAAATCGATAAAGGCGATAACAAGCACAAGCGCACACCAACAAGCAAACAACACCTTGATAACAACAATAACAACAACAACTATAAGTAGCTTTTAGCAACCACATTGACTTACCGCTTTTTTTGTTTTGCTTTTATTTTGTTTTTGTACCCATCAGACGGCAGCGACGCCAGCGTCTATTTATTAACAAAAAAAAAAAAAAAACTATTACAATTACCAACAAAAACAACGCCGAAAAGCAAGAGAACTCAAGTCCTGGACCACCGGCGAGTGTGCGAGAGAGCGATACCGAGAGTGCGAAAGTGTGAGAGGATAGCGCCGTAAGAGCACGCGCGCAAGGAAACCGAGGTCCGCCCAAAAAGGATATACATATAACGAGAAAGAGGACAACTAGACAATTAATTAATTTCGTTTGGAAACCAAACGGAGCAAACTACAACACAACTGCTACAAAAACACACACACACACTCGCTGTAAACCAAAAACAAGTGAGTATTTGAAGACGAACCACTTTTAGCCATAAGCGAAATGTAACGAAGATCACGTCAGCAGGACGCGTCGAGAGCAGCTCTCAAAGGGTGCGGTGCCTGGCGGTTGCCATGGCAATAGTTGAGTCAGCGAGACCACTGTCTCTTTGCGTGGGTAGAATTGGGTTTTTGAGCGAGTTGGTGGGTGAGTTAGATGATGATGTGTGTGTGTTTGTTTGTCTGACCTTTTGACTCTTTCGACCGTACAGCCGAAAGGTGCGAATTGGTCAGGCGAGCAACGGAACTACAGTGTCACTTATCTAACACGAACGGAGCTAAACTAAAATAATGGGATATCTTTAATAATTTGGGATTGCTTTTTACCTATCGAATTCTATTCTGCCTAGACAAAATAGTTTATAAAGGACATTATCGAAACTTTCAATTTAACATTTTGTATAATAAAGCCCATCTTCTTAGCTCCCTAAACAAGATATTTGTTGATCTAATAAAGTCATTTTAACATAATGCGCACATCTCCCTATAACTCAGTTTAGTATACACTTTCCATAGTGAAGAGAGGTAAAGCTGCCATAGAGAGGTTCCACTAGTCAATGAAATTGCTCTCGGACGATCATCTCTTGGGTCAGCCCTGGGCTTCTGTCGCACTAGTTCATTGAACCGAGCGACCCATCCGCTGGCTGATTCGAGCAACAGCTCTCTCTCGCCCTCCCCCGCTGCCTTTGCGCTGCTGCTGCCCTTACAGCAGCATTACCAGACACACAAGAGAGGGCAACCCTGCCGACGCCATGTAAACGGCGGCAGGAGCTTAGGGGGTGGCAGTGCCGCGCGTTTAACCCTTAAGCGGTGCCAAGTCTGCTTGTTCCCAGAACCCTCGGCCGCCGCGTTAATGTTTTTTTCGCAAAAGGGAAATATTACAACTTGTTTGGCTAAGGGTGGGTCTCATGCCTGCTGCTCATTTTTAGTTTTGTTCCAAGGGGTGCGAGTCAGTCGATTTCTCGCATATCCTGGCCGGCCGCCCCCTGTTAGACCTCCTGATGCCGCCGCATTACATAACTGGGCGGGGTGTGTATGTATGTATGTACAAACACACACACAAAGGCATACGCAGAGAGCTGTAACAGTTTGCCAAAAAGAAATGCGAGGAGGCGGATGTGAAGAGTGGAAGAGAGAGAAAGAAAGAGAGAGAGAGCCAGAGAGCGGCTAAAGCGAGAATCCTGGCGAGAAGGTCCTGCGCTCGCCTCAGAAGCATCGTGTGCCTGGGACGCAGCGGATCTGGTCTCGCCATCAACGCTCGCTCTAGAAACCTTTAACCAAACCGAAATAAAACGGTGTCGCTTGAACGGAAACAAAATCAAAGGCGACCGCTAAAACAAAAGCCAACGGAAAGCACATAAATCAGGGAAACCCAAAGCAGAAGCGGCGAATCCAGTAAAGTTCAGTTCATCAGTTTGCCGAGGTGTGTGCGCGTGTGTGGGTGTATTTGTTCCTGTTCCGGCGTGTGTGTGTGTGTGTGTGTGTGTCTGTCCGTGTGTCGGTGTCTGTTTTGCGAGCTTTAATTGTGTCTGTGGGGGTGTCTGTGGGCGAGGCGAGGCGAGGCAGAGGCAGCTAGGTAGAGTGGGAGTGAGAGCACTTGAGTGAGACGAAAGCCAAGTAAGTGGGCCGCTGGGCGGCGCCAGTGAGCAAAGCTCCTTTAACCAACCGTTAACCGCTAACCCAAAAAGGAGAGCGAACAAACAGAGTTGCCAACTATCTTTCAGATACGTATCTCTCAGATACGTACGAACTAATATAAAGTATCTTATGGTGACGAAAAACTCGATTAGTTTCTAAATATTTTCGGTACTTTCCTTGAAAAGCTATTGTCCTTTCGATGGGTTTATAGAATAAAAAAGGGGATTCCCTAATCAAATTTTGATTGCATTTCGTTCGTTTTTGGTTTTCTAATAATTTGAATGTGAATTTAAATCGTTAGAATATGAAATATAATTAACAGCAATTCAATTCAATTTCAATTATCTTTTAGGAGACGGAAAGAGTATGTAGTTAATATTAAGCAAAATTAAAATACAAATCCAATGAAATCAGTTCTCAAGTTAAAAACTGGTTTTCTGGTTTAGAAATCCGAGATTACCTTAAATAAATTAATAATAAATTTAATATGTCTTTACAAATTGGCCTTTTGGCAACTTTTGCACAGCAACTGAATCACCAAACTAATTCCCTGACCTAACCCTCTCATAGGGACACTAACTAGTAGGTGAGCCACACTAACCAAGCCAAGGCTCGCATCTGTAGACATTTACTAACACATCATGCAAATGGTTTAATCTTGACATTTAACTATTTTTTCCATGCGCCTGTCCCTGCGTTGGTCCTCGTCGTGTCACCCAACTCAACTCAACATCCATCGCAACACAAACTCCAACTCCAACTCCTACTCGAACCCAATCCAGTGGACTTTATAATGGCAAACACAGGAGCAGGCGGCGGAGTGGACACACAGGCGCAGCTGATACAGAGCGCGGCGGCTGCCGCGGCAGTGGCGGCAACCAATGCGGCCGCCGCACCCGTACAGAATGCGGCCGCTGTGGCCGCCGCTGCCCAGTTGCAACAGCAGCAGCAACAAGTTCAGCAGGCAATACTGCAGGTGCAGCAACAGCAGACACAGCAGGCGGTGGCCGCGGCAGCGGCGGCCGTTACCCAACAGCTCCAGCAGCAGCAGCAAGCGGTGGCCGCCCAGCAGCAGCAGCAGCAGCAACAGGCTCAACAACAGCAACAACAGCAGGCAGCAGCGGCGGTGGTACAACAACAGGCTGCAGCGGCGGCAGTAGTGCAGCAGCAAGCGGCCGCAGTCCAGCAAGCCGTGGTGCCCCAGCCCCAACAGGCGCAGGCCAATACCAACGGCAATGCCGGAGTCGGCGGTGGCGCCCAGAATGGCAGCAACGGCAGCACAGAGACCCGCACCAATTTGATCGTGAACTACTTGCCGCAAACGATGACCGAGGACGAGATCCGGTCGCTCTTCTCCAGCGTCGGCGAGATCGAGTCCGTGAAACTGATACGCGACAAGTCGCAGGTCTACATCGATCCGCTCAATCCGCAGGCGCCCAGCAAGGGCCAGAGCCTGGGCTATGGCTTCGTCAACTATGTCCGGCCGCAGGATGCCGAGCAGGCGGTAAATGTGCTCAACGGCCTGCGTCTGCAGAACAAGACCATCAAGGTGTCGTTCGCCCGGCCTTCGTCGGATGCCATCAAGGGCGCCAATCTGTACGTTTCGGGGCTGCCGAAAACGATGACCCAGCAGGAACTGGAGGCCATCTTCGCGCCCTTCGGTGCAATCATCACATCGCGCATACTCCAAAATGCCGGTAACGATACCCAGACGAAGGGCGTCGGCTTCATACGGTTTGACAAGCGGGAGGAGGCCACCCGGGCCATCATTGCCCTTAATGGCACCACTCCCTCAAGCTGCACGGATCCCATTGTGGTCAAGTTCTCCAATACGCCGGGCAGCACCAGCAAGATCATCCAGCCGCAGCTGCCCGCTTTCCTCAATCCGCAGCTGGTGCGACGCATCGGAGGCGCCATGCACACGCCCGTCAACAAGGGCCTGGCACGATTCTCGCCCATGGCCGGCGACATGCTGGACGTGATGCTGCCAAACGGACTGGGCGCGGCGGCGGCAGCTGCCACGACGCTGGCCAGCGGACCGGGCGGTGCCTATCCGATATTTATATACAACCTGGCACCCGAAACGGAGGAGGCAGCGCTGTGGCAGCTCTTCGGTCCCTTCGGGGCTGTGCAATCGGTGAAGATCGTCAAGGATCCAACAACGAACCAGTGCAAGGGCTATGGCTTCGTCTCGATGACCAACTACGACGAGGCGGCCATGGCCATTCGGGCCCTCAACGGCTACACCATGGGCAACCGGGTGCTGCAGGTCAGCTTCAAGACCAACAAGGCCAAGTAGGGCGGCGGCGACGCGGGATTGGAAATGGGAACGTCAGAGACAGAGACAGAGACAGAGACAGATTTTGTCCCCTCGAATCGTTTCGGAACACCACACACGCAGCACTCGAAACACACACAACACAACACACATATATAAATATGCATGGTATAACGGTAACTAAGCGCAACAACAAAACAGTATGTGTAAAACACACACGAAAAACAACAAACAATTGAAAGAGAAAGAAAGAAACTAGGGGTCAGCGAAGGCAGGACGAACAGGAGTCAGGCATAAGGCTAAGGCAGTAGGCATTGGGAGAAGAAACTCTCTCTTACACGTGTCGAGACACAACGAAACACGACGGTGCAGCAACCAAGTCCCCTCGCCAATCTCCCCATAAGAAATCCAAACCCCGAGGTCCCTGAGAACCCAGAGAACCCAGAGAAAGCGCCGGCCAAAAGCGTTGCAATAGCAAAATTCTTCTTGTTTAGCATTTAAGTAACGAAAATCATAAACTAAAAACAAAAAAAAAACTAAGAAACCAAAAATTAAGAAGAATGAACGCTGCTTTTTGAAAGAGAGAAGAGGGGGAGAGTGAGTGGAGAAAGCAGGAGGACTGAGGCAAAGGATAATGAATAATGAGATTATAAGGAACAATTGCAATATATATAAAACATAAAAAAAAATGAGAAAACTCGAACTCTCGGGCAGCTCTGGTTCTTGGCAGCCGCCGTCAAAATGAGTCACAAAAGCGAAACAAAGAAATCAACACACAAAAACTACTAAGAAAATTTAACTTAACTTAGCGAAAAAAAAAACAACAACAAACAAACAAAAAGTAAAGGGAAAACGAGAAATTTTAAAAATTTAAACTTACACCTAAGGTAAAATGCAGCAATGAAATCTTCCAAACAACAACAACAAAAAAAGCAACTCTGTTAGTTACACTCCAAAAAAAAAAAAAAAACAAAAAACTTTTCTACCATATATTAAAAAAAAAAAAAAAAAAAAGAAACAAAACGAAATCTAGAAAACTCGATAGAAAAACGAAAGAAACCCCAATGAAAAGAGGAAAATAGGGACAGAAATAAGACACTATGTAGTGTCTAGGATGCTCACAGGACATGCGTTCGGCACCCTGGGGGGAGTGGCGGCGGCGGATCAAGTATTCATAAAGTAATAGAATATATATAGTTATTGATAACATGGAGGCTGCTACAGTATTACCACACAAAAAAAAAAGCTACTTAAAAACGAAGATCGAAGATATTTATATATATCCCAGATATATATACATAGGTGATGCAATTCTATATATATATTACCTATTTTATATAGACATTTAATATTGAATTCTTTCATCGATTGTGTTTTTTACATATTTAGACGAGAAACTAGTATCGAACAGCCGCATCCCCAGACGAACTCCTGTCCTTTGAGTCCGGTCTCTCGCATAGACAACATTTATATAGGAACGAATAGCGAAAACAGGGGAAGGAAAGAAAGCAAAAGAGAAGGGAAAAGGGATAAAGAAAAACAAAACAAAATAATAACAATAATTTATGCGCAAATTTGAAACGTTTTACTACAGACAAGTAAATAATTGTTAGTGAATATTATTAAAAGAATACTGTAATTTCTCATATACTTTATACATATAAATATATATATATATATCTATATATATATATATATATATTGTATAGTTGAAGTAATAACAACAATTTTTTGCGTTTAAAAAAAAGGCCTAGCACAACAAAACAAAACAAAACAAACAGCAGCAACCAAGCATCATTTTTTTATATACAAAAAAAAAAAAGGCAGAAAAAAGGAAGAAAAACAGTTTGAAAAACGATACGAAAACGAGCGAATAGGGAGGGACGGGTGGGTCTATAAGGCATTAAAGCCAGTAAAGCTATTAAAACCATTAAAGCATTAGCCAAGCGTTTTCTCTAATAGTTAAGTAACTTGACAAGCAACCACAACAAGTAAGGAAAGAAGGAAGAAAGGCATCAAGGGAGGAAAGGGCATTAGGATATACCAAAACCCCCAATACTCTTCTTATAATACCCCTAACTTTGTTTTTCGATTTGCTTTCTTTGCTTGTTTGTTTTCCTTCTTTTTTCGTTTCGTTTTTTAAGAGAGAGAGAGAGTGAGAGGGGGGGAGTGACAGACTCAGAGAACCAACCTCCTAGCAGACAAAAAGCGGCCTTTTCGCATTCGTTTCGCTAAATGATCAAAAACGAACTCGGAAACGGACGAATGGCGGACAAGTATCGCGAATTCTGCCGCGAAACCCCAACTTTATTATCGTTTATGAGCCTGAATCGGACGAAAAACTATAATTTTCAATATCATATACGAACCTTTTTGTCTGCTGGGCTACCATCTATCAGATATCTATTTCAATTTACATTAATCTATATATTATATATTTTCTGGATTTATCCTATTACGTTTTCGTTTGATTTCTTTGCTTTGCTTTGATTTTTCGACATTTTCGGCTTTCCTGCATCCAAGAATTAACCAACAACAACAACAACAATCAACCATGCATATTTATATTCTTTTGTATCCTTCTTTGTGTGGAATATATAGTAAATTCTTAATTTGAAGAAATGGATTTAATTATGATTACTATTACTTAGTGTAATCGGTTGACACATCTCCGAATCCCCTATACATACATTTATATATATATATCTCTTTAACTAGAATTATTTAACTTTTTTTTGAGTAACTATTAGGCAGCCAACAAAAGAATCGTTGTTTTTTTATTCGCAACAAGAAATCTAGTCAGAAGATGTGGAGGATAGGGATAAGGACAAAGCAAAAAGAGAGGAGAACTGTGACCCTCTCCCCTTTCCAAAGATTAAGGGATCACACTGCTCCTCCCCGACTCGAATTTGCAATAATTTATTAAAGAACAAATCTGCTAGAAGGAGAGCGGAGGAAGGAAGGATTATATGTACTTGATTTTGTTTCATTTCAATATTCTGTCACATACACCTACACCTACACCTACATATATGTATGTATGTATATTTAGTTTAATTGACTAATCCCCAAAACGTATATATATATATATATACAGAATTATGCTTATATTTTTTGCGTCATCGATGGATCTTATTAATTGTATTAATTCTAATTCTTGTGCAATAGTTTTAAAATAATGCAACTAAGCGAAAGGCATCAATGCATCTCAGAAAACCCACAAATTATAAATTTCAATTTGCGAATATGCACTGCGAGAAATGAACAGAAAAGCGACCATTATACATATTATATATAATTTTTTTTGCGTGTAATTTACAATTTAAGCAACACACGAACACACACACACACACACACACACATACACATATATATATTTATATATATGTATTTATATATCTCATCATGATTTTTCTTTAAAATATTTAAGTAAGCAATGAACCAAGATGAAAGCGAAAAAGCAAAACAAACAAAAACATTATTTATTGTATTCTTATAATTACGTAATTTAATTTAATTCCTTTGATTTGTGAGCAAAGCGAAGAAGAAGATGATCAATGAGAAGATACTGACGAAGAAGAACTAGCCTAATTATACACACACAAACACACACACAATGAACAGAGAGAGAGAAGGAAAGAGAGAGCCAGAGGGATAAAGGAAACGGAGCTAACGGCTGATTTGAGCTTTTGCGCTCTCTGAGAGCGGAGCTGAGCTTAGAAATTTGCAATTATCAGCTCTCTCATTAGCTCCGCTCTCAGCTCCTAAAACTTGGAACTCCCAGCTCTTTTTCCCTCTCGCCATCTATATCTTTTACCATTTCGAATTACCCCTTTTCTCAAACTCTACTATTTACGTTTTACGTTTAATTTTAATTTGTATTTTTCTGTGCCCCCTATTTTGATTTTTGTTTCAGTTTTAGTTTTAGTTTTAACTTTATGATTTGATGTGCATTCAGCAGGAGCTTTAGATATATGTATGTATCTAGCTATAGATATATAGCTCTGTGTCAGAGAAGGGGGATTCCTTGAATGCAATACTATGATTTATGATTACCATTATATGTTTATTATTATTTACTATGTTTGATTTCCTTTCCTCTTGATTTTGTGTATTTTTCCCCCACGAATTATTATATGTTTATACACTTTATGATTTCCCCCCCTTTGATTTTGCGAAAAACCGAAGCAAAAAAAAATTACTTTCAATAAAAACAGAAAAAAAAAAAACAAAAAAAAAACACCTAAAAAGAAAAACTGTTAGCATAAATTTTTTTATTTGTTTCTCTTTGGTTTTTTCGTTTCGTTTGTAAACTGTATGATTTTCTTTTCCCCCGACAATTTCTTTTTTTTTTCAAAACCCCAAAAGGATTCTCAATACCTTCAATACAATCTTCTCCCAAGCTCTCTCGCACACTCACACGCCGAAAACCCAACAAGAAATATGTATAGGAATCGATCTAGTCAAGGGTCGCCTTCTTGATCCACAAAGAAGCGCCCACGGAACCCATTGATCTCAGCAGAAAAGACATTCCCGATTGATCAGGATCAGGATCCCAAGTCCCCCCTAATAAACAGCATTCCAGGAGTAAATCCAGAATTGATCTCCCGCTTTCTGTTGCTCGGTTGCAGTGTTGCAATTAGCGTTTAGCAATTAGCGATATTAGTTGTGTGCAAAAAAAGCAGAGAAAACTTTTTATTTGTGTAATGCTATTATGTTTAGTGCTTATATTTATGATTAACACGAATCTCTCGACCTCGACCCTGGTCCTAGTTTAGTTTTTAGCGGAGCAAAAGTACAGTCACTCTGCCACCCCCTCGATTAATCGATAAATCCTTGATGGGATGACATGATCCGTGTATGATTTTCAACCTGTATCTGTGTATCTTTGTATTGCTTAATCAATTGTGTGTACTTTTTGTAATTTTGTAAAACGCCTAATTTGTTCCACTGATATAGAGAGAGAGAGCGAGAGCGATATAGCGATAGAGATAACAAATACACCAATAATACCGTTAATAATCATGACAACAACAGCAAGGATATATATACACTTCGATATATATATACACATATATATTATTATTATTATTAAAGCGAAGACAAAGACGGAGGAAACTATTTAATTTATTTTATTAACATATTTATATCGATTAATTAATTAATTAATTAATATTTATCACACATTTCAAATGATATTTCAAAATGGAAAACAATACAAAACCAAAACCAAAACAAAAAAAAAAAAAAACTGAAAAAAAGATATTAATATTATAAATGTATTTCAAAATATATGATTATGAGTTTTTCTTGCTTTTTGCCAAATAATATGTATCTATCTATATAGTATATATCTATCAGAACACACCGAACTTTTGTTTTATTAACTATAATTCTCTTTGGATCTGATTTTCTGATTTTCTGTGTTTCGTTTTCCTTTCGGTTCCTGTCTTTCAGCTCTTTTCGATTTTCGAATTTCGATTTCTTTCGATTCGATTATTTCGAATATTTCTTTGTTATTTTTCTTATTTTCCGTAGCCTTGATGAACTCGTAATTTCTATGCCTTTCTGCTTTGGTTTCTGTTTTTTCTATAGTCTCTTCTTTTGTTCTAGTGTATATTACACTAAACAACACACACGCGACACACAGACTCGATTTCCATTACATTTCAAAATTGGTTTCAGTTGTGTGCTAAAAAGTTGGCACCTCCTCAAGTAAAGAGTATTTGTTGCTCTTCGTTTGCCTTATAATTTTGTCGCTCAGTGTACGCTTCTTTGATCGAACCCAGCAAAATCCGAGCAGAAGTCCCCCAAAGAGAAAGAGAGCAAGATGAAGATGAAGATGAAGGAAGATGATGCTTTGAGGGAGGAGAATCCTAACCGATCTGATTTGACATTTGAGTTGATTCCGATTTTCGATTTGCCTTACTTTTCTTCTTTCCCCGCCATATGGTATATATTCAACTTTTCAGTTCCTTGTTGCCGTTCGTTCGTTCGTTATCTATATATATCTATATGTATATGTTATATATATATACATATATATATGTATATTGTTGTATTGTTGCGTACCTCTCACTCACTTTTATTGTTTCGTGTGGTTTTTGTTGGTAAGTAAATCGGAGACGAAAATATAGAGTAAAAAAAAGGATCCCAGGATCCTTGCCCGGATCTGTACAATTTTTCGGCACACATATATATTTTGATCTTCCCAAATAAAAACATAATGATAATGATTTTCTCTAAATGGTTTCTTTTCTCATTTTATTAATATTAATATTGATCTTCTCCTCTTTTTTGTAGCAAATAAAAAAAAAAACAAAAAAAAAAAGAAGAACACTTGACAAACAAAAATCCAGCAGCAAAAAAAAAAACGACTAATATTTTTATAAGCATTTTCTAATTTGTTTCTTTCTCTTGATTTATTTTCAGGCGTGTTCGTTCTTGTTCGTTCGATTTTGAATTGAATTTATGAAAAAAAAAAGAAAAGAAAAAATAATACTTAGACAAGAAAACACATTTAGTTATTGATTAATTAATTAAAAACAATAATGATTGTGTAATTATATTGATTCATTGATACGTTAATCTTTAATATTGATTGTAATTATTTAATGCATAAACCAGAGATGTCCCCATCCCTTTCCTTTCCAAATTGATGTACATATGATGTACAGACACACACACACACAAACACACATTATGTAATTTTCGAATACCAAAAAACACACACTAGTGAGAGTCACCGATATTTAAATCATTTTTTAAGTAAATGTATGATTTAAGGAATTACAAAGAATTTCCATTTAAATTTGCAGCTTTTTCTATAGTTTATAGATTTGATTTTGATCGAGCAATGCACATAATACCACCAAAATCCCCACACGAACCACCAAGTAACCCAATAAGAATGGCCCCCCGAGAGGAGAATTTAGTCCTTAGATTCTTATGTATAATGTTTGTATATACATACATATATATTCTATATATTTTTACATTTCCATTTCGGTTTTCAATGTCTCAGTGCCAGTCTCCGTCTCCGTTGCTCCTGTCCGTTCTGTGTGTGTGTTTTTTTTTTCGTGTGTATAAAGTATGACTAACCCAAGAATGTATATATTTTCAGTTTCAGGCATTTCTCGGTTACGATTCTTTCGGTTTTTTATCATTTTTTTAAGGGTAAAACCAAAACTCCCTAGGAACGAGCCCCAAGATACAAGAATAAAAGCAGAGAGAATCAGTTTTTATAAACTTTTAGGCAGCTCCATTGGTTTCTTACCCCAAACTCATAGTTTTTTTTCAATTCAATTTTTTATAAAACAAGAAAAATAGAGAAAAACAAACCAACTGCCGCTAGAAAATGCAATGTGTAAATGAAACAATATATTTAATAAGCAAATTAAAGGTTGATAGCAACTAAAAAACAAGACTGAAAGTGAGAAGAACATGAAATCAAAATCAAAATCTGAAACTGAAACAGAAAGTATCGAAGCAAAGCTAGAATATTACTTAGTTCGTTAAGAGAGGCAACTGTGATAAGGCGACCAGAACCCCACCCAGCCAACAAAACCCCACCCCCCCCAAAGACCCCCCTTGAATACAAAGTATTAGTTATGTTAAATATTAAAAAACAAAAGAGACAGAGGAAGCCCTAGAGTCTAAGTGCTACTTATAAGCTGTAAGCAATCTCAACCGATTGGGAGCTATAACAATAAAGCAAAGAGCAAAGCATAGCAAACTCACCAGTTGGGAGCGATCTCTTGGAGGCCAGCATGCTGCCAGGTGGTGCGCAGCTGCTCCAGCAGAAAGGACACGGGCATGCCGTGGATGTTGCCTGACTGCGAGGTGCTGTGCAGGTTGATGTCCGCGTGCGCATCGATCCAGACCAGCGACAGGTTCGGTGTGTGCTGCAGGTGACCAGCCACGGAACCTGTAAGGAGTTGCAGGATTCATCAGGATTAGGCTCAGGACACAGAGGATGTAACAATCGAAATGGAATCTTACCAAACCCAATCGCATGGTCACCGCCAATGGCCAGGAACTGGGAGTTCTCCTTGAGCATCAGCTGTACCTGCTCGATCAGCGCCCGATTGCAGGCCATGAAGTCGGCATAGTTCCGGATGTGGTGGTAGTGCACCCGCTGCTGTTGCAGCAGCGATTCATCCACGACATACTGCAGGTTTCCATAGTCCCGAATGACCAGGCCATCTAAGCGAAAGAAACGAAAAATAAAAGAAATGAAAAAATACAGTTACCCACACGTGTGCGATTTTTTTTACGTTTTTTACTTTTGCGGAGAGTCCACTGCAGTTTTATTCAACAGGAACCTTGTACAATGTAATGTAGTAATCACACGCGTGCCAACTAATATTTATGATTTCGGATCGACTTGCATATAGAACCGTGATCTATAGCCTTTTCACGTTATTTCTGCAGTTTTTTTCACTCTTCTGACGCCAAGAATAGCAGGACAAAAGAGAATGCACAAGAATTTGGGTTTCTAACTGTTTTCCTTTACGTTTTAACTTTTGCGGTGGATTTTTCGACTTAATTGTAATGCTGGAACGACGCACTCGTATAATTTGTGGTCGTACAGCCTTAAAATAGAGTTTTTTCACATTATTTCTGCAGTTTTTTCACTTTTCTGACGCCGAAATGTCAAGACAAAAGAGAATGCACAGGAACTTGGGTTTCTAACTGTAAAAAGAGCGTCGCGCCATAATTATTAGTGTGGCCAGATTAAAATTTGGCTCTTTGGCCTAAAAAATCTCAAAAAGTTTACATTTCCCACACCTGATATTCAAACCACACCTGATACTGTAACCATATCGGATACTACAACCTCTGATCAGCTAGATGAGATTAACAGAGCTCGTTAACAGAATTTTAACAGAATTTAAATTTAAAAATATTCATAACTTGGCCAGAAAAACAATAATTTTCAATCGGAAAAGTGTTCTGTGCTAGTTTTTCCTAAGTTAATTATTCTGCATTATTTTAATCTATATTTTTTAAAATTAAAATTTTTATCAAATTTTGAAAATTTTAACAATGTTAACCCCTTATCAAATTTTGAAAAAATTGATAAAAAATTGTTTTGCTCCGAAGATGGCTAGAAAGATTCGCCTCTTGATGCTGATCAAGAATATATATGATTTATAGGCCCGGAAATGACTCCTTCACTAAGTTACTAGCCTCTGACTGATTACAATACCCTGGGCAGCTTTTACCCTATTCCCTCCCCCCGACTCACCATGACTGCTCTTTAGCACCTGTCGCAGGCTACTCTGCCTTAGCAGATCCGGCGCTAGTTCCACACCCTGCTTGCCCTGCCCCTTGGCAAAGGGCACACCGATGATGGCCAGCGTTTGCTCCGGCTCCAGGGCGGCGGCGTTGGAGTTGGTGCTCTTGGTGCGTTGGAGTCGCAGGCGGAGGCACCTAGTGGCTAACTTACGGCTCCACCACATTATGCTGCTACTGCTGCTGTTGATCTGTTTGTAATGCTGGAAGCTGCGCAACTGTGAAGAAGATCCAGCGGATGCTGTGCTCAGGCGACAACTATCTCTTGGGCTCTGGGACCCCTCTGATAAAGCCCGGCGACAGTTCATCGGCGACGAGAGAGAGCTTGGGGAGACATTGTGTGTTTTGTAGTGTTTTGTGGATGGGATAGAGCGGTAGCCGCTGGTTGGTTGAGCGATAAGGCGGCTATCGCCAGATGACCTTGATCCTGGCTCTGACGACAAACCAGCAAGCAGCGGCTATAACCGAGATGATGGTCACAAAAGGCAAAAGCCCCGGGAGAACAGAGCGTTTTGTTTTGTATTTCACAGCAACCGAAGGTGGCCGGCGTCTCCCTTGGATTCATTTAAATTTATGTTGTACATTGCTTTTTGTGTGTTTCATCTGAACAGAAAGCCATTTAGCCTTCTTATTTAACCACTTTTTGTATTTTAATTATTTAATTTATTTATTTATTTCACATTTAGTTATATAATTGCCATATTTTTGCGGATATGTATACGGTAAATGGGTATATATACATACAGTATATAGTATAAAGTAGTATATAGTATATAGTACTATATAGTATATAGTTTATAGTATATAGTACTATACAGTACACAGTATATAGTATATAGTACTATATAGTATATAGTTTATAGGTAAATGCTGCACCACTCATTTGATTTCAACTCCTTAGTCTGGGCTCTAGCTTAAAACGTACATTAAATCGGTTAAATCGTGCAGTAAATATGCATATTTTGGTGTGTGTACACTGTACAGTAGTACCTCTAATATAAAGTTAATCAAGGGAATTGTTACAAAAGCTCTGTGTTAACTCTGTTGGGGTGTTGTGTGTCTCTTCGATTTTGGAAGCCAAATGGACATAGAAAATTGGAATTTGTGATTAAACAAAACACATTTTTCTTGAATTTACAAATAAAAAAAATGAAAATTTTGCCTTTATGCTTTTGCTTTTGATTCTATTTCGCTAGATTCGTGTCTTTGCTTTTGCTTCTTCTCTGCTTTTTGCTGCCACAAGGCTCTCAGTCTTAAGTTAGGTTCTACAATAAAGCCCACAGGATACGGTTGCAGGACGGGTGCTAAGCGAGAGATTCGTCTTCTTGGGGGCACAACATTCTCTATTTAAAGCTGACGGATTGTGATGCTCATCAATTTAAGTTACATTAATAATAATAAAATTAAAAAAAATATATAAAAATAAAAGGTAAGAGCAAAGCCTGGCGCTGGTTTCTTCTCTCCTCATCGCTTGAAAACGTTTGAATCACAGTTATGTTGTGTGTTGTGTGTGCCAGGACAGAGTCCCTTAGTGGCGACGCTTCTGGCCATGATTGTGCAGCATCACAATCTCATCGCCACTGTCATCGGCCACATCCAGTTCCGGCTCCATGTGGGGACCATCCTCGTCCTCGTCGTCCTCCTCATCTGTGTGCAGTATACGCTCCAGCTGCTCCTCATCAAAGTAAGGCTGAATGGTCATGCCACCTGCATGAATCAAGTTAAAGATTAGTTTTCAAAGGAAAAGCTGTTTTCCAGGCGAAAACTCACGCTTAATGGGCGAGCGAAACAGCTCCGTCTCGCCATCGTCGCCCGCCTCGTCGTCCTCGAGATCAAAGTGCTGCTCCTTGCTCTTCTGCGGCAACAGCGAAAAGTTGTAGTACGGCTTGTTGCCCCGGTGGCGGCGATAGAACCAAAACTGGGCACACAAAACGCACAACACCACGCCGACGATGATCAGGACACTGGCAAACAGTATAAAGAGGAAGCGCGGCAGGCCAAACACATGCTCGTTGACCTTCAGCCGGAAGACCACATTTTCCGTGGCGCCCTGGTTCAGATGCAGCTCCCTTGAGGCCTCCAGGTGACGCGGCGCCTCCACTTTTAGGGTGATAATGCCCAAAGGCACTGCCCCTAGGTGATACTGGCCCAAACTGTTGGTGAAGTTCCTTAGCTGGGATTGGCCCACCACCGAGACCTTGGCATTGCGCACCGGATGATTGTTCTCGTCCAGCACAAGGCCCGCAATGCTAGCCAGAGCTCCAGCTCCACTCAGCTTGTTTGGCAGCTCTAGAACCTCGCCACGGATCAGGGTGAACGGATGCAGGCGAACAGTGCCCAGCTCCATTACCTGGCCATCCTGTATGTCCACCTTTAGAATCTGCGACTCGTAGTTGGGAGCAGTCACCTCCAAACCGTAGCTGCCGTGCGGCAGCATCAGCTGGAAGCGAGCCGCATTCTTGGTCACATTGTAGACGCGCTGCTGGTGCTCCAGCAGCCGGACAAAGGCCTCACGCAGCGGCTGCCCCTTGTCGTTCTGCACCAAACCACTCACTCCCGTCCGCACCAAGGCGAAAAAGTTCTTGATCTTGTCAATGTTCTTGCGCCACACGGAGGCAATCTGCTTGTGGTGGGGCATCCGGCAGCAGGCCACGCCCAGCGTGTAGACCGGGAGGTTGTACAGGCGGTAGAGCATGTTGGTCAGACGCTCCGTCGTCTCCTGGTGCAGCTGCCGCGTGGCGGAGCTGGGGCACTGCAGCGGCGAGTAGTTGAACTCCGTGCGCTGCATGCCGTGGGCGAATCTCTCCAGCACCGAGTCGCCGCGCGGATAGCTCAGGTCCGAGCTGCCCGCCCCAAAGGTGAGCATCAGATCGAAGTTCTCGCTGTGCAGAAACTGCAGGAACATGTCCTTGGCCTGGTCGGTCTCCGGACTGAGGATGCGTTCGGCCAGCTCATCGCCCAAAACGGGATCGCAAACGGAGGAGCTGGGGGTCAGGTCAGAGGGGGTCACAAAGGGTAAGGAGGCCACAGGGATAACTCACTTGTCGTTGTACATGGCAAAGACCTGCTGGAACTTCTGCGTCTGCGGCAAGAAGTAGATGACGCTGCGCTGCAGCAGCTGGACCACCGCGACATCCTGCAGCTTAAAGCCCTCGACCAGGTGACGCACCAGATTCAGCAGGAGCTCCCTGCCCAGCGGAGCGGCCGTGTCATAGAGAGAGCTCATCACCAACAGCTTGTACTTGTGCTCCTCGGGCTCCCCGATCTGCAGAGGAGGAATCAAAGGATTACGGAGGCTTTAGAGGGTTAGTGGTTGCTGCTCACATCCGAGGTCATCTTCAGGTAGTTAAAGTATCTGCTAAACTCATTGTCCGCATAGCCGAAGCTTGCTATCTGCCCGTTTTGGTTCTCCAGCTCAGCCAGGCGGGCCCTGACCTCCGGATTGGTATGGTAGCGCGTGTTCACCACATTCTCAATGATCCGGAAGTCGTTGGCCGACGCCCAGTGCTGCGGATCGTCCGGCATCAGGGTGACATCCATGCGCATCTCGTGCGGCTCGCCCTCGGGCACCTCCACCTCCACGCGCAGCGGAGCATAGTTGTCGCCCAGAACGGTGAGGTTGTGGCGTCCCGGCAGCGCCAGCTTCCAGTAGTCGCCAAATGTCTGGCTGTAGCTGGAGTGATTCGCTCCATCCAGGCGAACCACAGCGCCGGCGATGGGCGTGCCAATGGTGCTGTGCACGAATCCATGGATGCCGTGGTGCACCTGCTCGATGAACTGCAGCAGGGGCTCGCGGTTGTCCGCCCAGTATTTGGGCAGCTCGGCGGCCACGGGGAACTTGTCGCAGCCCATCTCAATGGTGAGCTCCAGGCAGCCGGCCCGCACGTAGTTCCAGTCCTGCATGCCGCCCGTGACGCTGTACCACTGCGCCCCGTTGGTGATGCCCTCGGCAAAGTACTCGTTCTGGAAGAGCTCGCACGGCTGGCCCAGATGCATGGTGGGGTGGGCCTTGGCATAAACGCCGGCCAGGTGCCGGAACAGAGCATTGTCCTCGGTGGGATTGGGTTTCCGCCCGTTGATGCTTGAGTTGCGGAGCCTCATGAAGGGGTCGTTGAAGTCGTTCTCGTTGTCATCGTACGGATAGTTGGCCACCAGGGAGCCGCCATGGAGATTGGCTGATAAGACGAAGGGCAGCGACAGGGTCCAGTTCATCAGGGCGGCCACCTCGGGCTCAGTCACCTTGTTATACCTATCCGTACCGTACTGGTCCGGGAAGTTCCTGTTCAGATCGATCCCGTGCGCATTGGCCCGTCCCACGCCGCCGGTGCGATCGCCCTCCCGCGACACCTCATAGCCATCGGGATTCATGCTGTACAGGAAGTGCATCCGGGTGCCGTTCACCATCCGGGTCACGCGGTCATCGTTGCCATAGCGCTCCAGCAGGTACTTGGTCAGCAGCAGGAGCATCTCCTTGCCCACCACCTCGTTGCCGTGCATGTTGGCCACGTACTTGAACTCGGGCACGCCCGGCTCATGGGCTCCGGGCGTGGCGAAGATCTCCAGTACCCACAGGTCGCGGCCCTCGACGCTCTTGCCGATGCTGTAGAGGCGGGTCAGCGAGGGATAGCTGGCCGAGATCTCACGCAGGAAGCTGAAAAGGCAGAAGTCGAGTTTAGCGGCGCCAGTTTTCCTGGCAGGAGGAAGCCTTGCTCACCTCTCCATGGCTGTATAGTTGTGATGCTCGAACTTGGTGGGGGTGAGGAAGCCGTGGAACTGCTCCTTGCGCTTCTCCGGCGGCTCCGAGCGCTCCACCTTGACCTTCCGGAAGTTGCCTAGGGACAGAGTAGGGGAGAGAGCGGAGACGGAAATGAGGGCGAGGATCTTGTACGTGTTAGGGTGTGTCTTCATGCCAGTTTCAATTGCAAAGGGTGCCGCATGCGGATGGAATGTGTGGGTGTTGGGGGGGTTAGCAGTGCGTCTAGGGGTTAGGGTTCAAGGACGAAGGCTGGGGGAGCGGGAGCAGCCGATCCACAAGCACAAGCATAGATGCATATTATAGTATAATTTCGTTTATTTTGCCATAATTTCCATAGTTCACATTTATTTCGAGATAAAATCCAAGTAAAAGCCAAAGAAAATGCCCGACGTTTGTACGATTAAGTGCAATACATGTAATACCTACATATTTATATATATAAAACATATCGAGAATCTATAGTTTTCACTTTTGGCACACATCGTTTATCGTTTTCCATTAATTTGCTCGATTTTTAGGTACTTGGTGGAATATACAATTCAAATTGCAACAGATTCTGTGGGATCTTAGCCTTCTTCTATAAGGCTAAACGCTAGGCAAAGGATATATATATATATATATATATAGAGGATATAGGAACAGTTATAAAGTGAATCTGAATAATCAGAGATGATTATTTAAGGAACATAAGGTATTTGTACTTAAAAAAAGATGATAATATATTTAAACGAAAAAAATACGAATTGTAATTCAAATTGGAAACTAAAAATACACTTAAAAAAAGAAAGATGATAATATTTTACAATAAAAAAAATGTTATTAAAATTGGATTTAAAAAATACAATAAACAAGAAAGGAAGCTAACTTCGGCACGCCGAAGTTTGTATACCCTTGCAGATTGGTTTTCATATTTATATCATAAATTATAATGCCGAAAACAGACACTAAACAGAGTTTGATAACATTTTACCTATACCTATTATGTTTACAGTTTGACAGTTACAGTTTTACATTCCCAGCTTTATATATTTTATACATTTACCGATCGCTTCTATGGCAGCTATAAGATATAGTTGTCCGATTTTTATGAAATTTATACCAAAATTCTATAATAATAAGTGAAGCTCATATCTCAGAGTAGATGAAAATACGTTGAAAACAACGAAGTTATAATTTTTTCTATTACTTTCCCTATCTTTCCTATGGCAGCTATAAGATATAGTCATCCGACTTTCATGAAATTTATACCAAAATTCTGAAATAATACCAGAAGCTTATGTACCAAAGTAGATTAAAATACGTTGAAAAACAACGAAGTTATAATATTTTTCGATTAATTTCCCGATCGTTCCTATGGCAGCTATAAGATATAGTGGTCCGATTTTCATAAAATTTTTACCAAAATTCTGGAATAATAAAAAAAGGCTATATCCCAAAAATGATGCAATAATATTGAAAAACGGCCAAGTTATAATTTTTTTCTAAAAATTTTTCGAACATTTGTATGGCAGCTATATGATATAGTCGTCCGATCCGGCCCGTTCCGACATATATAGCAGTGAGAGTATATAGAAGACTATATGCAAAGTTTCATTCAGATAGCTTTAAAACTGAGGGACTAGTTTGCGTAGAAACGGACAGACGGACAGACGGACAGACGGACAGACGGACGGACAGACGGACAGACGGACATGGCTAGATCAACTCGGCTGTTGATGCTGATCAAGAATATATATACTTTATAGGGTCGGAAACGTCTCCTTCACTGCGTTGCAAACTTCTGACTGAAATTATAATACCCTGCAAGGGTATAAAAAAGAAAGATGATAATATATTTAGAAAAAAAAACAAATTGGACACTAAAAATACACTAAAAAAATATATATTATAATATATTTCAAAAAAAAAAAAAAGAAAACTTAAAAGGTAATTTAAGGTAAAATGAGGTGAGAAATGCCAATGAACCAATAAATAAATAATAAATAAATAAATAAATAAATAAATAAAAAATAAATAAATAATAAATGAATAAATAAATAAAAATTAATAAATAAAAAAAAAAAAATAAAAATAAAGAAAAAAATATAAATAAATAAAAAAATTTAAATGAATAAAAAAATAAAAATAAAGAAAATAAAATATAAATAAATAACTTAATAAATATATCATATTCATGGTATATTACATTTATAAATAATACTGGATGGATACCATGATGAAAATTAAAACGCACCGAGCGAAAATCAAAGTTTTATTCATCCTTTGGCCAAGGGACTTTGGAATATTTAGCTAAACCCTGCTTTCTTATGCTTCATTCTGCTTTATATATATATATGGTTTATGTATATAAATGGTTTAGTTTATATCTATATTAAAAGCCATAGATCACATCGAATTCGCTTTACTCTTGAAGGGTTATTAGCAGGGTAACACGATATCTGGTTGGGACTCGCATTAAATCTACATATTGATAGTGATATCATATAGCCGTATATATATGTATATGTATGTGCATTGTATATGCGTAAAACAGAGAGATAAGTAAAAGAGAGATCAAACTAAAACCGTATATATTTTGTTCGTCTATTTTTTGGGGGTGGGGGGTCATTCGATGACCTTTCAAGTGGGCTGTAAGTTCGATTTCAAGTTCTTTACAAGTTCCTAAATACAATTCGCTTATATTCGATTATTGTTTGTTGTTATTTCGCTATTTCGATATTTGGTTTGGATTTTGTTCGCTGTCTATGTACAATACAAACGCTTTCCTTGTCGAGTGTGTGAGAAATGGAGAAAGATCAGGGTGGGTGGGTAGAGAGGGAAGACAATGGATCAGAGATTTCCTCGGTGAAAGTGAAAATGCAACGAAAGGCTTACAAATAGCTGAGAAAAAAACATATAAAAACAGATTCGATTCGTTTGAAAGCCTAAGATTTTATATTTTCAAGCTGCCGACAGCCGGAAAAACGAATCTGCGGGAAAACACAAGAGGGAAATGAACATGCCCACACCAAGGAAATGGAATGGAGTGAAGGGTGAAAAGTAGAGGATGATGAGCAGAGTCAACATATAGTACAATAGGGAAGAAGCTGGCAGAGTGCAAACTAGGTGCAGGTCATGGCTATATGCTATGTGTTTGTGTGTGTGTGTGTGTGTTTCTAGCCGGATCTGCTGCTATTCATGTATATATATAGGGCTTTCTGGCGTTCCTCCTCCGCTTTAGAAATAATAGGGACTGTAAAAACTGCTAATACCATCAAAGTTCGTCTCGACGGGCTTCAGCTTGAAGTCGACGCGCAGTGCCTCCTGGTTGTCGTTGGTCACCCGCACCTGTTGCGGGGCACTTGCCTGGTAGCTGCATAGACATTGCATTAGCTTAATGGAATCAAAGGCGAGAATATCAAAAGCAAACCCACCCAAAGGCAGCGGCATGGACGCTGTATAGGCCCGGGGTCAATAGGCGCCAGTATTCCCCGCGCTTCGACGTCCTTATGGGCTTGTCCTCCAGTCCGGCCACGTAGACATTGGCATCGGCTATGGGATAGCCGCTGGCATCCTGCACCAGACCCTTGATGCCGATATGCGCCTGCCGCAGCAGCTGCAGCAGCGATCCCTTGTTCCGCGCCCACTCCTGCGGCAGTGTGCTGGCGGCCGGGAACTTGCAGCAGGAGAGCTCGATGGTCAGCTCGAAGCAGTTGCTGAAGGCGTAGTTAAAGTCCTGCATGCCGCCGGACAGCTCGTACCAGTTGGCGCCGTTGGTGATGCCGCCGGAGAAGCTGTCGTTGCAGTTGTTGCCCTTCCGCATGATCGGGTGGTTGTCCGAGTAGGTGTGGGCCAGCTGCTTGAACACACGATCATCGGGGGTCAGGCTCTCCTCGCAGCACTCATTGTGGGCACTGAAAGGGTCTCTCTAGTTAGTCCAGCTGCCGGAGGGGAGGATGTCCTTGACTTACATGGAGTTATCGTAGGGATAACTGGCCACCACAGCGCCGCCATGGAAGTTGGCCGAGAGCACGAACGGCTTGCTCACAATCCAGTTGACCAGGGCCGCCGTTTCCGGCTGACGGGATTGAGCTCGCAGCTGGTGGACATGGGACTGCTCGAGGCGATCGGGAAAATCACGATTCAGATCGATGCCGGCCGCATTGCCGCGTCCCACATAGTTGGGCAGCGATTCGCAGTTGCCCTCCTGCAAAGATTACATTTGTGTGTGGTTTTTGGGTTAATTAATGCACGGAGATAGCCTTATCTCTGTGGCTTCACTAGCAAATGAGTCTCTTCCACTCTGAGCTCTGAGCTCTGTATGAACTGTACAAAGGCTCTACTCAAAGATTTATCTAGTAATTTTAGTTAAAAAGCAAATAACTGTATTACTACTTAAATTTAAAGTTAAAGTTGCTAGTGGAAAGCGCAAAAAAGTTTCTCTTTTCGCTCTCTGTCATGAGCTGATTGGCATGCGGGTCACTCCTGACCGGAATTGGCCATTTAGCATGGCAGTCAGGTGTCAACGGAGTGATTACACCATAATATATATATGTATGTAGAAAAAACGGAATTGATACTCCATGATAATACAGTACAATATTGTGCAATGAAGCAGGAAAACAGAACCCAGGGGCAGTGGTGGTTTTCTTAGCTTGGAAAGACCAAATTGGGGGCCCACACCTCTCATGGATCACTGCCTGAATGGACACTGGACAAATGGAACACGGAACAGGCCACCGGTGGCATAACCAACAAATTACACCATTGATGGGCCAAATTAAATGGATCATGTCATCATCATTGCCACCACAATGATGGCAACACGCCATCGAAGCTCAGAAGCAACTCTCTTCACGTGGTCAAAATGAATGTGTGGGGAATTTTTGGAGTAGACCAAACCCATTTTTTGATATTAACTAGATAAAATAATCCATTGAATCAAATAAATCCAGTATAAAGTGATCCCTAAGCCATGTCTCTTCTATTCTATAGCTCATTTTGTAATTTTAATCCCTAAAAACAAGTAGTTCGTTTTCATCTTCGTATCTGTTTCAATCCAAATTCTTCGGCGAAACCAAGTGAATTTTCCATCAACGAAAAACCAGATTTCAATACCACTTTTTACAGCAGCGAAAAAATGTGAATTAAATTCGCATTAGGTGTGTGCTTTTGCAATGCATTAGCAATATTAACTTATACATGGGAAATACCCGTTAGCGAGGGGGGGAGACAAAGCGACTCTGAAAACTCTTTCCAGATTGTATTAATCTGAGCTTTGTTTTTGTTGCTATGCCAATGAGTACATACAACTTCAAACCAGGCAACATACGAAGAAAACTCAAGAAAACAGAAACGAATGATAGTTGTTAATGATAAGAAATAATAATGGTAAACAAACGGAGGTAATGGAGGTGTGTTTTCAGCCTAACACAATTCATTAAGAAGTGAACAGTTCTGTGGCGGAGATAGAGATAGACACAGAGAGAGAGAGAGAGAGTAAGCCAAAGCTCTCTCCTTGCCACTTTAAAATCGTTCACCCCCACTTACTTCCTGGCGCCCTCTCTCTCTCTCTCTCTCTCTATTCCTGCTCCTACTCCCACCTCCTAATGCCACCCACCACTGTTATTTTTGGGCTCCTCGTCCATCTATCGATTTTTCCCCCAAAAACGAACCTCACAACAGGTGACCAGACACTTTACCTGCGACAACGCATAGCCGTCCGGATTCATGGTGGGCATCAGGTAAATGTCCGTGCTATTAACCAGCCGCCCCAGCTCCGGCACCCGCTCGTAGTTGCCCAGCAGATACTGGGCCAGGTACACCAGCAGCTGTCTGCCGACGGTCTCGTCTCCGTGCATGTTGGCAATGTATTTCACCGGCGGCGTCAGCAGGTTCCGCTGTCGGGTGTTCCGCGAGATCTGCAGAGCCAGCAGATTCCTGCCCTCCAGGGAACGGCCCAGGTAATGGACGCGCGCCTGTTCGGGATACGCTTTCTCTAGTCCGGCGAACAAGTCCTCCAGCTGTTCCTGGCTGACGTAGTGGGGCTGCTGCAGGAAGGATTCATCCTCCTTGATGATATAGCCGCTGCTGACCGTTGCGAAAGCGAGGGCCACTGATAGCCATAGAGCCAGCATCTTGATTCTGATTCTGTCTTTGTCAACTCCGGCTCCGGCTGCTGGCTGCCGTTTATCACTGGCGTGCAAATTGAGCGATACAGTTACTTTTCAGTTCCACAATCTCCGCTCTTCTCCTCTGAGCGCGCTCTGCCCTCGTCTGTGGCGGTGGCGTCCCCGTTCGTCCGTTCCTTGGTTCGCTGGTGAGCCCAGTGTAAATGTCGTCGTTGCAGCTCAGCCTCGAAAAATCAACTGTCTGAAAATTTGCTGCGTTGATTGGCCTTAAGCGCCCATTGCCCGCTCAGTCACCGTCGCCGCCGCACAGTGGGGCCTTTTCAGTTTGTTCGTTGTCAAATTAAACCAAGATAAGAGATATGACGTGATATCACTTAAAAAAATATTTGAAGTTTTCGGAAAATTACTTTTAGTTTACTAAAAAGCATATCTGAACTATAAACAAATATTAGTTGAATATTTGAACAATTCCCTGTTACTATTTTAAATGTACTTTTGCAAATACATTCGTTTCAGAGGACCCACACCCACTGTGGCGCCGCTGCAGCCGCTGGCACTCCAAGAGAGAGAGCCAAAAAATACACAACACTCCGGCAAAGAGAGAGCGCGCCCTCCGCGGCACCGCACACAGGCGCTAATTGTAGGGAAATTACACGCCGCTGTGAACTCACAACTCACACGCCGCGCTTTCGGTAAATTTTTTGATCAAGAAAAGCTTTAATTTACGTGTTGTTAGATTTTTATTTTTGTCGGGAGCCAGATATTATTGGTTTATTTAGGCGCTCTTAATTGCGCCATTACGGTATTGCCAGACCGAAAAAGTGGGGCGCCTGCGCATGTGGGCGTGTGATTTGGGTGGACTGAGAGAGCGTGAGAGAGAGAGACGAGAGTGGGGGCGCAAAAGAGAGACGTCGCTTCGCAGCGCTTGTCTTTGCACGTCAACAGGATATTTTTAGCGACGCACACGAAAATCGATAACCTTCACTCCCACTCCCACGTCCAGGCGTCATGACGTCACGACCATCCTGCGTGGGTTCTAACTAAGGCCACCCACACAGGCAGAGCCACACGGACGGGGCTTACGTGCGAGAGAGCTGCCCGCCGCCTTATCAAGAAGCAAGCGAAAATTGGCACAGAGAGCGAGGCGAAATGGTTCTTATCAGAGAATACGGGACAACAGCATATGGCCGTATTCCATGCCCCATTGATTAGCGGCGGGTGACAAATAAATACAAAAAGCTCAGCTTCGATCGGCTTATTGGGAAAATGCTCCAACCAATAAGAGGGGAGAGAGAGAAGACAAACACAGAGTAATGCACTTCCTTGAAGGATTGCGGTTTAAAGAGCAATAGAGAGTACCGAACTCTAGATACCCTACAAATACAAAAGGCTATTTAAATTATTATTTATTTATTTTGATTGTTTTAATAAAAACTTGTTAATGATTCACAATTCCAACAAAAGTCAAACTCCAAGAAATCATTTTTATAAAAATAAAATTAAGAAAATTGTACGCAATTCCAAGAAATGACAAATAAAAATGTAGCAGCAGTTGCCGGGTGATAGGTACAATCTGCATCTGCAAGCACCTGATTTATATAATCTGCATTATGCTCATGAATAGCCACAGCTGCTGCACGCACACAATCCAACTATGTATAATAAAATAATAAATAAAAAAACTAGCCTATCTGCACAGCGTGTGTGTGTGCAGCGGAAATTGGCAAACTTTTAGCACCAACAACATAACCGGTTGCCAATCAAAGTGTCTCAATTACAGTTACAATAAAGTGAATAAAGGTGAACCAAAAAGCGAAAACAACACATCGAGAAAACTGTTGTGACATGTAACCAGTTTCTTGCAATGTAATGGCCATTTGTCGCCCCCAACTTGTTCTCGGATGGTTATTGTCACCAGACCCTGCTGCTGCAATTGCGAAACAGTGACGTCAACAACTGTCAACTGTCTAGCGGCTTACGCGCACCAAGTAACAATGTTTACTTTATTACCCCGATTATTGGCGAGGCCATAAAACTGTCATCAAAGATATACGCACGCCCGAATGGCTATTCATATTAGCACTGGCCAAAGTTAGTTAGTGTTTTGTATCCCCAGAGCATCTCGCACTTAACAGCGTGTTATATTTGTTTACCATTATTTTAATCTAATCAGGGCCCCCGAAGTGCCCATTGAAGTGTCAAAAACTAGAGGCGACAAGGCCATATATAATACACCATGGATTAGATAGACTTGATTATTGTTATTAAGAATGCAATGCACAGCAATTCGTTATTTAAAAGCTAACCTGCAGCTGTTCTTCGTGTGAAGCCTGGCCATTTAAATATAATAGTAGCCAGACCAGAGACACACAATGATCTTAAACAAGCACAAATGGCCTGATAAGACTAATAATTAACGTGTAATTATAATTTTTTTGCGCATTTAAAGCAAACTTGACCTGAGAGCTTCGTTTAAGTATCATCAATCAGCATATATGTACTGTATATTATATGGAATGCAATGAGCTTTGTTAGCAGTGATTAAACTTAAAAGAAAAATAAAATTGCTCTCGCCGGGAATTCCCCAAAGATTTATAATAAAAACATTCCCAACTCCCATGGGAACAGAAAGAGAATCCATACAAATTCAAAGAAATAGAAAACCTGATTATACAGAAACTGTTTGTAATCGGAATATAATAATTGAGCTTGAGTTATTTATAGTTTTAATTATTATTATGATAAACCAATGAAATTGAAATTATCATTGCCACTTTGTGTATATTTATCCACCCAAGAAATTAGCTTCCCATTTGAAGACTCTTCAATATGCATCACTTGACTCTATTTCATTGAAGAGACTCTTTGAAAAGACTCTTGAGAGCCACTCGAAAGGCTCTTAGCTGAGACATTGAAACCCCCAAGAAGGGGAGCAGATTAGTTGCGTTTAGAACTGAGAGCTAATTGAGTGGTTATACGAGGTGGTAAACCACAGGCCAGAGAAACTGGGTCACACATTCCGATCATGGTGGTAGCTCGGGATTGAGATCTTGTTTTCCCCTAGATTGTACAGAGCTAACTTGGCTTTTTCTCCGTGCCACACGAAGCACAGCGCGGCCAAGTTCAGACAAAAGCTCAGCATGTCGGACCAAGAGAGGTTCGTTGACACGGACGGAGATTGAGCTAGATGTAGGAGAAGTACGATATTCCAATTCTATTAAATCTTTTATTCTTTCTTCAAATAACCAGAGCCATCCTTAATCAACAAATAAATGCTGATTTTGCCAGACGATAGACTGATGTTTATCAACTTCCAATTCGAAAGGATCATCAAAAGGTATCCAAACTCTGGCTAACTGAGTTGGGTATTTCTAGGAATAATAGCTCCATTATCAATGAAGCATTCATGAAGATGTTAAGATAATAAAACTAATTTTCCAACATTTATAAAACAGGTTATTTCAGAACTAACTTTAAGTAGGAAAATATAGTTGTATTATCATGGAAAAGACTTTTTTGATGGTAATATCACATGATTCATGATTGATGGCATTCTTCCCTACGTTTATCGTGAATAACATTCCATTAGCTGTACATACATAGATCTAAGGGCAGGGCAGAGGTAGGTGAAACCCATTTACATTCACTTTTTCACTCTACAAACGAGAGCGCAGCTGTTTTTACACCTTTCTCATAATCGATTCCGGCTAGATCGTTCGATTTCATTGAAATACAGCACCGGTAAAGATAATAGCATCTGATAATATATATATAATATTACATATTTTTATAACATTGCTAAATATTATATTATTTTATTACTCAAACCTCTGGGATTTACCTTTTTTTTAACCTATTTATTTAATAATATATAATCAATACTATTTACTTTCCCACAGCTGAATAAATATGAAGCGTATACAAGTTAGTGACTCACCTTGGCGGCGGCGAATCCATCGGGATTGCAGGTGGGCAGGAAATGTATCTCCGTGGTGTTTAACAGGCGCTGCACCTCCTGGTCCGCCACGTAGTGACTGGCCAGGTATTCGGCCGCATAGAGCACGATCTGGCGACCCAGGGCCTCGTCGCCGCGTACATTGGCCACCAGCTTGACCATCGGACGCAGCAGATCCCCGTCCTTGCCCTCCGAGGTGGGGGCACTTAGGGCCAGGGCCTGAAGGGGACGATCCTCCAGGGATCTCCCAATCGTGTACGTCTGCGCCAGTTCCGGATAATCCTTGGCCAGCTGGGCAAAGAGCTCGCCGATCTGAACATTGTCCAGATAGTGGGGATTCTCTAGGAAGTTCTCCGTCTCCCCGATCACCTGCACTTCGCTGTACTCCGCCTCCGCGGAGGCGGGCAGGAGGCAGATGGCCAAGACCAGCACAAGTCTCAGTAACTTGCACATCTTATGTTTTTTTAAGTTATTTTCGCGGATTTTGTTGTTTTCTCTGCAGACACGTAAGCAGCACCAACACAACAACAAAAAGCACAGGCGCAGGCGCGCACGAGAGCGAGGGAGACGGGTATTGTATTAAGAACTGGGCAGGTGTAACTTTGCAAGCGGGAAAATCGGGGAAAGCAACAATTATTGCATTCTTTGCCACAAAACAAAAAGATAAAGCGCAACAGCAACAACAAAATGTTGACACGCACACACACACACACACGCGCGGGCACAAACATGCACTGGTGCAACGCCGAAACGAATTTGTTCAGAATATTTGCTTTCTCTTGCCGTTTTCTATTGCCCCATTGGCAGCCGGCGGCGCGCCCTCTTTTGCTTTTGTCACAACTCCCCCCAACTGCTCCCCTGGCCCGAATTGTTGCCAAAAACTTCCTTAATCTTAAACTCGCGATAAATTTAATTCTCTTTTGGAGATCGACGCTTGCAGTGTGACCAAATAAAAGTTGGTTTTGATTTAGTTGAAATTTTTCCCTAAAAAATCCCACACCTAATACGCAAACCACATTTGATATACGAACCACACCCGATACTACAACCCCTGCACCCAGAATGGGAAAAGAATTTAGCTTATTGGAAAAAAAATAATAAATAACATCGAAACTAATAAATAAAATAATTTTACAAAATATAAAATAAATAAAACATATAACGTGATATGATATATTTATGGATAAATCAAAGTTAAAAATAACCATAACTGAGCCAAAAAAGCATCAAATTTAATTCGGTAAGCTTTTCTGTGCTAGTTTTTTCCAGATTAACAAATCTTCATTCTTAATTTTATATAAATTTCTGACCCTATTATTGGGTAATTTATTTAAAATAAAAAATCGAAAAAAAAATAATATTTTTCTTCCGGACATGGCTAGATTGACTCGGCTTTTTATGCTGATCAAGAATATATATGGTTTATAGGGTCGGAAATGACTCCTTCAAGGATTAAAATCATAAAACCCTTCAAGAAGACCAAAAATATTTGAATTCTTTAAATAATTTTTTTATGGTAATTTTGTGTAAAACTCAAAGTTTCAAAATACCATAGCTCAGTCAAAAAAGCATCAAATTTACTTTGGAAAGCTGTTCTCTGCTAGTTTTTTCAAGGTTAAAAAATGTGCATACTACATTTTAAATTTTAAGATTCCCCTGTTGTTGCTGATCAAGAATATATATGGTTTATAGGGTCGGAAATAACTCCTTCAAGGATTAAAACCATAAAACCCCCCAAGAAGATCAAAAATATTCGCGTTCATTTAAATTGTAATTTTTTTGATGAATAAAAGATAAATTAAATCATCAAAGAGATGCTAAAATAAAAAATGAAATAAATTTGCAAAGTTTTCAGACGGCTCTTATAAGATTGGCTTAACTAACTTGTTTTTATTTTCATATTCAACAAACGACTGTCCAAAAGGTGAAACAAAAACACATGAATAACCAAAAAACAGGTTGCCATTGTGTGTGAGTGTGTGTGTGAGTATAGCTTAATAATACATTTCCTTTTATTTTATTCTTGGTTTAAAACGTGTGGTATCAAAAACTAGCTCAAATACGATATTATGTTAAGGCAAATTTTGGAAAAGTGCATCAGACATTCGGTTCTTCGTAAAGTACGCTCTATTCCTACTCGGGGATATACCTGTATAAATTATCGCCCGACCTACAAGGTGTGTGTGTGGGTATTTATAGGTTTTTTTTCGATTTCAAAGTGTATATATCGTAAAGTAGAGGATCTGCTTTTGGAGTCTAAATGCTTGGTGTGTGTGTGTCAGCGATATAGTTACACAGTTGATTGCTACAGTTTGGGCGCTCCTCCCTGCTCCTTGCTCCTTACTCCTGGCTCCAGTCCCCCTCTCATCCCCTTTGACACATTTCTGGCCCTCTAGCAGGGCTGTCTCTCTCTCTCCACTCGGCCAATCAATAAGGTTCATGGTTTATTCATAAATGCGGTGGCTCCGACTCCACCTGCTCCTACTTGCTCTTCGCTCCTCTGGCTCGCTGCTCCTCCTCCGACTCCGGCTTGCGGCCGCTGCGGTTCTTCTGGGAGCTGGCAATCCGCTGTTTGAGCGTGTGAAATGTCTGCTGCATGCTACGCATTTGGTACCGTATCGAGCTGCTGACGTCACGCTGCAGCTGCTGCACCTCGCGAATGTCCTTGCGCAGATTCTGGTACTCGTTGGTCACCTCGCTCATCGACTCGAGCAGCTCCAGTACCTCCATCTCGTCCATTTGCTCCATCGTCGTCTGCTCCAGGCTGCGCTCCACAGCGTGCAGCTTGTGGGCCATTGTGTACAACTGCGAGCCGGCATTGGCCACCTTTATCATCCAAAACAAAACGAAAAAGAAACCAATTATTAGTGAAATAAAAAGAAGAAACAAACAGGAAGGATAAAGTTTAAAAGGAAACTTCATTTAAAGGATGCCTGAAAGTATGCAATAAAACATATAAAGACCCAAACTGAACTCTTTTTGAAGCTTTTGTAGCATACTTCTCAGCTGATTGTTCAAATTATCCCGAATAACAACCCAAGGGACCTTTCCTTTCCTATAAATATCCTTTCATTTTTCATATTTATCATATATCACGATCCTACCACGCCGCCACGCAGTAAGTAGTTCATGTTTATTTATAAAAACCCTCCAAGCCCCAAAGTAAGACCCCCCGCGCGACCCTTGATTTATTATAATGGCTTGCCCTGTAATTGACCCCATTGAACGTCAATTTTCTCTCACTGCAGGGAGAAGGCTGGCCGCCTATCCCTACGTCCTGATAAGTGGCTATGCTATTCATATTTTGCTGGTCGATTAACTCACCGATTTTTCCAGGGCGCTGATGTCCTGGTAGCCGCCAGTGGTCTCCATCATAGCTCGGCTTTCTTGGCTTTTCCTTAGCTTCCGTTTCCGCTTCCTGGCATGGCAATGGCTATAGCTATAACTGCTTCAAATAAGATGCACTTTTTGGACTGCGCAACCAAAAAGCTGTCTTATTTCGAGGCGCGCCTCGGGCCGGAGCTCTGGTCTACAGACACCAAAACACTTCAAGCGACGCTGGCAGAGTGAGCAAGTCCTGTGGGCCGCCGCGCTATTTATATGCTCCTAGTAGCCTTTTCCGACTTCGCCGTACACATGCTCGCTTCCGCTTCCGCGAGAGAGGGAGAGAGAGAGAGAGAGAGAGCGAACAGTGTTGTCGCCATCCTGCAGCGATTTATGGCTATTTTAACATACATATATTTATAAAATATATATATATATATAAATTGTGACTCTGATTGATCTTCTCTTTGATTTCTCTCTGATCTCAAACTCTTTCCGGTGATATCTGCCAGTTTTCTCCACACTAACACACAACACTACCTCTACGTCTCGATCACAACATTCAGCTAGGGTTACCACTCAGAAAATGTTAGAACTAGTTGGGAATTATAGTGGCAAGCAAGTGAACTTTTTTTTTTTTATTTGTTTAATTATGCATTTATTTATTTAGATACAAATATAGTTATTATTTATTTATTTTTTTTACTTATTTATTTATATATTTATTTCTGAGCTATTTAGGACATAAAATTCGGGCCCTAATGTAACCTGCAGGAGTATACTTTTAGGCACTTTTAGTCACTTTGGTCATCACTGCGGAGCACCGCGTCCCATTGAAAGTCAAAACAAACACGCTCCGCTCCGAAAAGAGAAAGCCCAACGACGACGAGGACACCATGTGTGCGTTGTTTCCTTTGGCTATTCTCACGGCGTGTTTGTGTGTGTGCGTGTGCTAATCTTGTGTGAATACCGCGCGCTCCAGGGAAAGTACTTTTAATTATGTTGACCAGGAAGCGGAAGTCCGAGTGAAAATTGTTGTTGGCCCCAGCGAAAAGGGAAAATAAAATGGAAATAGAAGAATGAAAATTTTTTTTTTTTTTTCCTATTATTTATTAAGGCATACGGGGAGTACTGTTTACCCCTTTGTGTCCTTAGTGTCTGTTAATTCAGCCCTAAAGCGGGCGCGCCGGCAACCTTATTGGTTAGCATTTTCATAATTACAAAATAGCATAAACATCACATTGTAGGTCGTCTGCTTCTGGCCCCAGGCGACCGAAAAATGAGGTCTCCAGGGTACCTCCTCCTCAGTCTTCTGGGGTTTATCCCTCTTGTTAGCCTATTGGCCAGCCAGTTTCGATGCTGCGCCAGTCTGTCATGGTAGCGACTTGAGTGCATGCTGATTTCTTCCATCACCAGGGGAAGCTTCAAGTCCTTGCGCAGGGTGGAGTTGCGGACGTACCACTCGCAGCCAGTGATAATTCTGGCTACTCTGTTCTGAGCAGTCTGGATTCTCCGGATCTGACTATCGCATGTCAGCCCCCAGATCTGGCAACCGTATCTCCAGATTGGCGCTATAATCTGCTTATAAATTGTAAGTTTGTTGGCGAGTGACAATTTGCTACGCGAACAGAGTAGCCAGTAGTGCTTCGAAACTGCTGCACGAATGCGGGTTCTAATCGCTGAGACATGTTTCGCAAAGGTTAGCCTCCTATCTAAGATCACTCCAAGATACTTGGCTTCATTCCTTTGCGGTACAGGGGCCTCCTCGATGTAAACTGCTGGCGTCGTTTTTCTGCGCAATGTAAAGCACACATTGACGGACTTGGCGTTGTTGATGCCAATGTTCCAGCGTCTCGCCCACTCAGCGAACCTACTTGCGTAGTCCATGATGCCGTCAGCAGCGTCGTACTCGCAAACGGATCTGTATGTCACGCAGACGTCATCAGCAAAAGTAGCTAGCATTGATGTCCCATGAAGGCTGGCATCCGGCTGCGGTAAATCGTGGCTGAACAAGTTGTAGAGCAGGGGCCCCAGGACACTACCCTGAGGAACACCTGCAACCGCGCTTATTTTAAGTCGAGTGCCTACAAGTAGGCAACACACAGCAGCCTTTGGTATTTTTTAGTGCATTGTTGCCTTTTGTTTACCGTTATGTTATCTGCTGGGCTTATATTTTAAATTTGTATGTATTTATTTATATTTAAGGCAGATCACCTCTATTTATCACGCCTTATAATTTGTCGACTTGAACTAAGAACTCCTATATTTATTTAATTTTATTAAGTTCTAGTTTCACCCACACTGATGCCGGCTGGCACGTGCCTTAGCAGATCTGTGTGTATGTAAATATATATAATGGAAAAATACACACAAATACACCAATACCAATTTGATTTTATATCTCCGCAAGTGTTTATAAATACCCAAATTTTAAAAAAGAACGAGTTGTTTTAGAACGAGCTTCACCAGCGAGTGGCTAACTTCACCGGCAGCCCTGGCCTTATTGTATTCGCACTGCATCCCTGCTTCTGCCGTCTGTGACGCCACAGTCGCACATTTTGTTTGTCCACCAGCTTCGCATAAAAAGGAAAGGGGTGGCTGGTGGGAGGCTATTTCCATCCCCAGTGAGGAATAACAACACGGGAAAAATTGCTGCATACGTTCCGGCGCAGCTATTTGTGGACGAGGTGGCGTCACGCAGCGAGTAGATAGCGGAGCAGGCGCAAAGAGCCAGATAGATTGGACGAGTGCAAACGATTGAGTGACGAGATGACTACTGAGAGCGTTTGCAAGAGAAAGAGAGAGTGTGTGGAAGAGCGGGCGAGAGAGCGATGGCGGAGCATGAGAGCGACGCAGGCGCCCCACCGCCCACATTGACGCTAGCAGAGACAGAGCATCGTAGGCAGCGACGTCGACAGAACCACCACCCGCACGGGTAGGAAATCAAGGAGCTCCACACACACACACACTCCCGCATAAACACCCAGCCACCCACCACAGCACCACCTCCGCTGCTGGCATCGAAACACAACAAACCGTAAACCATAGGCGCTGGCTGCGTCGCCTGCGTCGACGTCGGCGTCCGCGACTATTGGAATGACAGGATGTTGGTTGCAGACTCAGCGGGGTGGGATTCTGTGGGTGGCAGCGAGAGCGACGGCGGCGGAGGCAGGGGGGTTCTTCACAGCAGCCTTACCACCACATAAACAAAAATTCGATTTATGACCACTGTGGGAGTGGCAGGAGGCGGAGTAGCGGCATAGCGGGGCGGGGATCACTGCTGCTTCGCATGGATTTTTGGGGGTGGCGCCAATTCGCTCTGCTCCTGCCAGTCGCTTCTCGGACACACTGCGAGAAAGTGCTCAAACTGGCAGAAAATACATTATATTTACAAGAATACATTATATTATAAACAGGCACAGAGTTGCTTATGTTGAATTTTATATGAATTTTTATTTAGTTTCAAAGCAAATAAAAGGCAAATTATTATTATTATTATTTATTTTTTCTTTCAAAGAAAAAATATTTACCCTACAATTTTCTTAAATTTTTTTGTACTTTATTTAATAAGGCATACGGAGTGCTATTTACCCCTTTGTGACCTTTATATCTATTCATTTTCTGAAATATGTCGTGTATTTCTCTACCCCTAATTTTTAAAAAATCAAGCCCAGGTGGTAAACGAAGTTTAATAAATGTTTTCGCTCAGTGCATTGAATGTGACGGCCGTCGTGGCACTAACGACAACGATAACACCGACAGTGACTCGGTGGGGCGGGGGCGGAATACGTGCCTATCTGAGTGTGAGTGTGTCTGCGCGTGTGTGTCCTAGTGTGTGTGTGTGTGTGTGTATGACTGGGGGGTGGTGGCGTTGAACAGGACGAGAAGGAACGGGTGCGAGGCTGAGAACGGAACTTGGCGCAGATGACGATGTGTGGCAATGGCAGCAGCAAAAGGCATACACTGGACCAAATTGGTGTTATATTTTATACCATAATTAATACAAATAAATAACTAAGCCAAAAAAGCTTTAAAAAAATTTAATTTATTCAATTTAAAAATCAGGATATGACCTTTTCTAAATAAGAGCAAAATACCTTTTTACGAAAATTCTAATAAATACGAGATAGTGACAGCCCTGGCTATATTTTAAACTTAAACATTTAATAAAGTTATAAAAATAAATAAATTAAAGGAATTTTTTAATCAATAACGTTTTCACAATAATTAGTTAATTAAAAGCTTTTAATTTCCCCAGCTAGCACTTAATAAATTATAAAATATTTTCAAGCTAAAAAAAGGAAACCTGTAAACTCTATTTGCTGGACGTTTCTGTCGTGTCCTGTCAAACCAACTTGAAAGGAGTGAACAAAAAAAATCAATTTCTTTAGTTCTGGAACTGGAATATTTAAAGGTTTTTTAAATTTATGTTTTAATAATTAATTTTCTCTAGGTGCAACTGTGACTAGTATCAACTACCAGCAGCAGAGTTCGTGTTCTCGCTGCTGCTGTTGCTGTTGTTTTTGCTGTTGTTTTTGCTGTTGCTGCTGTCGTCGTCATCTCAATTCGCGTGTGCACACACATACACGGAACACCCGCATACACTCGCACTGGCACACAGAGGAGCAGAAGGAATCGCGATGTCAAAAACAGCGATAGGACAGGACACGACGTCGGCGTCGACTTCAGCCGCGCGACTTCAGCGAGCTTTTTGGTCTGGCAGCGAGAGTGAGAGAGAGAGGCAATGGCGGCGGTGGCGGCAACTATGGCTCTCGGTAATCCAAACTGGGCGAGTGTGTGAGAAGACGAGTGAGTGTGCTGCCAGCGTGTGTGTGTGTCTATGTGTGTGAGGGGGTGGGGGGGCTTTGGCGGCCGTTCGCTAGAACTTTTTCGCAACGGAGATCGGAGCGCGCAGGAAGTGGCGCTGCCCGCAGCGCTGCCGGCGTCGCTGCCGTTAGCCGGGAACAACTGCTGCTGCTGCGACTGCGGCGAGGACATACACATAAATAAAAAGTCCTTCATTCCGTCGCGACCAGCGAGTAACGGCATATGAGCGCTCGCAGAGAAATCGCTAATCACGAACGGCGGACGTTAAAAAACCAAAAAGGAATCAGAAAGGAGACACCAAAAAGGCAAAAGGAGCAAAGAGAAAAGCAGTTAAATAACATAATTTAAAATAACAACAAATGCGAAAAGTGTACTAGTGTGTGTGTGAGTGTTTTTTTTTAACAAATTCTTTTCGAGTGAAGCGAAAAAAAGTGCGTAAGAAAAGGTTCCCAAGCAAAAGGAGCTGTAGAAGAAGGCGAGGCGTCTAGCTGGGAAGTGCCCCCTTCCTCCCCTGTCCCTCAACATATACACCAGCCCACCACCCCTTTTTTCCCCAACCACCCGCTAGGCGAAAACCGCCACCGCCTCGCGCGCTCTCTCTCTCTCTCTCTCTTTTTGAGACTTTGGGTGGGTGTCGCACACACACACACACGCACACCCTTGTCCTCAAAAAGGAGAAAAAATACTAACCAAATTCTGGAAATTGCAAAGCACAATAACAACAACAATAATAATAATCAACAACACCAACAAACTTCAACAACAACAAAGAAAAGTGGAAATTGCTGCTAAGATCCTTCAATATGTTTCCACCTTCCTTCAGTTTTCCTATTTTTTTCTTTTTTTTTGTTAAATTTTTTTTGTTAGTGTTAAAAGCCAAGAAAAGTGCTTCGTCGAATTGGAAAAACGAAATCGTTAGTGTGTGTGTGTGTGTGCGTGTGTGTAGCGTATGGCATCATAATATAGCCCAAGTCCAAGTCCAAGACCCTGGCTGCCTGGTGACCACAAAAAGCTAACCGCAGGCGAAGCATGTGGCACCCAAGCCTAGTCTCTAGGTGTCAGGGAACCCCTGCCGAGATTTAAATATTTGATTTAACTAAAATTAAACACAAATTCTAGCTGCCAGACTGACAAGCACTCGTTAAAGTCTAAGCAAAAGTAAACATTCCCCCAGAAAAAGAAAAGAAGTATAAAAAAAAGGAAATAAATTATAATATAAACAAAAATTAAAACAAACAAAAAAAAGGCAAAGAAATCCTTGCAGCGGCGTTGTGGCGAAAACACAAAAAAAAAAAAAACACCAGCGAGTGGCACTCGGCGAACCGTTTACTGTTATTTCTTTCTGCGCTTTTCGCGTTCGCTGTCGCAGTCGGCGTAGGCGTCGACGGCGACGTTAACTAAAAAAAAAGTAGGATACAAAAAAACCTGCTTTTATTCCTTAAGCGAGAAAAGCTCTGGGAAAAGCAATGCAACAACAGCAGCAGCAAAGGCAGCAGCAACAACAACAACAGCAACAGCAGCAGCAACAACAAGTGTAGTGTGTCGCACGCGCGACTTGTGTGTGTGAATGATGAAGAAGAAGCAGAAGCAACAACACCAGCAGCAGCAGCAGCAGCAATCGCAGCAGCAGCAGCACCAAAGCAAGGCGGAGGCTGATCGGCAGCAGCCCACTAGCGGCGGCAGCAACAGCAGCAACAATAAGCATTCCCGTCGCAGCAGTGCCAGCAACAATAACAAATAGCAAAAACTGAGCAGCGTTCGGCAAAGCGCAGCAACAACCAAGGCAACACTAAAAACAACAATAACAACAGCAGCAGCAACGGCAATAGCAGCAGCACAACAACAACAACAACGTTGCAGTCGCAGTCGCAGCAGAAGTCGCAGCAGCAGCAGCAGTAGCAGCGCCAGCACCAGCAGCAGCAGCAGCAACGCCAGCATAGGCAGCGACGCCAGCAGCAGCATGTCCAAAACAAGCAGCGCAAATCCACAAGCATCAGCAGCAGCAGCAGCAACAGCAGCGGCGGCGGCAGCAGCAGCAGCAACAGCAGCTGCAGCAGCGGCTGCAAATGCAACAAATGCCGCCGATTTTAGTGCTTTCGATTTTAACGATAGCTCCGATAACTCCGATACGCCCCTTGTGCCACGCCCACCCTTCCTTAGTCGCGCCGCAGCAGCGGCGGCAGCGGCAGCGGCAGCAGCGGCCGCCTTAACCAGCAGCAGCAACAATAGCAACAACTCGGCGGCAGGACAAATGCCGCACAGCAGCAGCAGCGCCAGCAACAATAATAATAATAATATTAATAATAACAATAATAATAATAACAATAACAATGGCAACACCAACAACAACAGTCGCAGCAGCAGCAGCAGCCTGGACGAGGAAGAAGAGGAGGAGGAAGAGGAAGAGGAGGAGGAAGACGAGGATGAGGAGGAGGACGATGAAGAGCACCAGCAACAGCAACAGCAGCAGCAGCAGCTAGCGGCCGAGCAGCAGCAACGGGCGGCAGCGGCAGCAGCCGTGGTGGCAGCCGCTGTCAATGCTTTGCACAACGGCAACAAGCAGCAGCAGCAGCACTATAACAACAACAACAACAACAATAACAATGGCAACAGCAAGCGAGATCAGCGGGAACGTGAAGATCACTTGCAATCGCAGCAGCAGCAGGCGCCGCCAGAGGAAGAGGATGAAGACTACGACGAGGAGGAGGAAGATGATGAAGAGGAAGATCACCACCACCATCAGCAGCAGCAGCAGGGCAATGGTCATGATCTGGGACCCACAGATCTCAGGCATGTCCTGCCCCATGATCCACAGCAGCAGCAACAGTTGCAGCAACAACAACAGCAGCTGCAACAGGAGCCCGCCGACTATGACGATGAGGGTGAGGAGGAGGACGAAGATGACGAGGACGAGGATGAAGATGAGGCGGCCAGCAGTCACCTGGACAGCCGGGCCACCCTCTCCTCGGCCCACCTGAACTCAGCTGCTGCTGCCGAGAGTAGCAATATCCATATGAGCGCCGTGGCAGCGGCAGCAGCAGCAGCGGCCGCTGCAGCAGCCGCAGCTGCCAAGCTAAACGCCCAGCTGGAGCAGCAAAATGCCACCGCTTTGGACATGGCCAGCAGCAGTAGCGGTGCCCCTTTGCCGGCGTCTGCCGCTCAACAGCAGCAGCCAGGACCCAGCAGCCTGCTGGGCGGCAACAGCAACACGAGCTTCTCCACAAACAACAACAGCAACCACGCCCTCAGCTCCACCCACGGCGGCAGCTCGGTGGGCGGTGGTAGTGGACCAGGTGGCGTTGGCTGTTGCAATGACCTCATGGGAGCGGTATCATCGGGTGGTGGTGGAAACTCACGTGGAGGCTCCTCTTTGGGTGGACTTGTGGGTGGCTCGACGCTGCAGCAGCATCAGCAGCAGCAGCAGCAGCAACAACAACAGCAGCAGCAACAGCAGCAGCTGCACCAGCAGCAGCAGGGCAACGGCAACGGTAATGGAAGCGGTAGCGGTGGCAGCAGCGCCGCCAGTGAACGTCGCAAATATCGCCACCAGAACTATAGCAAAAACATATATATCGGTACCAAGAACGCGGAGAAGTGGGAGCACATGCGCACCCGGCTGCAGTTCAAGAACGATGTGGAGTTTGTCGCCTACCTGCTCAACCTGGCCGATAACGACACGGATCGGCTGAACAAGTGAGTACAAAATATATTCGTTACGTTCTTAAGGTACTTAACTGAGCTAACATCAGGAATGGAAATGGGTTGATGAAAAATAACTAAAGGATGCTAATACAGGAAATAGGATACAATAAGAAATCTATAGGGGGTTTAAAGCTTTTAGAAAGGTATCTAAAACAAACATCTTAGAAATACAAAAAAAAAAAGCTTTGAAAAAGAGTCCTTAAAAATTGTATAGCATACTTTTACGTACTTCTTAAGGTTTTTTTTTAGATACTTTTTTAAGTTTTTATATTTTAATACCCTGCAAGGATATAAATACCCTTCTTCAAAATATAATACTAGAATGTTTAAGTATGCAATCCTATAATCAAAAATACTCGCTGTTTTTTTGTTAATCAAACAACTCCAATTATTAACCAGATATGTAAAAGTCCTTGGCTTTCAGGTTTGGGAATATCTTTTAAATATAACTCGTTGAATATGTAATATCACTCGCTGAAACCCCAATATAAAGCTGGTCTTGTCCTTTAATATACTAAAATATGGCAAGGCTGGTCTGCCTCTCCTATCTTAACGATCTCTCTTTAAGTTGTAATTGTTTTAACATTTATTTGGCTGTTATTCTTTTGGAATATTTATGATTTAAGCAAACTGATGTATTCTAAATTAAAAATTATGAATTTAGGCATACTCCTAATTACCACAAATACAAAAAAAAAAAAAAAACTGATACACTGATCTGGCAATACAAACTCGTTAGCATACATACATATATTGCCTTCACTGTCTCGTCGCTCTAGCTACCTCCTTCTGTATTCTCTCTCCTCTTGTCCTGTTGATTAACCAACACACACACATCACACTCAAACACACACACACACACACACACACGGGTCAAAAGCAAGAAGCCGAGACAAAAGAGCCGATTCGGCTGGAAGTGAGAGATATGGCAACGCTTCGCTGGCCATGATTGTTGATAGTTGTTCGCAGAAATGCACTCACTCACACACACACACACACATATTCAAAGCTTTTTGGGCAACGCACACACACACGCACATCATGGGGGTGGGGGTGGGGGGCCTCAAGTGCCGCGGTAGAAGCTCGCCTTGAGCGCGCAGAAGGGAAGATGAAAAGCAAAGCAGAGAAGGAGAAGGAGAAGGAGCGAAGCGGCACAAAAGCGAGCCATGTAAAAGCGATTCATGCCCGAATGCATCCCTGCCCATTCAGCCCACACTCAACCGCCGGCAGCCCCTTTTAGCCCCTTCAACCCCTTTTTTTGGCCGTGTGGCACAAAGGCACAAATGCGGTACTCATGCGGTTGCATGCAACGGCGCTTTCATGTCGCTGCCACTGCTGCTGCCTCAGCCGTAGTCATAGCCATATTCTGTATTTCGTATTTCGTGTTTCGTATTCCGTATTCCTTATTCCGTAGTCGCTGCCGCCATGTCAACGGAAGCGGAAAAAGCAACACACTCACACACACATACACATACACACACAGAATGCGCGCCAGAAGAGGCAGACGAACGAACACATACACATACAACATGCTTGAGCATGTCGCTTGCATTTGCATGCCATGTTGCCAATCGTCCAACATCATCTGTGCACTTGCAGAAAAAATAGTGATTAATTTTATTGGTTTACTTTAGAAAGTTAATTGATTTAAAATCTCTTTAAAGATTTTAGATTTTTAAGCGATTTGAAATCTTTTTAAAGATTTAAGATCGGTTTAGGGATGGGAAAAGCAGGAGAACTACTGCTAGACCTCTAAGATAGTGTTGGGAGGGTGTTTTAGAGAAAAGTAACCATTTTAATAATTAATCAACATTTTTAATATTAAAACTCCGATTTTAAAGTTATTTTTGTCAATGTAGCTCAGAGCAAAGCATGAAGAAAGAGGGAAGTGGGAGAGGGAAAAAGAGAGATGGAGAAAGCAGGAAGTAGAGGGATAGGGAGAGATAGCAATACGTAAACACACACATCCTTGCAACGTGAATGTGTCGCGAATTCCCATACCCGTGTCTCCCATCTCTCATGCCACGCCTCGTGCTTGTTGTTGCATTGCAGTCGAGCGCGCCATTTGGCGCTTTGAATCTGCCACCCCCATACTCCCCCACCTCCATCGATATCCTTCACTTTACTCGTTTTTCCCTCTTACCCGTGAAATGGGAAATGCCAATGCTGGAAATGCCTGAATCACACTTTGCAGCGACTACCACCTTTCCGCCTCTGTTTCTGCCAGCCTCTGCTTCTGTCTATGGATTTGCTTTTGCTTTTGAATTTGCCTTTGCAAATGCCATAATAAGGAGGCCAGGACCTCGCTTCGATCATGGGAGAAGCTTGTTGCACCCATAATGACATTCACATTTTGATTAAATGACCACCGTTTGGGGGTATATTTCTCAAGATCCTTTGGTTTTCAGCCACTAAATATAATTTTTTTATCCATTTTAATACTAAGAAAAAATTGGTATAATTTAATTAAATTTTTTTTTTTTTTTTATTAATTAAATTTTAATATTTATTATAGATATATATGCGCATTATGCATCTTATTTTTTCCTCCACATAAACTTAAATAGAAACCTCAAGAATATATTGTTCTGATCAGATTTGATATATACCATATGTATGTATATTTAATTTTCTATATTTTATTTATAAAAAGCAAGAAGAAGAAAGCTTAGGTTAAAACTGGAATAAAGTATTTACTTATTCAATTTATAAAAATTTTTTCAGTTTAAATTTTTATAAATTGAATAAGTAAATACTTTATTCCACATTTAGCCTAAGCTTTATCCAGCAAATTCAAAGCTGATAATAAACACACATTTTATTGTTCAGAAAAATATATATTTATTGTTAATATTCTCAAAAGGACATTCAATTATTCGATGATTCCTCGTCTCGACTCTAATCAGAAGCTTCTTCTTTCGGCATTTCCTGTGCCAGTGCGAACAGTTGAGCTCGTGCCGATTTCCCATTTTCCATTTCCTCCACAGTCTCATTGTAATCAGACACACACACACACACACCCAGCAGCAGATGATAAACCACCCCTCCCCCCCTCCGCTTTGCCTCCCTTTTGCCAATTCGCATTTCGTATACGCCATGTCGCCAATTTCTGCGAATTTTCGCCAAAAAGCACAAAATTGTTGTGCGTTTGTGTCTGTGCTTGTATCTGTGTCTGTGTGTGCTTAATGCGCCAACGAGCAACGCACACGAGTCCCAGAAGCAACCCCCCCATCCACCAGGCCACCCCAAAAAGGCAGGCAGGCAGGCAGGCATCCTTGCCACCGCCCGCAGGGCCCTCGAGCAGCACATTAATGGCAGAGACACTCACCCAGAAGCAGAAGCAGAACGGATCCCCTATCGGTGGAGGGGGGAGGAGGGTGAAGGGAGATTGGAGCAGGGAGAACTTGGAGCGTGGAGCACACGGAATATGCTCCAACCAGCTGCCATTCTCGCCTCGCTCTCTGTGGTCAAAGAAAAGGGGGTGGAAATGGGTCTGCGAAGGCTGAGACAAAGTAGAGCAGGGTAAGTGGATAGCTGTGGGATGGAGGGGATGTGGAGAATGGCTAGCCTCGCCTCGCCTCGTATCCATATCGTTTGCTCTTGCCGCCGCTGTTTTCGATATTGTTGTTAAGGTTCCAAGGTGGAGGATTTAATGAACGATAACACAACGCAGCAGCTCCCCAAAGAGAAACAAAAACAACAAAACCAAGGAAGGGGGAGTAGGACAGGGGGGCGGGGAGTGGCTACTACTGGCTGCTTGGCAGGGGATTAGGCAGGGGAAGAACCAAGGACCATGAACCAGGGACCAGAGACCATCATAGTGCTGCCTCGCGATGCTGTTGATGAATTTCCAACACACAAATTTAAGCGGAGAGAAAGAAATAGTGATGGGGAAGGTTGCTGGAGAAGGCTATGGAGATGAAGAGATGCACTGCAACCCAAAGGAATGGAAGAAAAAAAATATAAAAAGCTGATTTTGAAGCCATCAAAACTTCTGGAATGACACAGCAACAACAAGTTGCTGTAACTAAAATATAAAAAAATAAAACAAGGACATAAAAAAAGGCTAAAGGAGCATAGAGCGGTAATAATGATAAAAGTGTCAATATGTCAGAGTTTTTCTATAGGGAAATCCTCTCAAGAATGTTATTTTTCATACATTTTAAACTTAAGACAACCTTGAACTGATCCAAATGATGGAATAGTTGATTTTCTTTTAAAAACTTTACTTAAATCTATTCTAAAGATATTTTAAAGGGTATTTTTGAGTATGTTTTAGAGGATTTTTAAAGGTATTTTAAAGTATATTTTAGAGAATTTTTTAGAAAGTATTTCTTAAATATTTTAGATGTTATATAAGAAGGTATTTTAAGGGTATTTTATAGCGTATTTTATAGCTTATTTCCCAGAGTACTGGCCAAGGATATCTCTTTCGTTTCTGGACTGCCACCATATTCCCTTGCCTTTAGCCAACCTTTTGACCCCTTGAGCGGCACGCGAAGCAGCAAGCAAAGCGTAAGCGAAATTAATTAAACGCGAAGGCGACAACAAGAACAAGAACAAGGACAGACACAGGGCAGGGGACAGCGACAGGGACACGGACAGGGAAAGGGAGGATGCTGCTTGGACACACGGATGCAGAATGGCCTCTGGTCCTTCGTCTGGCCAAGGGACCGGAACACAGACCAGAAATAAATAAATTTCATCGACCCAGTTTTACCCAGACTCCAGAAAACTATCTTTGCTTCTTCTCTAGCTCACTTTTGCACTATATATATTGTTTTATAAAGGACTAATTTTTAAATTAATTAAATAATAGAACAAAGAAAATTAGTTGTGAAAGGAGGTGGGTGCTATGAACCTAGTTTTTGAGTAAAAATAAAAATCTATCACAATATAAACAACAACTGATCCTTTTCTTTTCTCTCTCTCTCTCTCTCTCTCTCTTTTTAGCCTACCCCCGCCCTCGCCCGCCCACACGCCCACCAAAGGCTTCGATGGTAATTTCAAGCTGGAACCAAATCTCAGCGCCAAGGACTTTGCCCCACCGCCGGAATCCTCGCTTAATGGCAATGGCAATACCAGCGGGAACGGTGACTCCGCCTCGGCGGCCTCCCTGCCCATGGCCACGCCCACCCCGCCACAGCGCAAGCGGTACAAGAAGCGTGTCCAGTTTAGCTCCGAAACCCTCAATGGCTATGCCGGCAAGGGCAAGGGAGCAGCAGCAGCGGCGGCGGCGGCGGCAGCAGCAGCAGCAGCAGGAGGAGGAAGTGGAGCTTCAGGAGGAAGCTACAGCTACACCAAGTCCAAGAAGCAAGAGGCCAAGGCAGCGGCGGCAGCCCTCAAGGCAGGTGCAGCAGCTGCAGCGGCTGCGGCGGCGGCGGCAGCTGCCTCCTCGGCCTTGCCCGAGGTCCTTGATTGCCGCATTGCCGAGAAGATCAAGAGCGAGCTGGAGGCCAACAGCAAGGAGTCACTGCCCAGTGCCCTCTGCCTAAAGAAGGCCGCAGCAGCAGCAGCAGCGGCGGCGGCAGCAGCAGCCGCAGCGGCAGCCGAGGGTCATGGCGGCAGCGACGAAGACGAGGATGATGAGGAGCAACACCAGCAGCAGCAGCAGCACCACCAACATCTGTTAGCCAACATGCCCGCCATGGATGCCGTGGATGGCCTGGCAGGAGGAGTTCCAAATGGCCAGTTGGGCAACTTCCATGTCCGCTCCAAGACGCAGGGTGGCAAGAAATCCCAGGCTGCCAAGGCGGCAGCAGCTGCAGCTGCAGCAGCGGCAGCGGCGGCCATGATGCCGCCCAACTCCTACGATGAGCACGAGGATGACCCAGGCCTGGGTGGACCCGGCAACGAGGACGATGACGATGATGACGAGGAACTCGACGAGGAGGCCCTGGCCCGCGAAATGAAAATGGAGCAGAATTTCGTGGAGGAAGAAGATGAGCATGACATAGCCTTCCGGTCGCATCAATCCTGCCGCGAATGCTCCATCACGCACGACCACAAGATGTGTCCGTTGCGCAATGCCTGCGGCAATGTGACCGATGCCGTTGACCTGGGCGAATGGATTGAGCGACGGAATCTGGAGGCTTTGGCCAAGCTGAAGGCCGATGCCCAGAGGCAGGCGAAGCGAGCTAGCGGCAGGCAACGGCATGAAGATGATGACATGGAGGATATGGAGGATATGGATATGGATGAATCATCGCAGCTCTCAGAGCTGGAGACGAAACCCCTGATAACCTTTGCCGAGGCCTCGGTGCCGGCGGAATTCGAGCTGCACAATGTGGAGCCCAATGTGACGGGGGTTTTTGCTCGTACCGAGGTGCGCGCCTACACCAAACTGGGTCCACTTATTGGCCAGCCGGCACAGACTGGAGAGGTTCGGGAGGGTAGCGACATGAAGTGGATCTTTGAGATGTGCGAGGCCGGTGCAGACAAGTCGTATTTGCTGTGCTGCGACAACCCAAATGCCTCCAATTGGCTGAGATTTGTTCGGCCAGCTCCTAGCTATGAGGAGCGTAATGTCAATCTGGTGTCCATCGATCGACAGGCGTACTTTGTAAGCTGTCGGGATTTGAGGAATGGCATGGAGCTGCTCTACTGGAGCGATGACTGCAACACCATGTGGCGCAAAAAGCATACGGAGAAGACGAGTGAGTGGCCATCTATATAACTTAGTAACCGGGGGATATAATCTGTTACTCTCTTTATAGATTGTGGCGGCTGCAATTTGAAATTCGAGCATCCTTTGTACTATCGCACCCACTGCTCTGTCTTCCATGATCCCTCCATGAGCCTCACCATACGGAAATACCATTGCAAGGTCTGCGGCGAGGCTGTTTTGGGCAAGGATAACATCATGAAGCATGCCGCCGAGAAGCATGATGGCAAGGGCGCCTATCAGTGCCAGTTCTGTAGCAAGTTCTTCTTGAGACTCAACTACCTGGAGATGCATCGCACATATGGCTGCGCCTCGAATCCAAATCGCTCAAGGCCTGTCTGCGATTTCTGTGGGCGCAAGTTCTGTCAACCGCAGAAGCTGAAGGCGCACATCAAGCGGATGCACAGCGGTAAGTTAAACTTTGCGGTTCTTCAGTAAGAGGGCCATAGAGCTAAGCCATGAGCTAAGCTAAGAGCTTAGAGTCTAGTGCCCAGAGCCAAGCCCAAGCCTAGACTGTAACTGTGATCGCACCACCCGTCCCCCACTGCGTATGCGTAATGTAATGTAACGTAGTCGCATCGACTGCCATGTCGTAAGCTCGTGTATAGTTTGTCGTAAAACATTGTCTAGCCTAGCAACCGTATGACGTTAAAAAATAAATACAAAATAAATACAAAAGCTTCTGCATAAATCGAACCTATCAAACCTTAACAGATATATGTATGTATGGTATGTACGGTCGCCACAAATAGGGAGAAAAGATTAATACATTAAGTCACTTCTATTTCTATATATACAAAATATTTCAATTAAGTTTAAACCATTTTGTATGTGAAAAAAATTTAAATACCTATATTAGACATATACGCCGCCGCGCCACGCCGCCGCCGCCGCCGATTTTTGCCTTATTTGACGCGCCGCCGCCGAATTATGAAAAAAACGGCGCGCCGCGGCGCGCCGCTGGTGCGGCACCGGCGTAGCACCGGCGCGGCCTTCGGTGATATTATTCTTAATATAACTTAAAAACAAAAATAAATAAATCATACAAATGGCCAAATACTCGATATAAATAATCGATTAATCGTTAGGATTGTCTCATCTCCCATCTCCCTATGTCCCATCTCTAGAACAGCTATTTGGTGTGGTTTACTTTCTAAAGCTGTGTTTTTTGTGCGTAAATATGCAAAGTAAGTTTTAAAATACTATTACTAGTGTTAGGAACATATGTATTAATTAAATATTCTCTAAACAAATAGATGGATCAGCCATTGAGTATGTACTCAATTAAACACAACCATTACTCAAATCGAAAGAGCAAAGTGTGGGAGTTTTTCGGCGCATTGCAATTAGAGAACAACTGCATTGAAGTGGACAAGGTGTTCTGCCGATTATGTTTGGATGTTCAGAAAAAAGACGACGAAAGAACAATCTTTTCATGGTAATAATTAAGTTCCTTTTTTTAAGATTCAAGTAAGATTTTGTAAATTGTTTCAGTGCTAAAATTCAGTCGTATTCCACGAACTGTTCCACAGGGAATTTAAGTCGACACCTCAAAAATGAACACAACATTCGAGATATCGACAGTCCGAGTACTTCATTGGCTACACGTGGATCAATATCAAATTTTTTCAAAAAATCGACGCCAATTATATCTCCAAAAGATAGTAAGTGGGCGCTGGGACGAGAGCTAGCTTTGTGGATGGCTAGAGATTTGCTACCATTTCATATAATTTGTCACAGTGGACTTAAAGACTTTTTAAAAAAATATAGAGTTGTGGCAACTGATGCTGACATTCCACACTACAAAACGCTGTCAACAACTGCACTAGACGATGTGTATGAATGCATTTTACGAGCAGTTACACGGATAGTATCTGGACAAAAACATTTTGCCTTAACTTTCGACTTGTGGACAGATAACTATAGAAGAAGAAGTTATATAACGTTCACCTTCCATTTTCTGTCAGCGAATTTTGAGATGAAGCATTTAACGCTGGAAACAAAATATTTGTCAAAATCGCACACGGCAAGTAACATTTTAACAGAGGTGGAAGAAGTTACTCAAATGTATAATTTGCAAATGGGATCTAATTATGTCGTAACCGACCAAGGCAGCAATATCAAAAAAGCTATTAATTTGGGGTGTATAAAAAACCACTTCTGCCTTGGACATGGACTACATAATTTGCTAAATGTTGATGGTTACAATTCAGAGCCGGAAATTAAAAATTTGATTGTGAAGTGCAAAAATATTGTGAGTGCCTTACGATTCAAGACACATGTTTTGAGATGTCAAGCTGACGAACTTCAAAAGGAAGTTTTGTCAAATATCGACAATTTAGAAGAACTGCTGGCATCCGAAGATAATGAATGGGTCGACTACGATGATGATTTTGGCCCGTTAGATGATGTTCCCTTGCAAACTTACAAGAATATTAACAACCCTAATGACTTACAAAGTAGTTTGGTGGACAAGAGAAATGTTTCACTTAAGAACTCGGTCCCAACAAGGTGGCACAGCGTGTTAACAATGTTAGACAGTCTTGGGTGCCAAAGAGCCGCATTAAATAAGTTGCTCACAAGCAGCAATAAGACTCATTTAATATTATTAGAAAATGAAGCACAGCTTTTATATAAATTATGCGACTTCTTAAAAAAATTTAAAGATGCAGTTACCGTTTTGTCTGGAGATTTGTATCCATCAATAAGTCTTGCGTTAGTGATAAGAACTGAAATCGTCTCAATATTGGAAGAACCTGAGAACAATGAGCCGCTTGCTTTGACTCTCATGAAAAGCCATATAAAAAATAGATTTGATTCAAGGTTCCCGATATCGGATATACTAGTCTGCGCATCCCTATTAGATCCGCGATTCAACTCACTTGATTGTGTGTTGGAGTATTGCGAGAAACAAAGTTTAAAAAGAAACGATTTTTTGTTAAAAATGTTTAAAGAGCTGATTGGAGATGTTGAACAAGATAGCGATCAGCAGCAAGAGTCTCATTCTGCAAGCAAAATCTTAAAGCTTGCTCAACGGCATTCGACCAATACCAAAGATAACAATTTGGAAGCTGAATGCCATCTACTCCTAAGCTTATCTTCATGTCAAGACGTATTGACATTTTGGAAGGAAAAGGCACCTGCAATGCCCTTACTTTCGATGCTGGCACAAAAAGTGTTGTGTATTCCTGCAACGAGCACTCCAAGTGAGCGAGTTTTTTCTATTGCTGGTCTTACAATTACGCAGAAACGGTCGCAGCTCAGTCCTCACAACGTAAATAAAGTAATTTTTATACATGACAATTACGACACTTGCAAAGAAAGTTTAACTTAAATTTACAAATTGAAGAGATAAAAATGAACTGAATTGAAAACTGAACATTAATTATGTGAATTATGAATGAAACTTATTCAAGTCAAGGAAAAAGACTGCTATTTTTATGTTTATTTTTATTTGTTACTTAATTTTTATTTATTTTCATTTCATTTACCCAATTAATTTACTCACTTATGTTCATTTTATTGTTATTGTTAATAAAGGCGTTATAAACTGATATAATACAATAATACTAATTTTATTTAATTTGGAAAAAATCTGTACGCCGCCGCCGCCGATTCTTTCTGACTACTACGCCGCCGCCGCCGAGTCATTTTGACCTCTACGCCGCCGCCGAAGTCTTTAACCATCGGCGTAAACCTCTAACCTATATATTAATTTTTAATTTGTATATATATATTTTTTAGTTTTTTAATTCATTTTATGTAATTTTTATACCCTTGCTTTCTAATTTTAGTCAATTTTGACTATTCTAACTAGTATATAAGTCGGAACGAGCCCGATCGGACGGCTACATCATATAGGAACAATCGGAAAATTTTATAAGTGCTTATAAATATATTAATTAGGGTTTTTTAATTAATTCGATTTGTGTTTATTTCTCTGTACAAATAATTTCCAGTGAGGCAATCAAACAAACAGTGCTTGAAATTTGCAATCCACAAATGTGGATCATATGACAGGATCTCTTTCTCGTAAGAGAGCAGTTCCGTTTGCTTCCCGTAAGAGAGCGGGCCTCGTTTCGTTTGCTTGCCGTAAGAGAGCAGCAAGAGAGCAAGGGCAAGAATAATAAACACAAAAAATAACAAGAAAAAATGGAGTGTCTTTGTAAAGGATGCAGAAGAGAACCAAAACAGAAACAGAAAACAAAAAAATGCAATAAAACTAAATTAAACTAACTAAACTTTGGGAGAGCAATGTTTTTCTTTACTCACCAATTGTTTGAAGCGTCTAAACGTCTCTTAGAAGCAACACCAAAATATTATTTTAAAAAACACAAGCCCTTTTTTTCTTTTTAACTTGCAAAAAAATAAAAACGAACGGCTTTTTCTCGGCCGTATTTTGCCCATTTCCCACCGTTTTCTTTACTCTTTTTCTCCTCTTCGCTTTTGCCGATTAAGGCAAGGAGAACAGCACCAAAAGAAAGCGGAAACTAACGGGACTTGCTCACATCACTGGCACTTTTTCACTTAAGCCAAAAAAAAAAAAACTAAACAAAAAACGAACGGCATCGTTCACATTTTTCCTTACTCCTGTTCTTCGCTTCGCTTTTGTCCGATCGAAGAAAGAAGAACACGAAAGCAAGGAGGCGGCACTGGCACGGCCACGCGCTCTGTCCCACTCGCACTTGCACATGCAATAGGACTAAATTAAAACTGAAATAAAACCGAAAGCTACGCCGTCCGGGCATAGATTTTTTCCCGATTTCTATCAGATTTTCCTTATCCACGTCGCGACAATGTTTTTCCGCACTTTTCCGACCGTTTTATCCCGTTTTAAGCCCTTTTTAGGAGGAGCACCCGTTTTTTATGCCGTACAGTTTTTTAGCAAAAAATAAAATGAAGACGAATAGCGGGAAACTGAAAGACGACGAAAAGATGGCGGCCGCGAAAGAGCGACTCTCTCTCACTTAGCTTCCACGCTCCCACTCTTTGGAGCCAGGATCCGCTCTCTGTTTACATTTTTTTTTTGAAGCTTAGTTCATTATAAAATTAATATAAATATAACATGAATTATATTTATTCATTTCTTAATTTTCTAAATATATTTTTTAAGTATTTTGATTCATTTTATTTATATTTCGAATTTTTTAATGGTTTTACCGTTTATCTGTACTAAAAATTTATTATTAATATTTTTAAAATATAAAATTAATTAAATATAATAATTTTGTGATTAGTGAAATATTTTTTAAAAGTCATTTATTTAACTTTATTTAATTTTAATATTTTTTTTAAATACTATTTAATATAGTATTCTCTTCCTTAAAACACCAATTTAATTTAAAATAAATCTATTCTTACCCCAATAAGCAATATCCTTATTCCGTGGCGACCGTAACTGTGACCATCCATGCTAATAACATAATATCGTATATACTAATACTGTAACGAGTCGCTTAGCTGTAAAAATAACTGTACTAACTGAATAAGTCCACCACCACACCGCCACTAATCATCACACAACATTTAATATATATATATATATAATACCCGCAATATAATACTCTAAAAAGCATCTGCGATCGCTCATCTATCTTTTGTTGCCAAAATTTTTGATTTGTACACCGCCTCAATTGGTCGACCCCGTGTCTATATATATATTTTATAGCCCTTTAACCTTGGTTTTGGTTTCATCTTGATTTTGTATTCTATTTTAAGTGCTATATAGTTAATGAAAGTATATATTGTGTATGCCAATCACACTCGTAAACTCTGAAGAGAGAGAGATATATATTTAGAAATGTAGATTAGTAAATGGTAAATGATACAGATACAAAAGAGCTATATAGAACGCATGCGGGGTAACACTGTTTAAAATCAGGATATAGAAAGTGAAAGTGCATAAGGAAAATATTAGAAGAAAATAGGTAATAATTGGGAATTATGGGACTAGCAACAAATATTTTTAGGAATATAAAAATGTAATTAAAATTTTGAATAATTTTGTATAGTTAAGGAATATCAACTTAAGGCTTAGAAAAATGTAGTTAAAGAAATGTGGGCTGATTTTAATATTAAAAAAGAATTCAAAAATTAAAAGGAACATTTTTAGAATTATTTTTGATTATGGTATTTCCAATATTAATCATAATATTTCGGGTATGGAATATTAAAATAAATATACATGTATTTCCTATAAATATAGGGTTCCTAACTAGATTTGTTTTCATGAAAAATATAGAATATATAGGATATATCCAAGAATTACTTATAGAAGAACTCCACTAGTCACCCTGCCATGGATCATGGAACGTAACTTGCATTGTGTAAACGCTTTTAGTGAATGATTTTTGCCCTTGGTTGTATTTTCTTAATTTTGTTTTTAACGATTTAGTTTATAGCGTACGAAAATATAGTTTTTGCAGCGTTCCTTTGCCCCCCGAAAACCCAGGCCTTAACTTCCAGATAAACCTATTCCCAACCAACCAGAAACCTGTGAGAATCCAAGGAACCCCACAAAATCCAAAGAGATCCCATTAGTATATATCTAGATCGGTCTGCCTTATGTGTTTTGGCTTTCGTTTTGTATTCATTGTTCGTTCGTTGTTGGGTTGGTTTCTGGATTTATGGATTTATGGATTATTACTAAGTTGTTCTTTCAAAATCACCACAATCCGAAATTTCATTTTCTTCATACAATTTCATTTTAGATATGGCTGAAGTTTTACGAGATTTTCAGTGTAAATTATGTTCAAAACTTCTAGGATCGCGAGCGGCACTGCAGCGCCACTCGAAGGAGGTGCACAGCCGCAACTCGACGGTGGTGAGCTGTCCGCGTTGCCAGAAACTCTTCCAGAATCGCAGCAATCTCAAGATCCATATGCTGACCCACTCGGGCGTGAGGCCGTTCAAGTGGGTATACCCAGGGGAAGGGGGGGAATCCACCTCCTCCTCCTCCTCCTGATCTCCTCCTTGAAGTTTTGGTTTACCTTTCTAACCTTTTGATTTCGTTACTCCCTTTTCGTAGATGCGCCGAGCCAGAGTGCAATGCTGCCTTCACCACCAAGCAGTGCCTGCAGTTCCATTACAAGAAGGTTCACAACTATACACAGGAGCAGATGCCCAAGATTGAGCGCAGCGTGGCCTATACCTTTGATGCCTATTCCGGCGGCATGAAGGTTGACTTTCTGGGTAAGCAGACGGCGACGACTGCGCCGGCTTTGGTCACGGCACTTCCGGCGCCGCCACGCCCTAATGCGGCCGTCGTCTCCCCTCTATCCAACTCGTTCACAGAGCAAGCACCGCGCCGGCGGCGCAAGAGCCTCGAGGACCAGAGCTCCATGCTCAGCGGTTCGCTGCAGAGCGATGCCGAGTTCAGCGATGACAACCTGTTCGAGGCCATCAAGAAGAGTGGCAAGTCCATTAAGGATCTGTGTCGCAACGAGCCGAATTTGTCGCTGCTTAGCTCCAAGATATCCAGCATTTTTGGTGACAAGGTGGTGCCCCCATCCGTTTCCGTTTCCGCTGCGGCCTCTGCCACGACCACCGGCGGCAGGAAGCGAAAGCGCAAGAAGGAGCCCAGTGCGGCGGCTCAGCATCATCAGCATCATCATCAGCAGCAGCAGCAGCAACAGCAGCAGCAGCAGCTGGGACAGCAGCAGCAACACACGCAGCAACATGCCACCGCGCAGCAGCAACTGCATACGCAGCAGCATCAGCAGCAACATGTGTCAGCCGCCCAGCAGCAGTTGCAACATCAACAACAGCAACAGCAGCAGCAGCAGCAGCATCTGCAGCAGCAGCAGCAGCATCAGCAGGTGCAGCATAGTCACCACCAGCAGCAACAACATGCTGCCCAGCAGCATCAGCAGCAGCTGCATCATGATCCCCAGCAGCAGCAGCAACATCCGCCGCAGTATCACCCGCATCACCTGCACCAGCACGGCCTTCAGCAGCACACGCAACAGCAGTCGCAGCAGCAGCAGCAACAGCATTCGCAGCAGCTACACAGTAACGATCCCGATGAGGAGGAGGCTGTCGCCGCAGCAGCAGCAGCAGCAGCGGCCGCGGAGCATGCCCGCCTGGAGCAGGTGCGGCGGAAGCAGAACGCCCAGCTGAGCCTGGTCGAGTCCTTCCTCACCACCACTGCCCAGCGGCTGAGCGCCCAGCAGCAGGTGCAGCAGGTGGTGGCCGCCGCGGCCGCTGTCTCGGCCATGGCCGGCGCTGGCGATGATCCCGCCAAGCTGGGTCACATGATGGGCCACATGGGTGTGGGCGTGGGCGTGGGCATGGACGAGGAGGAGGACGAGGAGGATGATGATGATGATGGCGGCGGCGGTGGTGGCGGAGGAGGTGGTGGTGGCGGCTCTGCTAGTGGCTCTTCTGTGACCCACCAGCAGCATCATTCTCATGTCCATGCCCACCAGTCGCATCATTCGCATGTCCATGCCCATGCCCATCCGCATCACGCCCACTCGCATTCGCATGGCCACTCTCATCCCCACCAGCATGCCTCTGTCCAGGCAGCAGGACAGCAGGATTATCGCCATGCCGTGGCCATGAATGCCGCCGCCTTGGGCCAAAATCTGGTGGTCAGCAAGGGTAGCAAAAAGTGGATCCAGGAGGTGGATTCCAGTGAGGTGGGCAGCGACCCGGGTGGCCCAGGTGGTGGAGGAACTGGTTCTTGTGGCCAACTTGCGTCGGGTCCTGGCTCGGATCTTGGCTTTGCCGTGCCGCCCAGCTCTGTGGATGAGCATAGCAAGCTTTTGGGTCAGAATCGTGATTTTCTGGCCCGTCTTATGAGCAGTGCCAGTGCCAGTCATGCCCATGCCCATGCTCATGCCCACGCCCATGCCCACCAGCAGCACCAGCAGCAGCAGCACCAACAGCAGCAGCAGCAGCATCAGCACAGCGCCCACAGCCGGGAGGAGGATGAGAACAGCTCTTTCTTGGATGTCGTCGAGTCCAATAATAATGCTGCGGCCGCTGCAGCCGCCGCCGCAGCAGCAGCGGCCATGTCGCAGTACGGCGGAGGAGGAGGAGGAGGTGGATCAGGACCAGGCAGCGTGGGAGGAGGAGGAGGAGGAACAGGTTCTGGCCCTGGCAGTGGCGGCGATGGCAGCGGCGGACAAACACCAACGGGCCCAGCCACCGGTGGAACCGTTGCTGGCGGAGATGAGCCCCAAATGCAGATGAACTCCCTGGCCCACTCGCAGTCCTTCATGAGCTCCTTCTACAACAATGCCAGTGCACGTGGCGTGGTCGGTGGCTCCTCATCGGCCAGCATGCTGGTGGAGGCGGCCTTGAACTCCGTTGGCAATATGATTGACAGCGAGAGCAGTGACCTTAAGGTGAGTCCAGGAGTACCTCTAATCCCTCTATGAACTCTATTGAAATCCTCCTTTCCTTGACCAGGTTCCCAACGATAATCACATCAACAGCGACAGTCCCATGAGTGCCCATGTGGATCCCGAATCGCAACGCTTTGCAGGCAACGGGGGCAGCTCTGGCGGCGGCGGTGGCAACAGCAATGGTGCTGGTGGTGGTGGTGGTGGTGCCTCCTCTGGTGGTACCAATGGTGGCACCATTGCCGGTGCCATGGATAACCTGGAAAATGAACTAAAGATGATGAAAAATCTGGGCAGCTTCCCCATGCAGATACCACCACTGCCCATGTTCCAGGGCGCCTGCAATATATCGCCCAGCGCCTCAACGCCCACAAATCCGCAGAGCAACCAGAACCAAAACGACGTGGATGTGGATGCTGGGAGTACGCCCCGTCCCCAGCATCCCGATTCGGATGGCTTCTCCTCCTCGCATCATCGAACGCCGCCCTCGCCGCCACCCATATCACCGGGTCGTGATTATGGTGGCATGTTTGGTGGCACCGCCGGCAATGGCGGTGGTCCGGGCTCCAATAGCACGCCAGCGGGTAGCTCTAGTGGTGGTGGCGGTGCAGCCGGTGGTGGTGGTGGTGGTGGCGGTGGTGGTGCCAATAGCATGTCCGCCTCATCGCCTTTGCCTGCCTTGCAGCCGCAGCGTAGGAATGCCTCCAGTGTGGGCAGCACCTATCCTGAGCATGAGCTCATATCGCCGGCCTCGTCGCCCAGCATTCCGAGGTATAACTTTAATGGGGACATGATGAGGCACAAGCGAGTGGTCCAGCAGGAGCAGGAGCATCAGGAGCGGCAGCGCCAGAATATCTCCCGGCACAATCAGATGTCCAGTGATGAGGAGAATAGCATAATGCCGCAAAACAGGTGAGGATTGGGAGGATCCTTAATAGGAAAATCTTTAGTAACCTTGTCTTCCTTGCAGCAGCGCTGGCCAGGATATGCGCATGAAGTTCCCCCAGTCACAGATCGATCTCATGTACTCCAAGTACGAGAGCATGGCCAGCAATCTCAAGTACAATAGCCAGGACCTGGACTCCCCAGCCGAGTACCGCCAGGCGGGCGGCAATGGTGTTGGCAATCCTGCGCTTAGTGCCGCTGCCGCCGCAGCAGCTGCCGCCAGTGCGGCCAATGATTTATCGGATCTTCAGGGTCTGGACATGAGCTCTCGTTCGAATGCCGCCAGCAGTAATTATCATCATAACTTCCAACTGCCCAGCAGTCGTTATCATCATCACATCTATGATATACTCTCCGATCGAGAGCAACAATCCCAGCAGGCCCAGCAATCGGGTGGGTCTGTGGGCGGTGGCGGTGCCGGACCGGGTGGATCGGTGGTACATCAGCAGGAGCATGGACATGGCCAGCATCATGCCATGCAGCAGCATCAACAATCGGCCGCGGCCATGCACAATATGCTGAGCGAACAGCTGGGCGAGCAGGAGCATGACCAGACCACCTCGGTGGATCTGAGCAGGACGGCCAACTATGTGGTATCATCGCCACCTCAGCTGCCGTACAATCATCCATCGCATCATGACATGCTGCGGATGGCCTCGCTGGATCTAACGCCCAACACGGCCAACATGGCCGTGGGCAACAATCGGTCGTTCCTCTCCTCGCAGATGCAGCACCAGAGTCGTGAGAGTTTGGAGCATCACCGGTTGCTCTCCACGGTGGAGCAGCATCGCATATTGGCCGCCTCGAATGCAGCTGCCGATCAGCATCGCCTGCTGGTCGATCCCACCGCACATCTGCTGATGGAGCAAAATAACCGGCTGCTGGGCACGGCGGATCAGAGTCGTTTGCTGGGCGAATCGGCGGCGGCTGCTGCCCAAAATCGGCACATGGCCAGGAGTTTTGGTGCCTACCATCAGGTGGCGTCCAGCAATTATCATCCGGGTGTAAGGCCGCCGCCAGTCCTGCCATCGGCCAATCATCATGCCTCCAATCCGTCGAACTATCATCCCTTCCCCGCCTACTACTAGGAGGTGGTGGTGGTGGTGGATGAGGGCCAGTCGGGACACAGTAGTGCAATTTCCAGGCAGAGAAGGAGGACAAGGAGGAGGAGGAGGAGGAGTTCCCAGTTGCCCAACCTCAACTGACTCATAATAAATTTAGTTCCTTTAAAAAAGAATTTAAGTTCGATGTACTGTGAAAAAAAGGGTTTCGTTGAAGTACACTTACAAAAAAAGGAAAGAAAACTAAGCCACAATTGTTCTACAGCTTATTTAAGAAATTATAATCCCATTTTTGGAAAAGTATATAGTTTTTTTGAAATTTTTAAAATGTTTTCCATATTTTCAAAAAAAATTTATAATTCTAGGTACAAGTACACGTACAAAAAGTACCTAAAAACCTGTGTAAACAAGCAAATATAAATCAATTTCTGCCAAAGTAATAGAAATGTTTTATAGTTTTAATGAAATTGTAAAAAGTTTTCCATATTTTTAAATTATTGTTTCAACTCTTGGTACAAGTACTTAAAATCAAAGCTGAAAAGTACCTAAAATTTTGTGCAAGTTTTATCTTTGTTAGGTGAACAAACAAATTAAAATGTTTAATTATTTTAAAATTGTTTTTTTTTTTAATTTTAAAGTTTTTTTTTTTTTAATTTTAAAATTTTATATTTTTATTTATTTTTTAATAAAAAAATGTATACCCATTAGGTAGTTTTAGGTAGTTTTTTTTATAGGTAAAAGAGATTAATACCTTTTCCAACACTGTATAGTATTTACTAAAATTTAAATTTTTTAGATTTATGAAATGTTTTTCAAAGTTAATTTTTAGTTTAAAAATATTTCAGTTTTTGTAACCTTTAAATGGTGTTGTGTTCCAAAAAAGAGCTATAAATGCCTTTATAATTATATTTCCAGTCTTGTGAAGGCCATTATAATACAATTTCAAGTGTTGTAAAGCCCCTAAAAATTTCAATTCAAATTAAAAATTTCCCCTAAATATTACACTGCATAAATTTCGCAATTTTCTACCGAACTTCTACTTAGAAATTTCAGTCTTTGAGAAACACATAAATCCCCTTGTAAAAGTCCGAAACCTTTTTCAAATCTGAAATTCAAAATGTGTGCCAATAGGAATAAATAGTTAATTTTTGATTTTCGCTTCTCTGCCATTTGAAATTTGTACACAATAATAATAATGAATATGTATAGTTGTATAGGAAGCATAATAAAAAAATATATATAAATATAAAAAGAAAAAAAAACTGAAGAAGAAAATCCGCATTAAATTAGCAAAAAAAAAAAGCATACATCCTGAGAGAACAATTTTTTTTAATGCGAAATTTTGCCGCTGAGTTTGTATAGAAAAAAAAAAAAGAATATACGAAACGATGTTGATAATAATAATATTTTTACACCGAAATAAAATATACATAAACGAGTACAAAGTGTTAGACGAAGAGTAGGCGGAACTCTCCACATTTGGCTATATATATATATTATATATCCTGTGAACCTGTGAATTTTCCCCCGCTTCCACTACCATTTCTGCAAACTCAGCAAAGGATTAACGATTAATGATTAGCGATAGCGCAATTTATCGATATTATCGATAATCAAGGCGTAACACCGATCAGGAACTTAGCTCAAGCATCATTCGAGGTTCGAGGATAACTTCAGTCATTTTTTTTTGTACTATTACATAATAAATATATATATGTATCGATATAAACTAACTTCATAACTGTACTAAATGGTATATAAAGCTAGCGAGTAACTAAGTTATGATTTCATGTAAATTAATAAATTTATATATATATATAAATAAGAGAGAGCAGTGGCGATAAGGAGAGGAAATACCGCATAATGAAACCCAGATATACATCCCAAAAAATATATAATACAAAAAAAAAAAAAAAAACAAAAGATAATAATTATTAAAAAAAAAACACACACACAGAGAGAAAAAAGAACAATGCGGAGAAAGAGATAGATATAGAGAGAGAGAGTGGGAGAGAGAGAGAGAGATCGCTGATCCACATGATATGTATACACCTATATATATGCATATGGCGTAATCAAATTATCGATTATTAATAAACCGTAAATCGAACCATTATTTGAAAGGATAAACAATAAACCAACGACTTTTCACTCACACACTCGCACACACACACACACTCTAAATTGTAGTCTCACTGCCGACTCTGAGAATCTGCTCTCGTTCAGGGGACTGGACAGGGACAGAGTAGTAGCTCCTAGTGGCACCTAGGTAGGCATACACCCAAGAGCCAGTGTGGTGTGCCAGGGAGGTTACTGTGCCCCACCATTTCCATGTCCAAGAGCAGCAAGCGTCGCAGCAGCAACAGCAGCAGCAACATCAGCATCACCGGATCATGACGCCCTTGTCAGAAGAGAACGACGACAGTGCTCCACCAATCCAAGCCATTAGGCAGCGGCATCGGGAGAAGTTGACGCCTCCGGCGGAAGAATCACCGGTCAACGAGGCGGCTTCTGCTGGTGATGAAGTCGTCGATGAAAAGTCCACTGTAATCATGCCGCCGCCGCCGCCAAGGATCGGGAGCACTGAAGTGGGCAGCAGTGTTCTGCTATTGACGCCCGACGAGATCATCGAGTCCTACGAACGAGCCCTGCAGGTACAGTTGTCTGATAAACCCAGGGATTAGGTAAGGGTGTGGCTTTAAAAATTCTATAAAAATTACATAAATAACAAAAAATAGCCTTATTATTAGATTTCCTGTTAAATATACTAAATTATTGTATTATGTACCAAGTTTTAACTGAAACCATTGATTACCTAGGGATCTAGAGTGTCTTTATAAATAACTAAAAATTAAAAATTATATTTTTAATCATCTTTTTAATATGAAAAAAATTATTTAGAAATTTTATATATATTAGGTACCTCAAATGTATAAAAAAAAAGTTTTTAAGATTTTTGAAATATTTATTACTATTTAAAATGTTTTATTACATATATAAATATATGTTTTTGAGAACTAGAATAAAATATAAGTAATTTTCTCTTCAAAAAAAAAAATAAAACAAAAATTAAAAAATTATTTTTATTTATAAAAAAAACAAACATAAGTAAGATAAAAATATTTAAAAAATTTAAATAATATATAATAAATATTTCTAAATTGTTATAAAATATTAGAGAGGTTTTAAAAACATAAATATTTAATTATTCTTTAACTTTCTATTAAAATGTAATAAATACAAATATATTTTTTATTTTTATTTATTTTTAATATATATTTTTAAATATTTTTGAGTTCAAAAGTATTTGCTTTTTTCTTTGAAAAAAACATACAATAAATACATATTTATTTTAGGCTTCTTTTTTAAATATTTATATTTATAAATATAATATTTTTTAAATTTAGATTTTACAATCATTTTTTATCTATAAATAAAAGTATTTAAATTAATATATTTATGAAAACAACAAATTTTAAATTAGACAAAAAGAAAAACAAATTACAATGCTTACAAAAATTATTATTATATATTAATCATTTATAATATAATATTTATTTTTCAATTTATAAATTGTGCTCTATATAATTATTTGTATTATTTAATGATTATAAATTTTTTGATTAATTATTTAATTAATACATTATAATAATATAATAATTTATAATACATTAAACCCACCCAAGGCGATCTCAATTCCACTCTCCGAAAGTGAAACTGGGAACGCCCCCCCGTCGATCGCTTGACAACCCTGTCACATGCAATCCACACCATCCACAATCTACAATCCACCCACCAACCACCTATCACCTACCGCCCGCAGGCAGCCATTGAGGGCATAGAAGGCGGCAACGGCGACGCCACCCAAAGCAAGTGGAAGAAACTCCGATCGCTCAGTGTTCAATCAACGCTTAGGGCCGTACGCGACGGTCTGCTGTTCGTGGTCGGCGGTTTCTTGCGTTTCGTTCGACGCCTCGATATGCACGGCGGCGGTACCGGCAACAATATCAACTTTGTCGAAGGGCTAATCGACTTCCTCGCCGGCTCCCTGGGCGGTGCGGCGCAGGTATATGTCTCCCAGCCCCTCGACACGGTCAAGGTCAAGCTGCAGACCTTCCCGGAGGCATATCGCGGCATGTGGGATTGCTTTGTGAGAACCTATCAAAAGGATGGTTTCGCCCGTGGCCTCTATGCCGGCTCTATACCGGCGGTGTTTGCCAATGTTGCTGAAAATTCGGTACTATTTGCCGCCTACGGTGGTTGTCAAAAATTCGTAACATTTCTGGTGGGCAAGGAGACGCCCAGTGAGTTGACCACCGTACAGAATGCCTGTGCTGGCTCCCTAGCCGCCTGCTTTTCCACGCTCACCCTCTGTCCCACGGAGCTGATCAAGTGCAAGCTTCAGGCGCTGCGCGAGATGAAGCATTTTGTGGAGGCAGCCCACCCGGAGGACATGAGAACGCCATGGACGTTGACGCGATACATTTGGAGGACCGAGGGTGAGTAGTTGTAGTTATAAATTTTCATTAAGAGTGAAAATGTAGAACTTTTAATTAATAATTTGTGGGAATTAGAAAACAAAAATTGATTCTATATATATTTTCCCCTCACTTCTTGTCGGTGGGGGGGGTGTGGGGGCCTTGGTTTTTTCTGTTTTTTTTTTTTTTTTTTTTTTTGAAAACATATTTGTTGCTCTGGGAACACTCGAGTGCCCTGATTAGATTATCTCCGCGTGGCTTTCGGCGATCGTTTTCTTTTCATAATTCACAATTATCGCATCGCAGTGTGCGATATAAACACGGATACGGATCGCACTCATACCATAAAAAAATATATAAATAATAAAAAACCCGACGGATGCCCACATGGTTACGGATTGCGTGGTAGTTGCCGGATCTTTTGGTTATCGCTGCCTTGCGATCTTTTCAAATATAAATTAATTGGGCTGCAAAAAAGCGTTGGAATTAAAAATTTTAAAATAATATACAATAAATAAAGTATATAAAAAAAAAAAAAATAATAAAAATGTATATATATTTAATATATAAATTATAAATATATTATAATTTATAAATAAAATAATAAATAAAGTAATAAAATAAAATATATATATATATATATATTTAATATATAAATTAGAAATATATTAAAATAGGGAAAAATAGGGGTAGCTTTGGGCTAAAGAAAAATTCTACTTATTTTTATTCAACTTTCAATTTAATTTTGATTTTAGTTTAATTTAATTTAATTTTTTGTAAGAATAAAAAATATATCGATTTTCGATTTCCAAATAAGAAAAACATATAGAATTATTTTTCAGAAGCTGAAATTATGTTTTAATAATAATAATAATTTCTACACCCACTTTATAATACTGGTTTATTTATTTATAACTTTTTATTATTATTTAAGAATTAAATATTTATCAAAATTCATAATTAAACGTTTCTTGAAATTAGATTTCCAAAGAAAAAATTATAAAAAATTATTTATTCTGATAAAAATTAAATAATTTCTACTCAACTCCCACTTAATATTGTTGGTTTTAATTTATTAATATTTAAAACATTAAAAATATGTAGAATTTATAGGAAGAAAATATATAAAAAAAAAATAAAAATATTGTGATAAAATTCCGTTAATATTTACTAAAGTCCCAATTAATATTATAAATATTATTTAGGCATTTAATATTTATTTAAATTTAATAATTAAAATTATAAGAAAATTTTGATTCAAAAAATTAAAACTTCCACTTAATAATTATATTATTTATGACTCCAAAAATAAAATATATATAAAATTAAAATTTTTTTGCTAACTGAAACTCTGAAATCTATTTAGACCAAAGCTTTAATTTCGAATTTTCCAATGAATTCTTGATACCTATTTAATTTAAAACTCAGAGATATGTTAGTAGTGGTGCTGCACATATTGAATTTCGATCCATAAATCGGATGACACATAAAATGATTCATCAAATTCCTGATTTTTTTGGGCCAAAATGTAATAATAATGTTATCAGAGCTTCAAAGTGGGTGTATACAAAAGTAAAGCTTATCGCAAAGGCAACATAAACAATTTTCAGATTGTTTTATTTTTATTTTTAAATATTATAACCATTCTACAATATTTCTGTTAAAGTTACAACAATATAGCCATTTTTAAAAGAATTTTGTTTATTAATTTCAAATTGTTTAAAATAAGCCTTTATTTTTGCATTTTTAAAGGAATATTATTGAATGGATATATTATTTTAAAAATATATTTTAATTTAATAAATAAGTGGTTTTGTTTAGTAATTTTAAAATTGTTTTAAATAACTCTTTTAACAGTTGAAATATAATAAATTAAATAAGCAAGTCTTAAAAATAAATATATTATATATTAAAATATATATTAAACTTGAAACTTTAATGGTTGTCTGAAGCCACACAGGAAGCATAAGCCATAAAAGATCAGACGACACGAGGCCATAAAATATATGCCTCTCCACCAAGTGATGAGTTTTTTTTTTGTAATAACTCAACCCCCAATCGAATCTAATCGAATCGCGAGAAGGTTTCGTATATTCTCAGAAAAAAAAACATAAATAATAACAAGTATTTACTACGCAGATTGCGAACATAGGAATTAGGGATTACTATGCCCGCTGATAAGGTTATTCTTAGCCTCGCCATTTGGGAACATGCCACGCACTGTGACGTAGCCCGGAATGGGAGATCTGTGGCCACAGATCGTGGCGTAGTAGGGGAGAATTGTTAATCGGAAACTGAGCCAGCGCAGAGGCATCCACTATCAGTCCAAGTGGAAAGTTACAGGGAGAGAGAGAGAATGCCTCGTTGATCCGCGATTGACAGCCCCCGGGGCCAGTCGGTTAGATCAATGGTGCATCTCCTCTAGGCAGGCGATGAGCACGTTTCCGTTATGGTCTTATCATGGGCCTTACCAACGGTCACGACCTCTCGTCCTCTCACGTGCCAATCTGCATTTGCATTCCGGTTCCGCCTATATTTATTTGTTATCTTTAAGTGACTCCGACTTCGACTCTGACTTGCAATCTCCTTTTTCTCTGCAGGCATCCGAGGCTTCTATCGGGGCCTGAGCTCTACATTCATACGCGAGATGCCGGGCTACTTTTTCTTTTTCGGCAGCTACGAGGGCACACGTGAGTTGCTGCGAAGGTGAGTGGGAAAAACCCTTAATTTAAAGGTCTTAAAAATTACACAATTACTTACAAAATTAATTGCAATTTAGTTCTTTCAAAAATTTAGTATTTATCTTAAGTAACTTTATATAGTTTTTACATTTTTCATAATATAAAAAATATATATTCTAAAGTTCTTACAAAAAACAGTCTTATTAAAGCTATTTTCTTTAGTTTTCCCATTTAGTTTTTTACAGTTTTTATAGTAGAGCTGGGAAAAATCGATAATATCGATTCTTTCTGTTTCGATTTAATCGATTTTGTTATTTTGTTGCATTAAAAATCGTTTTTTTTTTCAACTTTATTTTACAGAGCATAACGCCATACGATTTTTTTCAATTCAAATTTTTAATTAAATTAAATAATTTAAATTATAAATAAATAATTTAAATTATTTATTTAAATTATTATTTAATTAAATTAAATATTAAATTTAATTAAAATTAAATTAAATAATTAAACTATTTCATTCATATTATTAATTTATTAAATGTAATATTGTATTAAATTTAAATTTTATTAAAGTAAATAATTAAATTATTTAATTGATTTAAATTAATTGATTTAATTTAATTTAAATAATTATTCATAAGCATTAATTTAAATTAAATTAAAGTAAATAATTATTACTTTAATTCAATTTAAATTAAATTCAATATTTAATTAAATTAATTAATAATTCAATTTATTTAAATTTAATTTAAAATAATTAAAATATTTTATTTTATTAAATTTAATTAAGAATAATTAAATTATTTTATTTAATTAAATTTATTTTAAATAATTAAATTATTAAAATTAAAAAAATTTAATTAAGCTTCCTGAGTTTTCTTATTATACCTTTAATCCTCGTTATTCCTCATTATTTCCCCAGAGAGGATCAAACAAAAGATGAAATAGGACCAGTTCGAACGATGATCGCCGGCGCCATTGGTGGTGTTTGCCTTTGGACCTCAACATTTCCAGCCGATGTAATCAAGAGCCGGATTCAGGTGAAGAACCTGAACGACAGCATGTTCACCGTGGGAGCTGACATAGTTCGGCGCGAAGGCGTTTTGGCCTTGTATCGCGGCCTGCTGCCATCCGTCCTGCGTACCATTCCGGCAACAGCCACTCTGTTCGTCACCTACGAGTACACCAAGCGAGCGATGAGCGCCACGCTCTGATCGGAATCAAGAGAGCTAAGCTACTCCTTAACTCCTTAGTAGTAGCAGTTGTTTGGGGCGTGGCCGCGGGCGGTCATCATGAAATATTTCCTTCTTCTTCTCTTTTTTTTCTAGATAATTCCTAGACCGTAGTGTTGTGCCTGTATATTGTTCAGATATTAATGCTAATAATGCTAATGACTGACTATTATCCAAGTTATTGTGGTTCATTTAATTTGCTTTTTGTGGTATCTTTGGTGCTTCTCATTTTCCTGCTATATTTTGGCCACTTGGCTGAGGCGACGTCGAAGGAAGTCCTGGCGATCTGTGGCGTTTTCCAGTTCCCGCCATTCATGCCAATAGATCTGGTGGTTAAAAGAGACGTGGAATTTGATATGGGAAAAGTACGAAAATAATTTTTAAAAAATGTCTAAGAACAGGAACCAAATGCATGTAATAGAAAAAGAGATGATGGCTAGAATATTCATTTATTATGTAGATACTTATGTATTGCTTAGGTTTTTTTTTATTTATTAACTGTTTAAATTCAAAATTATATTTTTTTTTTTTTTAGATTTTCAAGGGTTTTTCTTAATTCACAGATAGTTATTAATACTCCCTATTTGTCTGCCATTTTTCCACAACATTTTTAAGGATATTAAAGACCAAATCGAGCTTTTATAATATATATTAAAAAATAAATATATAAATTAAAAAATATTAAAAAATAAATGTATATTAATAAATAAATAAATAAAAAAGTTGTCAAGAACTACAAGTTAAAATAATTATTTGTTAAGCAGAAAACAATTAATAAAATGCCAAAAAACTTAAAGTGATGTTTTTTTAAAGACAAAAAAGAGAACTCTCTCTCTCTCCTTTCAGCTTCTCTCTCAAAAAGATTTCCGTTTTCTCTCTTCAAATATAAATGAGAGCAATCACAAGGAAATAACGTTACCAAAACTCTCTATCTCGCTCTTTTTTAAGGTTCTTGTTCAGAGAGAACGAGAGAGTTGTCTAATTAAAAGTCTAGAGAAGGAGTTAATTAATTAATAAAATGCCAAAATTAATTTATATAATTTAAAAAAAATTTTAAATAATGTTTTATAAAAAAAAAAATAACAATTATGTTTTATAGAAAGCAAAGAAGCGAGATTTCGTTCAACTTCTCTCCCAAAATACTCTATTTTCAAAAACAAATGAGAGCAAATACAACGTAAACTCTCTCTCGCTCTCTTTTAAGATTCTTGTTCAGAGAGAACGAGAGAGTTGAATGATTAAAGGTCTAGAGAAGGAGTTAATTAATTAATAAAATGCCAAAAAAGTTTAAGTGATGTTTTATAAACAAAATTGTGCTGTGTAGAAAAGATCTCTCTCGCTCTCTTTTTGTTCTCTTTCAGAAACTCTCTCTCGCTCTCTTCTTCACTTCGTTCTCTTTCAAAAAGACCAAAAGAGAGTTGAATGATTCTAAAGAAATGTAAAGAAATCCTTCATTACTCACCACCACTGGCTGATGTCCCAGTTGCCGAAGCTGCCTCAGCTTCATGTCCATCTGTCCCGTAAAACGATTCTTGTCCCGTATCATGTTATTCCATCCTGCAATAACAATCACAATGGTGGCCACTTGATCATCCCCGGCCTTGGTTTCACCTAGCAAATGCCGCCGGGTGAGTATCACGCCATTGTAATCCTCACCCACCTCCGCTGAGAGCGGCAAGGCCCTTCGCTGGCGATGGTCATAGCAAAGAACCAAATCGCAACGCTCATAGTGCGGCAGGACATGCTTGAAGCTAAGGTGGCGATGAAGCAGCGTGGCGGCTTCACGAATCTCCAGCAGAATGCGATCAGTGCTATTGAGCCGGAAGCGTCCATCCCTCACTGGGATATACTGTGTGTAGAGGCGACCCATTTGCTGCAACTGCCGTTCGCTGAGCAGCGGTCCCTGGTACTCCTCGTTACCCAAAAGACGGGCAAATGCATCCAAATGGAAATACTCCCGCCCTGGGAGTCCCGTTCGATAGGCATGCTGCAGGAAGCGCGGTGCCAAAACCACACCCAATAGCTCCACATCCTGAATGCCACGCATCGTGAGAAACTGCAGGCAATTGGTAAAGCAACGCGGATGCCTTAAGATCTCGTCCAACCGCTGGCGTAACAAATCCGGCAAACGCTTGGCTAACCGTGCCTCCACCCCCGAGGGACTGTTGATATTGAACAAGGCCATCACCAGGCAAATCCGTTCCACATCCTTTAGGCGTGCGCCCTCCAATTCCCGCTCAAAACGCAACAGTATCCGCTCCACCAGGACATCGTTGCAGGTCTGCAGGTCACAACCCAACAAGGCCATGTGCAGGCAGGCCAGCAGTGACACTCGCTCCACCTGATCCTCCAGCGAGCATAGCAGTTTCTTAAGCGGCTCCACCTGTGGCAGCTTGCTGCTGTACCTCAGCACCTTTAGCAGGGCCACCAATGGTATATCCTCCACGGTATCCAGCTCACTGCCCAGCCGCTGATATATTTGCTCTAGCAGCTCGGGATTCCTAATCGGTGTTTGCGTCTTGAAGAAACCCATGGCCATTACGCCCAATTCACCCAGTGACATTTGATTCACGCACCGCGATAGATTCAGCTCAAAGTCAAACATCTCGAAGACGGGACGCCGCAGTAGATTGCACAGGAACATGGCCTGAACGAGCTGCTCTGGCGGCAATTTACGTACTTTTCGGCCCAGCTTCTTCAAGGCCAGCCACACATATTCCCCGATCCGGGCTAGACCCAGCCGATACCAGGCATCGCTCACTAGCAGCAATTGGGCACTGGACCAGCCTTCAATGCGGCGACAGCATTCGATGTCCAGCGTGTTCCACAGTTCCATGTAATTGCGGGTTTTGGGGGATTCCGGCGTGGGCAGCTCACCGAGAGCACTTAGAGAGCCCAGCAGTTGCTCATCGGTCAGGCGATGCAGTTGCTCGCAGTAGCAGCGGGCAAAGGCATCGTAGCGGGCATCACTAACCTGAAGGCCCAGACGGGTGGAGTGCTGCACTAGACCCAGGAAGTCGGCATACAAATCCTCGGCTTTGGCTTGGCTTTGGGGTTGCAGGAAGCGCTCCCCACAGAGCAGCTCTTTAGGTGCTACATTGTCTTTAGGCCGGAGCACCTGGTAGGGCTTCAGGGACTCCATTAGGATTCCATGAGCAAACTGATTCTCGCGATCTGCAAATATTCGTGCGGGCAAAATGTTTGATGTACACAGCTGGCGCCTTAGAAGATGCGGTACCCTGCGCCAGAGGCAGTGCGTCCTTGTCCACATGGCTGGGCTTCAAGTGTGGGCAGTTTTAATTCAATTAAAACCGCGTAAATTGCAAATAAAATTGATGTTATGAAAGTGAAGAAAAAACGTGGAACAGCTGTTCGTGAGTGGCGTTGCCAGATCGGGCTGCTAAACGTTACAATTTCTTGATTTTAATCAGGTTTTTCCTTAATTTATTAACAAATTTAGAACAATTGTTCTTATTTTAGGCTTAAATCTAACAAATTATCAATGAAATACTTATTAAATATGAAAATTCTTGTCATTGTGGCGTTTTTTTGTGCCAAAATCATGTCCATGAAAAAGGTACAATTTCTTAATTTTAATCACGTTTTTTCCTTAATTTTTCTTATTTTATGCTTAAATCTAACAAATTAATCAATGGTTTACTTATTAAATATGAAAATTCTTGTCATTGCGGCGTTTTTTTGGCCCAAAATCATCCGCCGTGGTGTCCATGAAAAAGTTGTTCTCCTTCTCCATCGAGGTGTCCGTTGTCGTTGTGGTGACCGAAGGTGTATGTGGTCTTGAACCACGTTCCTGGCTACTCCTAGATCCCCGGCGTCCTCTATGGCTGCTGCTGCTGCCACTCGGTGCCGCCTTCTCATAGTACTCGATGTACTTGCGCATCTCCTCGATGCGCTTCTTCTCCCGCTCGATTTGCTGATTCAACTGCATCTCGATCTTGTTGTAGCCCTGCAACTGCAGCTCCAAGTCGCGCTGCCGCTCCATCTGCTGCCAAAATCCCACATTGTCCGATGTCCGTTGATCGCCCTGGAACTTGCTGATCTTCTGGTACAGCTTCAGGAATCTAGTGGGATCCTCAAAGTACTGGGCCATGCCGCTGGGCATGTTCCGGTCAATGGGGATCGTCTGCAGTGGCTGGCTGCATAGCGGACACTTCTTCGGGTCCTCCAAGGAGCTCCGCTCCAGGCAGTTGGCACAAATTATGTGATGGCATCGGGTCAGGTTGAGGGCCAAGGTCGGCTCTTGGGACCGAAGATGGTAACACTTGTTACAATGCAGACGAAACATAATTATTATTGTTTATTGCGACGCAAATTCAGTAATTACGGACGACAGCTGTTTGTGGGTGAAAATGAAATCTAACGGATCTTGGGCGTGGCGATCTGGCAGCACTGGCACTGTTATAAAAGTGGTTATTTTGTACTCAAACCCTGTGTATAACAGTTTAGTTCTTTTAATTTTCAAATTCGTTTTCTTGTTTTTGAAAAACTGATAAATTTAGGTATTTTATTTTCCATTTTTATGTGCTTTCTCTCTCTATTTTTTAATATATATTTCTCCCTCTCGTAATATCTTAATATCTAATTTTCTATTTCGATCTTTCTCTCTGCATCTTTCTCTTTAACCCCCTCTCTCTCTCTCAATCTATCCTATCTATCTCTTTCTCTATCTCTCTCAACCGTTCTCTATCTCTCTCTTTCTCCCTACCTTTCTTAATTTAAAATTTAACATTAAATTTATAAAGAATTCAAATTTATAAATTAAAATTTCTGCATTTAAAAACAAAAAAAAAGTAAAATAAACAAAAATATAACCTTTAACCTTTTTGACCCCGACGTGATTTGAACACGCAACCTTCTGATCTGGAGTCAGACGCGCTACCGTTGCGCCACGGAGTCCCTCTGACGATAGCAATCAGCTGCACAAATATCTAATAAATTCTAAGCTGGTTTAACTATTCGCGCGTCTAAAAATAATGACCGCAAAATAATGCGCCCCCTGATAATGTCGACGTCATTCCAATGCGTTCTACTTGCATTGCTCATTCAATTAACTGCCTTGCTTTTGGCACTTTATTAGCATGATCTTTATTTTGTTTAGTTTAAAATAAGATAAACAATGGAATATATATATATGAATATATATTATTTTAAATTAGTTGAAGTAGAACAATTCAATTATGTGTTTAAGAACAGGTTTGCTTAAGAGAGAACTGCAGTTAACATTGCCAAAAACTCGTTTTATGCTCAAATAAAAATTGGCTAACCGACTTTTTAAACGATCGCTCTTTAATCAAAGTACAGTAATGACATGATTGTTGGGACCCCATTTTCAATAGCAAGCTGGTAATGATCGTGTCGTTGGAATGGTTCTGTTAGGAACCATCTATGGATCTATTTTGTATCTATACAGCTTTCGTCTGTCTACTTTATCTATTTCAATTTCTATTTATCTATCTATCTGTCTATCAATTAATCTATTAATCAATAAATAATTATCCATATGCCTACTTATCTATCTAAGGATTTATCTATTTATTTATATATTTATACATATATTTATATATGGATATCCATCTAAGGATCTATCCATTTATCCATCTATCGACCCATCAATCCATCTATCTAATGATCTACTTATTTAAGGATCTATCTGTCTGTATATCCATATATTTATAAAACTATCCCTCTATCGATCTATATTTCAATCTACTTATCTAAGGATCTAAGTTATCTGTCTAAAGATATATATTAAATTATCTTTCGATCTATCAATAACTTTAATATTTTTCCCAATATTCCGCTTTGTATTTTAATATATATCGCACTCTCTTTCTCTCTCCCTCTGAATCTATCTCGTTTCCTGTAGTTATCTCACTCTGTCTCTGTATCTATATATCTATCTCTTTCTCTTTCTCTTCCTCTGTTTCTATATATATCTCTATCTCTCCCTCTCTCCATACCCATCTACAATTTCGCTTTCTCAATATTCATCTTTCTCTTTCTATATATTTCTTGCTCTCTCTCTGTATCTATCTCTCCCTGTCTCTGAAGCCACCTATCTCTCTCTCTCTTTCTGTCTCTCTCTGAATCTATCTCTTTTCCTGTAGTTATCTCACTCTGTCTCTGTATCTATATATATATCTCTCTCTCTCTCTTTTTTTCTCCATCTGTCTCTATATATCTCTATCTCTCCCTCTGTCCATACCCATTTACATATTTCGCTTTCTTAATATCCATCTTTTTCTTTCAGTATCTTTCTCACTCTCTTCGTATCTATATCTCCCTCTCCATGTCTCTGATTTCACCTACCTCGCTCTGTCTCTCTCTCTCTAGCTCTCTCTCTAGCTATCTCTCTCTCTGTCTCTCTCTAGCTCTCTCTCTCTCTGTCTCTCTCTTTAGCTCTCTCTCACACTCTCTCTATTTTCGTATCTACCTAGCTCTCTCTGTATCCATATATCGCTCTCTCCCTCTCACTCCCTTTGTCTATTTTGCTATCTCTCTCTAACTCCCTCCCACTCTCCTCACCCACAGAGAATATAAATACCGGCCCTAGCTCAAATATCCCACCCAAACCTATTATACCCTACACATACTTATTAAATATATATATACATAGCTACAAAAGCAGAAAAACAACAAAAAGAACCAAAATAACGTTCAAATGCTCTACCAGTGTTGCCACATATGTGACTATCGACCGCCAAGTGGCAGCACCACACCGTCACACTGTGCCATGGCTGCCGATAGTATAAACAATCGATACTAATCGATATCACTGTGGACAGGCACTAGTGTCAAATAATTTGCCAAACAAAATTTCTGGCGTCGCGAAAACCCGCAACTGCTTAAATCGTAACCAACAAAAAGGCCTTCCCAACATTCTGGCCATATTTCCCGGGTGCGTCGGTAGCCGGCGCTTTATTTGTATTTGAATTTCTGCGGCAGCCACCGGACGAACTGGGAACAGGAGACCCAAGCAATTGGCGGCGGCTGCGGCGGCGGACGTCATGGACAAGAAGTGTGTTCCAGGCGTGGCGCCGGTCGTAAATGGTGAGTCTGCCAAGTAAAACTCCACTTGCACATCTCCTAATGCTCCCTCCTCCTCCATTTGCAGTGGAGGAATCCCCAGCCTCCCTGGATGATGCCACATACAAGGGACCCACCACTGTCCTGGAGGCCTGCGAGCAAGAGCTGAATCTCATTAACTTGGTGCGCCAGCAACCCGCTTTGTATGATAGCCGGCACAAGCGTTTCCATGATGACACCCACAAGGAGCAGCTGTGGAAAAGCATCACCACTAAGCTGAATATCGAGTTAACCCAATGCCTGGTGACCTGGTCAGAGTTGCGCTATCGCTATCAGCGACATGTGCGTCGCTTGCGTGCCTTTCATCGCAGTTCAGTGCAACGTAAAGGTCCCACCAGACGGCGTCCCTGCTTGAGATACGAGGAGGAGCTTCATTTCCTCTATCCCCATGTGGCACGCTTTCCTTTGCTGACCGTGGAGGACAGTGACAATGATGGTGAGGGGGATGGTGATAATGGTGCACCCGAAGTTGAGATTGTAGAGCCACCACCGGTGGATATCATAGATGTGGATCTGGTGGAAGATGCCTCCAGTTTTCGCTGTTCCAGTGGCGAGCGACGCCTAATCGAGGCGGTAAGTGCCTATAGCCAGCTCTATGATCCCTTGCATATACATTATACCAACTATCGTCATCGTGGCTTGATTTGGAGTTCCATATCCAATGAGCTGCATGACAAGGCCACCAAGCTAATCAAAATTTGGTTGAAACTAATGACCCGCTATGAATGGGAGATTACAATTAATGCAGGAAAAAAGGAGTCAGAAATCTGTCAATTGATGAATTTCATGCGGACATCGGTGCTGCGAATGCATGGCACTGTATGCCAGAGTTCCAAGTACCTGCAAACTGGTTGGCATGAGCCAATTGAGAATTTTCGTAGCGTTTTGGCCTTGATTAATGCCATGCGCTCAATGCCCGAGTTGGTTCAATTGATGGATGATTCCCAAAAGATGAAAACCAAGCCCGCAATTTATGATGATTTGTGGTTGAAGGTTGGCAAAGCGGTGACCTTGGGTCATGAGCGTTGTGAGGTCACCTGGCTGGTGTTGCGCTCCTTTCACACGGAGCTAACGGTGATGCGTCAGGAGGGTTATCAGCTTCAGGATAAATGGTATTTCGAGAATATGCTCAATGGTATTTTGCGTTTGGTGGCTAATCGCGCTGCCAAACGTGGCAACAAGAAACGTCCACATAATGGTGATGCTACGGAGGAGGAAATGGCTCAGCCGCCGGCCAAGATTGCAGCACCAGAACCACCAGCGCCGCCACGTTTGCCTATAGCCATTGTCTATCCGCCGGCGATGAAGAACAGCAGCAACGCTAGCAGTGCTGCTCCTCCTCCTCCTCCTCCTTCTGACATACCACACACCTCCTTTGTGATACCCACCATTCATGGCAACGTGAGAGTGTCCACATTGCCTCCGGTGCCCCCAGTGCCCCGTTTGCCGGTGAAACTGCCCAGCTCCATAACAGCCAAGCCAGTGAATCAGTCCCCAAATGCCGTGCGTCCTTTGCTGCAACGTCCTGGCATTCAGATATCAGTGCGTCCCAAAAATGCAACGCCATCTATGGCCAATGTCCCCATAAGCCTATCCACAGCCATTATCCGAGCCATACCTCCTCCTGCTCCTCCTGCACAAGCAGCAACATTCGTACGACCAGCTGCACCAGGAGCCAAACCAAAGCATATGAAGATCATAGCCAGAATACCCACATTACCCACAAGAAAACCGTCTAAGGTGGCACCCCCTATGGTTAGAATCCATCAGCAGGCGGCTGAGGATGTAGGAATAACACTGCCAGGATTAACAGGTAGAACAGGAGCAGCTGTTGGCACAATGGAGGCAGGAGCAGGCAAAGGAATAGGAGGTGGAAGAGCAGCTGAAGCAGGAGGAGGAATGGGGGCAGGAGCGGGAAAGGGAGGAGGAGCGGGAGCAGGAGTGGAACTCGGAACAAGAGCGGGAACCGGAGCAGGAGCAAGCGCAGGAGCTGGATCAGTAACTAGTAGAGGAGCAAATGGAGGAGTAGGTACTACAGCAGCTGCGGCAGCAGTGGTAACAATACCAGGAATATATCCAGAAATTCCCTCGACATCCTCTGGAGCAAGAGCATCAGTTAAGACGCTAGGACCCACAATAATTCGAGCCACTGGAACATCCTTGCCAACGGTGGTGTTACCTGGCAGCACAACAACCAGGATAGGGATAAGTAAGCCACCTGAAGCTACCTCAATGGCTCCACCAGTTCCGCCAGTCACCAGAGCAGCTCCTTCGGTGGCCAAAACAGCTCTTTCGGTGGCCAGAACAGCTCTGCCAGTGGCCTCACCAGCTGCTACAGTAACCGCAGCAACTCTTCCAGTGACTACATTAGCTCCTGCCGCTTCTTCAGTGACCATAGCAGCTCCTGCCGCTTCTCCAGTGACCATAGCAGCTCCTGCCGCTCATCCAGTGACCATAGCAGCTCCTGCCGCTCATCCAGTGACCATAGCAGCTCCTGCCGCTTCTCCAGTGACCATAGCAGCTTCTGCGGACACAACAGCTACTTCATCTCCCCCCATAAACCCAGAGGAGGAGGCGGAGGAGGAGTCACCATCCACCTCCCGCTCCATACCCACAGATTTTGGACAAAGTCCGCCTGGCATATTCATGAATGCCATCAATGTGAATCTGGTTCACAGTTCCAGTGCCGGGAACTCTTTGCGCATTTGGGGTGGTGGCCTCACTTGCAATTATCACCTGAATATGGTGAGGGCAGCCACATTGATACGCGAGGTAATGGCTGTGCCGCAACTGCATAACAGGGATCCACGACTGAAGGCCCAGGCCGATGGCTTCTGGCAGATAATCTCCCAGAAATTTCATTTGCCAGGTAAGCTTTTTCTTCTTTTTAATTAACTTAATGAATCCCAAACCCAAATCCAAAACCCTTTTACAGAGTTGGCTTTGCGCGCCTGCTGGAATTTCCTGGCCAACAACATGAGCATTTTCCCGAGCATTGCCCCAATGTCGGAGTTAATGCGTCCCTTTAAGGGTAACCTCAAGGTTTGGGAGAAATCCACACGTTTGTTTGACAAATTTGATGAGATTGCTCGCAAAAACGATTGGATAAAGCACAGGGAGGTGATACCGCAACTCATACGCTATTTCCGTCAGCATGAGCATTTCTACTGGGAGATGCGTAAGCCGCGTCCGGGAGAGCCTGTACAATCGCCGCCTTTGTTTACGGAAAAAGACCGCCAGGAGGTGTGGCGCGAGGCCAAGATTAAGTTTCCCGATCGTAAGTATTACGCAAAGAGCTTGCAAATAACTGTCGACCGTTTCTCGTTGTCTGCAAACTAAAAGACTCAGAGAGCAACCGTTTCATGGGTAGCTTGAATGAACACGTTTTTTTCTGTTCTGTTTTGTTTCGGTTGTTCCAAGACCGTTTTGTTGTGTTCGGTGATATATTAAGAACCCATGAATCCATGAAACGGTTGCTCTCTGACTCTTTACGAAAAGACTCAGAGAGCAACCGTTTCATGGGTTCTTGAATGAACCCGTTTTTTTCTGTTCTGTTTTGTTTCGGTTGTTCCAAGACCGTTTTGTCGAAAATAGGCTTTTGCGTATGTATTGGTATACATTCACAAGCGTTCGTTTTGCAGATGTAATATATTATTTTGCAACAACAACGAAAGTAAATGTAAAGACCGTTTTGCGCTGAGTTTTTGCGGTCAATCGGTCTTTTGCTGAGTTTTTGCGGTCAATCGGTCTTTTGCTGACTCTCTTTGGGCGAGCGTTTCTCATTCCGCTCTTTGAAGGACCGAAATAAAAAGAGCTCAATGCAAAGCGCTCAACAGAAAACCGAAATGAAGGCAGCAAAACTCTCTTGCTCAGAGCAAGAGCGAGAGAGTATGAACTTTTTCGGTTGTGCTCGCAACGAGAGCGAGAGAGAGAGAGAGAGAGAGATTTCCTTAAGGGTTTCCCTTAAATCCTTATCCTTTTGTTATTTTCGCAGTCAATCATCATGACATTTGGTCCATGTTCAAATTTGCCTTTCGCACTTATATGGAGGATCTTGAGCGCGGCATTGATAATGCCTGGCCCCAAATCTGGTGGCAGGTCCTCGAGCAGCTCAAATTTCTAGCCGATGTGAGATATCATCCTTTGGAACCATATTACTATATTGTACACAACAAGATCCTTGACGAGGTCAAGCGTTGCAGCATTTTTGAGGCCTTGACAAGCAGTGATTGTAATGATAAAAGCAAGACTTCAGCTTTATTGGCTCGCGTTTGCAAAGAACCCATGCCCTGGTGTTCGGAGGAGGCCAAACGTTTGCTTACAGGCAAGCTAAGTACCTTTGAAAAGGTTAAAAAACCCAAGGAATTACAGTATCCTGTACCTGTAGCTGTGGCAAATGAGGCAGTGGAAGAGGTTTCTCCTCCAGTGGAGGAGGCACAGCCCTCTCACTCGCGTAACCTTTTAAAGCGTACACAAAAACCAAGTGGTTCACGTCCCTCTTTCACTGTGCCCACCATCGAGGCCTTTGAGCTGACCCGCATGCTGCGTCGGTATCCACACACCTTCCAGCGTGTGCACACCATCAACAAGCGCACGGCCTGGGTGAGGGTCTCCAAGGAGTTGAATATTACAGGTTAGTAAATATTACAACAAAAAATACAAATAAATCTAAAACAAAGCCTTTTTTCCAGTCACCGAGTGCCGTTTGGGTCTGCAGTATGCCCTCCGTGAGATGCGCTTTCTCAAGGCTTTGGATCCCAAGAATCTCTGTACAATGAATCATAAATACTATCGGAATATGGATGAGATTTATAAGCAGGTAACCAGCAAACCTCAGCTAACAGTGCGCACACCGGAGCAAATGAATGAATCGGTTAGCGAGGCAGCTGTTGAGCTGCCCGAGGAGGTGATGCCGCATCATTTTGTGCCGGAAATCAACATGTCCACCAGCAAGCCAAGTCTGGTAGTTAAGAACTGGGCCTCGGCTGTTGGCAATTTGCCCAGCGAAAGCCAGGATGTTTTGGCCATCAAGCTGAAGTACCTGTTTGCCAAATACGCCAAGATGGGCTCTCATAACAATTCTTGACATAAGTAATACACATTATTTATCACGAGGTTATTATTATTATTAATATAATATTATTATTATTAATATAATATTATTATTATTAATATAATATTATTATAATTAATATATATTTTTTTTTTTTGTAAACCCAAAATCACATATTTTCCACATAAAAAACAAACCATTTATTCAATTTAAATTTAATTTATTATTAAATTCCTGAAATACACTCATGATTTTTTGTTGTGTATATTTGCGAATATTATTATTATTATTATAATATTTATTATTATTATTATACTAATATTATTATAATAATATTATTATAATACACAAATCACAAGCAAATGTCCCACTATTAATATACAAATTATAAAATGAATTACAAATTTATGACTGTTACTTTGCAGTTAAAAAAAGCCCAAAATAAAATAAAATAAATTTTTTTGTAAAATAAATTCGAAATTTTTTTTTAAATTAAGAGTTTTTCAGTTAATAAAATGTAGCTTACTAAAAAAGCCGAAATAAAATAAAAACTAATTTTTTTGTAAAATATTTTCAAGGTTTTTTTTTTTATTTTATAACTGTTTTTCAGTTAAAAAAAATTAAACATATATTTTTTTATAATATATTTTTTAGATTTAAAAATGTATTTTTCAAAAAAATTAAATTAAATTTCAAAAAAATTAAACATATTTTTTTCTAAAATATTTTTAAGCTTTGAAAATTTATTTAATTTATTAAAACCAAGATATTTCTTAATATTCTTTTCTGCTTATTTTTTAATATACTTTTTTAGCTTAATAATTTTTGTTTTTCTTATATTTATTCCGATTCGGGTCGCTTTGATTAGGGGGCGACATTTGTGCGGGTTACGCCCACTTTTATGGCCTCAACGAAGGACATCAAAAGTAAGCCCCCTTAGAAATTGTGGCCGGACAATTGCCAAACAATTTGATTGCAGTGTTTATGGAGGAGGAAACAGAAGCAGGAAGATAATAAGCCGGCTGAATGGGATGCTTGTTTTGGTCAAGGAATGGTGAGAAGTTCTTCTTTAAATTAACAGGATTTGAAATGCTAAATTTATAAAATAGGAATATAAAAATCATTGAGAAACTAGAAAGCTTTCTTCTTAAATACCCGTTAAAAAATAAAAATATAAAAAATAAATAATAAATTGTCTCTTAAGTAAAATATCTTAAGTATTGTTGAAAATGTCTTAGAAAACTGTAAACATATATATTTTTTTTATTGTTTTTAGTTTATTTCATAAAATTAAAACCGAATTTTTTAAACATACTTTCAATGTCTCAAAATGTATGATTAAATATTCTGAAATTCGGCAAAGTTAAATTTGTTTTCCTAAAAATTTTCCCGTTTATTGTTAATGATTTTAATGTTTTCTAAAATAATTTCCCCTATACTTCAATACCTCAAAATTTATTTTAAAATATGTTGAAATTCTGCCAAATTATATATATATTTTATATTACTTTCCCATTTGTTGCTAAAGATGTTAGGGCTTTCTGAAAAGATTTCCTCTATATTGCAAAGTCTCAAAATTTTTAGAAAAAATATTTTAAAATCCGGCAAAGTTCTCAATTTTTTCTAACAATTTTCCGATTGTTGGTAAAGATTTTTAGGATTTTCTGAAATGATTTTCCCTAGGTAAGGTTCTTTTTTAAAGAGATAAATACTTAACAAATGCTGTCTTCAAACCTCAGAAAGCCTATTTAAAAGGCTTCTCCCTTGATCTTGGGGGAGCTTACTGAACTAAATACATACCTAACTAGTGCATGTCCAGGACACTTATTATCCCAGCTGTGGCCAAGGGAAAGTACATAAAAATTAGCATTATTCCCGGCTAGCGTTGAGGTCGAAAGTTCAAAGTGCCAGCAAGAAGCGGAAAAGCGAGCGGAAAGCCAAGGGGAAGCCCAGCTTCTCCACCTTCTCCATCTCTCCCATACCCCTCATAATCGTTAGGGCATCTGATGGCGATGGCAATAATGTTTGCTCCTGGTGATTAACGCAATTAAACAGGTGCTCAAAATGATGTTTCCAGTGGATTAGGCGAGGACAGGATGCAGGATGATGCTGGGGGTAGGAGGACCAAGATGAGGATGAGGTATGGCAGTGCGTACATCCGCTAATAAGGGACACATTAGCAGCATGCGCCACCACGTTCGCATTAATTCTCGGTCGGTGGGTGAGGGCTTCCCTGGTTTGTAACGTTAAAATTCCATTAGCCCGAGAGCAGGAGTCTCTGACCCGGTGGATTCCATGGCTCGCGCTCAGGTGTGTTCTTTCCAACTTCTTTTTTTTTTGTCCGCCACCCGGGAGACACCACTGGAGGGGCTTCAGTCTAGCTGGGCTCGTTTATGCTTATGCAATCGCCGCAGCAAATGGTTCACATGACCTCCTACTCCTCCTCCTCCTCCTCCACACCTAATGAGCCACTTACTTGGTCTATTGTCCAGCTATTCATTCGCTGCGTTAAGAGTGAATGGGAAAAATTAAACTTACAATTTCCAAGCCATTACTAAGCGAGGTGGCTTTAAAGGGGACGAGAAGGCTGGTTATGGGTTTTTGTTACAAAAAAAAAATAGTTTAGCAATTAAAAAAAAATAATTTATACATAGTTAAGTTTAGTTTTAGCTTAGCAATTTTTTAAAAATATTTTATACATCGTTAAAAATGTAAAAATTTTAATTATTTTTTAAATTTTAATACTTAATACTATTTATTAATTAATTATTGTTATTTACTAGAGTATAAAAACTTCGGTTACCCAAAGTCACCTTCCTTTCTTGTTAAATAATAAATATAAGCTCAAATTTAAGACTTTAATGAACATTTAGTAATAATTAAAAGCTTGAAATTAACCTTAGTTAAAGTGACTTCTTTGAATTAGTCACAGATTCGACTCAATGATACCCTTTCCTAAGTACTACCCTTCAGTTTTCATAGCCTTTACGGTTCAAGCGATCATAAAACCCGCTAATTGTAGGTCTTTTTGTTGTTTTTTTTCGCTTCATTTGTTATTCGTCCATCTTTTATTGTTAGGAAAACAAATAAATACAACAAAAACAAAAACTAAGAGAGAAAGAGAAACACACATAAAAACAATAGCGGAAAAATAGTAATAACAAAAAATAAGGCAAACTATTTAATGACAATCGCCATGGCAAACCCACACAGCAACCCAGCAACCCAGAATCGGAATCTGGCTCTCTCAGACTCAGACTCAGCATAGTTCACTGGCCAGAAATAAGTACGTAACGTAAGTGTATAAAAAAACAAGTGTTACGAGACACAAACACCTTGAATACCCTTTCCAAATAACCCTTAAACTTAATTGATTTTATAGAATAAATAAAATACTTTTTAATTTTTGAGCAAAGTTATTTTAAAGTATTTTATTCTTAAAAAATATATATTTAAATAAACTAAAAAACAAATTTAAAATTATGAAAAATGGTAATTTATATTTTCCATTATTTTTTTTTTAATTTTTAGGGGTATTATAAAAAAAAATTAAATGGCAAAAATCTAGCTAAGCAGCTCTACAAAATAATAATAATAATAAAAAAACTATACACAAAACAAAGAACACGCCCCGCATTTGGGGACGAGCAAAAAGTAAACAGAAAAGCCATTAACGTTTACAACAACAACAATAAAATAGCAACAATTGCGAGAAACAAGCACTTGGCAACATGCTGCTGCTTTTGTTGTTGTGGTTGTTGTTCTTTGCTCTTGTTGCAGAGAAAAAAAAAGCAACACACACACTTAATTTATACTAAAAATATGATAATTTTAGATATTATAATTTTTGGTTAAGAAGTTAAAGAGAGCTGCTACACAGAAATAAAAAATATATGATTCTGTTTTAGTTTTTACTAGAAAAAAAAATTCTTTAATTTCCCTAAAGGATTTTTTCTATGGAAATTCCTTTTATTTATATTTTTGGGGAATTCCGAAAATGTAAGAATTTTTTTTTTAAGTGAAAACTGTAAAGAGATTAATTTTTGTAAATTAAATATTATTTTATTTATATATTATATTTTTTAAAATGCATATTTAACATAGAAATTAAAATTAGTTGAATCTATTTTAGTTTTTACTAGAAAAGCTGAAGAAATTTTCCTATCGTATTTTAAATATTTTTTACGTTTTTTTTTTATATTTTTATAATATTTTTTATATTTCTTATTCCTTAAATTCTTCATATTTTCCAGTTTAAAAATACCTACAACAAAATACCTATATCACCCCAAAATCTTCAAGCAAAATATTTCTATTCAAACACCTAACAAAATTCCCAGTTGAGAATTCTAACTTTTAAGATAGATCGATCCCCTTTAAATTTCGATATAATTATGTTTTTCTTTTCCACATTTTCTCTCAACGTGTACCTTTCTTTGTTACTATTGTTGGGTTTCTTGCTGAATTGTGGATGGCAAAAACAATTACGATTTCGCAAACAAAGATAATTTGCGAATGAGATCGACGACACGATACAATGGCACACTACCAACATACTATATAGTATATATGCTTTATCGACAGAGGGGATAGGGTGGCAAGAAAACCTGGAATACGCCAAAGTGGAACGCTTAGAATGGGGGGGAAAAAACACAGAAGCTACTACTTAATTGAACGGGCGAGCTTCTCTCTTTGTGTGTGTGTGATCGCTAATCGTTAATCGGCAATTGTCGATGGGCAATCGACCCACAGCACGATTTTCATCGGGAAGGGGTCAATATTCAGGCAGCAAACAAAGCACATGTAGAATGAGAAACGAGTACAAAATGTATTTAGTACTCTTTTAGACCAAGGTAACGAGTCTTTGACGGAATATGTGGATATACTATGCATATATCTTGACTTGTTTGCTTTTTGGAATAGGGGAGTTGGATTCCAAAGAATTTATATGAGATTTTAATATAAATACTTTATAAATATTGCAGGAAATAAGAGTAGAAATGTCTAAAATTAATATAAAAAATTAAAAATATAATTCTTTATTTAAGAAATATCATCTTACGATTAGTTTACTTTTTTTTTCTTAATTCAAAGGCAAATATAACTTGATTTTCTGGTAAATTTGTGATCAAAACCAAGGCAAATTTGCTCTAAAAGCTTCACAGCGAAAAATCGCACACGCACTTATAATTCCCAACTGGTTCTAGCATACCCGTAATAAAGTAAAGTGGTGGTGAGCGCATAATATTATATATGTGCTATTGAAACCAAATTTTTTCTTTAAATAATTAAAAACTTGATATTAAAAATCGTTCAAATCTCCCTAAAACTAAAAAAAAAAAATCGTTATAAATTTAAGAAAAAATGCACACAATTCCAAAATGATTATTTTAGGTCAATGGCAAAGTTTCAGTTTCGGTTTCATCAGTGTCAACTAACTGCGGTGACCCCTAAAACTCAACCCTGAATTGGAGCCAAAACGGGGGGCGAAGAAGAGGGCGTGACCTGAACCGAATGTGCGTTAAAAAAAAATACGAAAAAAAAAACAAAGCCAAAAAGCCCCCAACTCCAGAAAAGAGCTTAATGAAAGCAAATCTGGTTTAAGACGTGACTTGTTTATTACGCCTAATGAACTTTCTACACTTGCAGGTAACCGAATTTTCCCGAACTTGACTAAAAATTACAAAATTAGGTCAGAGATACAAAACCGATATTGCAGCATTAATTTAAACCGAATTTTTCCCTTTAAACTTTTTGCTTTGCTTAGCACTTTTGCTTTTTTTTTTTTGTTCTGTCAAGCAAAATATTTCTTAATATTTTAGCTCTCAATCTCACGAGCAACTGGGAAAGTACTTTATTGATTGCTGATTGGGTGTAACTTGATATTGGGAGGCCAATAAGAAATAAGAGATACATTTAATGAATTTGTTTATGAAAATGCTGAAAGGAAAAACACGCTTTAATTTTCTTTAAAATATATATTTATAATGTATTTTAATTTTAAAAATTATTAACTCGAGAAAGTTAAACAGATATATGCATTTTTTCAATTCTAAATTAGTGTAAGAAATAAGAAATAAATATTATAAATCTGTTTATACAAATCCTGAAAAGGAAAACACGATTTCAATTTCTTAAAAAATATATTTAAAATGTATTTTAATTTTAAAAAATTTAAACTCGAAAAATTTAATGAGAAATATGCCTTTTTTCAATTTTATATTAGTCTAAAAAATAAAGAATAAATATTATAAATTTGTTTATGCAAATCCTAAGAGGGAAAACACGCCTTAAATTTCTTTAAAAATATATTTATAACGTATTTTAATTTTGAAAAATTTAAACTCAAAGAATTCAAGGAGAAATACAATTTTATTTCAATTTCGAATTAAAAAAAAACAGGCCATGCCTGTCAGTTTGAACACCTGCCAATCGCCAGTCCCTAGTTTATATAGTTTTGCTCAATCGAAATCATTCCCTTGCCACATCTGGAACATTGAAACTTTGAAATCTTTCCCTTAAAATTACCACAACAAAAATGGGCGACTACATGTTCAACATTCTAATCGTTGGGGACATGGGCGTGGGCAAGACCTCCCTCTTTGGACGCTACTTGGAGGATCGCTTCACTCGCATTTACAGCTCAGACTTGGGCATTGAGTTCAGTGTTTCGCTCGTGGAGGTGGCTGGCCAGATTCTTCACTTACAAATTACGGATGCCGCCGGCGGGGAGGGTTTCCAGGACATGCTCTCAACTTATTATCGCAACTCGCATGGTGTAATCATCGTGTACGACACCACGTCTCTTGGTAGCTTTCGCAATGTAAGCAACTGGCTAAAGGAAGTGGGGAAATTCTGCCCCAAGGGGGTCAACGTTATGCTGGTGGGCAGCAAGTGCGACCGGCAGGGTAAGCGCCAGGTCAACCAGGAAAAGGCAACCCGCTATGCTGAGCTCTATGGCCTCTCCTTCTACGAGGCATCGGCCAGGAGTGGTCTTAATGTGAAGAATATCTTCAAGTCTTTGGCCTTGGAGTGTTACAACAGCCGGATGCCCAAGATAGTGTCATCACCATCAGCAAGATCTGAGAAGGTGGTTAATAAAGATGGAATGGAGAGTGGCCAGGATCAGTGGGACAAGGACAAGGACAAGGACAAGGACCAGGGCAAAGGCCATGGGAATGGGGAAGTTCAGTTCTAAATTAATATTTCTTTTAAATTTATTTTTCAATTTGTTAATATTTTGCTTAATCTTTTGGAAATTATTGTTTTTATGGTTTTGTTATTATGTTTTGATCTTTTTAGAGAAAGGCTAGGTGCCCACATAGAGCCATCAATATATGTAAGCCATCATCAGCAGAGTTTTTCTTACTTTTAAATTTGTATTTTCCGAGGGTACATTAACTTTTTGGGTTTTAAAAGTTAGTAAAAGACTTGCTTTTAAACAATTTTTAAGAATACATCAAAGCATTTATATTTCCCCCTATTGGAATTTCTTAAATTAATATTGTTCCATATTTTTTATGTTTTTTTAGCAATTTAAAATTATTAAACCTTATAACTAAGCAAAAAAACATCTATTTTTTATTCGGAACTAGTTTTTGTGTAAGTTTTTATAAAGTTAAAAAAATTGCATACTATAATTAATTTTTTTAATACAATAGGAAAATATTTGACAATTTTACAATTTTAATTTTTAAAAAATGTGGTATTTTTTTTTAATTTTTGGGAAAAATATTTAAAATTTGGAAAACGGATTTGTTTTAGTTTTTTTAAGTTTAAAAAATCTGCATACTACATTTTAGGGTTTTTTAAATTAATTTTTTTTTTTTAAATTTGTTGATAATTTTAACGAAATTTCTAAAAAAAAATTTTTCTTTTTAACATGGCTAAATTGATTCTCCTGTTGATGCTGATCAAGAATATATATGGTTTATGGGGTCGGAAATGATTCCTTTGCCCAGCAAAAATATTATTTTATATTGTAAAATCTGATTTTTTATATTAAAAAACACCTAATAATTAGTTTAATTTTTTTTTGAGGAAAGCCCATTAAAAATTATCATAATTTGGCCTAAAAATCATTAATTTTAAATCGGAAAATTGTGCTGTGTTAGTTTTTTTTTAAGTTAATAAATCTACATACTTTTTTTTTAATTATTCAAAACTAAATTTTTTGTTAGTTTTTGCTAATTTTAATGATGTAACCCCTTATAAAATTTAGAAAAAATGTCTAATATTTTTTTTCTTTTAAAATGGCTAAATCGATTTGGCTGTTGATGCTGATCAAGAATATATATGGTTTATGGGGTCGAAAATGACTCCTTCACCCTGAAAAAATTATGATCTTGTATTAATATAGGCTCATCCTTAACCCCTAATGGTTCTTTTTGCTCTCGGAATATTTATTGTTCTGGTTACTGCTATTATCGCACAGTGTAGTTGCTGCTGCTGCTGCTGCTCGGCAGTTCTTCGTCTTTGATCGTTTGGGCATCGGCGCTTCGTTGCTCAACGGCAGCGGCGGCTTCAGTTCGAGTTCGCACTCGGCCACAGTCGGCACGGATCGGACGAATCGTCGGGGAAAAAGCTATAACGTAACGCAACTGAAACCGAAACCAAATCCGAAAAGCCGTCATTAGCTTTTCGTAGACGAAGTCGTAGTCGTAGTCTCGCCGTTGCAAATGTGTCGCACAAGATCGCTGCGTGTCGCGCTCAATTAAACACACTTCTGTTTTACTCGGTTCTTTTTTTTCACATATATATTTTTTTTTGCACTCCATTATTATTTATTTTTAATTGTTTAATAACAACAACAGCGGCAGCAGAAGCAGAAGCAGCCCTGAGTGAGAAGCGAGAAAATAAGTAAAGTGCGAAAAGTGAAGTGCGAGTGAAGTGATCGTGATCGCGATTTCGATTGGAGGAGCAGGCAGCAGCTACGAAAGAAGCGCCGTTCCTTGGATGCTACGGGAGAAGCTCTATCTCTACGGTTCTCTGGAGTGGACATTGCACAGTGGTAATTTCACTTAAGGCAGCTAGCTCATCCTCCTGACCCTGCCCTCCCCCCACCCCTGTGGCAAGTTCAAGTTCAACGAGCGCAAAACTTCTTTTTGTTTTTATTTTTGCGCGCCATCCCTTTGCTTTACCGGCAAAATCGAGAAAATTGACAACGCGGACGTTGTCGCGCCCACAAGTTTACATGACTCCTCTGCTCTCTGCACTCAAAGAAAATGCTTTAGGAAATTTTAAAAATTAACAGAAAGCCAAACTCATATTTTGTCACAATGTTTTTGTACAATTTGTTTGCTTTAAATAAGAATTTAAAATATTTAAAGATTTTAAGATTTAAATACGTGGAAAATTCGTAAATTTATTATTATATTTTTATAATTAATTAATATATTTTATGAATTGTTCAAGTAAGTAAATATTTATCCCCTATTATTCATCATTCACGCAAAGGACTTTGTTTTTCCTTAAGTGCAAGGCTCTCTCTCCTCGCCGTGTTCTTCACTCTCTCTCTCTCTCTCAGTGTGCATCTCTCTCTTCGCTCAGTACATTGCACCTTTTGGGCCGCATTCCCTTTTGTGTCGTCTTTCGCTTTCAATGGATTGCTAATCGGCCAGGCATTCGCATTCGCCTTCCCTCGCTTCTTCTTTCCCTTCGCCTCCTGCCCACCCACCCACCTCTTGGTACGCATTCTTACCTCGGTTGTCATTTCCTCCCGTTCGCTGTGCACCCCCCCGTACCCTATGTGCTATCGCACACCTGAGAGATGATAAACAGCTGAAATTTTGATAATTTGTGTGGATTGCCGCCAATTGCTCAAAGTGCCTAATCAGTGGCTGTTCCTGCTCAGTTCCCCCCTCCCCCTACCCCTCAATCTCTTTTTAGACCACAAAAGATGGCTTAGATTCTCTCTTTATCAGGGGGGTCTTATCGCATGCCAAAAACCTAAGAACCTAAAACCCAAATCCAAACATGAAACCATAAGCGAAACTAAAAGCGATGCCACCTCGGGAATCGCGACCATTACCTCACTGCGGTTGGCTTGGTTACACAGAGAGAAATTGATGGCAGCACAAAAAAAGATATATTTTTTAAAGGGAATTTGTTTTTAAAATTAAATAATCAAGATATTTCAAAGTAAATTGTTATTTAAAATTGACAAATTTTTGAAGTTAAAAAATAATTATTGGGAAATTCTAGCACTTTGAGATTTTTTTTTATATTTATTTATTTTAAGAAAATATTGAAATTAATGTTTCCAAGTGAACTTAAACCTAAAAAAAAGTATAGAAACACTTTTGTTTTCCATTTTCTTCACGGAATACTTTGTTTTTAGCTAAAAATCTTAACAAATAATCGATTATTAATAATTAATTTGATATTTTCTTATAGGAAAATGTTGAAATTAATGTTTTTTTAAATTTACAAAAAATATATAAACAAATTATGTATATAGGTAGTTTTTTTTTTTTAACAGAATTCAAGCTAGTTCAATTAATTTTATTATTTTTAAAATTAAGTATACATCCCAATGATTAAATACATTTATTATAATTTATTTAAAGTTGCCTTTTTTCGTATTCCCTTTTTTCACTGTGTGCGTGCAGCTATAACAGCAGCAGATTGCTGATAGCTGAGAATGTTTACCGTCATTACCTGTGTCTCACTACCTACCTGAACCACCTCCCCCCCAGCCATAGAACCACCACACTCTGAGCTCGACGATATGGAATTTCTCATGCAATTTGCGGTTGTCGTACTTATTAGCTCTAGATAGTCGTCCAGCCTTATCAATGGGTTGCTCCGCCCGGTCAGTCCCAGGGTAGTGTTACCTGTATGCCTCGTCATTTTGCTGTCTCCGCTGCCGATAGCGATCGCCGGTTGTTTACTCCGCTAATGATCTTCATGCTTATGAACTAGCTAAGCCAGCGATATATATACATATATTTTATCTCAGTGGCCATTTAAATACAAGTATGTTCCCACAAATCATTGGAATGATGATCGGTATCGATCGAAAAAACTCAAAAGATAATCCCCAACTAAATAATAAAAGACATGGGTCCACTGATCAAGTGATCCCAATGGATTCCAGATCATCATTTATTGACTGTTTAATGATCATTGATCATTCCAATCAAAAAACCATCTCAGGCCGAGTGATCTTTAGCCGTTTACGGTAGCCTTTGGCATGATCTCAGCCGGATTCCGGGACGGCCTTTGGCACCTCCCACACAACCGAATCACAATTATTTGCTGGCCAAAATAAAGTCAGCTTTGACTAATGCGCTGCAACGATCGATGGCGATCAGTTTTAGCACCGAATCCATGTGGGCGCAGCAGCCAAAAAAAAAACAAAACAAAAATAGTTACCCAAGTCGCACTCTTGTTTTTGTTTCGGCTTTGTTTTGCTTTCGGCTGTGGCCAACTGTTCCAATAGAAAGCCAGTTACCGGCGATCGCTCCGCTCCGGTTTTGGGTTCGAGGCCAAGCCTGAAGGAAGACGATCTCTGGCGTTGGATCGATTCCATCGATTGTCGGATCGTCAGCGGCTAAATATAGATTTCGACCATATTTGATGGCAAATATTGGCAATGAGTGTGCGGAGCTGAACCTGCCCCAATACCATACCAAGTGGCAGGGCACCACGTCAGTACACAGAGAGAAAAAAAATGTTAATGTTCTGGTTTAAATATTATCTTTAAAAAAATATATAAAATATTTTTAGGGATAATATATTAAATAATAAATTATATAAAATATGTTTAAGGATAATTTATGAAAAAATAAAATATATAAAATATTTTTAAGAATAATATATAGTATAAAAAAATATTTAGGGATAATATATAAAATAATAAAATTTATAACATATTTTAAAGAATAATATATTAAATAATAAAAAATATAAAATATGTTTAGGGATAATATAAAAAATAATAAAATAAATAAAATATTTTTAAGTACTTAAGTAAAGGTTGGTATTTGGGAAATCTGCTAGATGACATTGCCAAAGGATTTTTATCTGCCTTTACAGTACTTAAACAGCAAGAACTGGTTGGGAATTATAGTGGCCATAAAGGCTTTAAGACTCCTAAAATTAAATCATAAATATGCTTTGATTTCTGAATAATAAAAAACGTACTAAATTAAGTAAATTAAATTAATAATATATACAATTTTTAAAACGAAAAAATAATTATTTTAATTACCCCTCAAGATCCACAAATTTTTTTCCCAGTGTAACTATAATGTTGGCCGAGTATCTGTTGCCTGTTGCCTGCAGCCTGCACGTGTTGTAGCAGACAGCAGATCGGCCAACAGGGCAACATGTCACCCCACGCGACATGCCGCATGCTGAATACTGGATGCTACATGGCTACATTGCTACATGCCACATTTATATAGATTTTTTTTCATCTTTCCATCGCCATCGCTGGCTCCAGGCTCTTCCCTCATTTTTGCGCCAGCATTCCCAGCCTCTCTGTAGCTCCCTTAATAAGTTTTAATCTATTTGTCAATATTTTCTTGTTTAGTTTCCAAACACTCGGCCTGTATCTGTATCTGTATTTGCTTGTATCTGTGGATGTATCTCTGTATCTGTATCTGTATCTGTGCCCGGCCATGTATCTATATTTGCTGTTTCGAGTTCTGTATTTTTATACCCTTGCAGGGTATTATAATTTCAGTCAGAAGTTTGCAACGCAGTGAAGGAGACGTTTCCGACCCTATAAAGTATATATATTCTTGATCAGCATCAACAGCCGAGTCGATCTAGCCATGTCCGTCTGTCCGTCTGTCTGTCTGTCCGTCTGTCCGTCTGTCTGTCTGTCCGTCTGTCCGTCTGTCTGTCTGTCTGTTTCTACGCAAACTAGTCCCTCAGTTTTAAAGCTATCTTAATGAAACTTTGCATATAGTCTTCTATATGCTCTCACTGCTATATATGTCGGAACGGGCCGGATCGGACGACTATATCATATAGCTGCCATACAAATGTTCGATAAATTTTTAGAAAAAAAATTATAACTTAGCTGTTTTTCAACATATGTGCACTATTTTTTAGATATGACCATTTTATATTATTTCTGAATTTTGGTAAAAATTTTATGAAAATCGGACGACTATATCATATAGCTGCCATAGGAACGATCAGGAAATTAGTAGAAAAAAAATTATAACTTCGTTGTTTTTTAAACTATTTTTATCTACTCTGAGATATAAGCTTATTTTATTAGTTCCGAATTTTGGTATAAACTTTATGAAAATCGGACAACTATATCATATAGCTGCCATATAAACCGATCGGTAGGTGTAGGGCAAATGTAAAACTGGGAATGTAAAACTGTAACTCTCAAACTCTCAACATAATAAGTATAGGTAAAATGCAATGAAATAATATCTGCAAGGGTATACAAAATTCGGCGTGCCGAAGTTAGCTTCCTTTCTTGTTTTTATTATTATTATTATTTTTTTTTTTTTTGGCCAGCCAATTCCACTCTCCATCGCCTCTGCTCCTACCTCTTCCTGGTCGTCGTGGCATGTCTGCATCGCATTCAGACAATGCCCGCGTATTCATAAACAAGGCATCCATCCGTCGTCCATCCTCCTTGCTGTCCCTCATCCAGTTTTTCGCCTCCTTCCGCGGCTGCCTCAAGATTTCAGCAAGTTGGTGCCACTTCTTTCTCGGCTGCTCGGTTGCCATGCGCTGCACACGCAAATGTTGCCTCTATGGGGCTCCACTCCCATACCCAGTGATTCTCAAATGTGATTCGTTCTGTGATCATTAACATTATGGAAAGAGAAAATAGGGCTCTAGAAAGAGCTTAATGTGATAATTTTAATAGGTTTTATTAGCTGATTAAATGATTTTTTCATATATATATCGAAAATATCGATAAAGAATAGTTATAAAATCGGTATTTATATTATGGTATGAGAAAATGTGGTTACAAAAAGGGCTTAAAGTGCTAGTTTCATTTATAGAATTATTAAATTTGTTGATATATATCGTAAATATCGATAAACAATAATTATAAAATCAATTTTTAAACAATTTTTTATTTATTGATAACATTAAAATTAGTTTTTGATATTTTATAGTAATTACTGGGTATCCTAAAGTCGAAACACCCCTCCTTAAACCCTATTTCTTGTCTCTTAATATTATTTCTCTGTCTTTTTTTCGGGTTGGTGCGTTATGTTTGCCTACGGCTGCCTGATATCGTTGGCGGTCTGCGTCGGCGTCGCTGTCCTGGACGACGACTGTCGTCATAGCATTGTGTCTCCTTCAGTTGGATGTTTGTTTGCCAGTTGTGTTGCCTGTTGTTGTTTGTTGGGCTGCTTTTGTTTGCTCGCTGGATAGTTGGATAGTTGTCAGTTAGCCAGCTAGTTTCTTAGGCTTTTGGGTTCTGCGGAAAGTGAGAGCTACCGAACGGATATTAACCTGCATATACTATGTACTATATTGAAAAGCGTATCTGGATCTGGTCTAACCGCTCTGCACACTGACCTTGGTCAATGCGTTATGCCTTGTCGCCAGATAGATGTAGATACAGATGTAGATACAGATACAGATACAGATACAGTATCTACCAGATAGCCCCTGGACTGCATATAGCATTTCGATTGGTGTGACGCCAAAGCAATTGTGCAGATTGATTAAAGGGACACTTGTTGTTTGCTGATTGGAACCATTGCCATCGTCATGGCAGCTGCAGTTGACCCAAATGCATTTCAATTGACAACTGACACTCTTAAAATACACTAAAAAACAATATTTAAATATATATTTTTATATAAAGTAAAGCTTTGAGATACATGAAATAAATTTATATAACAGTTTATGTTTATATTCTGTCATAATTAGCAATAAAGTACTTATAAATTTAATTTCTTATAGATTTTTATATAAAAATACACTGAAAATGTTTTACAAATATTCATTTTTATATAAAGTAAAGATTTAGATAGTTGAAATCAATATTATTTGAAATATTTACTAATTTAATCACCAAGATATAAGAGTTTTTGTTTATATTTCTTTATAATTATTAGAAAAAGTGTTTCTAATATATAATTTATATAAGAATTACTATATATTTTATATAAAACACACCCTTTTTTCTCCCTGTGCTGTCCATATCAATTGATTTATGGTTTAAATCAATTGAGTGGCCACTGAATGCTATCGAATTCGCCTTGGCGACAATATCACCTTCGGCCCCAATTGAGCCTGGAGAGCAGCCCCCCCCCATTATCATTGCCCATCATTAAGACCGATCATCGCCAGAGATTCCGGTTTCGGATTCTGGGTCTTGGTCTGGCAATCCCAAATGAGGCGTGCTTATCATTCAATTTAGAGCCGGGCTCGGCTCGGGTTTATCTGTCACCAGAGGCCAGAACGAGGCCGAGCGATAAAGATGGAACAAAGCTCCCCGTTCCCGGAGAGATTCACCATCTGAAATGGCTATCATCTGACTTAATATCACACAATTCATTTCAATTTCATGCTGCTATTTAACCTTAACACAAATTCAATAAATTACCGAATCGGAGAAGCAGCCGCAGCAGCAGCAGCAGAAAATATACATAAACAAAAATATATATTGATAAACCCATGAGATCTCCTCGTTAACCGGCTAGTGTTATTGATATTGATATTTCATGCCTCGAATATTTCCTCCAAAATCCAATCTGTTTGTTGTTTGGACCGGCTCTTGTATCACTTTTTTGTTAATGGGACAGAGGAGAGTCTCGTCTCCATTGGGGGAAAATGGTAAACAAAAGCGATTTGAAATCAAAACAAAAGGCAGGGGAAGCAGCGTCACAAAAGATACTTTATTAAATTTTACATTAAATCTACAACTTACATCCACTAAAAACACTGTGTGTCACGGCTCAAAATTATAGAATTATATACAATATTTTCCCGAGAAGTCTGCCATCCTAAACCTTCACTGCCATATACATATAATTCTGCTAAATTGTGAACAATTCCATTTTCAGTCAGTAAACAATTTATATGCCTTCCAAGGAGGGGAAACGAGGAGCTAAATAAATAACAGCTTCGAGACAAAACGCTTATTTTGTATGCATTTAAAGCTTTTGTAATGAGCGTATTATATATATATATATATATATCTTCTTTTTTTTTGTCACAAACTGTCGGATCGTTGAGGTATTTTTTTCACGCTTCTCGTTTGATTGCCTGCGATTTTGGGAATGCATTTCAACCTTAAAAAGCCGGAGTCAAACTTCAGGTTCAGGTTGTGTGGTGTGTGTGCGCGGGTATCTTGTATCTGGCATCTGAACTGGGCACAATTTCATTTGCAATTCAACTTCCGTCAACTGGCCGAGGAATTTCGAGGCTTTGAGCCAGTTCAGCATACACATAAAACGGCGGCCAACGCGTCGAAAAGTATCTGAGCGGACAGATGAAGTGCACAGAGAGATAATTATAGTGAGATTTTCCCTAAGAAATATCAAATTATAAATGTATTCTCTATTTCTTAAAAAATAATTATAATAATTTGATTTTCAATTATATTTTAATTAGATTTTCTTAACTTTCCATAAGTTTTTTTTTAAAACATTAAAAATTAAATATTTGGGGTTCATATTTTTTATATTTTCTTAAATTTAGAAGGTTTTTTCTTTTAAATAGGTTTTCTGTTAATTTTTTTCATAAAAACCATGGCGAATTTGCTCTAAAATAACTAAATAATTAATAAAATATATATTTAAAAAAATTCCTCACATGTGCACTTATAATTTCCAACTTGTTCTATCATCTCCTGAGTGAAGTGACCGCTGCGGCCTTGGGTGTATATTCAGTGGTGTTTATGTGTTTGTGCTATAAAATATGTGCTATAAATAGTTTCTATTACATAGTTACTTTCTATAAAAGTAACCAAATTTTGCTCTTAAAGAAAACACAGGTAAACCTTTTTATGACTGTATAAAATGTATATATCAATATTAATAGAATTCTTAAAAAGGTTTTAATTGGATTTTCTTAATTTTTTTTATTAAATTATTGAACTTGTTTTAAAATAAACTCCAATTTGTTGCAATTAATTCCTAAATTATTACCCTAATATTTTTTTTCAAGTGCCAACGCACAGAAAACTGAAATGAAATGGTTATGTAAATGCAGAAATTGAAATGAAAATGTAATTAATGAGCATAAAATGCGGAAAATTGTGGAAAAATACGTGAAACGAGTTTTTCATTTTATTTCATTTGTGTTTTTCTTCTTTTTTTTTATTATTTCACTCAACATCTACTTCTACTTCAACGCCATCATCAACACCATGACCAAGAGAGGTGACCGGGGGAATCCCCCCGGAACGGACATTGTCAAATAAACTTTGGTCCAATGTTTGGACAGGGCAGTGCACGGGTTTTTTAATTAAAAACGTATGAATGTATCTTGCAGATACATTCACTTTTAGACAGTCGCGTGGCCTTTTTTTTTTTGTATTATATATTTTTTCTCATTTTGAGTGAAGATGCGGGAACTCTCTGTCAGCTAACTGAGTCGCATTTTTTCTTGTTTTTCCATGACTAAGGAAAATCGTTTCTTTGTTTTTAATAAAATTACAAAAACTTTGGGCGTAAATATTCTTTTAAAATAATTTCTTTACAGTCTGAAGTTCTTTTTTATGCATATTTTTTTATATATTTTTTTTATATTTAAACTAATTGTCATGCCAAACTGATCCTCCTTGGGATAACCACACCCACAGGGCACTGGCAACCCTGATCTCAATTTCAAACTCATTTATCTGGCTCGTTATTGAATCTCTAATCCATGGAACGCCTCCTTCTCTCCATACCACAACCATAACTCTTACCCACTCTTCTCTCTTTCTTTCACTCTGCCCACAGCGAACGTGCTAGACCCTCGGATCGTCGAGACCGGGTTCAGTGTCCAGGCAGGCGGCACCTGTCGCCCCAAAACGCAAATGGTGGACGTTAATTAAATGTCAACAGATGCCAAAGGCGGGCCCAGAAGAGGAAGAAGATCCCAATGAATTGGAGTCGAATAAATCATAAAAAAAGACTTGGAGACAGAACAAGACAAGACTCAAGACTCAACTTTCAACGACATCAAAAACAATAAGGAGCTGAAATAAAGATTCAGGAAAAATGGTTAATGCAGTGATGGATGCCATAGCGGTAAGTCAAGGGGTTACTGGGGGAAGCTTGCTTAATTTAATTTGCAATATTATACAAAATAATCGGTTGCGTTTCTCCTTTATGATGTTTAAATTGAAATTGCCGACTGACTGGCTTCCTCTCTTCGCCCCCCGAGTTCGTTTACAGCCAATTGAAGTTTTTGTTTGTACTTCAAACAAGACACTCTTGCGGTTGAGTCGAAGCGAGTTTCGTTTTGTTTTTTTTGTTGTTTTATTTGCTGTATTTTTTTTTTTGTAGCTTTGCCCACATTTTCAATTTGAATTTGTTTGCCGTGGCAATTGCTCAATTGGCTGGCTTGTCTATGTCTTTGTCTCGCCTGTATTTGCCTGGGAGTGTGGCATATTACATGCTAATCCATGTGTTTAAGTTGATTTCTTGTCTGGGGTCGGTTTTTCAGTGAATTGAGAGGTTCAATGGGGCGTATACGCAATGTTGTTAGATTTCAAAGGTTGCAAAAGGATATTTCTTTGTAGAAATAAGAAGAAAAAAATTAAGAAAAATGTAAAACTAGCATAAAAATGTATAAGAAAAATTAATCGATTGTGGATTTTGTAAATAAAATAAAATAAATTAAAAAAAAAAAAATTATTAGAAAATGAGATTAATAAATAAAATAAATCTGATCTTTAGCAAATATTACAAAAATTACATTTTAATTTCAAAAAAGCTTAATTAAAGGACCTTGATTTAAAATTAAAAAAAAAATTCATTAAAAATAAAATTAAATAACCTATAGAATAAAATATAATATAACAGTTAAAAAAGCTTAACTTATAGAGCTTGATTTTCAATGAAATAAATTCATTTAAATTAAATAAAAAAAAAATTTTAATTAAAAAAATTTAATTTAATAAATACAATTTACAAAGAATATTCTGCTTAGAAAAATTACATTTTTTTCAATTGTTATTACCTATAAAATATAATAAAATATTACAGAAAAAGGAAAACTTAATATATAAAGCTTGATTTTAAATGAAATAAATTTGTTTTAAATTTTTTAATAAATACAATTTACCAAGAATATTCTCCTTAAAAAAATTACCCATTTTAAATGATTATTATGTTTAAAATATAATTCTTAAAATGAATATAATTAATATTACATTTTTATTTAAGTTTCTAAATTCATAAAAAATTTCCTTCTATTTTTTAAATGTAACTCTTAATTTTCGCAATGTTCCCCTGCCTGTCTTATGATTATGAAACTCACTGTAGCTCTGTTGTGCTGCACATTATCCCAGACAATTTTTGTGCATTTCCTCTGCCACGATCGTCGTCGTCGTCGTCGCTTGGCTCACATCAAGCAATTCATTCCCCGATTTTTTCCACTTCACTTTTTCGGCCAGCATTTGCATACAACTCGCCAATTTCTGGGGGCTTGCAGGCCATAAACAAAAAGGCAAAACCACCACCACCACAACAAAAATAAATAAAGCAAAAATATAATAAAAATAACAAAACGAAAAAAAAAACCATAGAAATATTTATAAATACCAAAACAGACTCTCAAAAAAAAAAAAAAAAGATAGCAAGAAACAGAAGTGGAGATCAAATTAGCACAGAGCGTGGGAGCCGGTTTGCTGCCTTGCTGGCTTTATTATTTTTTTTTTTGTTTTTTGGCACTTGGGACATGGTTAACTTAACCATGTTGCACATGGACCACCTCTCCAACGTCCCATAAAACCCGTTGCCATTGCAGCATTAGCCGAGACAGTGGCGCATAATTATTGGAGATCGATGGAGCCAAGGCCTCCGCCGGAAGTGGTTACCAGTTGGGCAGGTATTCAGCCTCTGGTTCCTTACTCCAAAGCCCAGGCCCCCAAACCCAACCCTCAGTGTTTGGTATAACGGGGACGGGACATTCCTCACAGACCAAGTGCCACTGAATTCTGTTAGAAAATTATATAAAAAAAAAACAAGTAGAAATATTTACAGTAAATTATATATTATTATTTAATAATTTATTTAAATATTTTATTATTATATATATTTAAAAAGAGATATAAAAACCAGGCTTGGCATTTTCTTACAACTCTAAACCGGCTTTCCCCACCCCTGAAAACATGATTTGGCATAAAATTTGGGCTATAAGATTGATTCCCATGGACCGATGACGTGTCTCTGCCACTTGAGACATCCGTTCATTAACCCAGAATCTGGACAACAGACTCGGAATGCACCTATAATGGCCAAGTTAATTACTAATCAGTACAGAAAAACAGGCTATAACGATTTCTCTTTCAAGCGTGGGTTGTGTTTTTTTTTATAAAATTTCTATAAAATGCTTTAAAAACCCCTTAACAATTATAGACCATTAGTGTATTTCTGCAAGCTTTAAGGTATTTCTTTGAAAATTTGCAATGTTTTCTTATTTCCATACCGATTTTTGTGCTCAATTGCAGCTGCTCAGCTCGCTGGCCAGTGATCTGGACATAATGCTTAATGATCTACGATCGGCGCCAAGTCATAATGCCACAACAACAACAACAACAGCAGGAACAGTGGGGGCGATAATGACAGAAAATCCACAGCCAATGCTGCATCATCATCAGCATCTTGAGATGCAACAGCCACAGCAACTCCAGGCAGCGAGGCATCACCACCACCACCATAACAACAACAACAACAACAAGAGTATCAATTACAATAATAATCTAAATAAAAACAACAATAATAACAAACATAATCCTCAACCCTTTGGGTTGATGGACATCAAATTAAAGTCCGTAAGATCGGCGGCCACAACAGTTACTGCAACGGCTGCATCTTCCATATCGAGTTCGATATCCTCCACAACGAATCAAGTGCAGCTGCGTCGACGCATTGCTCCAAAGCCTTTGCCACGTCCACCCCGACGCAGTCGTCCGCTGGAGAAGAAGCAAAGGGAGCAGCAGCAGCAGCAGCTGGAGGATGAGGATGGTGACACGGATGCCAGTGATTTGGCCAATAGGACATCGCCGCTAAGTGCTAGTGCAGCGGCCACAAGGATTGCCGGGCTTTCACCGGAAGTGAAAAAAGTGCAAAGGCTGCCGCTATGGAATGCTCGAAACGGAAACGGAAATGGAAATGGAAATGGTAGTGGTGGTAGCAGCAACGCCCACCTGCAGCGTCGAATGCCAACTCAAGGTCATCAGCAGCAGCAACGATTCCATCATCAGCGATTTCAAATGGGGTAAGTCTGACGAGATTTTGGTTTTTATAAATTTTAGAAAATATTTTTTAAGTTTTTCTTACTCTAAATAATAAATAATTTAAAGGTTTATTAGTACCCAAAAATTCTTAAAAAATTTAAATTATAAATTCTATGAAATATTCCTGAAATTTCTCATAAATCGAAATAATTTAAAGGTTTATTAGTACCCAAAAATTCTTAAAAAATGTAAATTATAAATTCTATGAAATATTCCTGAAATTTCTCATAAATCGAAATAATTTAAAGGTTTATTAGTACGCAAAAATTCTTAAAAAATTTAAATTATAAATTCTATGAAATATTCCTGAAATTTCTCATAAATCGAAATAATTTAAAGGCTTTTTATTACCCAAAAATTCTTAAAAAATTTAAATTATAAATTCTATGAAATATTCCTGAAATTTCTCATAAATCGAAATAATTTAAAGGCTTTTTATTACCCAAAAATTCTTAAAAAATTAAAATTATAAATTCTATGAAATATTCCTGAAATTTCTTATAAATCGAAATAATTTAAAGGTTTTTTATTACCCAAAAATTCTTAAAAAATTTAAATTATAAATTCTATGAAATATTCCTGAAATTTCTCATAAATCGAAATAATTTAAAGGTTTTTTATTACCCAAAAATTCTTAAAAAATTTAAATTATAAATTCTATGAAATATTCCTGAAATTTCTCATAAATCGAAATAATTTAAAGGTTTTTTATTACCCAAAAATTCTTAAAAATTAAGATAATGTCATAAATATACTCCCTAAAGAAGTAGGAGCCGCTCTTGTAAGGAAAATATTTTTTTGGGAATATATTAGAAGCCAGAGTTTTTGGTTTTCATGGAAAGAGATACAAGATACCCCTCACTTTTACTTAATTTTTGGGTCAAAACAATATTTAAAGAGTGCGATTCTTGGCCATAAGGAAGTGTAGCTGGAGCACCAACTGACCAAAAAAAAGTGAAAACAAAGGCGGAGACGCTGAATCTAGAAGGGCAAAAAGGCTGGCAATGGGCTGTGAAGGGTTCACGCTCTGCTGAGCGCTTCGCGGGAATGCTTTGGCATGCTTGGTTGCCAGAGAAAAGAGGGCCCCCATAATGGGTTAAGCCAGGTCAGTTTTGACCGACATGATGAATCATCAGCAACAGCAGCAGCAGCGTCAGGGCCAACCAGTGGTTAAACTGGGCGGGAGATCACAGCAGACTTACGAGGTCAAAGCCAAAGTATAAGTTTTGGCAAAAAAAAAAAAATGTTGAGAAATTATAATGCAAATGCAAAGAGGTTTTGAAATTATTTGTGGCTAATTCTTAAAAGGGTTATTTATTTTATTTTATTTATTTTAATTTTTTAATTTTTAATTTAATTTTTAAACTCTGTGGATTGGTTTAAAGTGAAATCTGATTATCTAAAAATTGAACTTTTTCCTTTTAAACTGATTTTAACTTTTTTTTGTTATAATTTCATTTGGTTTTTTTAGGTTTAAATAAAAGATAAAGTTATAATAATTACAAACAAATTTTTAATTGCATTTTATCAACGGGAATTACGAGCTATATGGTCTCCATAGATGGGAAACTCAAAGCTCAAGGAGCTGCGGCATATTTTCAATATGTACGCCATTTTGTAAACTATTGTTTATAAAATATTTTTATTATAATCTACGATTCTAATTTTAACTACATATCTACAAAGTTTCACAACAATAGCTTGACTATTTCTTTAAAAAAAAATTAATAAAATCATGAAAAATACCTACATTTTGACCGTTTACATTGTATATCCCCCCCTTAAGTTCATTTACTGATAACAAAATAATTTTCATTTTTAACAGCCCTATAAACTCTATGAAATTTCAACCTTAACCTTTATATTAGAAGCCTCTAAGCCATGCTGTTGACAGCAGATTGTGGGCACAAAGCCAACTAACCAGCTTCAACAGCCTCCCTTTTTGCAAAACAAAATGCGTAACATGAAAATGTTACTACTAAATATATATATAAATGTATATATATAACTATATATATGAATATGTTATATAGATATTGTGATAATCCATGTTAGCGCAATATGTTTAGCATATAAATTATGAGTCCCCGGTCCAAAAGCAAACTAACACAGTGAGTGGCACCCACTCTCAAACCCATTTAACTAGGCGTCACAACAATACCAAAAAAAAAATATAATAAAAAAAAAACTATAAGAAAAGCTGGAAAAGAAACAGAATAAGAAACAAGAGGACAAGAAAACAAGAAGTTAGACCCACCAAAAACGATGGCAAGACAAATGTTTTGGGGTTTCTGCAAATGAAGTGTTATATTTTATGTGGCAATCCACAATGTCGGCGTTGACAAAAACCAAAGACAAATACCAGGCTCCATAAACTTGGGTAAATATGAATATGTCCGGGTCAGGGGGAAAGGATGTTGTGATGCCTGGAGAGGGTTGAGAGGACCAGTGGCTTCCTTTCATCCCCTCGTGCGGCTGGTACAAAGGGTTGTGACTTTTCTGTGTGTGTGTGTTTAGCTATTTATTAAATTTGTTTGCCAACACACATAACTTGGGGGAACGGGGGGTTCCCGGGTTGGGTAAGGATTCGGTTTTGGGTTTGGTTTATTTTTTTGGGGGGGGGGGTTTAAAAGGACCCACACGAACATGAGCTGCGTAACTAATTTGCTTAAAGTGCACGATGCCTCATCAACATCAGTTACAATGGCCAGCCAAGACAATAAAGACAGTGTCACTTGATATGTAATTAGGAATTTAAATAAAATTAAGGTTTATAAATATTCAAAGATTTTTTTTAATATTTAGAGGTGAAATTTAGAGAGAGAAACCAGTGTTACTTGATAAATGATTAAGAATTTAAACAAAATTAAGGTTTAAAAATATTTAAAGATTTTTTTTAACTTAGTTAAAGGTTATTGAATAGTTAAAGATTTTTTTTTACATATTTAGAGATGAAATTATGTCTTAACAGGCTTTTTTTTACCTAATAAAATCTGAAATTTTGAGAAAACTTGTAATTTATTTAGAATTTAAATATAATTAAGGCTTATAAATATTTAGATATTTTTTAAAATTAATTTAGAGGTGAAATTTAGAGAATAAAGATGCGTAATTAAAAATTTAAGTATAATTAAAGCCTTTAAACATTTTAAACATATTTTTTAAAGCTACTTAGAGGTGAAATTTAGAGGTACATAATTAAATTTTAAACAAATTAGAAGCTTATTAATATTTAAAGATTTTTTTAAACCCAATAAAACCAAAAATTTACCATGAAATTACAGTTTTAAAATTAATTTACAAATAAAATATTTTCCAAAGGTTTTTAAATATTTTAAAGAAATAATTTGTTTTTTATATTAATTCCTTGTACAAAAATCGTTCATATTTTAATTTTTTTTTATTTCTTGATTAAAAATATTCTTAAGTAAATATTTTTAAAATTTTCAATAAATTTCGAACCACTGTTTTGTTGCCAAAAAAAACCGCAAAAACTTTCTGTCCTGTGCGTTCCCCAAGTGTTTTGTGGTGTTTTTTGGGGATTGGGGGAACTCCCATTCCTGCACTTTCTGTGTGACTCTGAAAATTAATGATGTCTAGGACCGAGGCCATACGCCACCCATCATCATCATCATCATCGTCGTCATGACGATGGGCTCAATGATTGTCAAAAGTTTTGTGCAATTTGAGCGTTTTAAGTTTGTCAACGCTGCGTATACTTAATGGAAGGAGTCGTCTCAAGTGCGACAGGTGTTTGCTTTATTAACTAAGCCACACATCCATCTACACAGTCTCCTTCTAATGCGGCTGACATGTAAACAGATTAACATAATTAATTTATTTGTTGCCTGCTCTCTCGGTTGTCATCATCTAATCCCGGAAAATTCTGTACGAGGAAGGTTATTTGGACTTTGACAAGGGAAAAGGTTGGTTTTAATGTTTATATTTTTTATTTATAATTTAAAATATTTATATTTCGATATTTTTAGTAGTGAGAATATATTTATAATTTCTATTTTAAATATTTTTATTTAAAATATTTATAATTTAAATATTTTTAGTAGGAAAAGTAAGGGAAATATGGTATACATATATTTTTAATTTTTATTTATAATTTAAAATAAATATATTTTAATATTTTTAATATATTTCTTGAACTCTTACTCTTAAAAATATTTAAATATAAATATTTAAAATTAAAAAATAGAAATTATAAATATATTTAATAATTATATTATAAATTTTAAGGTTACCAAGTTTTTATTTCATTAATTAACCTAAATTAGAAAGAAAAATCAAGCAAAAAACCTTTTATAAACCTTAAACAATTATTTTTTATAACTTTGATTTCTTGAATACCTTATCTAAGAGTATTCCATATTTTCCCCAAAGACTTCTCCCGCAGTTTACTAAACTAATTTGAGGTTTATGTCAAAAAGAGAGTCAATTAACTTAATTAGAGCTCCTCAAATTGCTGAAAAGTCTCTAGATGAAACCAAGAGGGAGAACGTATCTCATGGATATTGGGGATCATCATGAATGCGCCCTCATTAATGTTTGTTTTGTCATCTTCAGAGCAGGCCCAGCGAATCGATAGATTGTGGGATGACTGATCACTTTTTTTTTTTTTACCTTTCGAGCGATTTCTTTTGTGCGAATATCAATCATATTTAGCATACAACTGTCTGTCTGTCTGCCTGTCTGCCTGTCTGTCTATCATTTGGCCTGAATGAATGTTCAGATACTCGTGCGAATGAATGAGTGACTGCGAATGGGTTGAGTGCTACGGCCAAAAGCCGTGAAGCCGTGATTTCGAGGTTCACAAGTCGCCTTTCAATGCCAGCAAGTTGGACAAGGGCCTAGGGCTCTAGGGATGTTACAACATCATGGATGTGATATATATTCACAAATATATATCGAATTGATGTCTTAGAAATAAATATCAATACTTGAGGTATTAAAATATATATAAAACAATGAG